TGCATTGTATGTGGTGTAGGTTGGACTCGCTTCATGGAATGGAAGTATCCTGTTGAAGTGGTGGTGAGGAATAAAGGGTTGTTTAAGGGAGCGGGGGCTGTGGAGGCGTTGTCGCCGTTATGAGGGTCTGGCTTTGAGGGCTGGGATGGGGGAAGGAGGCGGAGGATGTTTATAATATCGATACATGATGTGTTGAATGTTGGGATGAGAGGGTTGGTGGGACATAGAAGCACTGAGGAGGGTTTATCGTCGATGCGATGCGATGCGATGCGACGCGACAGGTGGAGCTTTTGTGGTTGGTGATGGTATGGCATAGCATAGCTTGATTGTGAGTTACTGTTCCTTTTTTTGTTTTTTTCTTTTATGTTTACTGTTACTGTGACTTATAGTATACCCAGAATATCACGGGCACAGATAGAATGTTATGGTGAGGAATTTGTAGATTGGACTCCGTAGCAGAGATGTGTAGTGCTTGATCTCAATTTATGTAAAAGAAGTAGAACCCTAACTTTTATTCAAACTATCCAACTGTCGACGATCTACATACAATCAAGAACACTAACCCATATACCCAAGACTACACTTTCTATCCTACGAACCTTCACTCCTACCAGCACTAGCACTAACAGCCCTCACAACCTCCACATTCGCCCTCGCGATCTTCTTCCTCTTTTCACCCCCTTCCAAACTCCCAAACTGCACTCCCATATCCGCCAGTGCAGACTTGACCACGTAGCATGGGTCACTGTATCCCGGGGTCAGGAAGCGCTCTAGTGGGGTTTCCTGATATACGGTCTGGTGGTGTGTATATGTATGCTCGAAGAGTTTGAAGGGAGAGAGGGCTGAGTCGTGTGAGAGGTTTGAAATATTCTGGAGGTCTGTGTCGATGTCCATGTTGGTGGGTGGGGGATTGGAGAGGGATTGGGCAAGTTGGGTGGTGAAGAGGTGGACGCGTTCGGAGGCAATGAGGGAGTCGACCCAGGTGCTTGTTGGGACTGGAGGGTTCTAGGCTTGTTAGATATGTATGGGAATGGAAGTGCTTTGGGATACTAACAGACTCAATGTGTTGGTGTTGGTTATGGAGGGAGAGGTTGTGTTCGGTTAAGGGGTGGTGGATGGTAGACATGGTGGTTGTCTGTCTCTGTTGGTCTCTGCTTTTGGGAAGATGGATGAGGGGAGAATGAGCGTAGAAGAGAAAGAATTTTATAGGAGTAGCTTGGAGAAAGTTCAAGAGAATTGGGTACTCGTAGACAAAGTTGATATGAGTCTGGATGTGGTCAGCTCTCGCTTTTTATATGCCACACGCCGCCTATTCACGCCCACATTCACCAGTGCTTTTGGACCCCGACAAGACCAAGCATCGGGGATGCCTGCACCAAGACCGGGCTCTACACTAATGCAACGGTGAGTGGACTGGATACATCCAAGCTAACAGGTGGTATGCACCTTGTATCGACTAGACAGTGAACCCCGGTCGAAACAGCACACTCCGATGCCCCTCCAGGGTAATTATGGAGGTGCAAGGTTTAATTTCTCCTCGGACACAGCCTGGCCCCAATGCACACGAGACAGATCTGCACGGGTGACAAAAGAAAAGATGCCAGACACACGCAGCATCGTGAAATGACCTGACGCCTCTTCGATACTGCCAAGCGATGTTGAGGGAAGAAGGAACAGGAGCCAGGACGAAGGAGGGAAAGGAGACACACTCGACATAGACCAATGCACCATGTCCTACCCTCACCCTCCTAGCTTATCGGTCTATCTGGCCGCATGCAGGTCGTGGCGTACCGTCCGCTCGGGCTGAAATAGGAGAAACTAACGGTTTCTCTGGCCTATGGACGGGCTTGGGCGCTCAGGGGACGTTGTCAGGCGAGTCCAGTGCCAGATCGTCGGGTCCGGATCGTCAGTAACAGAGTTTCTCGGGTTGATGCTAATGTAGGTAGATGCGCACGCTGTGGCCTGATGGTGGCCTGCGTGTCTGGGCCCATGGTCGTTGGCGGATATCGCGACGATGAAACAGATCGACTGAGATGCGCGGAGGCTGTGCAGTCAACCACGGTGATTCTCATGGCAACTGACATTGCTTATATTAGCTATGGACAGGATACAGAGCATCTTGCAGAGTCAGGAGATACAACATATGAAGGAGCGTTCGAGACACTCGTCTTCCCAGTCAACTCGAAAAGAACAACTCAAGCCCTGGTACCCAATTCCCGTCACATCAGGTACCAACGACATTGAACTATCCGGACAGTTGCTAGTGACGCGCCTAGTCGAGGCAATCCATACCACATCGAGAGGTCTAGAGCTGTCCCTGATCCCTCTCCGTCCCGGGGGAATGGTTCCGTGGTGCATTGCATGGATCCCCTCCACCGGCAATTGCGTGGCTTTCTAGGAGTACCTATGCCTGCTCCAGTGGCTGAGCCGGCCAGGAATCACATCCTGGACCTTTGCTTGCTGCCTGGGCCGTTGCCTGTCCGTGAAACTGAACGGATCCTTGTCAGCGCCGGTCCGTCGGCGCTCCCGGGTGGGCACTAGACGGACCAGGGGTTGAACAAAGCAACCATTCCATCGGGATGTCTGTTGCCCCCCAGTGAATTTCCAATATTGGGTGACCGATGGCGTGCAGCCAGTCATCCATGGGAGTATACCGTCGCTGGTCGAGACTACAGCCTGCTAGCCACTACTATCCCACACTAATGCACCCGAAAAAGCAACTCCAGGCCGCTACGCTGTCGATCGCAATGCTGCCCATGCACGGAGAAGGCCTCTACAACTGGTCGAGGTAGGCGATTGGTAAATGTCGCCTCTCAATATTGGGCTTACTTCTGTTATCGGCCGGGCACCCCATCCGTGCTCTCGGGCTGGCCGTGATCCAGGCATTGCGGGTTAAGCATCAGCAAAGGTGGTAGATTGGGTCTCCTGAGGCTTGCGTGGTGTACAATACATCAATACCGGGTCAAATAGTCAATCACAGCAAATCAAAGCCAACAGCCCAACAAGAAAGTCTCAAGCAATAGAACCCCCACCCCCGGCCAAACATATTATCTCACTCAATACCAACGTCTCTCAGTAATACCTCTGTCGTTGCCAAAACCTCCCAAACCCATCAAAGATGTCCATATTCAAGTCTTCGTTTCCGATTCTTATCGGCCCAGGGCTTCGTCGAACCCTCGACTCAAGCCAGGGTTCAGAACGTTCCTCTATGCCGCTTGTGCTCGTGTCGCAGGTGACTGAACTTGCAGCGATCATGTTCGAAGCGGTGTCCATATAGTCTTTGTCTGTATCGTGGGTGATATTCGTGACGCATTCCTCCATGTCCATTAGAGCCTCCATATCTGAGCAATCCATGACTTCGGGTGCCATTGTGGAGTCCACTATCTCGTAGTCCAACTCCCCAGTGGCTTTTGTAGCTTCATGCCCAAGGTAGTCCAACGGTTCGCCAAAGAGGCTGATTTCGACCATCGAAGATGATATCCAGCTGTCGCTTCCAATTCGAACCTTTGAGGTTTGTTTGTCGCCGTGCACCCCTCCATCCAAAATCATACCGTCATCAAAATCTTTGGTAGCAGCTACAAAGCTGCTGCAATTATCGAAGGCTGAAACAGGCTGCCAATCCAAGTCCGCATTAGGCAATCCGGACTGTTCGAGGGAAATGTCATCGCGTAAAAGGGATGTAGCAAGCTGCTCCGGCATCCATCTTTCCTTCTCAATCGCATCGACCTTCTTGGCGCTTCTAGGAAGCTTCGCTGTGCTCCTTTTCGACCCAGAGGATAGAGAGGGAAATTTGCGCTTCTGGAATTCTTCGCCCTCTTCGAGTCGGCTGTAGCATTGCTGATTATTATCTATGCTAATGTTCGGTTTTGATGGTGTCCCAACTGTCTCTGGGGGGTTCAGGTAGTAACCAAGGAGCTTCTTGGGATGCAGCTCCAAGGCTCGGTCGGATGAGAAATCAAGAGCTAGGACTCCATCCTTCCCCTTGAGCTCAGATGTTAGATTGACATTTTCCCAAGATCGTGGGGGATAATAGCCTCTCGTTGTAGATGGGGTGTTTGCAACAGCATTCGAGTGCTTGGGTGCAGATGTGGTTGGATATTCGGCGCTATCGCTCTCCTCATCTAATTCGCAGGTGGTCCTGCTGCTGGAGATCCGGTCGGAAACTGACTTTCCAAGCAGGAATTCGCTTTCAGAGAATCCGAGCCTAGGGGCCGGGTGCAAGTTCCATGCAGCCATAGGTGTGTCGAAACCGAAAAGGTCCGGCATCGGACCGCTGGTACGGGATTTGACAGGGGCTGATGCCTTTCCCTTTTGGAAAATTCCCTGGATACCCCGATGATTCAACTACCACGAGATTAGCAGAGTCATCCTTCTATCACTTAAGAAGTCCACTCACTGTCAGTCGATCACAGGGTACATTGGAAGCATGGAAGGTGTCGTTGGTTGGCCTTTTCACTCGCTTCGAGACACGGTAATTTCTCCCGCCGACTTTCTTGTTCTTATACTCATATCGATCGTTCTTGGTTCTGTGTCGAGGACGGCGTTCATATCCGTGATGATCCTTGTTTGAAGTGTAGGAAGTTGATGCCAGGTCAGTTGCCAGTGATGCAACTGACTGTTCAAACCATCCCAGCTTGGACGGTCTCGGCCGACTCTCACGACCCAGCAGCTGTTCCTGGCTCTTCTCTGTGGTAATATCAGGGTTCATATTCAGTAAAAACCCACAGACTGTTGGGCTTTCCCGATCAAGTCGTTCTTCTTTCACTGTAACGGAGTTGGATTCGAGGTCTTCCTGGTTCGTTCCCCGTGTTATAAAGTCGGGTGGGCGGTGCTTGCTTTGGACGTGAGCGAGGTGAGTTCGCGAGAACCTAGGAAACCTGCTGGCTGCAGGACGTTAGGAGCCAGTCTCACACCAGAAGAGAGATCGAGTGAACCAACGTTGAGGCGAAGGGTGCTTGAAAGTGGGAACTGGTCTGGAGCTGGCAAGTTCAGCATTTGTTTGCGCGATCCACACCTCGATCCTGTTGTATGAATCACAAGACAGATATCGGTGGACTATGGCTTGAGCCATGATGAACAGTGAGGATGAAGGGTCAGGTGTGTGGTTGGGTGGTGTGGAGGGGAAGGAGTGTCGTAGAAAAAGTCCGCCGGTGAGGCAAGTGCTGCTGGGCGCCCTGATGACATCGCTACGACTTGGATGGGACGATGACTTAAGCGTCGGACTTTGCTTCAAGATGATGTCGCAGTTTCCAACTATGAGGAAAACTCTTCCGAGCTCCAGGTCATCAACTTAGGCTATCATACATTTCCTCCGCAAGTATCATCCCCTTACCTCTCCATATTAGCCCGCTGCTTTCCTCCTTTCCGTAGATAGTAGCCACAATATTGGATGCAACAACATCGATATCAACTCACAATTCTGACAAGTACGTAAACCAGTCAAAGACGGTTTAACCGGCAACGTACACAGACCCGAAGATGACACTGGCGACATTCAACTATGAAATCCGGAAGATATTCAAGACACTCCTCACATTCCTGCCCTCGGTTGATACGCTTCCAGCGGCCATCATAATCGCATTCATGGCGCTCCCGTAAGTCTTGTACCACCCGTTGCACCTCAGCTTGAGCAGGGGGCTCGACTTGGTCCCGGCCAGCAACGTGCTGGGCTCGATGTAACAGTCTGTTCTCATCCCATACCTCGCATCTGCACTTCTTCCACTTGGTTCCGCAGACGTAGCAAAACTCATACCTACATCGGCATCTGAGAGGGAGACCATGTCCTTTAATCGATACTCATGTCAAGTTTTCCAGTCAGGTTCCACTTACGTGATATGGTTGCAGCCCGTTCCCAGCTCGACAATGTTGCGGCATCTGGCACAGCGCTGCCACCCTTGCTCTTTCGCCAAATCCAAGACCTCGTGATATTCATCGATACACTGAGCACCAGCATGGACTTGTCGTTTACACAGAGTGCATGTCTGCTGGCGACAAATCTTGCATGTACCAATGTAGCCCTGCACTTGGAATGGCATAAGGTATGTCGCGCACGCTGCGTTTGGGCAATAGGTTCTGTATGGGTCTTCGCGCTCCATTTTCTTCTCCTCGTACCGTTTGGCTAGCTCTTGGCCTAGAAATGCTTGCACGGAAGACAAAACGATCGGCATGCGGCAGCAACGAGGAGGGAAAAGCGACTCGTCGATGAGGGAGTCTTCGACTAGCTTGTGTATGCACTTTCGACAGTATTGATGTGAGCACGGCGCCACAAACATGTCGCTCATGGGGCGTAGCTCCGTGCAGGCAACGCATTCGGAGGGTTTGCTATGAGTGGAATGGCGTTTCTCGGCGTCCTTCGAGCTCTCCGCGGTACAGTTTTGAGGAGCAGCGTCCACAGGCGTCGAATCGGCGTGTTGGAATCGTAGACTGCTTTCGCAACGCTCAGGGCCATCTTGTGGTCTTGGATATCCCTGGCACATTGCTGAAGCTCGGTTGTCCACTCGCTGAGGGCTAACTGCCAGTCTGAGAGAAGGCCGGCCTTTTGCTTCCAGCTCTCAATCTCGACCTGGGCCTCTTGGTGCAGAACGTTGATGAGTTCTTTCGACAACTCATCCATGGTGAATATTCCCGATGTGAATGAGGAGATACAGTGGATGAGGAAGGTCAAGGGATAAGGTGGATGAGTGAGTTAGTAAGTGAAGTGAGATGAAAACAGGAGACAAGACAGTAGGAAAAAATGGGGGGAGGAGGGAAGCTCGATACCTTCACTGGAAGATCAGGTACCATCCACTGCGCCCACCAAACGGGATTAGCTTCATGGGTGCAAACAGATGCGAAATCATCGAGAAACCCAGGTTCCAGACCGATGCAGGTAGAAAGGTAAGTACGGAGGAGGGAGTGAGAAAAGGAACGAGAGAAACAGTAAAAGAAGCAGTGAAAGAAAGGCTGCAGGAGACTTTGATTTGTAGTAAACATGGTGTAGTTCTAACCTCACCTTCAAGCTACCAAGCTACCAAGCTAATCAAGTGGCACTGAACCGGAGTAAGACAAGCAATCAGATAAGCTACTCGGGTGCGGAGTACCAGAGAGATACCGGGCAGTCTCCTCCTCGCTGGTGATAATCCCCGATAGCAGTAAGGTGTCGGTTCAGCCATACCCAGACACTCAGACAGACAAGATCGTGGAACCGCCGAGTCCGTGCAGAGAGATTGGATGGGCCATGGCCAAGTTCTTCAGCAGCCCTATGAGTGGCTCCCCTCCACCAACGGACAACGGAGGCTGCAACGGATTCCCGTCAAGTCCACGAGCTTGTGCGGTGCATAGTAGATTGCTTACAAGACACAGCCGATCGTTTCGGTTTTACCCTTAGCTCCCTTCAGTCCCGACGTGCTCTTCGGCTTTGGCACCGCCCAAACCAGACTCACCCTCATCCGGTCCGGTGGGGATAGGAAGTAGTAGTACTAGACACGGGCACCTTGATGGAAAGGCTGCGACCCAGTCAACCAAAACCGCCTACAGGTAAACCTCCCACCCGCCGTAGCCCGCGGGAAAAGGGGGACAGGACTGGAAGAGTAGAAGACAGGCAGAGGAGGGGAACGGAGGTGCGCGCCGGGCATGACTCTTTAGCGTCTCCAATCCCATCGCTCTTTGCCCCCCTCGTTTGCATTATTAAGACAAACATACCGTTTGCCGTGCTGGCTGCAGTTGGAGCTACGCTGGCGGGTAGTTGGCTGTCGCTTTGAGCCTCGAGCACCCTCGCCCTCTGCCACTTCTGCCACTACTGCCAGACTTCCCCCGCTTTGTCGGCCGCTTCTTCTTCCTCTCATCTGTTCCCTAGAAATCAACTCCCCCTCCATCCCTTGTTCCGATTCTGCAGAACTGCTTCCCTACTCTCATCTCTCCCTCTGTTTCTGGCTCGAATTGACGAGTCGCTTCTAAAAGGTACGTCAAGATTTTTTTTTTTTTACCTTTTTTTTTTCTCGCGCATTTTTCCCACTACCAGTGAATCTTTTCGTTTCATAATTCGGTAGACTCACCTGAGTCTCCGTTGTGGAGGGGATCCTCTGCAGGGACTGCTCTCACAAAAACCACCCCCTCTGCCATCTTTCCTCTTCTCTCTTCCTCTCTTCACTCCTGTTTTTCTTCTCGCTACCTCTCATTTCCTTCTTCCTTACCCAAGTCCGACTTGACTACTTCAAAGGAGTCGCCGAAGCTTGTCACTAATCCTCACCACTCTGACTCCCTCGACCCGCGGGTGCTTACTGCCAAGATAGTTTCGATCACAATCTTTGTGAAATCCAAAATTCAAAATGTCCAAGCTCTTTGTCGGGTCTGTTGGTCCTTTCTCTCTAACTCCCATGCCCCATCATCAGACTAACCGTGATCAGAGGCCTTGCCTGGCACACTACTGATGAGACCCTCCGTCAGGGTTTCTCCGAGTTCGGTGCCATTGAAGAAGCTGTTTGTCCTCCACAATCCTCTGGGCCCATAAGAGTCTCCTCGTTCTCCCCATACTTACCATTTTCAGATTGTCGTCAAGGACCATGACACCAACCGCAGCCGCGGATTCGGCTTCGTCCGTTTCGCCAACCCTGAGGATGCCGACACCGCTGCGCAGGCCATGAACAACCAGGAGTAAGCATACAACCCGTACTCCACTTCCCAGCCATCAAGGGCGACACTAACTTGTGCAGATTCGACGGCCGCGTCATCCGTGTCGACAAGGCCTCGGAGCGCCAAGGCCCGCGCTCCGGTGGTGGTTTCCATGGACGCGGTGGCTACAACCGTGGTGGATACGGCGGCGGTGGTAAGTTGCTTGATTTCCAATGTCGAATAGTCTCGATGCTGACGATCGCAGGCTGGCGTAACAACCAGCAGCAGGAGGAGACTGGCCATGCCGAGTAGGCTGTTTAAGCATGCCCACTGCCATGGACCGGCCTTCTGCCGTTGCCTTTATTCTGATTTACTTCTTTCGTGCATGTCAGCTGCTGTAGTCCCTTCGGACATAAAGTTTGGGATAAACACGAGCGCATGCTCACCGGCTTTTTTTATGATGGAGACTTACGAAGACACGACCACTGCCTCTTTACTTTGACGTCTGTTCATTGCGATAATGACATCTCTTTTGACTTGATCCGCATCGTGTGGCTAAAATCATTGTGCTTTGTCGTTTACTCGGGTCATAGTTGACATGTATGTAATCCGACTTATGTTACACCTGGTTTGAGCCGAAGGGTGTGGTCCAGCGAAGCTCTAGTGTTCTATCGTGAATTTGGAATTATTCTAGGTCCAAGTCATGATCTATCTATCCATCCCTACGTAAACAGTAATCTATTCAGCCGGTGGGAATCCCCAATGCGCCTCCTGTTCCGATGGATGCAACGACTCTTCCAAGACCCGCTCGGCTTTTTCTTCCTCTCTCCGCACCTCGTCTTCGTTCTGAAGAGCCTTAACCCGCCGCACCAAATCGGTGATATGCATCTCAGCATTGCCAAGACCAAGTCCCTCAAGCGCCTTCTCCAACATGAAAAGATACTCTGCATTCTTTCCACTCTTGCCCTCGCTGCGACTGATCACCTCGGCCACAGCCTGCTGTTCCCGTTGGGCCGGTTCGCGCAGAAACTGGGAGTTGGTAGGCTGGCCAATATAGACCATGCAGGTGATGGGAGTAGTAGGAAATTCTGTGGCGTCAGATCCCTGAGATTTCAGGACTGGATGGAACGGCGTATAGTGATCAGTATAGCCGTTGATTTCGCGAATGTCGAGATAGTGGCGGACTTCATTGGCATGGCTGGCGGGGATGTGGTACGCTGCACCCCAGATAGTGGCGCTTGGGGATGTTTCATGGTGTGCTAGCTATTTCAAGTGGTGGTTTGTGAGACACCTTCTCGGATATGATAGAGTGCAGTACTTGGGGATCAATGCAGTGTGGATGAACAGGAAAGGGACACAGCGACAGTATATGGAGGATCGACAGAAACAACATACCGGATCATCAAGGGTCTCCCAGAATTCCCGCTCAATCACTGTTACTACCCGTCCAGGTTTCTCTGGGGTTCCGCGGTGGTCATTACTAGATAGATAGATCGTGCGTTAGCCTACTGCGCTGAAACACCATGCAATCCGGATCCACGCCAGGTACGTGACGATCAGTAGCTTAAAGGCACACTTCAGACTTACCTAGCCTATAGAGTTCCGGTCCTTCAGTCAATCTCGAATCAACCCACACTGATGGGTATCTCATCCCGCAGTATGAAACAGTCAGAGAATAAGCGATATGACATACCTGCCAGAAGCGTCGGACATAGCCATTGATGTAACCTGGAACTCGTTGATCTATCGCATTGCGCCGTTGGTTAGTTGCGCTGGATAGACAATTCAGGCACCCTCATTCCGGCCCGACGATCCTTTAGGGGGGACTTGAACGTACCGAAATGCGGCGGAGGCTTCCAAATCAAGCTCCTTTTAAAGGGGTCAGCCACATCGTCACACCAGGCCTGGGTTTATCGTCTCGCCAATCGCGTTAATCGATATGATAGGCTTACCCGTAGCCGAATACCCAGAGGTCGCCGTCGGGGAAGTTCTCGCGCCAGTTTTTCTCGGACGAGACTGCAGGTGTCCCCTCGCTGGATACCATATTTTATTTGGGAATCTGGAGTTTGGGTTAACAGTTGTCGATGTTGGTCAGTGTTCTGCGGGGTAATTTCGTACTATATCTACTCGGTGTGAAATATATAGCCGTAGCAACCCCGATAAAAGAGGCGATCAGAGCTCGATGACACCCCAGCTGTCTAAATCAATACGATTTAATGGTAGAGAACCCCAGTCACTGCGTTCAAGAGAGCGAATATCCCAGATTGCCGGTCTATGGAATCCATCGCGAACAAGCACGCCACGGCGGGCAAAGAAGGGGTTCTCCGCGTGTTTGCACTGTTTGCTGGCTTCTGGGATGTTGCCACTATCCTTGTTCCTCATTCGCTCTCGACTCTACTCGCACTTGATTTCCCGTCAATGTGGCGTCTGCTTGGAACATCCCGGCTGTTCTTACTTCTTTCTACCTACTTCCGTGCAGGTCGGAAAATAACTGACTTTACCTTGTCACCAAATTCACAGGTCTCAATCTCTGGCTGGGGACCTTGGGGCCTGCAGAACTTGCGCGTACTCGTATTGCCGACTCGAGTCATCTCGGAGCCAGCGGGGCGGCCCAGACGCCGGACCCAGCCTTAGCCCCAGCTAACCCAACTGGTAGCTAGATACTATCAAACATTGCGGATCGCTAATCAATTGACTTCAATTTTCGTCAGCTTTATGCAGGGTTGGTTGATCTGATCCTTCGAAGACATCCTTGTCCCTATAGATTAATGATCGCCTTTGAACTCGGCCGATAACTCCGTCGGGCTACATCAGTGACTGATCGTCTTCCTTCTCCTGAAGTTATATATCTTGCCTTGTGTGCCCGTTCAATACACCATGGCTAGTCTCCTTCGTCTCCTCCGAACACAATATAACCCCCCGGTCGACCCCAGTGGGGTTTCATTTGCAGGGAAGACGGTTCTCCTGACCGGGGCAACATCTGGACTGGGGTTTGAGGCCGCCATCAAGCTCCTCAATCTAGGGGTGGAGTCTCTTATCATAGGCAGCCGTAACTTACAGCGAGGCCAAGTGACCAAGACAGAGCTTGAAAAGCTCACAAACAGACCTGGCGTGATCCAAGTATGGCAGGTGGAATTAAACAGTTTCCAGAGCGTTAAGAGCTTCGTGAACCGCGTGAACAACGAACTGAAACAGCTGGATATCGCGTTGCTCAATGCAGGCTTATGGAATCGAGACTCTGGCGTCTCAGCCGAGGGATGGGAGGAAACACTGCAGGTTAACACGCTATCCACTTCTCTATTGGCACTTCTGCTCCTTCCAAAGCTCAGGAGTAGCTCATCCCCGTCGGATCCGGCTCATCTCACGGTCGTCTCCAGCCAACAGTTTGTTCGCGTCAAAGCGCAGAGTCTTCGGACAAAGCAGCCCTTATTGAAACATCTCAATAGCCCGCAGTTCTTCAAAGGCCCAAGGCAGTATGGTATCTCCAAGCTTCTCCTGGAATATGTTCTCAAGACGGTAGCTGGTCTTATCCGAAATGAAAATGGCACCCTGCCTGTCATCATCAACACTGTAAGCCCTGGGTTCTGCGTCTCGTCGTTGGGACGAAAGTACAGTAGATTCTACGAGCGATGGATGGCTTGGCTGGCCTATAAGCTCTTTGCTCGCACTGCGGAACAAGGCAGCCGGTCGTTGGTCAGTGCCACTTACCAAGGGGTGGAGTCGCATGGGAAATGTTGGCGGAGCGATGGATACTTGGAGTAAGTCTGCTTGCTGGTTTTCAATCCAATTGATATGCGCATTGGAGCAAGCCATAGGTGCTAACACTGAGCAGTGAATCTGTGGCATTGACGACCGGAGTGGAAGGAAGGCAATTCCAGGCGGCCGCATGGGCGGATATCATGGATGTGCTCGAGAGCCAGTCCAAGGGACTGAAGAAGTCAATCAGGGGTTGGTAGAAGCGCTTAAGGCCCACTACTCGAAGCGTTACGCCATCCTGCTGCTGCGGTCGAATGACTGGTCCGCGCGACCGTTGGAGACGTTCAGGCAATGTAAGACAAGAGTTCGATAGGCGTTTCCAGACGGACAGACCGTCGCCAGGCTCCACCGTGAATGGGCAAGGAACCTGTGGGCCAAGCATTCCCGGATTAAATTAAGTAGCATCAAGCATAGGGCTGAGGCCGGTCGGACACGACTTCGTCTGGATGCGAGCGTTCCTTTTGGAGCGGCCAGCGACTGTGTTGCATTATATCCGGGCCATTCACTTATTGATGACTAGCACTAGCAGAAACAGCCCGGTCGTACGTAGACATTCACAGCCTCATCCACCCAGGGGCGAGAGAACGAGATGCGGTGCCTGAGCAGGTCTCTTGGCGACTCCTGCTGAACCGCCGCCCCACGGCTCCGCTCTCCAAGGCCGCAAAAACAATCTGTTCATTAACGACTAGCAGACCATGGGTAGAACTTAATCAGGCCTTCCATCCTTCTCCGACCTCCTTTTGATCTCAGCCTATTTCTTCCCACTTCTCTCCCCTCACAGTCTGCTTTCTGCCCCCTTGACTCGGCGCCTGCCTGCCTTCTGCCCCTCTCCAGATTGCGCCCGGCATCGGTTACGTCAGCTTTGCGGTCATGGCATACAATCAGTCCTACAACCCCGATGCGCTGCCAGCGTAAGTCCCAACCCTCTGACAGCCCATCAGAAGCCATGCAGGGCGTCGCTAATGCACGACAACTTGATACAGACATGCAGAGCCGGAACAGGTACGGCAGTCCCAGCGTTTCTCGTCTGCCCGGTGGATTGCCCCGCGCCTCCTGACTTGGCCATGACAATAGGTAGCGCAAATGATCGGTGCCATGCAATCGAGCAGCGGACACCAACAGAAGCCTCGCCCACCTCCTCATTCTACTTCCAGCGGGATTCCCCCTCGAGTGCCGGTCTCTGGTGCTGGCAACCTGAGCCCACATCCCCAACGATACGGCGCGCCAGGCCAGCGCCCTCCCATGGAGGTCGCGCACGGTAAACAGTCACCTACAAACGTCCCTCCGGCGAGTCAACACCGTCCTCATCCACTACACCCGTCTCCTCCTCCCCAGAACTACGGCTTCGGGCCTCCTCCCACCCAGCCGGTACGCAATCGTCCGCCGGTGGCACGCCCGCCCAATTCGCCGCACCATGCCGCGATGGCAGTCCCGGACGACGATCCGCAACAGCTATTCCCCCTGTTCCGCGCTGCGAACACCTCGCACTCGGGGTCACTCACGGAGCTGGAGCTGGGTTCTGCTCTGGTGAACGGGGACTTTACCTCGTTCCATCCCAACACGGTTAAGATGATGATCCGCATGTTTGACCGGAACAACAGCGGGACGATCTCGTTTGACGAGTTTGTGGCGCTGTGGCGCTACCTGGCTGCATGGCGGGAGTTGTTCGACCGGTTTGACCAAGATCGCAGCGGGCGCATCAGCCTACATGAGTTTGAGAATGCACTGGTTGCCTTTGGGTACCGTTTGAGCCAGCCGTTTGTGATGGTGCTGTTTAGGACCTTCGAGAATAAAGGGCGGCAGATGAACGGTCATGCATACGGGCCAGCGAAGCAGGGCATGAGCTTTGATCTTTTCGTGCAGGCGTGCATTAGTCTGCGGCGGATGACGGATGTGTTTAAGCGATACGACGACGACCGCGATGGCTATATTACGGTGAGCTTTGAGGAATTCTTGACTGGTAAGTCACCCGTTGCTGAGTGGAGTGTGTTGAGGGTTGTTGGTTGCTAATGCGGGCCGCAGAAATCCTCCAACTCCAGGATTAGATGGGGATCTGATCGATTTGACAGACATTGCTGGAGGGGAAATGATCTTCCTGGGAGCCTCTATAACTATATTGTACATTATACCCTTCGTTCTCGTAGCATCTTTCGCAGGCCGGTGGTTCCATAGCGGGAAAGTATAACATGCGCTTTTATGATTTCGCCCGATGCTCGTAAGGTGCTGGACAAAGAAAGATGCGGTGTAGATTTACGACTGGGCGCTGATAGCCAGCGTCTGGGGTATGCGACAGGAATAGTAGTAGTGGTATACATCGATCAATCATCGGGTAGGAGATGTGATAGGTCGCGTTGTTTGTTGAATTCGGGTATGCGCATAGGCGGGCAACGTAGGCGAGGGATCGGCCTCTCAAAATGGTCCGAGCATAACGATGGTGTAACTCGAATATTTCCTTTCCCCCCAACCATTTGGCCTGCATCGGACGCACGCGTCATGCAGTCGGGTGCCTTATCCCATTTTTCAGCGAAGAAATGCCCTGCCCATGGATTGACCCCTGAAAATTTTCGATTAAATTGACTGGCGTGGAGCTGTTGACACCTTGACGGTGTTAGCTTATAGCTTGCTGCCCGGCCGCTATCCTTCGTCCAGGCCCTCCAGTTCCTCCTGTCCTGATCTCGTCTCGCCAATCCTGACTGCAACCGTCGGTTCTGTCCGCCACCCCATTTCTGTCTTGATTTACATCGCCTCTCCTCTCCAGTCTTTCTTTTCTCTTCCGGAAACTCATCCGGCTATAAGCATGATGGCTACTCGGGTTCCTCCTCGTGAGGAAGACCGTGTCCTTCAAAATGCAGACCAAGACAAGGACGTCCTGGTGAATGCGGAGAAGATGTCGCCCTCCGACGCCGGCGCCTCGTCTCGAGACGGTTCGGAGAAGCCCGACGCCATCGAGTCTCACTCCCAGACATCAGGAGAACAACCTTCGGCTGAGACGCCCGGGGATGGATCCTTGGAGAAAGCTGGCCCCGGCGCACCGCTGGATCGGGTGCCGACGCAGGCGCAAAAGCTGGGGAAGAAGAAGATCGTCGTTGTCATGACTGCGCTTTGTGTATGTTTTTTGTTGTCTCCTCGTCTCTTTGCGCCTTGTGGGGGCAACGCTAACTGCTTGGTCCTGCTATAGCTTGTTTTGTTCCTGGCAGCTCTGGATATGGTAATTATCCCTCCCTCATCGCATGCGGCATCTACATCTACTCACACTCGTGGCTTCTATAGACAATTGTCTCGACAGCCCTACCAACAATCGCAACGCATTTCCACGCCTCGGAGAGTGGTTACTCATGGATAGCTTCGTCGTACTTGTTGGCCAATGCGGCCTGTGTCCCCTTATGGGGTAAGATCAGTGATGTTTGGGGCCGGAAGCGCATCATTCTCATCGCCAACTTCCTGTTCCTCGTGGGCAGTCTGATTTGCGCACTTGCTGTCAACCTCCCCATGATCATCTCGGGCAGAGCCATTCAAGGCGCTGGTGGCGGTGGTATCATTGTGCTTGCTAACATCTGCGTCTCCGACCTCTTCAGTGTCAGGTCCGTCAGCCCTCCCTCCCCACCCTTGTGCACCCAAGACTAACCATCCCTCAGAGATCGTCCCATGTACTACGGTCTATTCGGCTCCACGTGGGCCATCGCAGGAGCTCTCGGCCCCATCGTCGGCGGTGCATTCACCACCGACGTGACCTGGCGCTGGTGTTTCTACCTCAACCGTAAGCCTAACCTCCCCTCTCCAGCCCTAACCCCACTGACCCAACCCAGTCCCCATCGGCGGCGTCTCCTTCGTCATCCTGGTCTTCTTCCTCAAGATCGAAACCGGCAAGGTCCCCTTCTGGGCGGGCATCCGCTCCATCGACTGGACCGGCAACATGCTCATGCTCGGCGGCACTCTGATGTTCCTCTTCGGCCTGGAATTCGGCGGCGTCAACTACCCCTGGGACTCCGCCACCGTGATCTGCCTAATCGTCTTCGGCGTCGTGACCTGGGCCCTCGCCTTCTTCAACGAATGGAAACTAGCCCGCTACCCCGTAATCCCAATCCGCCTCTTCAACAACACCCACAACATCCTCATGCTCCTGATCTGCTTCTGCCACAGCATGGTCTTCATCTCGGGCTCCTACTACCTCCCGCTCTACTTCCAAACAGTCCTCCTCGCCAGCCCCATCATGAGCGGCGTCTACGTCCTCCCAACCGTCCTCAGCCTCTCCATCTTCTCCGCCCTCACGGGGATCATCATCAAAAAGACCGGCCGATACCGCGAACTCATCATCGGCGGCCTGATCCTCATGACCCTGGGCTACGGCCTCCTCATCGACCTGAAATACTACGCCTCCTGGCCCCGCATCATCATCTACCAAATCATCGGCGGCATCGGCACCGGCCCCCTCTTCCAATCCCCTCTCGTCGCCCTCCAAGCCAACATCCACCCCTCCGACATGGCCGCCGGCACCGCCACCTTCGGCTTCCTCCGCCAAGTCTCCGCCGCCATCTCCATCGTCCTCGGCACCGTCATCTACCAAAACGTCTTCCACCAACAAATGCCCCGCGTCACCGCCGCCATCGGCGAATCCAAGGCAAACACTCTCGACAGCTCCTTCTCCGGCTCCGCAACCTCCCTCATCAAAGCCCTGCCCTCGGCAGAGAAAACCGTCGTCCTGAAAGCATACACTCTCGCCTTAAGCCGCATGTGGATCTTCTACTGCGCTATGGCGGGGGTAGGTCTCATCGTGAGTCTGTTTATTCGCCCCGTGGTGTTGAGTAAATCACATGCGATTGCCAAGACGGGGTTCGCGGAGCAGGAGAAAGCCAGACAGGCTGTTTTGGAGGATCAGAAGAGGAAAAGGCAGGAAGAAGAGGCAGAGGGAGGAAGAGGTATCACTAGTAGTAAAGAGGAGGTATGATTGATTTGAGGAGGTTCATCATACATATGTCTACTATATATCAATCATATCTATCCCTCTCCTTCCCTCCTTCCTTCTCTCCACACAAACAAACACACACTCAAAGTCGAAGTCACACCTACATCGAGAGAAAAAGGCAAGAACAGCAAGAGAAAGAGAGAGGTGGGTGGGGGGTGCGGAGAGAGAGAGTCAACCCCCCCCCTCCTGGCCCAGAAGGCGAGAGAGAGAGAGAGAAAGAGAGAGGGAGAGTCATACAAAAAGTACTTCAATCATATTACCATTACCATTACCATTATTTATTAATCAATCAATCAATCAATCAATCAATCAAACATACATAATTCTTGGCTATACCTGCTTACGTACTATGCACCCTGCATCTACAAGAATAGTAATATTAGAGTTAATGTAGCCTCCAACGCGTCATGAGTCATGACCTCATCTTAATTAAATAAAGTTAAACTTTTAGAATTTATACTATGTACTATACTTAGGTAGAGGGCGGGAAGAAAAACGGACGTGCCGTGAAACTATCAAATTAAATTCTCCTAGTCGCACATCTTTATATACAATTTTTCCAAATAAACAAAAATAATAAGAAAAGAAAAGAAAAGGCCACCCTTGACTAGAACTAGAAAGGGGACACTAGCAAATTAAGTGCCCCGTGTCCAGTGCTTAACTTAAAGCAAGATAATGATGATAAAAAAATAGGAAAAGAGAGGAATGAATGAAATATATCGCACCATTCTCATGTATTTCGAGACCGAGAGAAATAGATCGATAGATAGGATGAGAGGTCAATAGCCAAAAACGACGAGATGGCAAAAAGGAAGGGGTATAAAGTTGAAAAGGAAAACCCTTATCACAAACAAGGAAGGACTAGGAACTTGTTCAGAACCAGAGGAAAAAGAGGTTCCCAGGGAAACAAACGAGCCTCATTCGAACTTTCCCATCCCAATTAGAGTAAACCACAGGTAGCTTTCGCCAACGCCAGAAGATGCCATATGTGAAACACGGGAGAAGACGATTCCCCCAAGGAACAAAACACCACAATCATCAGTCTAGTAGTAGGAACAACGGATTGGATTACGTCTTTGGTTTCTTCATGATCCCTTCGGCATTGGGCCCGCTGTCGGGGCTTTTACGCTTTTTCTCTTGCTCATCTTCACGTCCAAACCCCGGCCCATTCTGCAGCGCAGGTGTGGGAAACGTCAGCGGGCTGGGGAGCATGTTGCTGTCCGGCCCGGACCGCCCAAAACCCCATTCCGGGAAGAAGCTGGACGGTGACGGGAGGAGTGCATCAGAAACGAACCGACTGGGAAGAGCTGAGATGGGCGTATCTATATTGCTGTTATTGTTATACGAATTATTGCTCTGCGGCGCGGCTCCGGGAGGCGGTGGCCGTGCAAAGGGATTCGGTGGCCCTTGAGCCCCCGCGCTCAGGATTGCACCGGCAGATGGCGAGGGTGGCGGCAATACCACGCTTGAATGACCCGTATCCGGATTTGCTTTGGCGGGTGTGAGCGTCTTGTTCCCCGCCGAGTCGCGCGATGACGAGTCGGCCGTTGCACTGCCCCGGTCGGAGTTCTCACTCGGGATCTGCACCTTCAGCTGCGGTCGCTTAGGCGGCAATTGACCACTGTTCGTCCGTGCGGGGGGCTTGAGGTCAGCTACCGGTGGCGGACGTGGGGCTTCCGTGGCGGCTCGGGGGAGAGGAGGGGGCTTTGCGGCTAGCCCGCCGGGCTTCATTTCGTGCGATTCGAGTGGTGCCTCAACCTTCGCTAGCGCATTCTCGCCCGCCTCTGTCGGTGGTCCGACGCCAAAATGACGAGCCAACACAGAGCCCCGGTCATCAATAGGTGTGAAGATACTGCGTGATTTGGAGGAGATAGAACGCTGGTGCGGAGGTGACGGAGTCCCTTCCGCCTTCATTGGGCCTGGTATTGCCTCTGCCGGAGCAGTCCCTTCAGGAAGCGACACCGTCCGAGGTGGCGGCGGATGCTGCTCTGTTGCAAATGCCGGAGGCATGGAATTTCGTCCTTGCTCCGGCAGGAACGCCTGCGCGACCTGCGGGACGGTGACATGTGGAGGCTGCGTCATGGCCATCGGAGGCGGCTGCTGTGCAAGTGGATGAGGGGGGTGTTGTGGGATGTGCTGCGGAGGAGGCTGGTGGTGCGGCGGCATGGCTTGAGGTGTCATTGCGTGCGGTGGCATCGGCTGTGGGGGCATAGACTGCGGAGGCATAGGTTGATGCTGAGGAGGCGGAGGCGGAGGGTGAGGGTGAGAGTGAGGATGAGGGTGATGCGGTCCTGGGGGAACATAATGCGCGAACTGAGGTGGACGAGGAGGCTGAGCCATTGTGTGAGCAGGACTGGGATTATAGACGGGAGGATTATGAATGTATGTAAAACCATTCTGCGGAGGAGGCGGAGGCGGCGGGGGTGTGGCATGATGATGCTGCTGAGGCCCCATGTTGGAGCTCACTCGACGAAGATGATTCCGGGACGAAGGTCTAGAAACTCCTTGTGGTTGCGGGGTGCCGTGGCGCGGATCGAATGGCATTCCATTTCCGATCGGTGGGGATGCAGACGGGGCATGCGTGACATGCTGGAAGCCGGGATGACTTGGTAGGTGGGCGGGAATCATTGCAGCATTTGAAGGTGTTGGATGCACATCTTCAGGGGCAGGGGTCGTCTCATCCTCATCGTCATCATCGTCGCGTTTACCGTTGAAGTCCTCAGGACCTTTGTGCTCGTGTGGAGGGCCGAACTATAAGATGTAGAAAACAAGGCATGATGTCAGATCAACGAACAGCCATCAGGATCTGCAGGCAGGTAGGTAACGGACGTATTGATATCGAGCGAGCGTCTCTCTCATATCACATGATGAAAACTCGTACAGCTTCTTGTTGTGACCAAATATAATGACAGCGACATCTACCGAACACAGGACCGCAAGCTCATGTGCCTTCTTGAAAAGACCGCCCTTCCGCTTCAGAAAGGTCCTAGAAGCGCACCAGAGCGTTAGCTTGACGAGCTAGGGCTAATGGAGATGAGGAGATCCACCGGAGGGAGAACATACACTGAGCGGTTGCGATCATCCTTGATCGCCTTGATCTCGATCTTTCTCCGACCCATGAGGGATAACGGATGAACGAATCCCACAGGAAAGAGCGTCGATGAAACACTGATGGACGAGGTCAACAGGTGTCCACGGTGGAGTGGTTCGTCCGCATCAAATGGCGGCGCGAGCTGAAACCCAAGGAAGCGCCGCCCGACGAAAGAATTTCCGGAACGCGATTAGGGAAAATGAAGGATGGCAGGAATCTCCAGGCTGTGGGAAGAATTTATATTTAGTATTTTCTTAAAAACCCCCACATAAGAGTACTATCGTCCCCCATACGGAGAGAAGGAAGAAGTCGGCGTGAAGATAGAAAGAGAATGACCGGGGGGGTGGAGAGGAGCAAAGGAGGGAGGGGTGAGATTGGAAGCGACGGTATTTTGGAGGAGGGTTGAGAGAAGGGCGCGCGGCGTGATCCGTCGGGAGAAACGACAAAGGGGGGGGGAAGGCGGCAGATGGGCAGGGCAGGAGGAGAGACAAAGGAAGAGAAAGACGTAGCCTCAGGAAACCCACCTTGCAACGAGAGACGAGAGATAGGCGACGTGATGGAGCAAAAGCTATTAGTTTCGGGGATGGGATGGATAGGTTTGGATGGATGGGAAGGATGATGGATGGCTGGAGCGGCGACACGCGGGTGATGCAGAAGATTATTCTAAAGATAGACCGACGGTGGGAAGAGCTGCCGCCCGTTCGAGGTTTGGCCCATTGCCCGGCGGCTACCAATTTGCCAACGGCGGCTGTTAACTACCGCCCCCCCTATTAATAGATTCTCCCATTGGCCGGTACTCCTACCAGTCTGGCTAGATTTTTTTGTTATATCTAACTACTTACTACTAGGAATTATTACTGTAGTGCTTGTCCTCTTTCAATCCTCTCAGGAGATATATAATATGGTGGTCTATTCATCCGGTATCAAGTATTTTCCTTTGGGTTTCCCTCCAACCTCCTCCATAAAATCATCACATCTCCTCATCACCCACTCCCCTCCTTCCCCCCTCTCAAGATCGACCTACTAGCATTACATTCCCCAAGCTGTCATCGAAGAGTGGATCAACCATTCCAGATGGGGTTACATTGCAGTCACCGGCATGTCGCTGGCCACCAAACAAAGCTGCGCTGTTGGTGTTCTAACTCTTACCGCCTGCCGGCACAGTCACGTCGAAGTCAGAAAGAACCGGTGCCGGTCGGCGTATCGCCCAATTCCCCCATCACCGCCAACCTCAGGTATCGACGGGCCCGTAACCGGGTTAGTTCAACTGGGCGAGACGCCTAGCCGCATCAAGCCAAGTGACTCAATGATCGGTCACTTGCCTGATTGGGCAGATTCCTACAGGGTCATTCAAACAGGCCAAACTCCTCCTCCACCGGGGGCTCTCATTGGCCCGAGCTCTTCGACCCGTCACAGGGATCAACTGGCAGATTGGATCTGTTCTACGCCCTGGGCTGACTAGATTGCTTCAACGCACCAGCAGGAAGTAGGCTAGGTGCTTCGTACATGACACTAACACTACCCTAATCAACTTATCACACACGGCGCGTCGCATGGGGAGGCGGTATGTCTTCCATGGAGGAAATTATTGCTGCTGTACTACCGTGTCAAGTCAAATGATCCGGACTGGGCACCCATTTGTATACCCTATGACGAGGAGAATAATGAATGTTCAGCAGGTGAAACAGCATTGGGTCTTTCACTTTCCCCCGTCGATGGAGAGTAATATGACCGAGATGTTTGGGCTGTGTTGGATGTAGATAGAGGAGGGGCGGTTCCTACTGGTATCTGCCGGTACTTACCAGGTCGTAGTGCTGATCATACTATCAGTAACTATCAGCTCGACTGCGGACAACACCGCCCATTCTTGTTGGTGGGAACCACGTTTTTTCAATCGTGACCTCATGAATCGATAGCAGATCCAGGAAGAGAGGAACCCTATCGAATTCGGCTTCTGCGTTTGATCCAATCGAGTCGGCCACCGACTGGATCGCGGATAGAGAACCATGGCACCGGATCGCTGTGTTTTGCGGGCGTATGAATCTTTCACCCCCTGAAACGGAAACCACAGTAGATCCTCATCATCGCCATCCTTTTTCATCTCTAACTGGCAGCTTCATCGGTTTTCCTTCCTCTCCCCTTTATTTCCCTGCAGTCTTTGTTTCTGACCTTTGTTTGCTGTCGCCTCTTCCACCACGTTGCCGCCCGGGATTAACTGCAGCGATACGCTCGTTGGCCAAGTCGATTGCTTTTCTACCTGAATTCCTTGACGGGACTGCCTGCTGCACGCTAGACGTGCTGCCCCATTCTGGGCTGCAGACGGTCCTCTCTGGGACACTTGGATGGTCCTTGCTGCCTCTGCGTTCATCGGGCCATTTTTTATCAATTTTTATCTTTTGCTCTCTCTTGCCAATAGGGTTTAATTTGATTGAGGTATCCGATTCACCATCCAACTTGGGTTTCAGTGTTGAGTCCGACTCTGGGTCTCGATTGTTTCCTTTTTCCTTAATACGGGTCTACCACCCTTGCGTCCTGAACCCGGTGCAAGTGTTGGAGATTGTGAAGTGTTGGACTCCCTCCTCCCCCCCAGAGACTCGCTCGCACCGATCTACCGATCTCATTGGATCCTCAATTTCAACTCGGCCAGACGCACCCTCGTTACTCCGCCTTTGGGCATCGCCTCAGTCACTTTTACAACCTCCATTCGATCGCATCTTCCCCCCAAGAAGAACCCTGGCGCGCGCATGGTGCAAAATGCCCTTCTTCACCCGTGTCTTTCGAAGTAAAGACACCAATGTGTCCAAGAAGGCGACCAAATCCCCAGAAGTAGAAAATAAGGGGCCCGCAAAGCCCACATGGACCGACGCGTGGCAGCGAACTGAAGTCGCTCCGGAGGAGGTTCAGCAACTCCTGAGAGGGTGCACCCAAGAACTGAAAGCACGAGGTATGTTTCTATCTTTGACTCTGATCCACCGCCCCTCTCGTGTACAAGTCAGGTCAAGCTTTGCGCATTCCTCAGATTGCTGATCCTTGCCTCGTTGCCCCTTTGACAGCTCTCCAAACGCCTTTCCTACTCCTACCTTTCCGTCCAAGCACCGACGCCAGCGCTGCACGTACCTTCATTCGCAACTATTTCACTCAGTCGCTGGAAAGAGGTTCGCCTCTCAGTGGAGATGCATTGGCACAAGAATTACGGCTATCGGACCCAATGGTGAGTCAACATCACTACTTTCACCAACTCTGGGAGGCCCTCTTCTCACTTGTCTTTCAGGTCCTGTGCAGTGTGCTGAAATGGTGCTGGAGCAGACTCCCTGGTGGAGTCGTAACCTGGGAAGCATATGAGCTGTTCAAGGTTGGCGAGCAGGGTATTGTCACGAGCCATGTCTGGTAGGAAACGAGTTGCGCTGATGGTTCTTAGATTCTCAATTTGCCCGCGACGCATTCTCAACATTCATTCCTATCAGTGTCGACTCTGATGCCCGGTCGAAGATCATCTTCGATTTCTTTGACCTCCTAGCTGCCGTCGCGGCGCATGGCAAATCGAACGGCCTCGGCGGGCGGAAGCTTTCTCGGTATGCCGGATGGTGGGCGTTTGACCATACGGACACGGGCAACGGCTTCGAGGCCGCATACAAGAACTGGGCAAGGTATGGCGCTGAGTCGGCTTGGCTTGCTCCTATTCCAGGGCCACATTATAGCTGACATCCTGCAGTGCCGCCGATGCGACTAGTCATCTGTTCTTCGCATACCTGCGATCCCTGTCACCCGACTTGCGCGGTATGAACACTATCTCAACACTCCCCATCGCCCTCCAGACTCTAGTCCAGGCAACAGAATACCCACCAGAGACGCCTACCCTGCTTCAGGTCTCTACCACCAAAGTCGTGATGATCGTCGACACCGTCTCTCCGACTCCATTTGCTTTGCTGCGGCGTGCAAAGAACTTCGAATATAGAGACAGTGACCGTCATCTGCAGGAGTTTGCCAGCTTTGAGGAGCCCACCAAAGCGCTGACTGACGAGTGTCTCCGTGTGCTGAAATGTATCTCCTCCATCAATCAGCAAGCTGCACCAGAGCCGGGAACATCGACCCGGGAAGCCTCATGGTCAAGATTTGAGGACTTTGGATTTGGCGGCGCTATTGAGTCCGACCTCGATGACGATTCCAATGCAGCCCGTCTCGCAAGGAACGAATTTGGCGGTGGCTTGCGATCTGCTCCTCAATCCGGCGCAGGTGACCTTGGCCGGCCTACGACGCCATCATGGGCAGACTTCATGTCCTCCGGCTTCAGCGACGAGAACGTTCTGAAGGGCTCGGTACCCCCCTTGCTTCTCCCACCAGACAAGGTTCTTCCTCCTATTGCCACTGTCCGGGGTCAAAGCTCGCAGTCCCACAAGCGCAGTTTGAACGACGAACCGTCCGCGGGACCCGGTGAGCTCGCAAGCATCACGACTCTCGACCTCGATGACTCTTTCTGGTGGGTTTGGATCAGTAGTTTGGCCGGCGAGGAACCAACGTCTCGGAAGGCCGTGTTTGGCCGGTGCGCGTTGGTCGAGACCATAATAAAAGATACCAAGTGGCTAGTACTGGAAGAGCAAGTGAAGGGCGCGGCACCAGAGCCGGAACCGGGCGCATACATCGTGGAAAAGAAGCGCTTCTTTGGGTTCTCGACTCGTAAACGGGGTGTTGGGCGTCGCAAGTCCTCCGCTAAGAAAGTAAGTGCAGTGGAAGACTCATACAAGCGGCCAGACAATCAAGCACCACAGAGCAAGACCAGCATCGCCCCTGATCAGCATGCCCGCATCCAGGCGGCTGCTGCGGCACTTCAGAAGCGGCATCGGGAGGAACAGGAGGCCGCCAATGGCTCCAAGAACGTCCCGGAAGATGTCAGAAATAACACCAAGACGAATTCTGTCATGACGCTGCAACCGGCGATCCTGAATGAAGCGTCCCAGGCTATGAAATGGGCCACCAACTATGATAAGAACACTTACAGAAGCGCCTATCTGAGTAACAGCCGTGCAGGAACAGGTGCTGCAGCCGAAGAGGCGAAAGAGGCGATCGACCAGCCCAGCACCCCAACCTCTCCAACGGCGAGCACCAGTGCCCGACAGGCACCGCCACCTTTACCAAAGGACACCCCCACAGGCTCCCCGAAACCCGCAGTTCCCAGCAAGAACAGCCCTGCTCACAGTAGGAATGGTAGCGCGAGCCTTGCGGCGGACTTGTCGACCACTGAATCGCTCCCCAAACAGTCTATGGACTCGGAGGAGTCTGGGCGGAAGATCAAGAAAAAGCCCGGCAACGCCGGTTTCAAGAGCATGTTCGGAACCGTCAAGAAGAAGAACGACTCCGAGGCGAAGCCACCAATGAAACCCACTGGTGCTGGCTCGGCTGTTGCGGCTGCTCGCGCTGCCCTAGAGGACAAGGCAAGAGCTGCCCAGGAACAGTCCATTCGCCCCGGAACCAATGGAAAGTCCACCCTGAAGAAAAAGCCTGTGCCTGTGTATGTGCCTGTTGAGGCTGCCAAGCCTGTCGAGTCTACCAAGCCTATGGAGACTGTTCAGCCCGCTGAGGCTAAGCCGGCTGAGATTAAGCCTGCTGTGACTATCAACCCTTCTGAACCTACTGCGGAGGAAAAGGAATCTGAGTCCGCTGAGCCCAAAGCTCCTTCGGAAGCGACCAAGCTCACTGTTACCCAAAGCGATGAGCCTCAAATCCGCCGTCAGGCCGAGTACGACGCTCTTTCACGCATAGATACCAGAGAACGAGCAGCAGCTGACCAGGAATTCTCAAGATTTGACCAAGGACCTCTGGTGGAGCAGCCGGCTTTCGTCCCGGAGGACTCTCCTGTTTCCGAGAGGTTCCCTGAAAAACCTGCATCGTTCCATTCTGCAAATGATCAGGTTCCCGTCGAGGCAGAGGAAGAGCCCACCCTTTCCGTACAGCCGGCTAGCACATCCTATGACCGCTGGGCCCAGATCCGCCAGAACGCTGCGGCGAGGGCAGCTCAGCTGGAGGCACGTGCTGATCAGTCCGATGATGACAACACCAGTGAAGAAGAGAGTAAGTGAAACTAACTATTTTATCTTTTCGTCGTAGCTCTAACGTGACTCCTCTTCCTTCAGGCTTCGAATCTCGTGCTGCTCGTATCAAGGCCAGAGTGGCTGAACTGACCGGCAACATGCAAGCTGCAAGCCAGTCTTGAGGCTGACTTCCAGCCCCATTCCTAATTACCTTACTTACTTTCGCCACTGTCGTTCTTGATCCTTTCAGCTGACTGTCGTTATCACCCATATACCACTGTGTCTGACTTCGAATGCCTTATACGCCGTTTAATGTATTTTCGACTACTCCTTCGCGTCCAGGTCTATTCCTTCCCGGTTGGACCCATGGGCAGGTCTGAAAAATCGCAGCCAACGCATGACAGACAACGCCGTGATGCCGTTCCACGCATGATTGATATCTAATCTCCGTTTCTGTGTGTGTATTCTCCTCTATGGGGAGAGTAGCACACTGTCTTCTTAATCAGCTTGTTCGTTGCTTGTTGCTTGCTTGTTATATTCCCCTCCTTGTTTTCTGCTTTTTGATTAAATTTCGTTGAGCTCGTTGGACTTGTTTCTGCAATATATCCAATATACCTCAGCCGTCTCTCGCTATGTATTCAGCCTATATTACTATTAGTACTTAGTGAGTTTGATCTTAGAGTCCCGTCTATAGCCAGTCAGAGTCCTCCTAACCGAATATTCTATCATAGCAAGGAAATACCAAACATTGTACATTCCAAGAAAAGGGTGAGAATAAGAGAATGGCAAAGGAAAATTGAAACTATAAGAAAAGGTATCTATTACATCGCCATGTATCATCATCCAACCGAAGCAAGCCCATCCCAACCCATTAGAAAAGTATTTAGTATCCAACCCCGTCATACAAATATCCGTTCCAGCATGTGAAATGAAATCTCGTCAAACCAACCATCTAATCAAACAATCCGGTCATGGTACTGTGGGGGAGTGTATACTTACCATCTACCTACCTACCTACTAGTCACCGAATGGGTCCATAACCCGGGGGTGAACAGGTAAGAGCTGTAGAGAGTCACTCAAATCCACAACCGCTTGTATCAGGGTATCGAAGTATACAAAAAGATCAACAGAAAAGAAGAAAAATCGTCGGGGTCGTCCTGTCATATATATAGGACGATGTCCCACACAAGAAGCGTATAATGTGGAATAGAATGAGGCGGGATCATTCTCTTTCAGTGAAAGGTAGAGAGGAACACTTAAGATGTGTATCGCATGCGACGCGTAGCCTCAACGGCGACGATGGCACTCAATGCCCCGATAAAAAGGCAAATGGAGATGGCGTTCGGAGTTGTCTTGTCTAGATTCATCCATTGGGATTCCTGGGCCGTGTCGTCGCGTTTGGTGCTCCCGGGCTCGAGGACACTGAAGACGATCCAGCTGATGAAGGTACCAATGAATTGAGGGAGGGTTGTGTAGACGTTCAGGACGCCGAGGTAGATGCCTGCCAGTTCGCCTGTTGATGGGGTGTTGGAGACGCCGTCCTCAATGTCGCTGTCACTGTCTGGGTCGTGGTGGTTGAGACGAAGGACGTCCATTTCTGTGTCGATGGTTCTGTCACTGTAAGGGCTACTGGAGGTGATCATTGTCACGCCGGAGGAGCGGGAGGGACCCATGGCGAGTTTGTTGATTTCTACGCCCATGAAGGCGAAGGGAGCCCAGCAGGTGACAGCCCAGGGGATGCCGCAGAGGGCTACGAGGAAGGTTGCGAATGCTCGGGAGTGGGCGAGAGGGGCGAAGATCATGGTCGCGGCGAACATAATGTGCGAAATCAGCCAGGTTGTTTGAAGATCGGGGCGAATGGCCATGACTTTCTTCAGCAGTGAGGCTATTCCCGGGGGAGGGCGCGGCGTGAATCTGGGCCGCTTGCTGTCTGGAGGTTGAACGCAGAATGGCAAGAGAACGGCGCCGATAAAGGTGATGGAGGAGAAGACGACTAGCGACAAACTACCCACTCGACCGACTTCGCCGAGCATGTCGGTTGGATGTGTTGCGTCTTTGGGGACCTCGTATCGGAAGTAGGTTTCACCAACCCAGGTCGTGCTGTAGAAGAGGAAGGGGAACCAACCTGTGAGGGATAAGGTCAGTATTGTAACTTCCTCGGGTGAGAAGATATGGCACTGTACCAATCCAAGCCCAGAATTGCGCCCAACAGATGGCCTGAATGCGCGGCGGCAGGTCCATGGTGGTCTTGATAAGTTGAGAAATCACCTCTAGCGCTCCAGCCTGGCTATCGGAGTCTCTATTATCTGTCTCAGTAACTGCCCCAATGGGTGATGCTTCTTTTGCACGTGTTGACTTACCTCGCAGTGATCAAGACCCTTTCCTTGACCGCGAAAGAAGTGACAAAAACCGCACCGAGCAAGGACAATGCAGCAATGACCGTCATCTGTTTGAACTGCGTGTCGCCGATGATGGAGCCAAATACACTAACCGTGTCAATGGAGCCGATGACGTATCCGATGAGCTGGCCAATTGCAGTCATCCTCGTCGCTATATGCATTTAGCTGCCATTCTCTCTAGCAAATCGAAGGATCTTACCCCATGCTGATCCGGTCTGCTGCAGGGGAATAGGCAAAGTATCGACAATCAAGCTGCGACAGCACGCTTGGACTATGGCCAAATTAGATCAAGTAAACATATTGTGGTTCTGGAGACGTACCGACGTTAATGGCAAAGTCGACGGCGTAAATGCTCAGCACTGCAAGAGCAATTGTGACATTCTTGGCCTGGTGCAGTACATTATCCCACGGTAAGCTAGTGTTCGAGGGGAGCAGTATAAGGGCAATTGGAAGGATAGCAAATACCTTTTCCGTATCCTTGACAAACATGTTGACGATCTCAGTTGTCCAGCCGAGAACAAGCAGGCACATTGCGACCACGAACGAGCCGATTATCATGAAAGGCCTGCGCCGTCCCCATTTGGATCGAGACCGGTCAGCAATAACACCAATGAGGGGCTGGATGATCAAGCCGGAGAGAGGACCAGCAATCCAGACAAGCGATGTTTTAGATTTGGTGAGGCCCAGTTGGAGCAGGTATGGGGTGCAATCTGAGGGACAGTAAGAAACGATCGCGATAAAGACAAGGGCCAGGACCACATACAAGTCATCTCAATGCCCCAGGTGAACCTATCCGCGACAAGAAGCAAGTCAGCCCGTTGATGCGCATATTAAATGTGGTAGCTTCTCGACGAAAGCCAAAGTCAGGGGTGGATAAGAGCCGAGTAGGAAGAGATAGAAGATCCAGGAAAATCAAGGCACGGGGTATACATACTGTAGCCCCAATAAACTAAATGTCAGCAGCACCATGCGCACCCACTCCCTTCGTCCCTTGATGGCGGGAGTGCCCACCCATCTTGCAGCTTGTGGCATTCTCCGAGTTTGAATGTTCGAATGCCTGCATGCACTTGACGCTTCTCACGATTCTTGTATGCTTTCCATGAACCGCGCCGGTTCGGCTCAACTTGCGCATGCGATCAGACCAATCCACGCGCAATAGTAGCTAATCGATCCTCGGTTGGCGTAGTTCGACCCTTAGACGGTACGGGAGCTAGTTCCAGAGTTCCGAAGCAAAAGGAACAGGCAAACGGACGCCGGGTCGAAGTCAGTTGTCGCACGGTTCGTTGGGGATAAAAATAGCCGCAAGGATGCAATAGGGTCCACGATCCGCAGATGGCCCGATATCGTGGCAGACAGGCGTTGCTAGGGCGTGCGCGTATTCTGATGTCTGGAGAGGATAGCCGTGAACTTCCAACGCGAAGCAGACAGGAGTTGAAGCCAGAGGGAAGAGGGGATGGGAAGAAAGAGGAGGGATGGGCAGAAGCGGGCGACAGGCGACAGGCGAGGCCCGGCAGAGCCCACCAAAAAGCGTACGCATGCGGGCCCCCGGCCCGTCAGGCACCTCGTCTGATCGGCTCCAGCCACGCTCCAGACCCACCACCGCGACGGTACTTGTTGTGTTTATAAATAGTGGACGGGCAAGGGTAAATTCTCGCACTACGGAGTAATCTGTCGGAAACCGGGGAAGTAATACATAGTATGCCAATTTCCCCGATCGAACAGATGCTGCATCGTACTCCCTAATCAAAAATAAAATCATCATCTACCGCCACGCCACTACTTCCAGCCTCCAGTGAAGTCCAGCGGCCCCAACCGACCTCCCGTGATTCGTAACGTTCTCTGAATTCGTTTCTAAAGGGGTTGCGAATAGATAACTCCAGTCATTGCCCGGCCGACCGATAAATAGTACCGAGTGCTTCGTTTCTGTCATATCATCCCAGATCCCCGTCATACCATGATTCTCCAACGAAAATCAGTCGCATTAACATTTTTTTCGCCGTGGCGGCGTTTTTCTTCCTTTCCCGTCATAACCTTCCGACTATGCTCATTTACAGCCGGTTGGGGGTGGAAGTCAGAGGCCACTGGTAGCCAGCAGCGTCGCTGAACTTGTAGCCGAAGGACGCGGTGAAGTCATCCAGGACAGCGGGTCCGCGAGAGCCTGCACACGCCGTTAGTCAACACATTAGCGATCTAAAGAGCTTCAGGTCATGCACGTACCATAGGGGTATTCCATGGGGATGATCTCCTTGTTGTCATCCAAATAGTGCAGGAGAGGGGTGAAGATCCTCCAGCTGGCGTCCAGTTCATCGTCACGGACGAAGTTGGAGTGGTCGCCCTTCAGAGCATCCAGGATCAGGGACTCATAGGCCTCGGGGATCTTGAGGTCGGAGAAGCGGCGGCGGTAGGTGAGGTCGAGCTCAGTCACAACCGTCTGCATGGACAGACCGGGCAACTTGGAGTTCATCTTAATGTACACGGATTCGTTGGGCTGGACACGGATGACAAGCTCGTTGCGAGGGATGTCCTTGAAGATTCCAGAAGTGACGTCACGGAACTGGATACGGATCTCGGTCTTCTGCTCGTTCAAGGCTGCGAAGATATGAGTATGCTAGCCAGCCCCGGGATCGCGCAGAAAGAGTTGCATACCTTTACCTGCCTTCAAGATGAAGGGAACACCATCCCACCTTTCATTCTTAATGTAGGCGGCCATGGCGCAGAAGGTGGGGCAGCGGGAATCCTGGGGCACGGTCTCGTCCTCCTTGTAGGCGGGCTTGCTGCCATCCAGAGACTTTCCGTACTGGCCAATGATGACGTTCTTGGGCTCAATGGCATCCATCGCGCGCAGGACACGAACCTAACAGCGCGTTAGCAAAGAGAACCTAACAACAGCCGGGCGAATACCCTACCTTCTCGTCACGAATGTCCTCAGCAGAGAATGAAATGGGGCGCTCCATAGCGAGCAGCGTCAACACCTGCAGAAGGTCTAGAGGAAACTTCAATCAGATTTATCCCGACAAGATTGAGCGCGGTATTATCAACGTACGGTTCTGCATGACATCACGGATGATGCCGAACTCATCGAAGTAACCACCACGTCCCTCAGTACCGAAGGGCTCCTTGAATGTGATCTAGAAATCCCAACTTAGCGACTAGCCAAAGCTACAGGAAGACCGTATCATCCGTACCTGAACGTTATCGATATGGTGGCGGTTCCAGGTTGCATTGAAGAATTCGTTTCCGAAGCGCATGATGAGGATGTTCTTGACCATCTCCTTACCCAGGTAGTGGTCGATACGGAAGATCTCCTCTTCCTTCCAGTTGGGCTCGAGGGCCTTCTGGAGATCGCGCGAGCTCTGAAGGTCCTTACCGAAAGGCTTCTCTACCTGCGAAATAGAAAAATCAAATGTGTGAGGATGATGCTCAATGCAAAGCGACACAAGCCCAGGAATGACTCACGATAATACGAGCAATGCCGTTCTTGGGGTAGCAGTTGCGCTTCAGCTGGTCGGAAACGGTGGTGAAAACACTGGGGGGGAGGGCCATGTAGTAGATTCTGTTCTGCTCCTTCTGGCCCTTCTCGATCTCCTCGAGGTGCTTGTTGAGGTTGATGAAAGAGTCATCCTTGTCATATTGACCAGAGATGTACGTGCAGAACTGGCAGAAGCTGTCCAGCTGCTCTTCGATTTCCTTGGTGGGGGTCTTGATGTATGAGCGCACACGCCTCAGGTACTCCTCGTGGTCCATGTTTGTCCGGGCATATCCGACAATCCTAATACCCTTGGGGAGGAACTTGTTGCGATACTAAAGCGCTATCAGTAACCATAATGGATAGTAAGACTGCGATTGAATATCAGTAAAGACATACAAGGCCGAAAAGTGCCGGGAACTGTAAGAACGTGTTAGCAACCTATTATTTGAGCGGATCTGGAGGGGGTCACTGACAGTCTTCTTCTTTGCGAGATCACCAGACGCACCCAACACTATGATGACGGTGTCATCTTTGAGTTCCATGGTGCTACGCGAAACATCCATGTTAGTTTGATTATAACTTGGCAGGTGTATATGAAGATCGATCGAAGGAGGCGCCCGCAGTCAATAACAGCAGGGAGGGGCAGTCGATGATTGACGGTGAGTCACAAGGATATTCCTCTGTTCAACACCGAAGAAGGAGACCCAGTGATGAATTGGAGAAGAAAGGAAACCGAGCAGCCTGCCAGTGTCTGGTGGGCGACCGACAGGGAATGGAGTGGGTGAATCTTCACGTCCGGGCGGCGGGCAGGAGGGACGGGGGAGGGGTGTGATGTCAGAGAGGGAGGCCGCAAACTCACCCAGCAGTCTGGCGTTCCTCAGTGCGTGCTATCGTGCTAGCCATGTTGTATCGATGTGAGCCACCACAAGAAGGGAGGGAGAGTCTGGGGGTCGTTGGAAGAGGAGGAGAGGACTCGAGAGGACCAAGGGAGGCAGCAAGGACAAGAGAGGTTTGTTGGAAAAATCCCAACAATTCCGGCGGAGCAAGTACTTTTTAACACCGGAGGACTCCTGGGCGAGGAGGAGCTGCTGCAGGGTGGGCAGTGAGTGAGCCCGGGTGGGGCACCGCGAAGGCCGGCTTGGGTTCTTCCACTACGTCGATGCGGCCGCGGGACCCCGTAACTACTGGAGCGGTTATCCAATTCTATTAGTATTCGGCGTTATTTTACATCACCCTCCCTCCCCTTCCGGCCTCCCCTCAGCGTACGACGTAGGTATAGATAGATACTGGTCCGTATATCATTCGATCCAATCCCCTTCCCATTGTACTATGTACATTACCTACTCCGGGGAACTCTTCCATTCCCCCCGGTCATCAGGTCCGTTCCCACTCCACGCTTTCTGAAAGTATGAAGCCGTTGTGGCAACGTTTCTTATATCATCGCTAGGTAACGCGATGAACCCCTTCAAACAACCCTATCTACGTGCGATTTCCCTTTATCATGCAGCATCTACAACAATGCGGTCTTCCAGAACCATCATGATCGTCACTGACCGTCCATCTTCCCTTTCGTCTTGTACGGATTGATTTATCCGAGCCAGGTCCGCTGTAAATCTCCTCCCAGCTCCACTGGGAACCACACATGGGACGGATGATGCCCATCTAAAGGCACACCTTACTGTTACATGCGGAACCCCCCGCGCCGACTCTTCCAGTGATCTTAACTTCCGACCCTGATCTGACAGCATTATCTTCCCCAGCAAAGAGTGTAAAACAAGGGGGTCGAAGTAATACTGAATCGATTGTTTCTTGCGGTCTGACCCTGTACTACCTTGGTATATCCGCGGGGCACGCGCACCTCAGGGTTGCTGGGATGGTGGAGCTTCCAGCCATGCATGCAGGTCAGTCAGCTCGGGACCTGGTCTTTATGATAACGATAGGCCATGTCCATTTCCATACACTCCGACCACAGAACCAATTTATCAGAAGGCAACACATCCCAAGTAAGCCCGTATGTAGTGTCGATTACCACCGTCTACCTCAACTAAGCAGGTGACCGTTTTATGGATTCCAGGATGGACCAGACGAGATCGCAAAAGGAGCGGTTTCGGACCATTCCAAAGGGGAATCGCAGCGATCGCGCCAGAACCACCAGCTTAGTGAAGAGTACTGAATCAGCGTCCCCGGTGACCAAACGTCGTGGGGTTGGCTTGGATCGGCCAATTTGTCATCTGGAAGGACGATACGGATTCTATTTTCCCGTGGAATAAGCGCAACACCTATGTATCAAACCGAACTTTCGGCCCAGTCAAGTCCGGAGTTAACGCTTACGATCCCGAGACGGGGCTGGAGTATCTACGGAGTATTATTATGCTCATCCTTGATCAAAGGTGCTTATTCCCACAACACCAGGACCTCGTATCGCTGCGACCTCGATTATCCATGGCCCCGTGCTCTCCAAATTTACCCCTCCTTTGAAAGAAAGAGGGCCTGGAGTGCATTGCGTGCTCTATGGAGTCCGCCAGGAGTTAACCATCATGTCAGGTTCGTTGCCGACTTCCTGGGGTGGGGCTGGGGACGCTGGATTTCCAAATGTGTATCCCGGTCTGATCGCTCTGGAGGGAGTCATCCTCCCCGTTATATACATCCAGTCATACACCCGTACGACTGCTGCACTACCCTGTAAGAGGTAGTTTAAGCGCCATGCTAGTATGCAGCTACTTTCATGCTTACCTGGAAGTCACGAGATAAACTCCTTATCCGCCAACCCGGAGATCCTGCAACTTGGCCGCAGCACCAGGGATGAAGCCAATCCCTTATCAAGATCCAGAGTGATGGGGCAGGTGCCGTCATGGGTGGAAGATTCAGCACGCTGTTTTGTCAGCTTGGGGCGCTCTAGCCCAAAGCTCTCTCCGCCGCTGCAGAGGGACCGGCGGGCGGCCAGGAGTCTTCGGACTACAGTAGCCCGGACGGCAAAATGGCCAGGTGGGGTGGGTTAAGAGGAAGGTCCCAAAGGCTCGATGATGATGATCGATCTTCGGAGCCGGGAGGAATGGTTGTTCCGGGGAGATCCCGAACAGGATTAGCGGCCCTGGGCGGTCAGCGATCTCCCCCATCACGGGACTTCGGCTTGCCCTGGGGTGGCCCGGCTCGCTAAGCGTCCCGTTTGGGGTTAGGGCGAGCCGCACCGAACACACCTCGCAATTTGTGAGCCTTGTGCGTTGTCCCGTTACCCTATCGAAGCGACGACAACCACGACAACCCGGACGACTTTTGCGGGTCATATCTCCCTTCCTTCGACTTCGTTTGCGTTGCCCGCTGCTGCTCAGAGAAACGCCGTCAGAATGCCTTCGGAACAAGGTCACAGACGTGAGTGCATCTTTCCGGATATCAGACATGTGTGCGCGGTGGTTGGATATAGGGTCGGGAGATAGGAGTTTAAACGGGCGCGATTCCGGGCAAGTGTTGAAAGAAGATGCTAATACGACCTTTTGCGAATTATAGTCTATGTCAAGTAAGTTGTCACAACCGCCCGCCATCGAATCGCGCACATTCGGAGATGAAATCCAAATCATCAAAATCCATGTCGAACAATTAGCACACGAACCAAGCGATGGAATGCCAGCAAGGACAGATGGGTTAATACGAATTCTTTCTACAGGGGTCGCCACCTGAGCTACCAGCGCTCCAAGCGTGCTGTCAACCCCAACACCAGGTACCGATCCGCACCCTCGACATCGATATTGGAAACACGGGAATCTGACGCATGGGTTATCTAGTCTGATCAAGATCGACGGTGTCGACAGCACTGACGCCGCAAAGTGAGTAGCGAACGGGATCGGACGGAATATTGGAACACACAGCTAAGACGGATTTACAGCTTCTACCTGGGCAAGAAGGTTGCTTTCGTCTACCGGGCCAAGCGTGAGATCCGGGGCTCCAACATCCGGGTCATCTGGGGCAAGGTTACCCGTCCCCACGGTATGTGATGAGCTCCATTGCGCGACATTTTACCATCGAATCTGCGATCGACGATGCTGGACGAGAAATTCCGGGACTAACAAGACTCCTCGTGAACAGGCAACTCCGGTGTTGTCCGCGCTCAGTTCCGCCACAACCTTCCCGCCAAGTCCTTCGGTGCTACCGTCCGCGTTATGCTCTACCCCTCCAACATCTAAATGACACCCCTTTTGTTACGTTAGTTGGCACTCCGGATTCTACGCGCAGACGGTCGGGCAAGGAGTCGACGGAATGAGCCGATGTTGAGATGGGAGTTGACGGGTTGATAATGTTCGTGGGAGAGGCAGGGCCGCTCAGCCCTACGAATTAAAATAAAAGAACTCTTATCTTCTTTTCAGCATGGTTATTGTCGGCCGCCAGGCAACAGACGGGCTTGCACCGGTTTCACTACCGGCAAGCATTCTGTGCCTCGGCCGATAACATGGCTCCCCGTGTATCTGATGCTCATAAACAACAATCCATACCATTTCAACACATCAGTACCATTGCTTTTTGGAGGGTCGTACGTGATGGACAGGCGGAGATTTGTCATATTTGGCTATGCGCGTATGTCATTTCACGATAAGAACGACCACCCATGCGACAATGAACACATCAACCCACCATTTCACTTCCGATCTCGACCATCTGGCATATGGCACATGGCATCTGATATTCTCAGGATCAGCGCCTAGGCCCCGACTCCGCAATCTACCCATTCAACTCCGGAACCATCCCGCGAATGCAACAAATAACAATAAATAGTGTAGACCATCGTACCAGATCCCCGATTATCAACCACCCATATCAGGAACCAATACTACTATAAATACCCACACCTATTGCAACAGTCCCCACTTACCAGTTAGATCTATCCGCCTCGCACACAGACAGTACCATTCATCGGGGGGTATAACATCCCCCAGATTATTTATGCATTCCCCATCATGCTCCCAATTACCACACCCTCTCTCAAGGCATAGAACCACCTCCTAATCTTGTTCCGTATCCCATCAAACTAGGTCCTTACAATCTATCCAGTCAGAAACCCACATTATCCATAACAGTTATCCCAAATATATAAGTGCTACGGTCTAGACCCAGAGATGTAAATCTTGCTGGTTAACTCACATTTTACATCTCGCTTGCGGGGGGGCTTATTTGGCGCTCTACGAGTATATTATTCAGCTACCAATACGAATACCAATAGTCTTGATGCTGGTGCTGTTTGTAATTCAGTTCCTTGACTCGTAAATCAAGTATACAATTTCAAAATCGGTTGTTTCGGGACTGGAGAATGCCAGAGGATGTAGGGAATGACGCTTTTGCCTGTATTTCGTTGTGTCAGGGTTTTTGTAGTCGTGGGGTCACTGGTCTATTCTATCTCTAGAAGAGCATTGGTCTACTCGGTTGAATGTGTTATCTTACTTAGAATCGGCTTTGAGGGGTGTCTGAGGTCGTATCTATGACTAGTAGTACTTGTCTGGTTTTTGAGGATTGTCGAAGCTACTAACACGTAGACCAAAAGAGATATATCCCTGATGGTTCCTTGTGTAGAAGAGATAAAAGATGTCCAACAGGGGTTGTGGTAGGATGAGAGTAATATTATTTGCTGGATGGGTGTCATGTAGTTACAATAGGTAGGGGGGGTAGTAAGGTATTGGATAGAATATGCATGTCTGTACAGTATTGTAGATTTGGAAGAGCATAACTAGGTTTAGCTCTGGGGCATAGAGGAAATGAAACCTTTCTTGTGGGTGCATAAATTAGAGATATTCAAGTCTATGGGATTATATTCAGAGTACTGGGGATTTTATATGGTGAATCAATTCGAATTCTCCGATTTCATAAGATATTATCTGCGCGACACGATGGTTATATTTGTGGGTAACATTCCCCAATGGCATGAAAGTCGTGGCATGTTTGAGTTTCCCGTAGGGAAGGCTAAGAGATGCATGCCATGGGTGTCGGATGTTGTTATGAAAGGGACAAACGTCTCTGCATTAGTTTTCATACAGTTTGGATGAGCTAGGAAGGGTCTAGACTGAGTCCAAGCTTAGGCCATGTTGCAAACTGCATTGTTCGTAGTCAAATGTGATGGTGAAACAACGATCCGATGCTAAATGATCCGATAAGGCTTAAATGGCATGGGGTTGATACTTCTGCAAGAAAATATTTGAATGACCCTGCTAGGGACAAGAGACGTTATATTACAATAATATGATTGATCATCTTGCTATAATATCGACCCAAAATTTGGGTTTGAATTAAATATTATTACCATCCTCACTGTTGAGAAGATGCATTCATAATATATATGTTGAAGGATCCCATTGCTGTAGCAGTGTGACATTTAGCAGAAAAACACCACAGCAAGCCTTTCGGAGTCGAAAATGATATCAAATGCTTGACACTCGAGAACGCCAGCCCGCCCCGCTGCCCGGGATAAGGCTGAGGAAAAGGTTCTGGAATGGCAAACTCCTTGCATGGAGTTCTTTCCCGATGCCGAGTTAACAGTAATTAAAGTAGGCGCCATCCCCGCCCACGATGACCCACCGGCAAGAACCTGATGGAGATCGACAGATCTCCTCACCCGGGAAACCTGGGACAGCAAATTGTTGGCCTACGGTGCTCGCGACTGCAATTTAAGACCAAGATTCCTGCTCGAGTTAATACCTTGCTGGCTGACGGGCTGTACCTTGCTTGGTTGCGACGTGTGCCACTATAACTCGTTTAATTAATTCCAGAACCTTTCCAGCGCCAATGCACGGATCAATTTAGTTCTAGTTGCATAATTTTATTTATGATTCCCTGCCAGGGTGCAGACTGCAGAGCTAAGAGCAACTGCCAAACCAAAAGGGCAGCTAGTCGTCCACTTGTCTCAATGATGGCTGATGGGGATTGCGTGGTACGCCAGCCGCAGTCGGACATGCAACGCCGCACAAACCTTGGTGTCATGACTGAGACAGGCAGACATATTCCAGGTTTCAATCTGCTATGAGAATGGACCAATTGGAAGGTGACGGATGTCATGGTGCTCTTTTTTTGGTGCAGCCAGAGAGAAACTGGATAAACATTCTAGATAGCACCAGTCGGTGGTGACGAGGTGGGGTGAGATCCAGAGTCGTATTCTCGTATCTGGTTGTACTTTGTACCCGTCAATTTTACCACTAAGCCTTTGGCGTGTCCAATGTCCGATTAAAAATAGGAAGCAACGGCCGGGAAAACCCACCCGGACTGATGCTCAATAGGCAGCTGATAGCAGATAGATAGCTGGAGTGCGGAGGAGTGGCTTGTCTGGGCTGCCTGGCCCATTTTTGAGTAAGAATGATGTCGCCGGCAGCCGATCTCTGCGGCGGGCTGAAGTTTGATTGATTTCTTCCGATTGCGCAAGAAGGATGATCGGACGGGAAGAAGCAATGGCTGGTGACATGGAATTATCGACAGCGCATCCTGGTCGACAATTCATCATCACACAACTTCCAAGTTTTTTTTTTTTTTTCTAATCTTTTTTTGTCTTTTCTTCTTTTCGCATGGTGCCTGAGACGGTGACAGATGGTCCATGGATTGAGACCAACCAGAGGCTGTTCGCTGGGTGGCTGGGCCGGCGAGCAGCGAATGATTGGCCGGCGGGGAAAGAATGGGAGGGGAAGCTGCGTAACACTATCGGTAATTTTATGCACTGGGCTTTATTCCCTTTGTACTGGCGGTATTGAGGGTAATGATATTTCCAGTCGAGCTGCTGTTCGTTTTACTTTTGCCGCTGCCTTCGGGTTTGGTGGAGCATGCAAGTTACAGAGCAGAGCATGATGCGCTGGATCTGGCATCTGTCGAGTCTATCTGTCATCGTTCCTGGCCCTGAGACGGAGGGACTGGTTGACTTTCAGGAGACGAAGGATGGAGGGGAGCGATAACCATGGAAAGGTGGTCGGGACAGTGAAACGGTGGTGGAAGAACAGGCTTGTAGACAAACTTCCAGGCATCCGGTGATCGTCTAGATTCTTCTGGCCGAGTGGCTCTGACTTAACGCCATCGTCCAACCCGAGCTGATAGGACGAGGCGCAATCGCCCATCCATCGGCTCGAACAAGCGTTCCCCTCTGACTTGCGTGGCGCCTGTCGTCAAGACCACCGGCCGTGCAAGTCAAAAAGGCCTCAAAGACCCTCGGGTCTCTTGCTTTCTTGTCTTCGGTTTCGACTGCCGCCTGATTCCTCCCGACCTTCGTTTGGACCTTGTTTGTACTTTCTCTGTACTTTCGCTCCTCTTGCAGCGCCGGCTTCCTCCCTCCTCCGACACCTCTCTCGCTTCCATAGTACTTTATTCCCTACTAACCTCCTATTGTCTTGGCATCTCCAGCTTGAGGCTATCTATCGCTTCTTCCTTACTGTCGATCACTTACCTTACGGCGGACGAACCACCATTTGGCAACTATCGCTTAACCACGGACAGACTGGTCGATCGACTTGATCGCACGATACATATCTACATAGCGACAGACAGCATTGTGCCTCAAGCCTCCATACCATCAGCTTCATTGCCACTTCCATCTTGAATTATTTCTAAACTGTGTGTAGAGACAATTTCGGGCGTTCTTTTTCTGCTTTAACAACAAGAACAACCATCACCACCATCACCGCCACCACCACCTTTGGCGACGTTTCCAGTGCTTTAGACTTTCCCCAGAGATTGGGACATCAGATTGAAAATCAGCTCGTGGATCCATCATCACCGCCGCGGCCCCCACGTTGCCAGCGCTGATACGTCTCGTTGGCTGCCTCCTGGCTGCATTCTGAAACTACGATCCAAAAGGCCCGAGAATCGTCGCGCGCGATCACCATACATTTCTTGGCGGTTTCCACTCGGATCGTGGGTGCGCTCCACTACGGACGCCATAGCTTAGACAGCGTCCTGCGAAAACCTGCTCCAGCTGTTGGTATCAGGCGCTAAGGTCGACGGGGTGATAAATAAAATGGCGTCCTCCCAGCCGGTCGCGCCTGGCAGGCACTCTCGTGGCCTCAGTTTTAAGTCGGACCGCTCGCAACAGTCCAGCAATTCCAGCAAGAAGATCCAGATCTCGGAATCCGCCGAAGAGAAACACCGCCGCCAACTACATTCCAAAGCCGATCCCTCGGTTGCTATGAATGAAGCGCAACCTAGTACGTATCCGGTCCCCCTTACCCCTTATCTCTGCCCATTGCTGGCATGGTTTGTTGGCCTGCCAGACCAAAATCGCCCCCGTTCTTGAATCCCATCATGTTGACTGCGTTCCTCAACATTTACTCTATACAAGCATTCGAACTGACTCGTTCTTCCAGATTTGGTTGCCCTCGAGCAATCGACGCTCGGTTCATTAAGAACCATGCAGCATAAAGACCAGTATGGAAATATTATCAGTTCGTCCCCCATTTTCCGTGACTCGGGTATACTATATCGGTGGCCATTGTGCTGATTCTTCCCCTTCTCCAACAGCTGATCCCGATCTTTCTAATCCCACGCGCCCGCGGTTTGAGCGCCCGCTCGAGACCATCCGATCCTTCGAGGCAGCAATTTATGGGACATACAGTAGTAGACCTGCTTCGTATGTAAGGACAGGTGAGTCATCCCTTGCTCCGGTTTTCACGTTCCGGCGGTTGATTAACGATGCACCGCAGAATCAACTCCTGCGACTCCGGGGCCAGACCACAGTCGACGGGGAAGCTACTTTGGAGGTATTTACTTTTCAATCCCAACGATCCTTAGTTTTGCGTCTTGGCGTGCAGTCGCATTGCCAATCGCAACACTCGAGCGAGGTCACCTTACTGACTTGGACACTTGATGCAGCTCCCAACGGTCATTCTAACCGGGGTCACTACGACCAGGGCGGTCATTACAATGGCCGCGGGGCCTATTCGCGACCGGACAGCTATGTCGAGAATGGCAATGGCAACGGCCAGCCTGAGAACTATTACCCGTACAACCAGGGCGGCGGCCGACCGCGACCACGCCACCATGCACGAATGAATACCGACCAGAGCGGATATTCGCAGCACGGCTATCACAAATCGTATGACAACATGACCGCAGCGTCTGGCTCGGGCTCTGGCAGCAACACCGACGCTTACGGCAATTCGACCGACCCCAGCTCTGTGAACAGCTCCATCGACCAGCTGCAGCAACAGCAGCAACTACAACAGCAACAACAGCAGCAGCAGCAAATTGCTGAAAGCTACGGGTTCCAAGGATTTGGAGGTGGACCAAATTTGGACAGCCAAGCTGGTGCTGGCGGCCGGATCAACTTTGGCAGCAAGCCTCCAGCAGCTGATCCCAATGCTGGAGGGCCTGTGGGCGGCGGTGCCGCCACGGCCGCCGCAGCCAACCGCCGTCACCTGCGCAAGGCCACGAATGACTCGGAAATGAGCAACAACACCAAACGAAAGAGCTGGTTCAAGCGACGATTCAGCAAGGATTAGTCTGTTGAGCCGGCTCCTTACCTGTTCTATGTTACTTCTCCTTCGATGCGTGTTTTCTGATCCTATACGTATGGGTGTACTACCTCGACGGCGTTCATCTTCTCCTTTTTCGAGCACAGCACAGGGAATTCGGGACGGACTGTGTCAGGTTTGGATTCCTTTCTCTTGCGTCTTTGCATGCGGTTGACGAGACCATGATACATGGAATGTTCTTTTTTTCACTTCTTCTTTCGCGCCATGACATACCATGGGAATACTAGCCAGTCTGATTATGAGTGCGTGATACGGGTCAATTTACCTTTATGAATAATGAGCTGGTTCGTGTTTGCTGCTGCTGATGGTAGAGTGTCGAGCGGAAGGTGGGCGTATATTGTATGCCCAGGCACTAATACAAGGTTGAGTCTATACCTCCTCACGAAGCTTGTCACATAGATAGAATACAACACCTAACCTCAACCCCTAACCCTAATAAGTAGGAAAAGAACCCCCCAAATCGACGCATAACACATAGATATATTAATTCTAAGAACAACAGCAGCAGTAACAGCAGCAGGGAATCTCATCAACAACAAAAGACCAAAAGCAAATAAAAATAAGAAAGCATCCCCTCAATTTATCTCGCATTACCCCACCAGCCTTAAACAAACCCACGTGGCAACCAAGTACCAAAAGGTAGTTGTTTGTTTTACTTCCTTCCAAAAAGCTTATGCTTCAATTTATCCGCCAACCCCTCATGCGCCGGGGCCTTGTGATGCTTATCCTTCCTGTGCTCTTCGTCGAGGTGGACGTTGCCTTGGCCGCCGCGCTGGATACATCGAATATGGATTAGCGCTTGCTTTATCCCGTGGTTGAAGTCAAGATCAAAAAGTGGATGGAGGAAGAGGAAATTGGTGAACTCACCCCAGTATGATAATCCCCGTCCATGGACTGCCGGATCGCCAACTCGGGAACTATTTCCGCATCGTGCGGGACCTTCGATGTGGGACGGACGTGTGGGGAGCCGATGTTGCCGGCGCCGCCTCTCTGTATATCATTACGTATATCGTGTTAGTGAGGGAGTAGGATTGAGGGGCAATAGGTATGTGAGATAAAGAGGTGGGTGGATGGGTGAATGAGGATTGGGGAGGGGTGAAAGCTTACGCCAGCGGAATAAGCGCCATCGCCTTGGTCACCGTAGACTCCTTCGCGGACTATGCCGCCGTCGACGTATCTGTTGCGCGGGTTAATGGTATTCTTTATTTTTGTTTTTGGTGGACGATGGAAGGATGGAGGGGTCGTACTCGGTGGAATCGGCGCCGATGTTGCCTTGGCCTGTTGGAGACGAGAAAGATTAGAATATGTTCATGGTGGGGGATGGCATGCTGAGTAGTTGAGTGAAGAAGGGTGTCAAGGATTAATCAAGAGAGGGAGGGGAATGCGCACCTCCTCGGCCGTGGGATACAATAGGTTCATGTTCGCCCATGGTGATGGCTCTAGGACCGTCAGTGAGCTGCTGAATGCGATAGGTGAGTCAGAAGGGATGCGCACGTAGATGAGATTGTGGAAAAGATGTTTTGAATACTGTAGGTAGTTTGCGACAACTGTGAACAACTTGCCAAGTGGGAGGGGAGGGAAAGAAAGAGCGTAAAGTGGCGGGAAGTGGTGTTCGTATATATAGAGCGCGCCGTGACAGCCTTAGCCACGAGACGGGCTAGAGCGCCCTGGAAGCCAAAGTTAATTTGGCGACCGACTGGCAAGTACCTCGCTAGTCACGCTTTATCGCGAGGCGTTCGTACCACTGATGGGCCAACGATGGCGGGATCGGGACCCCGTCCGATGACGTCGAGGAGCTGATAAGATGTCTGTCCGGATTGGTCCGACGCGTGACTAAAGGCTTGAGTTGGGCCCGCTAATTAGTTCGGACTATCACCCTATGTCACTATTGAGTTGCAGCTTTATCACCGGCCTCGGATGGGCGCAGAGGGATATCTCAAAGGAAGGTGTATCTTAGATTAATCGAAAGCAAGGTACATAGGAGATATGTGCAGGTAAGCTACGCCCCCGGTGCCACCGCCATCCTGTTCCAAGGACGTATTCTACACGTTCCAGCATGGTGAATAAGAAATTAGAACTCTTGGCTGATCATGTCTCCCCCAATCATTTCTTCTCCTTCTCCGCAGCAGGGCCTCCACCAGTGGTGGGCAGACCCATGAAGATCTTGAACGAATCGTAACTGCTACATGTTAGCCGCTGTCTATGGTGGGGGGCATGCAAGTTTGCGCCTGAAGCAATACATACATCATCCACTGCAGTCCGGTCTAAAACACATATGGTTAGCCACCATCTGTAAAGCAGCAGAAAGACACTTACCAAGGTGCCGATCATGACGATACGGACTGGGAGACCGTTCCACAGACCCCGGAAGCCAATATCCTTGTAGATCCGGCTCATCGCAGCACCAAAGGCCTCACCAGCTTGACGGTTGGCATTCAGCTTGCTGACCATGACATCGGCAGGATGAGACACAGCTGCGCAAAGAATACCCGCCAGATAACCACCGGTGAAGGCAACTCCGGTCTGCGCACCCTTGTTGTAGTCGGACTTCTGACCCGGCAGGTAGTGATAGATCATCTCGACAATCGTCTCGAAGGACGCAAACTTCATCATGGTATACGGGATCTGGCGACCCCAGAGAGGGTAGAGACCCTTATATAGACTGTTCTCGTCAGCAATCAATGCTCGGTCACCATGGCCATCAATACTTACCCGGCCACGCCTTCTTTATTAACAATGCCAGAGATTCCTGTAAAGGTCGAGCGGATGTCAGGCGGAATGGTCGTCTGCATGCGCACCTTGACGGCCTCGAATGGACACAAAGCGACATCAGCGATAAGTTCCGCCGATGCACTGGCGGCCAGGTACAGGGATGTCTTCCATCGGGTTGCGTTCTCAACCCCAACCAAGTCGCTATAGAACTTCTTGAAGTACTCATAACCACCGTATTTGAATGCTCCTTGGGCCTGCGATCCAGTTAGTCTGCGCATGCCTGAATTCAATGTATTGGCTTACACTGTATCCAAAGAATGTTGGACCCCAACCGGTGAAAACACCTCGAAGACCCTCTGCACCGCGGATTGTTCGGAACGCCTCAGCGTTGCTCTTGTATAGCAGAGGATCGACCTGACGACGGCACTTGATCAAATCCAGAGGCGTCACAGCGGTGTGAGTGAGACCCTGTGAGTGAAGAACCTATTAGTACCAATAACCTGCTATGAAGCTTGATAACATAGAAGAATGTCTTCTCACGCAGGCAAGCAGCCCTCCGACCGTGCAAGCCGCATAGTACTTAGGAGAAAATAGTTCAATCTTGCCGGCTTTGGCTTGGGCTTTTTGGCTCGCCAGGTCCAACTCTCTGGTCGCTTCCTTGGCAAGCACATCTGCCTTCTTCTTGGTATCCTCGATAACGCTCCAGGCAGGGAACGGCTCGCGTTTCTTCAAACCCGCAGCTTCCGGTATCTGGGACTGCTTTGGTTGACTCAGAGGGTGGTGGGAGGCGAAGGCGCTGGCAATAGTCCCTTCCGAAGGAAACATATTGGGCAGATTGTTCTCTACTGTATATGTCTGCTTAATTCAAGTTAGAACACTCCCAAATGTAATGTGATAAAGCATGATGGCGATGTCTAACGTGATAGCTCCTTATCTATACAAGCGGGCCCACTCACCAAACTACTAGCGGGTTGATCGATTAGATGCCAATGTATGGAATCGATATCCACACTTGGTCTCGTCTTCTTCTCGTTCGGTTGAATGAAACTGACACAAGAGCTAGAAGACAGTCCGGGCCCAGGAAAAGATGGTACTTCAGGGGATGTAGGATTGCAAGGAATCGCTGAGCTGACGCTGACCTGGCGGAGGGATCGAGGTGACTAGCGCCGCTGACGTTGGGTGATTGGCCTAACCGTTTCGGGGGTCCCGCGACTCCCGCCAACTGGTCAGCTCCATCCGCTTGGCGATCAAATTTATTCTGATTGGAGTAGCATCCGGTTGTTCTCGGTTCTTCATGCTTGCCTGAGTGTCTCATTCTTCCGGCCGTCAATTCTATTGAACTCGTCTGCTTTCAGCGGAATTCTGTGTCCCCACTGGACTCCTGTGAGCTAGTTTGACAGCCTCAAGGCCCTCAATTGAACGCCTCTCCACCCTTCTTCCCGTGCCCCTCATCGAGTCATCGCGGGTTGACCTCCATCACAACCACAACCACAACCACCACCACAGCCAAGAAAATGGCCTCCTACATGAACGCCAGCGAGGCGCTGACCCAACAACAACTCGCGCAGAATGCAGAGCAACCTGCTGCCCAGTCTTCATGGGCAAACAAATACCGCGGGGTCAGTAACATCTTGGTTTCTCGCAAGAGGCCGCCTTGTCGACTAATTCCCAGCCTAGGCCACTGTAGAAGATTTGGATCCTAACCCGGCCTTGTCCGTCTCCCCCCACGACCCGATCTCCACCGCCATGATCGCCGCTTACGAACGTGATTACACACACCTGACCGTTACTTCCTCGACAAAACGTTCCCTGGTGGGGTACCTGAGCATCCCACGACTTAAGCAGCTGCTCAAGGAAGGCGCTGTGAAGGAGTCCGACCCGGTCTCCGCGGCGATGCAGCGATTCAACCGCAAGCGAGGTACATACCAGGTGATCACAATGGAGACGCCGCTGGAGGAGCTGGAACAATTTTTCGAGAGTGAAACTGGCCCCAATGGGGAGCCGAGGGCCAAGCAGGAGTTCGCCGTGGTCACCGATGTCTCGCGCAAATTCGTGCTGGGAGTCGCAACCAAGGCTGATCTTGGAGAATTTGTGAAGCGGAGACCAGCTTAGTCGGCTACAGCGACGGATATATTCTGCAGCTTCTGTTACCTTGCATTATAATGGAATGCTTGCCTCTGTGAATTGTTGTCAATGCATTTCCGGGCGCAGCCATTCAACATGAACTGAACATATCATTCCTGGACTACGCATTGGATCCATCTTTCAACGCAGGTGGCGACTTGTTGGCACCTGACACTGTGTCTAGCTACCTTGAATTATGTTTTTGACGGAATGGACTCAAGGTCTGCAGCAGATCCGAGCTTACACAGAATTCCTAAACCCAGATTCCGGCCTAGCTCCCCAACGGATATATGACAAGAACGTAGCAGAACACCATTATTGAAACACAGATACCGAAAGCAAGTGGAATCGACAAGACTGAGGAATAGTTGATGTCTTTGTACTACTGCGCCTTCTTCGCTTTTTGCTTCGTGTCGGCTTCCCTCTCCGCCTGATCGTCCTTCCACGCAACATAGATGTACGCGAATAGGACTACGTTCGCCATGATGGCAGCAACGATGCCGCCCACAGTGGCGCTTGCTGTTTGGATGATTAATACAAAGAAATTAAAGATATCAAAGAAATAAGGGCAATAAGAATAAGGTAAGGGAGAGATGCTCACCTCCAAAGTCGACCGTGACAAAGTACATCCCAATAGGCACAACCACCATGGCTACAGAGAACCCCAGCAACTTCATAATAACATTTCTGGATGGGATGTGTCAGTGAGATTGTGTCTTATGATTGCATGTGTATTATCAAGGTATGCTCTAGCGGGACGTTGGGCTGGTATCGATGTATCGACGCTATCCCGGTAGTCCATGAAACGGCCCCAAGCGGCCATGTGGCATAGTGTTCCTGGGATGGGACGAATGAGATGCACCTACGTGGGAACTGCAGGGGTCACATCTGAGTCAGAGGGCTTTTCAGAGCCCGAAGTGGTAGCAACATCCTTGGGGGAGGACTTCTCTGCGATACGACGAGTGGCCATCGTGATAGCAGCCGTGTTGATGGTAGCTGTCGGACAGGTTGGGATGGGTGTTGGAAAGCAGGCACGAATAGGTGACAGGCGGAAACTGATAGTAAATCAAATCCAAGGATAATTGGTAGCACCAGGCACGGTTCCTCGGATGATATTAATAGAATGTTCTCTGGCCAGGCATGCTGTCAGTCTGGATGGCATAGCACCGAACCACCGGCGTGGTTTATACAGCGGATGAAATCATTCCGGACTCGAGGCCATGCCGGCCGCTGATTGGTCCATTCCAGGAGGGGTTTTCTGGCTGCGTTCTTAGGGCAGTGAAAAGCAAAGGCCCTCAGATGGAGATGGAGGGAGTGAAGAAGTCCAGCCGGGCCAGCCTCATCAGTAGATCGATATAAAAAGGGGCGCCCAACCCCCGCCATCTCGAGGGGCCCCCAGCTGCCAACCCCGGCTTTAATTGAAGCGCCAGTCCACGTGACCGGTCGCGTCCGGGCGCGTTTTGCGGAGAAAATCCCAAGCGATCGTTCATCGTTAAGTCGCTTCTCGAGATCGAGCCAGTTCGTGCCTGTCCTTCGGTCCACTTGGCTCCTGCCCCGGGGCATGACGCCGTCCTCTCGTCTGCCTTCTGAAGTATCACATCACTGATCATGGAGGAGTCTGTTCCCGATACCCCCGTGGGCGACAAGAAAGTCGTTCACAGTACGCCGACCAAGGACGATGCAGAATATGAGACGGTTGCCACCGTCCCTGTCTCCCATTTCCAGCCACTTGCAACCCAATCCTTGACCCCTGCCACCCAGCGCTACACGCAACCTACTCAACTCGTTGAAGTTCCTTACTCCGCAAAAAGCAATTCTGTCGTCCAGGTCGCTGCATCCTCGCCCCCAGGCCCGAATTCCTCCCCCTCTCGTCCGACTCCGAACGGCGGCCGTCTCTCCAGTGTAATGGCCCCTGCTGGAACCAGCTTCCGTCCTCCTGTGACTGCCGGCCCGGCCAAGCGTGCGCCTGTAATAGACCTGGAAGACGGTCCAACCTATCGCGGGGGCTCGTCGGACGACGACGGCCAAACCACAAGGAGCACCGACATTAAACCCGCCATGTTCGCTAAATCATCGGACAAGGTGGCGGACTCGCCTTTGGATCGGTTCAAAGAGATAACCACCTCCGCGGTCTATAATCCATCTAGTGCGAAGCGCCCGGCAGCTCAAATGGATCCCACGCCGCGAGGCATGGCCGTGAAAAAGGTCCGACAGGAGGGCCCCTCGCGTGCTCAGCCAGTCGATTTCAGTCTTTCGTCATTGCAGGATATTGATGACTACCAGTCCCGGGTCAAGGTGGAGAGGATGATGAAGGTCATGCCGCACAAGTCTGTCCACGCCTGCATACAGGCGCTCGTCTTGAAGCGTGGAAACTACGAGGATGCTCTGGAACATCTGGCGAAGTCAGAGAAAGCCGAATCTTCAGAGGACGAGCTGACGATGGATAAGCGGGCATCACCCGTTGCGCCAGCGAAGCAACAGATCAAGGCGCGGGGAACCATCCAAGACAAGTGGTCCGCCATGAACTTGCAGAGGACTCTATCGGCTCAGAAGCCGCCATCACAACCGTCGCAAATATCGCAGGATGACGCCAAACCGCGGAGACGTCTGATGAGAGGGCCCAAGTCTCGGGCGTCCTCCCCTAGCCCGGTTCGCTCTCAACCCCGTGCCGAGACACCCCCTAAGAAAACTGGTCGTCTGGTCCAGGGACGGAAGCCCGTGTCGCCTCAACGCTCGGAGTCTCCCGAAGCCATGATAATCTCAGATGATTCCGATTCCGGCATCGAAGAGGTACAAGGAGATGGCCAGCTGGAGACGAAAGTCTTGAATTTCTTCAACAAATGCAGCGTTCTCGAGCTTGCTGATATCGCCGCAATCACCGAGGACGTCGCAAAACATGTCATATCGTTCCGACCGTTCAGATCACTGGACAAGGTCCGCGCTGTTCCTGCCCCCACAAAGGAAGAGACGAAGCCGAAGGGTAGCCGGGGTCGTAAAACGCCCAAGCCAATTGGCGATAAGATTGTCGACAAATGCCTTGATATGTGGGTTGGTTATGAAGCGGTGGATTCTCTGGTTGCCCGATGTGAGGCGCTCGGAAGACCGGTCGCGGCAGAGATGAAGAAATGGGGCGTGGATGTGTTTGGAAAGAAAGAGGGAGAATTGGAGCTGGTATCCATCAATCCTAGAGACGCTCAGTCTCAGTCCCATGATTCCGGCATAGGGACTCCTGCTAGCCAGCGCTCCGAGGATGACAGCGATGGTCCTGCGCCTGGTCCGCGTAAGGCCCGCTTCATCTCTCAGCCCGGCATCATGCGTGAGGATTTGAAGATGAAGGATTACCAGATAGTGGGCATCAATTGGCTGTCCCTTCTCTTTGAGAAAGATCTGAGCTGTATCTTGGCCGACGACATGGGACTTGGAAAGACCTGTCAAGTGATTGCCTTTTTGGCGCATTTGTTTGAGAAGGGGATTAAAGGGCCACATCTCGTCGTGGTGCCCTCGTCGACGATTGAGAACTGGCTCCGAGAGTTTCAAAAGTTCTGTCCCACCCTCTCTGTCATGCCTTACTATGCTGGTCAGGCAGAGCGGGCTGTGATTCGAGAGACGATCGAAGACAACCGGGATAGCATCAACGTCATTATCACCACCTATACGATCGCCAAGGGCAAGGTTGACGCTCATTTCCTCCGCCACATGGACTTTTGCGCTTGCGTCTACGATGAGGGCCACATGCTGAAGAGCAGCACCTCAGTCCTCTACGAAAAGCTCATCCGCATTCCGGCTCGCTTCAGGCTCCTCTTGACGGGTACGCCGCTGCAGAACAACCTTCAGGAACTCGCATCATTGCTAGGCTTCATCCTGCCGAAAGTGTTCCAGGAACGCAAAGATGAGCTGCAGTACATCTTCGCGAATAAAGCGAAGACAGTGGACGAATCGCATTCGGCTCTTCTTTCTGCGCAACGAATTGAACGAGCAAAGTCCATGTTGAAACCTTTTGTATTGCGACGTAAGAAGCACCAGGTTATTGATTTGCCTGCGAAGATCTCCCATGTCGAATACTGCGAGATGAACGTTGCGCAACGAGAGATCTACGACCATGAGCAGGAGGAGGTGCGCAAGCTGTTGGCCGACCGCGCAGCCGGGAAAAAGACGGGCAACAAGTCCGCCAACATCCTCATGAAGCTCCGACAAGCAGCCATCCACCCCTTGTTATACAGACGCCACTATGATAACGCCACTCTGAGCCGTATGGCCAAGGCTTGTCTGAAGGAAGAACAATGGTCTCAGTCGAACCCTGATATCATCTACGAGGAACTCCAGGCATACAACGACTTCGAATGCCACACCATGTGTGTAACACATCCCCATTCACTGGGCAAATTCGGTCTCAAGAACCACGAGTGGATGGATTCGGGCAAGGTGGACAAACTTTGCGAACTACTTAAGCGGTTCGAAGAGAATGGTGACCGTGCCTTGGTCTTTTCTCAATTCACGTTAGTCATGGATATTCTCGAGAATGTCCTCGAACACCAACATATCGGTTTCGTCCGACTGGATGGAAGAACAAACGTTGAAGACCGCCAGTCCATCTTGGACGCATTTCACGAGCGAACTGAAATCCCGGTCTTCCTCCTTTCCACCAAAGCCGGCGGTGCAGGAATCAACCTGGCTTGTGCCAACAAAGTCATCATCTTCGACTCCAGCTTCAACCCCCAGGAGGACGTCCAGGCCGAGAACCGTGCCCACCGTGTCGGCCAGACCCGCGAAGTGGAAGTAATCCGTCTCGTGACCAAGGACACCATCGAGGAGCAAATCTACGCCCTCGGACAGACCAAGCTCGCGCTCGACCAAGCCGTCGCCGGCGAGGACGCCGCGGAGTCCAAGAAGGCCGAAGACGCGGGCATGAAAGTGGTCGAGGACATGGTTCTTGCCGATATGAAGGATCACGACAACCCCAATGACTCCTAAAAGTACGACACTTTCTCGTCGTACATGCTCCTAGCTCAAACATGTACTGGTGCAATCTTGTCAACACCATTTCATTTCATTCCATCTCATGTTTTCCTTCATCCATCTCATTCTTCTTTCGTCTCCGTCTAATACATACAATTTCAGCGATTCACTCGTCGTTCGCATGTAACCCCTTCGGCCCAGGGGTCTACCTACCTCTCTACCTACCCCCTTACCTTCTTACTTCTATCGCATCACCGCATAGACGGCGGTATCCACATACCTAGAGGGTTACGAAGATGACGTTGGAAAATTTTTTTTATCTGTCACCCACACCGTTTGTGTTCGAAAGTCATGTATGTCGGTGGGCCCACTGTCACAGTCATCGTTTGGTATTAGGATATTAGACCGAGTGACAGCAAGGGGGTTTTTGTTATGGGCGGCTCGATTTTTTCTCTTTTCTTTCTTGCTTACTTTGCTTCGCTTTTCCGTTTATAGAAAAGGAGTCCCGGTTTCGAATGTCTCTCTGGTTGTTTTGATAAACATACATGCGCATACGTGGGAAGTCATTAATTGATGAGTTGATGGGATCTTTTCTTTTCTTTTCTTTCGGTTGGGACGGAGGATTAGGTAGTAGATTAGTTGCTTGGTTGGATGGTTGGTAGGATATCTGCCTGTTTAGTTGAGGATTTTATATGTCCTAGATCTGTTGTTGAAAGCATATGATGAATATTCACGGTTCTTTCTTTGGGGAAGGAATTTATTCGTATGTATAACACTTGTAACGAGCCTCTATCTATCATAACACACCCTGGGAATCTATAGAATATGAAAATGGAAATGCAATGAAGAAACTGGAACCAAAATTCAACACCAGATAATGCGGACATCTCATCAGAACAAAATTCGAAAAAAGGGGGGGCATAAGTGAAGAGGACATGCACATGAAACTTGTACAATGCGAAGATTATGCTGCCAGCTCCTGCTTCTGAGGAGCAGCTTCAGGAGCCGGTACGGAAATGTCCACCTCAGACACGGTCTCCTGGGGTTTGGACTTCGTGGGAGCCGGGATGGAGTTCGTGCGAATTGGGCCCCCTGCGGTAGCGACAGGGGAAGTGGATTTCACTCGAGATGCGCCGCTAGCAGCCCGGGCGGATTCGTTGTTCTCCATGGCGTTCTGCACGGCCTTGCTGCGGACAGCTTCGGTCTGGAGATCTTTCGTGGTAACTGACTTGTCGGTGAGATTGAGGATCTCGTCCACCCGCAGCGCGGCGGGCATGAGGTCCTCGAAGCCAAGCGCATGGCACGTATCAGCGTACGATCTTGCTGATTTCGCAATCTTGCCCTCGGTGAGCTTGCCAGGAACGAGAATGTTGAGAAGGTACTTGGAGTTTCCGAAGCGGTTCTCGGCCTCGAGACAGAACTTCAGGTACTCGTGCACCACCTCCTTCCAGGGCAGAAGGCCGCCCTCGGCTTCAGTCTGGAAGCATGAAGGATTCGCCTCGGCCGCCGTGGCAATCATTGCCCCGTCGACACCAAACTCTTGCATCAGAGCCAGCGCCTGATCCTTGGAGGTTACATCTCCATTCATCACGCACGCCACGCCCGCATCCTGACATATCGAAGCAACCATGCGCAGCTGATCCCGAATCGCCCGTTCACGGGGCCGCATCGGTGTCGTCCGACAATGCACCGTCAACCCCGTAATACCGGTCTTCACCAGCCGAGAAACCAATGCCTTCGTCTCCTCCGGGTCACTAAGAATGCGAATCTTAACCGAGATACCGATCTGGAATGGCGTCCCGACCTCCTTAACCAGCGCCTCCAAGATAGCAACCAACTTGTCCGGTGTCCGAAGCAGTGCCGCACCCATTCCGCCGCTCGTGCTGAATGGCTTCGGACATCCCGAGTTCACATCGATACCGGCGACATCGCCCGCGACGAGTTTAGCAGCTGCGACGGCGATTTCCGGTGTGGCGGTGCCGATCTGGAAAATGAGTTTGCCCTTTTCACGGACAGGGTCGAGACGGTAGATCACGGATTCTTGGGTTGCTTTTTCAGCGCGCCCGCTGTTGGAGGGCATGCGGGTGAATTCGATGGTGCCGTTGCGGGGGTTCACGCGGCGGACGGCTCCTGCGAGGGCCCGGTCGATGGTTTCGGGGCCCCAGACGAGATCGGCGCCGTATCTGAGGGCAATGAGACGAGAGGGGAGTTCGCCGGAGCGGACCATCGGGGCCAGGACTACTTTGCCACGGTAGTCGACCCCGTTGGCGGGGATGGGGACTCGGGGGGTGTTGGTGAGGGTGGCCATTGCGGTGCGGAGAAATCTTAGCATAGCATTATCGGGTGGAAGGAGGTGAAGGAGGTATGAAGTTGAAGGCTGAGAAAGCTGCGTGAGTGGCGTAGGTTTGTGGGTGGATTTGTAGTATCAAAATGGATCGAGTCCAGGCGCATACAAGAGAAAGCCGGTGGAGGCGGAGACGAAAAATGCCGGGTCACGTGGCGATACCGGATAACTTTTTTTTCTATAAGAGGTTCACGTGATATACAGAGTACAGACTATACAAAAGTTTTTGATTGAGCGTATAAAGAGGTAATAGCTGGGAATCACTGTCATTGGAGATATTCACAGCTTCATCTAATCCTATCACAGACTAGGTCTGGTGTGGCAGTCTCTAGTAACCTTCTAGAAACCAACATTCCCTGAAAAGGATCCTGATCGAGCGTATAAAGTGACGATAAATGAATATTACTCATTCTGGAAAGTCTCTCAGCGTCATGTACCATCTTACTGCAGAGTATTAATCCAGAAGTGTGAGGCCCACCAGTGAATAGCTCTTCATCTGTGAAACTTTCCGTAATTCACTCATTGGAGCTATCTATCACGTGACCTAGATCACCTCTATTCCCTGAAACAAATTTTTGATCGGGTATTATTCAAAGTGGAGATTACTGGAAATTACCCTTTCAGGAAATGATATCGACATCATCTACCTCTCTTGTAGCGAAGACCATGTTCTCCATATACAAATGTCTCGGTGGTTACTGCGTCTTCTGGTCACATGGTAGGTTGCCTTTTCGGTTCTGGCGAGGTTACAACGGATTGTTGCTTCGACTTTGCTCCAGCCGGGTACCTGCCAAGGCAGAGGATATGACAGGTGTCTAGGATAGTCAGACGATGAAAATAATGAGTTCATCTCAGAAACTATAGTTAATTGATATGATAGATGGCTTAATATATGCGCGCGGCAATAGTGCAGGAAGTCTTCTATAGACTACTAGGTACCTATACACAGTATCTACACCTCGAAAGACAGGCCCCAGTTCTAGGCTTCTAGTACCAAGTACCTACGTACTCTGGTTGGATGGTACGATCGATGTCGCAATTGTTAACCAGTCAGATGAATCAGGGACAGCACAAGCCAGGTAAATAGTGGAACGCCATCGGTGGGGGAGTCCATCCAGGCCCAGTAATTCTGCGTCGAAGTCTCAGAGTCAGGGCTGGGTTGGATGCCAACTAAATGAAGGGGGAAGCTGGTCGACAATTGGACTAGGGTGGATGACAGGAATCCCTGCCTCGTACTTACGTACTCTGCCTGGTCGGGGATGACTCTGAATAGTCTCACCTTCAGAGTCGATGGCGATGGGGGCCATAAAGGAGGCATGTCCCAGCGATGGGGAAATGGAAGAGCAAAAAGGAATAGTAGCATGTAGAACCCGCGGCTGCTGGGTCTTTTTTTCCCGACCGATTTTCCTTCCCGACGGTTGCCAGGCGCCATCAATTTCCAGCCCTTTTTATACCTCGTCTTCGGGCGGATTCCCACTCTGCCAGTGCCCAGGTTGCCAATTGACCCAATCCACACGTGGATAGACTCAGCCAGCTTCAATGTTCCCGGGGATCCGTAGCAGTAGCCGCCACTGCACCGCCGTGACGACGAGAGTCCGAGTTGGAGGCTGCGGCGTGAATCCATTGAGCCGGCCACCCACCGCCTGTCCGATGCTCACGCGTACTGGCTGTTCGCCCGTCCTTCGCACATCCGCAACGCTGGCTCCCCCCACCAAACAAGCCCCCCCTCCCCCCTCCTCCTCCTCCTCTTCTTCCTCTCTCTCTCCTTCTTCCTCCCCTCTTTCTTCCTCCTCTCTCTCTCATTCCTCTCCAGCTGTGTGCTCCTGGTCCTCTGCATTACCGGTTCATCGATCGGTTTCGTCCGCTTCTACCCGCGCAAGTCTTCTTTCAAGGCATTTTGCCTCATCAGCTGCCCCGCCACATTCACCCACCATGTCGTACACCGTCCGCAAGATTGGCCAGGCCAACACCCTGGAGCACCGTGTCTACATCGAGAAGGATGGCCAGCCTGTCTCTCCCTTCCACGACATCCCCCTCTATGCCAACGAGCAGAAGACCATCCTCAACATGGTCGTTGAGATCCCCCGCTGGACCAACGCCAAGCAGGAGGTACGGGCATTCGAAAAACACCCCGCGGATGGCGACCTGTCTTGTCCCTTGGCATCGGTATACTGATTTGCGCCCCAGATCTCCAAGGAGGAGTTCCTCAACCCCATCAAGCAAGACGTGAAGAAGGGCAAGCTCCGTTACGTCCGTAACTGCTTCCCCCACAAGGGTTACCTCTGGAACTACGGTGCCTTCCCCCAGGTATGTGTCGACTGCCACCTCAAAATTTGTACCACCCGCACTGACCCTCAGCATAGACCTGGGAAGACCCCAACTCCATCCACCCCGAGACCAAGGCCAAGGGTGACAACGACCCGCTCGACGTTTGCGAGATCGGTGAGCTCGTCGGCTACCCCGGTCAGGTCAAGCAGGTCAAGGTCCTCGGTGTGATGGCTCTTCTCGACGAGGAGGAGACCGACTGGAAGGTCATTGTCGTTGACATCAACGACCCTCTTGCCCCTAAGCTCAACGACGTTGAGGACGTTGAGCGCCACCTCCCTGGTCTCCTCCGTGCCACCAACGAGTGGTTCCGTATCTACAAGATCCCCGACGGAAAGCCCGAGAACCAGTTCGCCTTCTCCGGCGAGTGCAAGAACAAGAAGTGCGTTGGCTGACCTGCATCTTTGCTCTGTATCCAAGCTAACGGTTGACCCACAGGTACGCTTTCGACGTCATCCGCGAGTGCGCCGATGCCTGGGAGAAGCTCATCTCCGGCAAGTCCCCTCGTGGCGAGATCAGCATGTAAGCATCCCTGGAGCTTTTAGTCATCGAATATAGTTACTGACAGAAGAATAGTGCCACCTCCGTCGCCGAGGGTGCCGAGCGTGCTGACGCCGGTCAGATCGCCGGCCTTCCCAAGGGCGAGAACCTTCCTCCTGCCCCTATTGACGGCAGTGTTGACAAGTGGTTCTTCATTTCCGGAGCTGCTGTGTAAATGTGTCCCGAGGTAAAAACAAAATACTACCATTCACCTACGGGTGACCTGTTCATGTACAATTGTGCTCAATGATATCCGTAGGATGTACAAGATATGCATCACGTCAGCTGGGCGACTCTTCGTACTAAGTAGCCTCGAGGATGTTTGCTAGATTTACATGTAGTATAGAAGAAATACTGAAGATGAAACAAAGGTAAGAAACGGAGTATCACTCAATGGCTAATATATACACATACACATACAAAACATGATAGTACAGATAGACCGACATAACAGTCTCTCAAAACCACCTCATTCACCCCTGATGCCATTAACAGCACTAAAGCCCGTCAAAGCAACCCATCAATCCTGCCGTAGTCTCCAAATGCCACGGCAGAACCACCCCAACGCACACACCCCCATGCCATGCCATGCCATGCCCAACACACTCATAGTCTAATCGTAAACACACAGAAAACAGACAAAAGAAACCCGAATTAACCAAGCGATCAATCAAGACTTAAGCGCCTCCTCTCTGGCAATGGCACGACCCACACGCGCAATCTCCTCAATTACATCCCCGATCTTCATCTGGCGCTTTCCGACCTCAATCTTCAATTCCTTGCCGTTCTTGAACCCTATCGTCAGCTCGGGCTCTTGCGTCGAGTGCCGCGGCAATTGGGTGACTTTGATATCGATGAAGCCCGGGCTGGAGGCCGGGGTGGTCGTGGGGTTGCGGAGCAGAGAGAGGATGAGTCTGCAGGGACGCGCGGAGCGGACGAACGGGTTGAAGGTTGTGCGGAAAGTGGCGATTGTTGAGAGGGGGATGGTCATTTTGGCGGTTGTAGGTATGGGAGGGCTTTTTTGGGTAGTGTTAGTTATGGATTGGGGTGGGGGGTGTTGGTTGGGACTTACTTGAGGGTTTTCGGGATGTTTGGAGAAATGTGGGGAGAGTGAGTCAAGACAATTGATCTCGACTAGGAAGTAGAATCAGGCCGTGGGCTATATGAATGGAATCGTGACCGGAGAAAATAATCACCTTTACTGGATGGTGATTCTCCAGAAAGCGGATGCGCGGCGGTGGTCCTGCGGTGTTTGTTTAGAATGCAAACAGGGATCGGGATCTATAGGTCTGCCTCAGGAACGGAAACGGTACCGGGAGCGATGACGCTGTAAAGTAACTTAGTTGCGGACAGATCGGCCGTCTCCGCTTCGTGGTCTTTTTTGCTTCCCTCATTCGGGGTTTTCGAATTTCACTTTTGCGTTCTGTGGAATGTTGGAGTAAGGTGCCTTTTGTGTGTGTATATATTTGATTTTCGCAACGCTCGAGAACGATACCGCCTTGTTCGTATCACGCAACATGGCCTCCATTTCGGATCTGCAGGTGCGCTTGAAGGAGCTTTCGGCTGCTTTGGCTCAGATACAGCCGCTGGTTGCTCGGTTAAAGGGCTTTACGACGGCGGTTGGGCAGGGTGATCAGGCGAGGCTGGAATTGGGGACGGAGATACATACTCGACTTAAAGAGGCGGAGGAGCAGTTGGAGTTGTTGAAGGTTGAGGTGGAGGGGTTGGAATCTGGGGCGGATCCTAGGCGGAAGGGTCTGGATAGTGAGAAGGAGTCGGAGAGAGAGAGGATCGTTGCCTTGGCGGGACGGCTGGCGGAGGATTTGAAGAGGTAGGTGGATTGCTGTTCTTGCTTCGGATGTCATGCTGATGGGTTGTCTACTGCAGAACGAGAGGAGACTTCCGGAACGCACAGTTACAGGCGAAGAGGAATGCTGAAGTTGCCCGGCGCAAAGAGCGAGAATTGTTGTTTACGAGGTCACAAAGTGCCGAGAGGAAGAAGCAGTCGACTGAAAAGTTGACTCAGGATGATATTGTGGTGAACGCTTCGAATGATGTTACAGCTGCGCTGAGACGGACGCATCAGTTGATGCAGGCGGAGCTTTCGCGGAGTCAGTTCGCGCAGGAGACGTTAGGTTGGTATTTCCAAGTGCTATGGGTGGACGCTGTCTAATTGGGGATAGAACAATCGACTGCTGCCATCTCTTCTTTGTCAGAATCATACACCGACCTTGACACCCTGATCTCGTCGTCGCGCAATCTCATCGGCTCGCTGCTTCGATCGCAAAAGTCCGATACTTGGTACCTTGAGACGGCCTTCTACATATTGATTGGTACGATTGCTTGGCTTGTCTTCCGGCGGATATTATATGGTCCCATGTGGTGGCTGGTCTGGCTGCCGTTGCGACTGTTTGGGAGGTTTACGTTTGCTATTCTGGGAACAGTCGGGATTACGAGCAAGGCTGTTCAGGCTTCTGAGTCTGCGACGGTGGTTGAATACGTGCCGCAAGAGACGCCGATAATCGAACCAAAGGTGGAACCGAATGTTCAGAGCGCTGACAGCGAAGCTGTCTGGGATCAGGTTCCGGTTATGGATGAAGCGGAGGAGGACCGGTTGATTGATGAGATCGGTGAAATGGTGGAGGAGAGTGAGAAGCAGGAGGAGACGAACATTGACGACATCTCCGAAGAGGAAAGGCAGAGACAGGCGGAGTTGCCTCGGAATCCCAAGAAGAGGATGTTCGAGGCTACGGATGTACCGCAGCAGAAGGACGAACTATAGGTAGATGACTAATGTCTGATGATACTGCCAAGTGCAGGCGATGTATACCCACCATCATAAGCCCCAATTGACGCATGTAGACTAGACAGAGGATCTGCCTCGGCCTTGATGCCGAACAATAAAGGTCTTGGCGCCATCGCGTATCACGTGGAGACGCGTCCCGACACGCTCTTCCGCCGCCGTGTCTAGAGCTCCGAATAGCATCCGCTATACCGTTAAAACCTAATACTGTCTTCAAGCCAGCGTTTGCTCTCCATCCTCTAGCATGGCTGCCAACTTCTTCAGCAACAAAGCCCGAGCTGCGGCAGTAGCAGCGGGCACTTCCAAGCCAAAGGCCACCGATGGCAAGGAAGAGCAGGCACGGCAACAGCCATGGGTTGAGAAATAGTATATCCTGCCCACCAAAAAGCTGCAGCACTTGGAACTGACATGTATACAGCCGTCCCAAGACCCTCGATGATGTCGCTGCCCAAGATCACACAACAAAAGTCCTCCAACGAACACTGCAAGCTTCCAACGTACGAGATCCTATCGCATCGCAAAGAAAGCGGTCATGAGCTACCTGCTAACGAATCTAGCTCCCCCATATGCTCTTCTACGGACCCCCAGGTACCGGTAAAACATCAACTATCCTCGCCCTCGCCAAGTCCCTCTTCGGTCCCTCCCTCTACCGCTCTCGTATCCTCGAATTGAACGCTTCCGACGAACGTGGTATCGGTATCGTGCGTGACAAGATCAAGAACTTCGCTCGTGCCCAGCTGAGCCAATCTACGGGTCTGGATGCCGAATATTTAGCCCAATATCCGTGCCCACCGTTCAAGATCATCATTCTCGATGAGGCAGATAGCATGACGCAGGATGCGCAGTCCGCTCTTCGTCGTACAATGGAGCAGTACAGTCGGATTACTCGATTCTGTCTGGTTTGCAACTACGTCACTCGGATTATTGAGCCGCTGGCCAGTCGATGCAGCAAGTTCCGGTTTAAGGCTTTGGATAATACGGCGGCTGGGGATAGGTTGGAGCAGATTGCCAAGTTGGAGAACCTGAGGCTGGAGGATGGGGTCGTGGAGAAGTTGATTGCTTGCAGTGAGGGTGATTTGCGACGCGCGATCACGTATATGCAGAGTGCGGCTAAGTTGGTTGGGGCTGGGGTGGGTGGAAAGAAGGATGAGGATGAGGATGAGGAGATGACGGACGAGGCGTCGGAGGTGGTAACTGTCCGGACTATTGAGGAGATTGCTGGTGTGGTTCCGGAAAGTGTGCTAGATTCGTTGGTTCAGGCGATGCAGCCCAAAAAGATTGGTTCTTCTTACGAGGCTGTCGCGAAGGTGGTCACAGATATCATTGCGGATGGATGGAGTGCGACGCAGCTTCTTCTGCAGGTACGTGTGTTAGTGCTCGATTTGTGGATTGATGCTGACTTGGGTAGTTGTACCGACGGGTGGTGTTCAACGATGCAATTCCCGACATCCAAAAGAACAAGATCGTTATGGTGTTCTCGATGATGGATAGACGCCTGGTTGATGGTGCAGACGAGCACCTGTCCATCCTGGACGTGGCTCTCAAGATCTCTGGAATTCTGGGCGGAGCTTAGCAGACAGGCTGCCAAGGACCTGAGATTCCTGTTACTCTACTCCATAAGCAGTACAAGCCCGCTGAGACTCCGGTAGGGCGTGGCAAAGGCCGGTGTATGGCCACATCCCTGTAAAATCAGAGGATGCTAGTTCACCGGAGGCCATCTGCGGAATTCTCCGCCAGTTAAGCTGTCGACATACAGGTCGGCTAAGCTACCAGTGCCGCGGGGAACAGCATAATACTGCTTGATTCAATTATGTGATGGCTGGGTGGAGTTGGGTTTATGACTGTATGAGATTTAATGAATGAGCTAAAAACATCATCACACCAACTCTACTTTAAATTCCGAAGTAGGTATTCACCGTAGGGCTTGTATATCCGCCTCGGCCCCCCACGTGCGGCCCGCTCGCTCTGCTCACCGAGAGCCAGATTGTTTGCGCCGCTTCGCTTCTTCCTGTCCTCTCTCAGGCAATTCGATCGTTCTTTGCTTCAGTCTTTTTTCACCCTTAGAGCTGTTGTGTATTTCCGCGATAGAACAAGATCTAGAAGACTACCATGGCTACCTCCGCCCCCGCCCCCGAATACCCCGCGTCGACTCACACCCCCCGCTATCTGACCGGCGACGGCGCTGGCATTCGGGAATTCATCGACAAGTTTGATGTGAGACATACCAATCCTCTCTATCTTCAATATGGACTGTATGAAGCGCAGAACAGCTAACTTCATAACTAGGTCTTCCTCTTCGACTGCGATGGTTTGTCCCCTCATACCATCTCTCCACCTCCGCGCTTTGCCGGCAGTCTATACAGTCCAGAAATCTGACCAGATCTGATACAGGCGTCCTCTGGTCAGGCGACCACATTTTCCCTGGCACGAACGAGACCCTCGAGATGCTACGGAGCAAAGGTACTCCCCAACCAACCAACCAACCACACCACCTCACCTTCCCCCCAAACTAACCACCATACCCAGGCAAACAAGTCGTCTTCGTAACCAACAACAGCACCAAGTCTCGCGCCGACTACAACAAAAAGCTCACAGCCCTGGGCATCCCCAGCACAACCGTACCCCCCCCCCCCCCTCCCCTCCTGCCCCCTAAAACCCCACACTAACCATCATCCTCCCCCAAACAGGAAGAAATCTTCTCCTCCTCCTACAGCGCCTCAATCTACATCTCCCGCATCCTCACCCTGCCCCCCAACAAACGCAAAGTCTTCGTGATCGGCGAAACCGGCATCGAACAAGAGCTCAAATCCGAGAACGTGCCATTCATCGGCGGCACCGACCCCGCCTACCGCCGCGAAATCGCCCCCGAAGACTACAAATCGATTGCGTCGGGATCCTCCGAGCTCCTGGACCCTGAAGTCGGGGTCGTTCTGGTCGGGTTGGATTTCCATATCAATTACTTTAAGTTGGCGCTCGCGTACCATTATATTCGTCGGGGCGCGGTGTTCTTGGCTACGAATATTGATTCGACATTGCCAAACTCTGGGACGTTGTTTCCGGGGGCGGGGTCGATGAGTGCGCCACTGATTATGATGTTGGGGAAGGAGCCGGTGTCTTTGGGGAAGCCGAATCAGGCTATGATGGATGCGATTGAGGGGAAGTTTCAATTTGATAGGAGTAGGGCGTGTATGGTGGGGGATAGGGTTAATACGGATATTAGGTTTGGGATTGAGGGGAGACTAGGGGGTACGTTGGGGGTTTTGACGGGGGTTAGTAGTAAGGAGGAGTTTGTGGGGGGTGAGGTGAGGCCGTCGGTTTATCTGGATAGGTTGGCGGATTTGTTGGGGTGTGAGTGAGAGGGTATTATTCGTGGTGGGGTGGTATGGGAGGGTCTGGAATATAGATAACATTACAGGTAGTAGTGTCTTCGAGGTATCATAGAACGTACATACATACATACATATACAATGACTGTGCAGTATTCTCAGAGGAGGTACCTACTCCTCCATATGCTCTTCAGGTTATATGCCAGCGGCGGCGGTTCCAGCACACGATCATCTCGAATAAACCCCCTCAGCTTCCACAAAGCCAGCATCGCATCGATCGTCGCCTTATTATCCGGCCGGAACAGCAACGCCGTATTCTCAAACCGGGGATGGTGCGCCTTCAGCTCCTGCAGCTCCTCGTCGGATAACATAACCGTGAGATCAAACACAGGGGCCGTCTTCTTCTCCCAGGACACAAAAACCTCATTCGGCATCCTGGGATACAAGCCCGTGATTCTCCCGGGCTTCGCCTTCCTCCGATTTAGCACCAACACGGCACTACATTCCATCCGATCGAACGGCTCCATCGAGAATGTCCGTCGCGACAGATAACTCCGCCCATACTGCTTCATCGGAATGTCCGTCCACACCTTCCGCTTTTCAGGCTGCGTCGACGACTCATCTGACGCCTTCTTCAGCACCTTCAGCACATTCTGCCGCATCATCCGCAGCGCAAATTCAGGCATATCCTCCCGCCACGTAAGCTGACCCTCGTCGCGAGGTGTCATCGGTCCTGCCGGGTGCTTCCACCGATGCGGGATGAGTTTTGCGAGCGGCGAGCGATTTCGTGCGTGCTTCGTGCCCCAGTATGCGTCTGTGATTGTGCGGAGGAGAGGGAGTCGGTCGACAATCCGGAGGGTGAGGTGACGGACAGAGTTCGGGTTGTTGTTAGTGGCCTTGCTGGCGCTCTTTTTGGAGAGGACGGTCTCGATTGGGAATTTGTCTTTCATTAGGCCCACGGGGAGAAGCCAGAGCTTGTCTGGGACATCAGGTCGTTTGATGGATCCCCATTCTGAGAGGAGAGCACGCGGCATTCGGACTCCGGTTACTTTGCATGCGCGGACCGGCGAGGCTAGGGCCTGGGCCCAAGGGTTCAAGTGGATGTTGGATTCTGTGGGATCGGGGCGGCGTTTCTTCTTATGGAGCTTGTCGTAGCCAGGACGGGGGTTGGTGATTAGGGGGGATTGGGGGAGGGATTCGGAGGGTCGGCGAGAGGGGTACATCCTCCTCCTCCTCTTCACCTCCTCTTCATCCTCGAAGAATTCTAGCACATCGGAAAGTGGTGTTCCATTGCGGGAGGTCGACTTGGAGTGGTATAGGGCCGGGTGGGAGCCATTAGGGCGGAAGAGCTGCCGGAATACCCTGAGACGCCAGGAGGCGTATGACAGGCGGTTGTTGAGACACGCCATGACGTGGGGAGGAAAGGGAGGAGGAGGAGGTGAAGGAGGAACGGTGAAGTGCCGAGAGGAAAAAAAGGCGGAGAGGCCCGTTCCATGTCCGACGCGCTAACCGGCGGGAGCTCCGACGGCCATCCCCATCCATCTGCATCATCACCTTCTCTTCTCCTCTCTTCTTCTTCCTCCTCCTCTCTTTCACTTTCCATTGACTTTTACCACCATCACATCATGAACCCCGTCCGCCCCCTCCAGCGATTAGGCCGTGTTGTAGGCCGGCCAACCGTCGTCCCGGCGCTGTCGCGCAGCTTTGCCAGCTCCATTCCGTCGTTATCAAATGCCCGGCCTCCGCGGGGCTGGACGCCGACGCCGTTTGTCACCGAGACTGTGGTGAGTGCTGATATATCCCCTTTATAGTCAATCGCATACTAACATAGAAGCCAGGGAGGAGGATGGCACACTTGTACGTACCCTCACACAACACAGCTACTTCAGCGCAACCATTAACCCAACTAACTCACCACGTCCAGACGACATCTTCTCTCGCCTACTCAAGGTATTATCCCCTCCCTCCCCCAATCCCTAACCCCACCTAACAAAACCCCAGGAACGAATCATCTGCCTAAACGGCGAAGTCGATGAAACCATGTCCGCCTCCATCGTCGCGCAACTCCTTTTCCTAGAAGCCGACAACCCCCAAAAGCCCATCCACCTGTACATCAACTCCCCCGGAGGCTCCGTCACCGCCGGCCTCGCCATCTACGACACCATGACCTACATTGCCTCTCCCGTGAGCACCATCTGTGTCGGCCAAGCCGCCTCCATGGGCTCTCTGCTCCTGTGCGGCGGCCACCCGGGCAAGCGCTTCTGTCTCCCGCACTCGTCGATCATGGTGCATCAGCCTTCAGGAGGGTACTTTGGTCAGGCGAGTGATATTGCGATTCATGCGAAGGAGATCCTGCGGGTGCGAAGCCAGTTGAATAAGATTTATAAACGCCATTTGACGGGAAAGAGGGAGATGACGCTGGAGGAAATTGAGAAGTTGATGGAGCGAGATTACTTCATGGGCGCGAAAGAGGCGTTGGATATGGGCATTGTGGATGAGATTCTGGAGAGAAGGGTGGGTGGTGAAGATGGGAAGGCTTAGATGGGATGATTAGGATGGGATGTGGTGGAATACCCCTTGTTTCTTTTTCTTTTGTTTGAGGTATGTTATGGTATGTATGTCGGTCCTTGGGTGTAGTTATGTATCAATATCCCCGTGATGACTTATGGCTATGGTTGAGATAAAAAGTAGGTATCATCAGCATTTAGATCGAAATAGCAACTCAACTCCTATGAGTACAAGCCATGTATGCGTCGTAAATCCTAAGTATGTACAAGCCCCCCTCCCAGTCTACAACCATCCATATCCATCCATCCATTACATTCACCACCAAGGCCACTACGACTCCGTCGCAATCCTCTCCATCCGTCCATCCGGCCCAACACGAATCCCAAACCTCTCTCTCAAAAACGCCGCCGTCTGATCCGACGGCACATACGGCGTTGACCGTCGCGCCGCCGCAGGACTATACCTCCACTGATCGCGAACCAAATCCACCAACCCCACATCCATAACCACGGCCTGCCCAGACACAAACATATCCATCGGATGCGCATCCCTCCCAGCAGCCTCCTCCGAACCACCCAACAACTCCGTCCTCTCCCACCCCCCAACTCCCCCAACTCAATCCCCCCTCCTCATCCTCTTCCCCTCTCCGCATCCCTCTACCCCCCTCCCCCCGCTCCTCCAAATCATGATCCTGTCCCTCCCCCTCTTCCTCCACCACCACCCCACCACCCCTAACCTCCACCATCTTCACCCTCTCCACAATCAACCCCAACATAATCAAATCCAACCCCAGGACCAAAAAATCCAAGAAAAGCAACCTGGCCAACGGAATCGGCGCCTTCTGTCCAATAAAATCAATCAGGATTCCACCGTGAAGATATCCGCGCGTCGCTTCGCTGGCTTCCGGTCTCGTACAGAAATGGTGAAATAGCATGCAGAAGATATTACTGCCCAGGATGGCGGTGATGAAGGGTTGGTTTCGCGTGGGTTCGAAGGGTGGGGATTTCGGCGTGAAGAATATTAGTTGGATTATGGCGCGTAGGGAGAAGAGAGTTATTGAGCAGCTGCCATACCATGATATATATTAGTGTTTGTGTTTAGTGGGTTGGAGGTAGTAGGGTGAGGGGGTGAGGGGTTTGGCATACTCCATATAATACAAAGCCGAAAGTTCGCAGTAAATTAAGATATCTAGATCGCGGAGGAGTCGATCGATGAAGGCGACTTTGGCGGATGTTTGTACCTTTTTTAGGCGGGCTGTGATGTCGGGCGTTTGGTTGGTGGCATGGTGGCTATCGTTGTCGTAGGGGATGATGCCGGACACGTCAGCGATGTATTCCGCATCTCGATAGACGTCCGGTGTGGTCATAGAGGGTCATGGGGGCATGGATGGCGGATGGGGGTGTGATGCGAGGGAAGAAATATTAGGGGCGCTGTTGCAGATGGGGGTGGTTGTGTTGAAGAGGTTCACCGGTTTTAAGGTGGTGGAGATGGGGGGGAAAGGTGGAGCGATGGAGATGGAGTTGGAGATGATTGATCATTGATGATGGCCGATGATGCGGATCAGGTGCGGCGGACTTTTCTCGGCCCGAAATATCCGGGGGTGGTAGGATCCGGGGTCGGGTTATTTTTTGTTTTTATTTTAGGAGCTAGTTTTACTGGTGTGGAATGGAGTACTTTGCGGATACTAGGTATTTTGGTCGTATTTCCTATGATGCGGGGTGATGGTATGGATATAATGTAATTGGGTCAATGCTCATGTTCATGCAAGGTATGATCTATATGCACTACTAATCGACAAAGATGGTCTTGGAAAGGTTGGCGTAATGCTTGAAGAACCCGGTAAACAGCCGGATCGAATGCGCCACATCGTAGGTACCGCCCGTCTCGCGGATACTGTGCATGCTGAGCTGGGGGTTGCCCAGATCCAGGGTACGAGCTCCCAGCGCCGCAGACAGCATGGGGCCAATGGTGCTGCCGCAGCTGGAGTCGTTGCGGACAACAAACAACTGCAGGGGAACACCCTCACCAACGTCCTCCGAGGCCTTGCGGGCCACCTCCTGGAGAAGGACAATGCCAGGCGAGTTGGTCGCGTAGCGTGCGTTGGCGTTGATCTTGATCACCGGACCCTTGTTGATTTGGGGACGGTGGTCGTTCTCATACTTCGCCGTGTAGTTCGGGTGGACGCCATGCGCCATGTCGGCGGACACCAGGAAGGACGTGGACAGAGTCTGCTCGTAGGCAGTGGCGATATCGGAATCACCGCCAGCAGTCGAAGGGAGCACGGACAAGCGACGAATGACGGAGGGGAGGATGTTCGAGTCGGCGCCCTGAGCGGTACGGCTTCCGATTTCCTCATGGTCGAACAGCGCAATGAGACGGATGGCGGGCTCCTCGTCCAATGCGGACGCATCAGCCACGGAGTCAATCAGGCCGACGGTGGCACAGAAAGAGCTGTTCAGATTGTCCAAGCGAGGAGAGAAGATGAACTCCTCCAGCAGTCCACCGAGGTTCGACTTCTGAGTGTCGAACAGAATCATCTCGAAGTCAAGGACATCGAGGGGCTTGACACCGGCTTCGGTGGCAATAAGCTCGACCAGGTAAGGGTGGTGGCGCTCAGTGATGGCTTTCAAGGGAGAGAAGTCGGCCTTCTCTTCACCATTGACTCCGTTAGTGACAGCCTTGTCACCAGCCTCGTCAGAGGCACCGGTGCGGTTCAGCTCAGCAGCGACAAGACCGGCGATGGGAAACAGCTGAGTTTCCTTGTTGAATGCGAAGGTCTCTTGGCGATCCAGATGGATGGCCAGAGTGGGGATGCGGAGAACTATGGACGGTCAGATCATGCTGGTTTACACAAGGCGGGGTGTCATACTAGGCCGGTCAATCTTGATCAGCTTCTGCACAATTGAGCCATCACCATTCCGGACCATAGCCCGACCGGCGACTCCCAGATCGCGGTCAAACCCTAGAGCCGTTAGTAAGGTAGATGGGCGAGCAGCAGAGATACGAACATGTGTGCCAGATGCCACCACCATAGGTCTCAACGCCCACTTGGACATAACCCTCCCCACGCTTATTGCTGACAGGCTTCACTCTCAGGACGGGGGAATCCGTGTGGGCACCGATCATCGAGATCGGGTTACCAGGCTATCAGTAACGCGATTAGCCTAAATCTAGAATCCACCTGGAGCAACCATACCTTCCATTTCTTTCCCACGGCAAAGGCAACAATGGTAGACTGGTTGCGGGTCAAGTAGTATTTTCCTCCAGGCCGGCAAGTCGACGACCAAGAATCCTTTTCCTGTCCCGGCATTAGGCGTTACACCGGTGAGAGGATGATTGCATTGCGTACCTTGATCTCCTGGAAGCCAGCCTTGGCGAGAAGGTCCTTTGCTGACTGGACTGCATGGAAAGCTACAACAGACAGTCAGAGGAGTGCTTCGGGGAGAATCGAGAGGTAGTATTACGGGTAGGGGAAGCATTGACAAAGGACAAAAAGTCCAGAGCCGGCTGTTTCAGGTTTTGGGCGATTTTGGAAGTCATCTTGTGTTGAAGGACCCTGGGGACTTGTGGACAAAGATACACGGGGATCACATCACGGGAGGGGAAGTGGGCATGAGATCATAGCAAGGCGGTCAGTTGACCGGCGAGTTGGACAGCTGGACAATCATCGTGTATCGTGACTACGGAACAATCTAATCTATCTAGTGATATCGCTTAGTCGCTTATCCATTTTGCCGACGATATCCAGCGGAGCTAGGAGAGGTTCCCTCCTATCTATTTACATGGAAGACAGAACCATGGAGTGTATGGATCATAGATTTGGAGCAGTGAAACGGCATAGAGTCAATGACTTCATGCGGATTGACAGGGTCTGGGCCCGCATCCCCCTTGAGTCTAGCATACTCCGGGTTTCATTTTGATTCACTTCAGGTTGCTTTTCTTCTACTGCATTCTGGACGGAGTAGTCCTACCATTCACCGGGTTGCAAGTGAAACCATCCCGGTCGCTCTGTCGCTCTGTCTCTCTGAAAGCTAGACACAGTCTTGAAAGACACTGTCGGTGTATCAAATATCAACCCCCTGGTGTAATAGAATGAACGCAGTCATTTTGTAACACGGCGTTTCCATAAACAAAAAGAAAAGCAAAAGAAAAAGCAAATCGAAGAAATAGAAGTAGTTCATAAATAGTCGACCGTTGTTTGACACCATGCCATGAACTAAATCAGAAAGCGGTTGATCGCCAGCTTTACCCTGGGAAATGTGCGCCACGAGTCGAGCCGTTATGCTAGGCTAATGCTGTACTGGGATCGACGCCGATGGGGAACGGGGGAATCTCGATCAGTTTCTTTGGCTGGAAAGTCTCCTTAGTCCGCTGTCCTTCAGGCTCTCTGTATGGCCCAAGCTTTGCTGTCGCGTTCTCCAGGCGCGTGGAATGGAGGCGGTCGCGATAGTGCTCGTGGCCCTGCGACAATCGATAACAACGGGTAGAGCGCGCTGGCCCAATCACCGCGACAGCGCTTCGCGTCAGTCCACGGGACGCCTCCTGGCGAAGCGGCAATCGGATGGGATTGGATAGAGATTGTTTCATGCCTTGGTGGGCTAGTCGCTTTGGATGCAATGGCTCATCTCAGAAAAGGACCTGTCTTTTTGGGTGGGAGGGTCACGATTGATCAGAGATGGACGTGCATTGCGGCGGGTGCAGATAAACAATCACTATGCGACAACAATCACCACCACCCACCCCACTGATGGAGGGGGAGGGGTCACAAGTTGTTCGTGATCAAGATCATATGCCATATATTCCGTACGAGAAACCAAATTCACCATGAGGGCTGTAGAAAAGTCCCTCTCGTAGCAATAACACCAACCTCCTGTGCCTCCCCAAAACGGCTTAGCGCGACCGACGCGTGACCGCAGCCTGGGGCTCCCCTTCGAACGGGCGAGCAAGAGGCCCATCGCCAACCCTTGGATCAACTGTCTTAATCCTCCTCTCCCTCACCAGACGGTGGTCAGGTCAGTCTCAAATGACCTCCACGAAACCTGTGTTTCGCCCTTGTCTGCTCCCGGTCTGGTGAGAGACACTGTGTCGTCAACCTTTGTTCACTCCCCTGCCCGCCTCCCAGTTGATTTGGTGTATTGATCGGAGCGGAAACACAAGGGTTTGGTTGTTGTCATCAGCAACCTCTGCATTCACCACCATCCCCGACCCCGGAGCACCGATTGACCACCAAGACAATCTCCATATCCGTCCCTATATCTATTTCCACCCACTCCAACACTTCTTACCCTCCCAGCTACGGCCACTTACGACCCGGCGACGCTGAAGACCTGTCGCATTGACCCTACTTCAGTCGATCCCGCATTCGACCGCCATTTCCACCTCGTGAGGCTCGCCCCTCCGGCAACCATGGGCGACCCCCAGAAATCAGATCGTCCGGCCACCCGCAATACTGCTGCAGCTGCATCGGCCGCGAAGTCGCCGGAACGTGTTGCACCAAATGCATTGACCATCGCATCGCCTCCTGGCTCCAGGACGCCCCCTAGTATGCCGTCGAAGAAGACGCTCTTCTACCCGGAACCGCAAGGAAGGCGCCAGAAAGCTCGAAATACCTCCGAGTCGATCGATCCCGATGCGCTTGCGAAGGCTTTGCAGGATTTTGAGGATGCTGGGCATCCCCGCGAGAGAACGCCTGGGACCAGCCCCAGTCGGAAGAGACAGAGAGTGTACGGTGATAGGTCAGTAACACTTACAATGGCGCTCTTTGAGACAGTTGCGCCTGTCGCACGGATGTCTTCGAGGCCATCCCGCTAATATGTCGATGCTTGCCTGTAGATTTATCCCCAATCGTGAGGGGCAAGACCTCCAAGCGACGTATAGTCTGCTCCACGAGGACGGCTGCCCTTCAACTCCGTCCAAGTTGAAAAAGCGCGCTCCACACTCGGAGCTTCATTTTCAAAAGAGTGAGTCGCACCCGTGCTGGCCCTGGCAATGCCGATCATTGTAGCTGACCAGAGTGCAGCGGAGGAAGCCAACCGCATGTACTCGCGAGTGTTGCGGAGTGAGCTTTTCGGGAATACCGTTCCCCAGGCCGACCTAGACTCCCTGTCGCCGGACCCCTTGATGGGTATGGGAAATGGCATCATCGACAAGACTCGCTCTCATACGCCACCTTCACATGTCGTGTCTAATCTACCACCCGCAAGCATTACACCCTCCACCCCTCACAAGAATCTCTTCAATTACGCCTCTCCCCGCGGATCCGCTCATCCTACACCTTCAAAGACACCACGAAGTCAGCACGGTCCGAACCTCAATGTCCGATCGGAGCTCTATAGTCTATCGCCAATCCGGCTCGACAGTCAACGGATTCTGGAGACTCCGCGTAAACAGCCCCGCTACGTGAACAAGGTCCCATACAAGGTCCTTGATGCGCCCGATCTACAAGACGATTTCTATCTTAATCTTGTCGACTGGGGTAGCAGTAATGTTCTGGGGGTGGGCCTAGGGAATTCGGTCTATATGTGGAATTCGCAGACAGGCCGAGTGACGAAACTCTGTGAGCTGCGTGATGATACAGTGACCAGCGTTAGCTGGATACAAAGAGTGAGTATTAATTTGCTCCGCTACATTCGACACAAACGCTAATTGAACTAGGGCACACATTTAGCAATCGGCACAGGCAAGGGTCTTGTGCAAATATGGGACGCTGAGCGCTGCCGTCGTCTCCGCACGATGATTGGACATACGAATCGTGTGGGCGCCTTAGCCTGGAACGACCACATCCTCACGTCCGGTTCTCGAGACCGACTGATTTTCCATCGTGATGTCCGTTCCCCAGACCAATATCTACGTCGCTTATCTGGTCATAAGCAAGAGGTTTGTGGTCTGCGGTGGAACACAGAAGATGGGCAGTTGGCCTCGGGTGGAAATGACAACAAACTGTTGGTGTGGGATAAACTAAATGAGACACCACTCTACAGGTTTTCCGACCATACTGCGGCCGTCAAGGCAATCGCTTGGTCACCTCATCAACACCATCTTCTCGCATCTGGGGGTGGCACGGCTGATCGGACCATCAAATTCTGGAATACGTCGACCGGGTCTATGATCAAGGAAGTCGACACAGGCAGTCAGGTCTGCAACCTTGCGTGGTCAAAGAATTCCGATGAGATCATCAGCACGCACGGTTACAGCCAGAACCAGATAGTCGTCTGGAAATACCCGCGCATGGAACAAATCGTGTCTCTGACCGGGCATACCTTTCGTGTTCTCTACCTAGCAATGAGTCCAGATGGCCAAACTGTTGTGACCGGAGCCGGGGATGAAACCCTGCGGTTTTGGAAGATCTTCAATAAACGACCGGGAAGAGAGCACGGACGTGAAGGTAGCAAACTGGCAGAATGGGGTACCATTCGGTGACACGTTTTTGCAGTTCGTTTCAGTGAATTGGTGCCGTGGCGCCCTGGGCTTTTCGTTGGTTTCCGATATGCATTAGATATGGCGTTCCCGGGCTTTGGCGTTCTTCGATGCTGGGTCTGTCTTTGGACGGTCTGGATGGAGGAGGGTTTTACGGTCTAACTTGGCATTTTTCGCATCTCGTAGGTTTTCAGCATTTCATGGGTGGCTACTACTTACTACAGGGTCTTTGTTCTGCATCATCGTCACTATCATCTCCGAATTTTCATTCCATGTATCTCCGTCTCTTCTGTTTCTCTCACTTCTTCCTTGTTCCTTTGAGCCTCTTTTCACCGTGTCTTTCCAGCAGACACATTCGCAGTTTTTATCCATGGAACGAATCTCAGCGGTGGCGCTCATGGCGTTTCCTCGGGTTGACCGGAACGAGGCGTTGCTCATTGCTCATTGCTCATACAGATGGGTGGTTGGACTTTTTCTCGACTTTGAACACCTCCCCATAATCACACCGTGTACCTACCTCCTACACCAACCTAACTGTTCTTGCCTTCAGAAGTGATGATGAAATGACAATACATACATAACCAATCCTTCCTACTACTAAACTTCGCATAAATACCTACGGAGCACAATGAAAGTAAACAGTAGTGCAGATGTAATTTCGATATAGTGACACACAACACAGCGCTCCGAGTACACATTCCTCTATATAGTGAAACAAACGGGCAAAGCCCGAGTCTATAATAGTTCGGTTTGGGTTCCACCACCAATGACCAAGTCCCACGGAAAAGTGGGGGTTATTTCATTACTTTCTTGATGTTTATACTAGAAGAACAAAAGCCATTAGCCGGGATGAAATCCAAGATGGAAAACAAAAAAGAGGAGAGCGGAGAGAGTGAGAAAGACAGTCCACATGTTTCGTGGAACTTACAGCACGAAATGGAAAGAAAAAAAGGAGAAGAAGGAAATGTCGGATAAGATCTATAGAACCAGCCTGCCAGGCTCAACGGTCAAAAGCTCCTTCACGCGATCCAAGAAAACCTTCGCCCTCTTCTCCTCGGTAACGGGGACCGTCAGGCTAAACACGTTCGCTGCCTGTTCAACCACTGGCTCCGCGACAGTCGCGGCAGCCTTCTTGGCTACCTTTCCGCTCAAAAAGTCAATCAGATCCGCCTCCTTCTGCACACGCTTAACCGGCTGAGCCGTCTCAGCGTTCAGCTCAGGGATGTACTCGCCCCGGGAGGTCTTGACTGGCTCCACGCCCAGGATCTCGGCGAACAGCTCGTCGGCGGAGGGGGTCTCGCGCGAAGACCGAGGCAGGTGGTCGTTGGCCAGGTCCGTGGCACGGGCCAGGAACGTCGATAGCGGCACCGTAACGCCCAGCGTTTCTTGGATCTTCTTCTGAACGGACAGCACAGCAGCCAGAGATACGGAAATGGCGACCGAGGTGGTCGGCGGCGGGCGGGCAACGGGCTTCTCAACGGCGGGGGCGGGCTCCGCGGGCTTGACTGGCGCGGCGATCTTGATGTTGCTCAGGTCGAGGTGAGCGAGCTTGTCGAGGCGCGCCGCTTGCGCGGAGGGGTAGTCAGCGGGAATGGACCCCAGGTAGGCGAGGACGTCGCCCTTCAGGAGACGGCCTTTGGGGCCGGACGCGGGGATCTTCGACACTTCGGACTCCGGGATGCCCTTTTCGTGGAGGAGTTGGATGACGGACGGATACAGTGGGTAGGCGGGGTTTTGGAATTGAGGGGCTGAGGTGGAGGCCAGACCTATTGAGAGTGAATGCCTTGTTAGTGGGGAAATAGTGGAGAGAAATTGATGGATAACAATGAAGGTGGAGGGGGGAGACGGTGGTGATGGTGTAGAAAGTCGATATCTGAGTATATTTCGGCGGGAAACTCACGCTTGGAAGTGCTGAGGACCCGGGATTGGCGGCGGGCAAGCGCGGCCGGAAGCCGGCATACAGAGAAGCTGGAGGCCATTATGCTCGAGGATGTGTCTGGTCCTTGATTGAAGGGAGGAGTGTCTTCTCCGAGGCGTGGTTATCGTCGGGATCGCGAGCGCTGAAGTTGGAGTGGGCGGACGAGGATTGATGGGATCAACAGGAACCCACCACCAGGCTAACGGGGCCGCACGGAATCACCGGAGACTCAAGGGACTCGGGGTAATGTCGCGATCTGCGGTTCAACGGTTCGGTCGTCCAGGCCGGAGAAATGCGTCGCGATCGGAAGGGTCAGCGCGGAGAAGGTTGAGGTTGTTGGGAGCTTCACCGGCCGCCCGGACGGGAACATTTTTCTGCCGCGGAGAACGACGGCTTGACGACTTGCCCTGTCAAGAAGCCATTGGCCTCCCCTCGCTTCCTCCCTTGGTGAGTCTGCTCTGTTGTCTTCTGGTCGCATGGCTGCGCATCCTCCGGCCAGACTTGGAGATGTGAAACCCGACGATGCTGGGGCAGGTTGCCAATCTGTCTTTTGACCTTATTCTAACCGTCGGAGAAGCTAGGTCGACACCATGTTTGCCCGGTCCTTTGCCTTCCGGGCATTTTCTCAGCAGTGCCCTCGAGGCACACTCTCGTCCGCTCTCGAGTCTTCCAGCCCAGCATGGAGGTACTTCTCTTCCAGTGCCTCGCGAACAAAGGCCGCCAGCAAAGCCAAACAGGCCAAACCCAGGGTGGCTGAGCCCGAAGATACCTTGAAGTTCGCCGGACGACGCCCCGAGGGATTCGGAAAGCTAGAGCGCAAGGTTGCAAAGGAGGGAGAGATCGTATTGTTTCGGGCGCCATCGCAGCGCGGCTACGTATTGGGTGCATACGGTATCGCCGCTTTCTGCTTTGCCTACTCCGTGTACAACTCCAACGCGGTCTTCCGCGACCCGGTGGTGCCTCTCCCCATGTGGCAGCAGGGCTTGTTTGGTGGTATTTGCGTGACAATGAGCGTGATGGGCACAGTATTCCTCTTCAAAACTACCCGCTTGATCAAGACTGTCAAGGCCCTCCCTATCAATGGCCACACTCATCTTCGCTTCACGGTGCGAAGCATGATCCCTTTCCGCAAGCCCTACGAGTTCGATGTCTTGCCACGCCAAATAGCCTTCTCTCGCCGCTTGGTGGTCTCCCCGGATTCGCTACCAGAGTCGCTTGTTGATTCGGCACCGGTCTCTCCTGGTAACGCAGGACCCCGAGCTATGACTTATGCCGGGGAAGAGAAGGTGAGCTTCTTCAGACATCCTTTGAAGAAGACGAGCATGGGTCTCTGGAAACTTTTCCGGTCTATCCGACAAATCTTTAGCCAGGAAGACTTCATCCTTATGGAAGTTGAGGGCCAGAAGGGCGTTTTGCGCATGGATTCCGGCGGCTTCGTCTCGCGGGACTTTTTGCTGGTTGGCAACCCTGTGAGTTTTCGGCGCTGATGTGAGCTTGAGGGCGGGCCATCAGGTCTCGCTATGATATCCTTCTTTTGATGTCTAATTACTCTACTTTTTGCCATTTCCCTTACCATTAGCCTGCGATGCGGCATGTTAGCACGGTGTCTGACTGCAGTGCATCGCCTCATGCTCAACCACCATGTACATTTGGAATCAAATACGAAAACCTAACAATCGCCACACATAAAAACACGTAAAAGGTAGAGATTGTAGCCTGTCAGCCGCGCCGGGGGCCGTAGTATATGCGGCACCACGTGACCCTCAGCAGCGCGTCCCCCAATCAATCAATCAATCAACCGCCGTCCGTGACGCGACTTCAAGATAACCATTGCGCGAGCCCCTCCACAACACCCGACCGTCCCTTGGGCTGTTCCAGTCTTCCGCTTTTCCTCCGAGGCGAAGCTCATCGACCATCAACACCCTTCCCTTGCGACTTGTTATCCTCTCCCCCAGTCGCTGAAACGCGACTGTCCGTCGCAACATGGGAAAGCTCATTCGTCTCGAGCTTTATAGTATGAAGCATCCTACACCTGTCACCGACATACCCACTGACACCCATCCTAGACTTCAAATCATACAAGGGTCACCATGTGCTACTATTCGGTGATGCCTACTTTACCTCCATCATCGGACCCAACGGGTCCGGAAAGTCGAACTCGTGCGTATCACTCTAAATTCTTCGCGCGGAGAAAGACATCGTGCTGACATCTCACAGTATGGATGCGATCTCTTTCGTTCTAGGTATCAAATCGTCCCATCTGCGATCTACGAACCTTCGCGATCTCGTCTACCGCGGCCGTGTCCTGCGCACATCAAAGGTGGATGCGAGCGGCAATGCCATTGAGACAGAGGCAAACGGCGATGATCAAGTGGAGGATGGAATCGACGGCGAACAGTCTCAGGACCCGAGCGGTTCGAACGACCCCCGGACTGCCTGGGTCATGGCGGTGTACGAGGACGATGCGGGTGAGGAGCAGCAATGGCGGCGGTCAATCACCAGTGCAGGAGTCAGCGAGTACCGAATCAACAATCGCATTGTCACGGCGCAGCAGTATAACGAGGCACTTGAGTCGGAGAACATCTTGATCAAGGCGCGCAACTTCCTGGTCTTCCAGGGTGATGTTGAAGCCATTGCCTCGCAGTCGCCTAAGGATTTGACCCGGTTGATTGAGCAGATCTCTGGCAGTTTGGAATACAAGGCTGAATATGAGCGCTTGAAGGCCGAGGCCGAGGAAGCGGCAGAGCAGCAGACCGTGCAGCTGAACCGCCGCAGAGGTATCAATTCGGAGATCAAGCAGTACCAGGAACAGAAGCGCGAAGCCGAGAACTATGCCAGAAAAGCGGAAGAACGAGACCAGGCTATTATTACGCATATCTTGTGGAAGCTTTTCCACTTCCAGCGTCTTATCGATGCCTCCAGTGCGGACATTCAGAAATACCAGGATGAGCTCAAGGAATATCGCCGCGGCGTTGAGAAATACGAGAAGAATGTGGAGGACGCTAAGAAGGACCATGCTAGAGTTGGGAGAGATGTCGCCAAAGCTGAGAAGAACATCGTGGCCAAGGAGAAAGAGATCGAAGAGTCTACGAATGCCCTGGTGCCTGTGGATGAAAAGGTCGACATTACGAAGAAAAAGGTCGAACGCTTCTCCTCCCGGATTGCAGAGATTACGAAGGAGCGCGAGGGCCAGGCCGCGAATGCTAAGCAGCTCGAGAAGGATCTGAAGGTTGTCGAGAAGGCCCAGGCTCAGTGGGAGGCTGAGTGGCAGAAGACTATGAGCAAACAAGGTGGTCAGCTGAGTGAAGCTGATCTGCAGGACTATAAGCGGCTCAAAGAAGAGGTCAACAAGAGATCGTCGGCGGAGCAGTTGAACCTGGACAATCTACGCCGTCAGCGCAAGACCGAAGCGGAGGCCTACAACAGCCTAAAGAGCAAGTTCGAAGGTACTGAGTGGCAGCTCAAGACTTTGGAGTCCGAGACACAAACACTGGCCGAGCGGAAATCGTCGATTACGGATACCGTCAAGACCACGTCGAAAGAGATCGAACGCAAAAAGAAAGAGCTAAATGCTCTCACCTCCGAACGGCTACGTGTCTCGCAGATGAGAACGGAACTCGAGGAGAAGCTCCAGGTCGTGCTGAAGAAGCTTCTCGAGGCCGATGATGGCAAGAAGCAGTCCGAAAGGGAGCTTCGAGCAAAGGAGCTGATTTCGACTCTCAAGCGGATCTTCCCTGGCGTTAAAGGTCGTGTCAGCGATCTCTGCAAGCCGAAGCAGAAGAAGTTCGCTGATGCAGTGAGCACTGTGCTTGGTCGGCACTTTGACGCCATTGTTGTCGACAACGAGAAGACGGCGAAGGAGTGCATCCAGCATCTTCGTGACCAAAGAGCTGGCCAGGCGACTTTCATCCCTCTAGAGACGATCCAAGTCAAGGCATTCAACTCAAACTTGAAGGGTCTGCATCGAGGTATGCGCCCAGCAATCGAGACTGTGGATTATGACGAATCGGTATCCAGAGCCATCAGCTACGCTTGCGGAAACGCCATTGTCTGTGACGATTTGGCAACCGCCAAGTATCTCTGCTACGAGAGGAACGTTGATGCCAAGGCCGTCACCCTCGACGGGATTGTAATCCACAAGGGCGGTTTGATGACTGGTGGTCGCGGCCCTCAGCAAAACTCGAAGCGCTGGGAAGATTCCGAGGTGGAAAACCTATACAAGCTGAAGGACAAATTGCTGGCTGACTTGGGCAACCTGCCTAAGGGGCACCGCCGGGGCACCGAGGAAGAGACACTACAGGGTGAATTGGTTGGGCTTGAGCAACGTCTCGCCTACGCTCGCGAGGAATTGAAGGCCCTGGAAAGGAACCTCGAAAGCAAGCGTAGTGAACTGGACTTCGTGAAACGCCAGCTCGAGGAAATAAGGCCGAAGTATGTTGAGCGCCAAGAGGTGTTGGAAGAGCTCGACCAGACGATTGCCACGTCTCAAGAGACCGTCAGCAGCGTGGAGGATGAGGTGTACCGGAAGTTCTGCAAGCGCCTCGGCTACAGCAATATCCGCGAATACGAAGTGCAGCAGGGCTCATTGCAGGAAGAAGCCGCTCAGAAGAAGCTCGAGTTCACCACGCAGAAGAGCAGGATTGAGAACCAGCTTAGCTTCGAGAAGCAGCGCCTTCAGACAACTGCTGACCGCGTTGCTGGCCTTCAAGCCCAACACCAACGAGACGAGGAGCTGATTGAGGAGCTCGAGGCTGAGCAGGAGACCATCCGAAACCAGCTGGATGAATTCAACGCCGAGCTTGACATTCTTCGCGAGAAACTCGAGAAGCAGAAGGAGGCTTACGCGCATTCGGCTGAGAACCTTGCCCAACATCGCCGTGAGCTTCAGAAGCGCAGCAGAGAAGTTGAGGGGACTATCAAGAACGTCAATGCCCTGGAGGCGGAGATACAGCGCAATTCATCCAGTCGATACGCTCTACTCCGGCGTTGCAAGCTTGAAGACATTGATATCCCGTTGACCGAGGATTCGGAATCCCTTGATCAACTTCCCATCGATGAACTGGTTCAGGCTGCGGACCCGGATGCCATGGATGTGGACGAAGATGCTAACAGCGGCGGTGGCGAGGCGTTCATTGTGCAGGACTATGGCATTGAAGTCGACTTTGACTCCCTGGGAGACACTCTCAAGAAGGTGAGCTATATACTTCCAGGCTTATCTGAAACAGGGCTAACGTATCATCAGGACGACGACAAGGCAGAGGACGAGCTGCTCGAAACGGTACGATCTCTCAACAGCGATCTTGACAAGATGACGCCCAATACGCGTGCCATGGAGCGTCTCGAGAGTGTGGAGAACAAGCTCAAAGCGACGGAGAAAGACTTCGAGGAATCCCGCAAGCATGCCCGGAAAACCAAAGAGGACTACGAAGAAGCGATGCGCAAGCGATCGGATCTCTTCAACAAGGCCTTCACGCATATCTCAGAACAGATCGGTCCTATCTATCGTGAGCTGACCAAGAGCACCAACTACCCCCTGGGCGGACAAGCGTAAGTGGCCTGCTACTCGAACATAGATGCATCCGCAGCCTAACATCATACAGCTACCTCGACATCGAGGACTCGGACGAGCCTTATCTGGATGGTATCAAATACCACGCCATGCCTCCTCTCAAGCGATTCCGAGACATGGAGCACCTCTCTGGTGGTGAGAAGACCATGGCAGCCCTGGCTCTACTGTTCGCCATCCACTCCTACCAGCCGTCGCCATTCTTCGTGCTGGACGAGGTGGACGCCGCCCTCGACAACACCAACGTGGCCCGTATCGCCAACTACATCCATGACCATGCCGCGCCAGGAATGCAGTTCATCGTGATCAGTCTGAAGAACGGACTATTCCAGAACAGTGAAGCGCTGGTTGGTATCTACCGAGATCAGGTGGAGAACAGCAGTAAATCGCTGACCCTTGATGTGCGCCTCCTCCTTTCTCCCACGATGACATCAATCACTGACTCCTTGCCCAGCTCCGTAAATACAACTAAACCCCGGCAGCACTGCGCTCTTTCTATCTTCCATTGTTATGTAGAATATCCAGCTATGGCTTGATGGGCAGCATGTTTTCTAGTTTAACTGTTTACGGAATAATGCGATGGTTGCTTTGCGTTTCTTCATGACATTGTTGTACTGTTCATCCCCTCTCCCTCCCTCCCCTCTCCTTTTCACGCAGCAACCCTCCAACATCCAAGACACATCTACCGAACTACTTATCCGACCAGCATACCCCAGTAAACATCCCCCAACCAACCAACCAACCAAACACCCAGCAAGCAACCCGATCTGCACCATCAACCTACCACAACCCCCAATCCCAACCCCGCAACCCGGAACAATTCCCCCACGGCCAATTGTATACCCTCCAATCAATCAGTCAATACAACCAAGTATAATGAATATTCATCCTACCCCGCTGCCGACTATATCCCCCACATTCCCCAGGACCCTGAAATAGTTAAATATATATTAATAGCACACGCGCACAGAAATAAGGATTATTTACTACCCTGATTCCAATCTTGAAGCTCACTTACCTTACCGATCTCTAGATTCTAGCACTACTAATTCCATCCCAAGAATGCATCACGCGGTTACAGCTACTACTATCCTTCCTTTGCTTTGGGGGGTTGTGAAAGCAGCTCCAACTGCAACGGGGGTGGATTCAGAAGCAATAAGTCTGAGTACATCTGTCCCGGAGGACGCGGGTCTGGCGGTTCTACACCCTTTTGTGTCATTCTCAATTGAGTTTGCGTTTTTTCCGGATTATGCGGGTATGTATTTTTCCCCCTCTCTCCCTCTTTTCGTTTTAATATATATTCTGGTATTTGTCATGAGGGGTGGGTGGTAGTATTTGGAAATGCAGTGGGAATGGAAATGCATCTGATATATACTTATGCGGGGTATGATAGGGAACCGATCACATCCGAATTTATTCTCGAATCAGCTTTTGGATAATTTGGCCGAGTTGCAGGGTGAGAAGCCGTATATTCGGGTTGGGGGGAATACGCAGTATGTGTTACCTATATGTCTGGTTGTGGTGATGGAGGGGAGGGAGGGGAAGGGGAGGGGAGGGGATAGGGCTAACTCGAGATAGGGACTACGCGTTGTATGACAAGGATCTTCAGGCGGCGACAAATGCTACGTACATCACTAGCATTGCTACGGATTATCCACTCATCCTGTCTTTCGGGCCAGCCTTCTTCGAGTCGTACTTCACCTGGCCCGGGACGAAGTTTATTCATGGGTTTAACCTGGGGAAGAATAGCTCGGCGGATGTGGAGGTGATGTTGGAGTCGGTATCCGTGGCGTGCAAGGCCCTGGAAGGGGGCAAGCTGGCGTACTGGGAGCTGGGCAATGAGCCGGATTTGTATAAGACATCCGCGCAAGGCCCTGTGCGGCCGGCGAATTGGACGGAGCAGGATTACGTGGATGAATGGGTGAACAAGACCACGGCTATCAAGCAGAGATTGGCTGAGGCGTGTCCTGAGTTCGCCGAGTCAAAGTACATTGCACCGTCATTTGCGGGGGTGACGAATAGCTTGAACCCCGTGGTGACGTGGGAGAAAGGCCTCGACGGGCAACGGAACATTGCCCTCAACTCCGAGCATAAGTGAGTTCGCCGGCCCAGCCCCAGCCCCAGTTGTACTGGGGGGTGGGAAAGTATGAAGTACAGGTCGGATTTGCTAACTGGCTGCGATTTGCAGCTACATCGGTGGCGCCACTCAGCCGGGAGTGACACTGCAGAATACACTAATGAACCATACTAAGACGGTAGAAAGCGTCGCACAGCAGGTCAATGTCTCTCGTATCCTCTCTGAGGAAAGCCTGAACACGGGAATCCCCTATATCCTGGGCGAGACCAATTCCTTGTACAACGAGGGCGCGTCTGGACTGTCCAATTCCTTCGGAGCTGCGCTTTGGGGCGTGGATTTCAACCTTTACTGCGCCTCGCAGAGCATCCGTCGATCCCATATGCACCAGGGACTCAACTATCGTTACATATCCTGGCAGCCTGTTGGGACGAATCGCACCACAGTGGGAACGAAGGCGCCTTATTACGGCAACGCCATGGTGGCGGCCATGCTCCACGGCGGAGAGGATGTCCGAATTGTCAATCTCCCGCTGGCCGCGGAGACAGAAGCCGCATACGCCGCGTATGTGAATGGCTCTCTGGTCCGAGTGGCCGTCATCAACATGGTGGAGTTCAACTGTACCTCGACTGATTCGACCGCGGAGAAAGTGGAGAGCAGACCCAGCGCAAAGTATATGTTCCAGTTGCCTTCGTCTGAATCGGCGTACGCCGCCTCGGTTTCAGTGCAGCGGTTGATGGCGAACGGCAGCGACGCCATCACGGGAATCACCTGGGACGGCTGGTCTTACAATTACGAGCTGGAGCAAGGCAAGCCAGTTCGATTGCAGAACGTAACGACAGGCGAGGCGATCTCGGTGGGCGACGATGGGGTAGTGGAGATCGGGATTCCCTACTCCAGCGCTGCGATCCTCAGTCTGTAAAAAGTCATTGGAAGTGGAGGCCGATGTGCTGTTACATATAAAGTATGCATAGTAGATATCTACCCGCAGCATCCTTGTCTTCGTATGATTGATGGTGCGGCTCCCATGCGATTAGCATTTCATAGAAGGGATGGTTGACCCGCCAGAATTTGATAGTCCGCAAGGACCCTCTGAAGGAATAGGAAAGCTGAGGCTTGGTACTCATAAACTCTATGGTTCCACAGCGGTTAGCTTGTTTCTTAACACGGATAGCTGAAATACATGGTTTTCCTCAAGACATTGGTGGCTTTGTCGCCTCTGTTGCACGCAATAATAATACGAAGCCGAGGCCAAATCACCTCTTGGGCTTGGCGATCAGCCGCCAGTTTCAGGCGAGAAAACGTCAACCCCGGACCTGCTCCCTAGGCGCGGAGTACATGTAATTTGACTAAGACTGGCGGGTTTGCCTGATTTGGTATCAAATATGATTTCCCGGGAGAATGGGTTTTGGACTCGAGCAAGCACCGATGTTTCGGATTGTATACTCCACTGTCAGCGAGTGTAGAGCAAATAGTGTACTGGCTTGTCTGTAGAGGTATGTTAAAAATAAACCACGGCGGACGGTGGCAATTCACCTGGGGTGGCGTGTGCAAGAGACCTGTCGACCGATGGGCAGACGGGCGTAACCTTGATGGGTATCAAGAATCACCCATTGCACCAGGTCCCGCGAAGTGAAGGACCTTGAATTCTATTGATCAAATAATCGGTGTACAGCAGGTCAATGATCTGCGTTAGCGGGTTGATACGTAGTTTTCCCCAAGCCACGGCCCAATTGGCCGGGCTGGGTGGATGGCGGGAAGGACGGCTATCCCACTTCGTCGGAGTACTACCAGGACTCGCCTGATGGATCGATTTCTGCAAGTGCTCGGACTCTGATCTAGCGCATACTCGGTCTTCCAAGGACAAGTCCGCAGTGTCATCTTCGGCCTGGGTCCAGTCCCCTTCGGGCAGGAGTAATGTCCCAAATTGATGGCTGTCGCCAGGGTACACTGTTATTCCTCGACTTGGTAGTAGTCTGAGGCACCCTCGGCTTTGCTGCCCATTTCCTCGCCACCTCTACCTACCCCGTAGTCGCCGTTTGCTCGGACTCAAGTATGCAAGCCATCATGCAGGGTTTCCTGGTAAGCAGCGTTTTTGCATGACGATGTACGTAGGTGGATGTCTCACCGTCTGCATGTTTCCTATGATGGTTACAACCGGTCTGGTCTGGGCATTCAACACCGGTGAATGGTAAGACAGACCGTCAGGATAAAGAAGCAATATGGAGGTGTAGTGTCCTCCCCGCACCAATGTGAGTGATATGGATCACCTTCTTTTCTTTTCTTTTCGTGTTTCTCTCCTGAATAGACGTACAGAGCCCGCCCAGCTAGCGGCTAGCGTCCCACGCAGGCATTCTGTGGATCGTCAGCCCACCGTGGCTTGCCAGGCTGGTCAGAATCGCGAGACGAGACAGCCAAGGGGTCCGTGTGGTCCTATACTTACTTTTTCTGCCTAGCCGTTTTTGACGCAGGCTCCACCGGCATGGGAAAGGCCGGCCCCAATCGCTCTCGTAGGAGAACTTATCCGTGTGGGACATGGCACAGTACCCCCCCTCCCCCCCCCAAGCAACAAGGATGCAAATTTTCCTAGACGCCTAGCTGCGTGCGAATCTGTCGCTTGACGAGGAGTCTGTTTATGAAGCCGGAAAAGGCAAAGATGTTTTAGCTTTGTAGTGCCGCAGCCAGGAGACTCTTTCTGATCCGTTCTCCACTCGAACGCGATACAGTTGAACCTTAATGAAACATTAATATGGGTAACGTTGACACTTGACAAAGTATGGCTGCGATCGGCGGTCAGGCTCTCGGTATGGCCTTCAGGTCTTACGCCCAAACTCCGCAATTTCCGCACTGGCTGCAAGAGAAACAGAACCGGCAAAGTCAAATCGTGAGGACTCTGACAAAGGAATTATTCCCACTGGTGGGATGCCATCCCTAGCCCTAGTGTAGCTAGACCACTCTTAAGCAACCCAATCTAGCTGTCAGTCAGAGTTCAGACTGACCTGCGGGGCCTGGGAAATGACAGAGAGAACGGGCACCGGCATTGTTCCCACAACTCGCCGTACGACTATGAGAGGCTAGCAAGAGCCTGCATTGGCCTATTATCTCTCTTCGATTGTGACTTCCGAGTACTTCCAGTGCCATGTGATCTTCCTTTGCCTGGTATGGAGTAGGACACAGTTATCATGTATCATCTCGCTGCACCATTGCGTCAAATTCGTACCACCACATATCCCCAAAACGCCTGTGATTGGTAGATAGATGAGTCTGTGCCTTGGTTAAGGTTGTCAGCCAAGGTAACTCTGGCATGTATCCCGGGCGAAAATTAATCAGGCCGAGCGTAAATGCATGATCCCTGAAGTGCATGGCTGTCAATATATTTTGGAGCCCAATAATCTGGATCTGTGTGTCTTTTCAACTCACTAGAAAGATACTGAGGAGCAACCAGAGCCCCAAAAATTCCTGTCCACTGTATTTCCCATCTAGATGGGTCCACCGGTGTTTGCTCCAAGGAATAGCGGCTGTGTTGGTCCTGATCCTCTTTCTTGCCCGCGTTATTGTATTAATTCCACGTAAACATACTCAGAGCCGGTACGGAAGGTATACCTATGTTTCTCTGTTTATACTCAACAAGTCAACATCCACCATTCCGCATTGCTCAAGCCCTCTTAAACCATATGATGATTTCCAACTCCTTCGGAGATGGGCTAAGGCAGCCAGACGTAAGCCACAAACGGAAAAGCCTAGGGAAGAATGCATAACTAGGCTCCATGCACGCATGGCAACGGAGACAGGCTAGATGATAGGGACTTGTCCGTAATAGTCAATGGTCAGTTTCTGTATGTATTTGTTTTCCTTGCATTAGTTTGCACGTCATAAGTGCCAAAAAGCCGCGTTGAACTCCCATGACATGACCCAATGGCCGAGTGTTAGCAAACGTACTTTTGTCTGCATCTGTAATTGCCCTTCGGCCAACTACTCCGACGGCAATCGTTTCTTTTTCCCTCGGCGCGATATATTTGGTAGTTCCAGACCTATATAGGCCATTGCCCGAACCTTGGAGATCAAGGCCAGGAAACTTCTTAAGCCATCGACACCCCATTGGTTTCCATAAACACTGAAGTAAAACTGTTGTATCTCGTTTTATTTTTACTGCCGGTGGCCGGGAAGAGTGAACGCAAGTGACTTGGGCTCGACATCAATATCCTATAACAGAGAGTATGACAAGTCCGGCCCGTGCTACCAGTGCGATAGGTCAGTCGACGAAAGCTAATAAATACCAGCAACAGATGTTATCATATCACGATATGACTGCTCAGGCGAGCCACACGGTAAGACAAGCTCTCCCACCTGGACTAGGATGGGTCATCCGACTGATGTCATATGTTGAACAGGAAATGCAACGTGCATCAACTGCCGTCAACTTCCGTTATACTCACTTTGCAATGCTATGCATTGACCACAATGGAGAGCTTCGAGTCGAAGCGTCACCATCCATCGCCGGCTGCGAAAAGGCAATCTTCACAGAGGACGTGCAGGATCGATTCCTAAAGTCGATCGCCACAGCGTGGCAACCCAATCTGCAAAGTCTCCACGCTAGTAAGTGAGATGAGGGAGATGAAGTGAGCCAGCCAAGAATGAAGTAGTAACCAGGCCGGGCCCTTGCCCGAAACAGACACCTTGAGTCACATGAACGGCGATGTCACGGGAAAGCCAATGCTCATGTCCAGTCCGTCCCTCGCAATGCAATCCGCTTGGTATCAACATGGCCTACCCAGACAGACAGGACTTATTCCTTGTGAGTGGCAGTCACTGCAAAACAAGCGTCATCGGCGCAGCTTGAGACACGAACTCTCGGGCATCGGACTGGATCTCGACTCGGCTTCACCTACCCCGACGCTAAGACGAACCGCGCTTCGACTTGGACAAACGGATCTCGTGCGACGCTATTATGAGAAGGCTTTCGAAGCTTTCCAGCAGTTGAACTGTAGGGTCATTGCAAAGGCATTCATCAAGCAGGTAGAGCCGCGCAAGCAAGTCAATCATCCGTACAATGGTCGAAGGGCTGCTGGAGGATCATCGCAGAAAAATGACTCCGAATTGACTAAGCCGAAGTGGTGGCCTACAGGGGTGACGCATAGAGAACCTGACCATCTTCAAAAGGCCGGTAAGACTCGCGTTTCTCTTTAAAATATGAGATGGCCTGACTGAATTTTTTATTAACACTGTCGGTCTCTCTAGAGAGAATCAAGCTGCTTGTCCACATTCTGTGCGAGTTAAAGGAAACCCGAGGGATCACTGCCGAAAAGCTCAGAGATGCCGGACAAGATGTGCGGCGTCAGATCCAACCCGAGGGACGTCTACAGATCTTGGATGAGATCTATTACGTTCGCTATATGGAGGAGCTATACATTGATGGAAAGATCAGTACGCATCACCTGCCATCTTCGACCATGGTCGTAAGACAATGCCTAGGGACTAACCAATTCAATAGGCGGCGATACCATGATTTATGTTTCGCATGTCCATCTCGATGAAGTCTTTTTATTCTCTGAGATGCGGGATCAAACAGTTAACGCCAACTCTCGCGAACTGTCTCTTCCGATTATTAACGGCAAGCCGGATGCGCCCAAATCAAGCGAGGACAGCAACAAGAGCCCCGAGAACCAGAACGAAGCGCAGGCCCCTGCGGACAAATCGCACACTGATATTCCTGTATCATCAGATGAGAGGCGTCTACCACCCATGGAAGGAATGCAACAGGCGAAACGCCCCGCAACCCAGGACTACTGTTATCCTCCTTCACCGGTATCCAGCCCCTCGATCAGTCGAAAGAGCTCCTTAGAAAGTGGTTTATCTACCTATTCCGCCGATATGGCTGCGCCGATGCTGTCATCAAGTGAGCCCAGCAGAGGTCCTTGTGCTCCCAGGGACCTCCACCCCGCTGAATCTTCTTGTATTCCGGATTACTTTGGCCAGCAAATAGCCGCCCCAGCTGCTGGACAAAATCCCCAATCTGGATATTGGAGCCTTCCCGCTACCCATGCGCCACTTCCATTCAATGGATACTGACATGGGGGAATAAAAGAGGACACGGCCAAACCCCCGTTCCATCAACGCTCTGTATATACTCAAATTTTCTCTTGTACCAAGATTCAGATCCCCCGGCTACCGCACTTCCCCTTTTCCTTTGTTGTATCCCTCTCTTTTGGTGTTTTCTTGGTTTGGAAACTGGCTGCGCTCGATGTACACGGTATCATGCTACATTTAAGAGGCGCAAGTGGCAGATATATAATTTCTGTGATATAGACATATTTCTTTTGTGTTTTGCGTTTTCATTAGTCAGATATGATTACGAATGTCAAATAGAAAGACAAATCTATTTTTTTACTGATGGCTTCTTCCCTGCTGCTTTGTAGATAGGAAGTTGTGACTCGATTTCTGTTGGGAATTACTCGCCATTCCGCGGCGTGCGGGGTAGGACAGCCAGCTGCCAGCTGCTCAAGGGTCGTGATTATCGTCTGTTACACGTGTTTAACTGTAACCCGCAGTATGCAGAGCTCCAGACACACTTCTGCTGGTTTGCTCTAAGTTGAATGGTTTCGATAACCCCTACGACAAGCTTTTGTCGTCGGACGAAGCTATCCGCTCGAGATATACTCCGTAGCTGAGGGTACTTGATGTCTAATCTGAAGCGGCAGTACTCTCTTAGGGAACAGGGGCAGTAAGGCCATGTGGTCTTTGCCAACCCGCAGAAATGCCAAAAGTGAAAAGAAGGTTAAGGTGTTAACAGGAGATGCAAAATAATGAGGCTCCTTTGTCCCGGAATCATCTCAAGATTGGAAGACCCATGTCACATACCTGACAAAGAACACTCGACTGCCTAGCCGATCTCCGATCGAGCACAGACATTCATGATAAGCGGAGAAATAAAGATACTGCTAGGCCGTGTTAGCAGTTAGCACTCGGTAGATAGATGAGCAGACCGGCAAAGGGTGAAACGAAAGGGACCATGATAGACGGCCGGCCGGGCCCTGAGCTTGCGTCAAACCATGGCAACCGCCTGAGGCAGGCTCGCATCCGGAGGTGAGCCATGGGATCCAATGGGGGCAAATCATGTGGGGGTGGGCGCGTGGCACGATTGGTCAGAGAGGTCTGATATTGTCGATCGCCGTTCTGGAACCCCAAAGGCGCGACAACTCAGTGCCAGCCAACCAAAACCGCCGACGCGTGCACACGGAGAACCTCATCCTTCCAACTTGCTCTCAACACTCTGCATCTCCTTCCTTCTGCTCCCCAAGTTCTAGGGTCATGCGCTTCGAGCGTTGAACAAGACTGGCTCGGCTTTATCGTTCAAACTTAGTACTCCGAAGCCAGACCTTTGGATAGGACATCACTTGCCGCACTTGTCTGTAAGTCACTCATGGATTCGTCCGCCATGCCTTAGATTGATAAGGAATCCGCATCCGGCCCGGAGATGCTGTTCTGCTCGCTCATTCTTTCTCTCGCCCCTTGCTCTACCCATTATTTATCTGCCCTGGTGCAGGACCGCTCTTTAGCCCAAGCTTGGCTATTCATCTAAACAACATGACGATGCTAACTATAGGACGTTTTCTCAGTCGGTCATATCCGCACACCCGTGACGGTCCTACGATCTTTTCCTTTCAGCAGAGACTCATCATGGAGGAAGGTGGCGCCTACGATGCGAGGAAGCCGGAGTCGGTGGCCAGCAGCAGCTCGCCCGCCTTGCACCCCACGGCAGACTACGATCTCTCAGAAACAGAAGAAGCTCTAGGCTCGCCTGATACCTTTTACTCGCCGCCTGCCTCGCCGGGGCGCCTATCGCGCAACCCTTCCTTCTCATACCATGATGACTGGGAGACGTTTCCGCCTCTAGATCAACTGACCGTGTTTGATCTGCTCGATAACCTCTCTCTGTCCCAGAGACTGGAGAAGTTACAGCGGGCGCTCAATGCGCAAAAGGATAAAGTGAAGAGACAGCGCGAGAAGTTGAAGTCTACTTCGATTAACGCTAAGGAGCGTGTTGTGGGCGAGTGGAAAAGACGAGTTCCGACGGCAGATGAGCAGTTGGACAAGTATCGCCGTCGTATGAAGGATGGAGTGGAACGCCTCGGGAAACAATGGAACGCGACCGCAACAGTGACGCTGCGCGAGAAGATCTCCTTCATCGCCGGTGTACTGAACATCCTTGTGAGCGGTTACCTCCTCGGAGGGTCCCCGGAGTATTTCTACATCTGGTTCAGCGCGCAGTTGGCATACTTCATGCCTATTCGATTCTACCGATACCACAAGCGAGGCTATCACTATTTCTTGGCTGATCTCTGTTATTTTGTCAACATGCTTTGTATGCTTAGTCTCTGGGTCTTCCCTGGGTCCAAGAGGCTATTCATCAGCACGTTCTGTCTGGTTTTTGGCAACAACGCAGTTGCCATAGCCATGTGGCGCAACTCGATGGTCTTCCACAGTATGGACAAGGTGGTCAGGTAAGCTTTCTTCGGATTTTGCACCACATTTTGATCAGTCACTGACTCTGACATAGTCTTTTTATCCACATCATGCCGCCCGTGACCTTGCATTGTCTTGTCCATATGACACCCACGGATATCTTGAAAGAAAGATTCCCGGCAATCTACGAAATCAAGTCCAGCGAGCCTGGGTCGCCAAATCACTTTAACCTTCTGGAGATGATGGGATGGGCAACTGTCCCCTATATGATCTGGCAGTTGACATATCACTGCTTTATCACTATTCGTCGTGCCGAGAAGATCGCTGCGGGACGTCCGACCAGCTTCACATGGCTCCGCAAGTCTTATGCCAAGACCTGGATTGGCAAAGTCGTTCTCGGCCTCCCGGAATCACTACAGGCTCCGGCCTTCATGCTCATTCAATATGCGTACGCGATATTGACGATGATTCCTTGCCCTCTGTGGTTCTGGTCTCGGTGGGCTAGCGGGATATTCCTGACCGGTCTCTTCATTCTGAGCGTCCATAACGGTGCGACCTACTATATTGACGTTTTCGGCAAGCGCTTCCAGAAGGAGCTGGAGGAGCTGAAGAAAGATGTCGCTCGCTGGCAATCGTCCCCGGAAGGAGTCATCAGTCCGACACTCCTAACATCCGACAACGCTGCGACATCGGGGGCGACGGCCGTCGAGGAATCGGCCAGTGGGGGATCCGAAAAGGCCAGCATTGATCAGATTCCTCTTCTTGATGCCCATTCCACTGGCGTGGAGGGCAGCCATGTTGCCGACAACTCTGTGGTCCGGGAACGATCCTGATACGTTACGTGAAGCACCATACATAATACCCACCCTTTTGCCTGTTTTGGAAGTTTCATGCCTATAGCCATGCCTTGCGGATCTGACTAGATTAAATTGTTTCCCACTGATACCCAATGTCATCTCTTATTCGCTCCTTTACATTGGGAGTCTTTGTCTTGTCTTGCTTTTTTTCATGTTGGTTGGTTTGGGCATTGTATAGTTTGGAGATTTAGACTTGCGTGACGATTGACCGTGGCCTCGCATAATGATACGCTCATTTCAAGCAATATAATGATTTGTCAGTTTGTTGGCTAGTCAATGCTGGCTAGTTAGGTAATTGGAATAAATTGAGTCATGTTTGATGAGATCGGAGGTCGAAGCTTCCAGTAGCGAAGCCGGCCGGGCTCACGTTCGGCGGCGATCAAACCTTAAGTCCGACACCGCGGCGGTCACGTGCGTAGCCACCTCTGCTCCAGACCCTCGCAGACGACACCACGACATCTTGTCTTCCGATGTTAATGTCCGATCCTTTCTTTTCCTATCTACTTGGTGTGCCCCGCTCAAGGTGAATACTAGCATTTGGCTCAGAATTGTTGTGCATTCTCCAGTCTTCGCTCGCTCTTCCGAGCATTTCAATCCCCTAGGTTTCCGCAATGTCCGTAACAATGAGGTCAGCTAGCCTTGTGCACGGCAATGCAGTTTTGCGGCCTAATTTGATCGGTAGGTTCATCTGAAATCCGTATCCTTGGATGCCGATATGTTTCGACTGTTTAATGGCTAACCCATGGTTCTCATTCAGCCCGACCACGCCTTTCCGGTGCCTTGGCTGCGACCACGGCCGCAAACCTCCGATTCAACGGCAGAGGTCTGCCATCCCGACTGTCGGCCATCGCGATCCTAGTCCCCCAGCAGCGCGGATATGCCACTGAGCCCCCTACTTCCACATCCTCTTCGTCAAACTCTTTCCCCCCTCCGGGTTTCAACGCCGAACAGGCTAAGAAGCCCCTCCCCCCGGATACCGTGCAGCCCACGGGCACCAAGGGTGTCCAGAAGGTCGCATCCAACCCCGAGCAGACCATTTCGTCTCAAATTGATGCGCAGAACAAAGGAAAGTCGGCTGAGCTGACGACGATCAAGGCTACCGATGTAGACGGCAAAAAGGAGAAGGAGGCGAAGAAACTCACTATTGGACAAAAAATCAAGAAAGAAGTCCAGCATTACTGGGATGGTACCAAGCTTCTTGCCACGGAAGTCAAGATCAGCTCCAGGCTTGCATTGAAGATGGCTGCCGGCTACGAACTCAGCCGGAGAGAGCACCGTCAGGTTAGTACCGTCTGCTTGGTCTCTGTCAATCATGATCATCACTAACGCTGCATATTTGTGCAGCTCCAAAGAACCGTCAAGGATCTGGGTCGCCTTGTGCCTTTCTCCATGTTCGTCATTATTCCCTTCGCGGAGTTGCTGCTCCCCATTGCCCTCAAGTTGTTCCCCAACATGCTGCCTAGCACCTACGAGGGCCAGAAGGCGCGCGAGAAGAAGGCGCTGAGCCTGAGCTCGACGCGCAAGGAGGTCTCGGGATTCCTGAAGGACACACTGAAGGAGTCTGGTCTTCCGGTCACCGCTGCGACCGTCAAGAACGAGGAGTTTGCCGAATTCTTCAAGAAGATCAGGACCACGGGAGAATCGCCCACCCCTGATGACGTGATTAAGGTGTGCAAGATCTTCAAGGATGACCTGACGCTCGACAACCTGTCCCGGCCCCAGCTGGTGGGAATCTGCAAGTACATGAACCTCAACACTTTCGGCACGGATGCCATGCTCCGGTACAACATCCGCCACCGCATGCGCCAGATCAAGCGCGATGACCGCGCCATCTTCCACGAGGGTGTCGAGTCTCTGTCTGTCCCCGAGCTGCAGATGGCCAGCGCCTCCCGTGGTATCCGCACGCACGGTGTCTCCCCCGCTCGCCTGCGCGAGGATCTGTCGATGTGGCTGGACCTGCGTCTGAAGCAGGGCGTCCCATCTACCCTCCTGGTCCTGAGCAACGCATATGTGTACGCCCAGGGCGGTAAGGAAGCCGAGATGTCGTCCCAGATCGAAGCTCTCCAGTCTGTGTTGTCCAGCATCCCCGAGGAGCTGTTCCACGAGATCGAGCTTGAGGTGCACAACGCCGAGGGCGCCGCCACCAACAAGCAGCGTCTGGAGGTCATCAAAGAGCAGCAAGAGCTGATCGAAGAGGAGAACGAGCAGAACAGCGAGAACGAAGAGAAGGGTGTCGCGGCCCCCAAGGATATCGAGGACATTGACGACAAGGAGGACGTGAAATTCGAGGCCAAGTTCAAGAGCCAGTCCGGTGAGGCCACTGAAGCCGCGAAGGAGGGCGAGAAAGCCGAAGTGGCCACCCCGGCCAAGGAAGAGAAGAAATGATCTCCATCCGGTCGTTTTTCCTTCGCGCGTTGATGAGCTGTGACATAGATCTCCTCCTTCTCCTTCCTCCATCCCACCCATCCTCTCTACTTTCTCCCCATGTGTTAGTGTGTATACGATAGACTCCTGTTTGTTTCCTGTTCCTACTCCTGCTTTAAGGATCCCATGGTTGGACACCGTCGTCCTGTTCTCTTATCTCATATCCTTTAAACACAATCTTCTTTTGTGATGTACCGAACTCAAATAGATACTTGGACGGTTGATCTGGACAAAAAAAATCGTCGTGGGAATATTAATGGATAAATCAGTCATGAATAATTCGTACAACATACATACATACATACATACATCCATTCATACATAAGTACCTAGTCAGTTGAAAAGAAAACCATAGTAAAGCGGCTACTCCGGCACTTTAGCCACTCTACCTCGGCAACAACCCCAACCCAACAACAACTCTACCTAAGGTACTACTCTCTCTCCTATCAAGTGACCATTTGAGCCCAGACCAATTCCAAACCCCAGCCAATCTACTTAACTTATCCATCCTCATCCCCCTCACCTAATACTAACTACCTACCTAAATAAATAAATGATCGATTATAATTCCGGTTCCCTGAAATGCGAACCCTCCCCCACCACCACCTACTGCTGCACCGCCAACCCCGGATCATTCGCAACCTCACCACTTACAGTCACAGCCACGCGCGCAGCATAATGCCGCCTTTGAACCTCGCATCACAGGTACATCCATCATCCATCCACCATCTAATTAATTCTTTCTATTCCGATTCAAACGGAATAAAATATCCCATCCCTCAATTGATTAATACAGACTGTCCCCAATCATACATCGCATCCGCGCTAGTCCCAAATGACGTAACCAGCTAACTAAACGCAACTAGAAAGCCATCTCGCGGTTAAGAAACTACGTTCCGCCACCAACGAGCTATGATTCTGTGCCGTTGTCGAGACGGGCTGCGGTGCTGGTGCTGCTTTATGCGGACCAGAGGGGGGAGTTGAGGGTTGTGTTGACGATGAGGGCGGCGACGTTGAGTTCGTGTGAGTATCTATCCTTATGTTTTTGTTTGGTGATGCGTAGGGTAGGGTAGGATGCATGGATGAATGGCTGATGATGTTGATGATGGTGCAGATGCTGGACAGGCTGCTTTGCCGGGTGGTAGGTCTCTATTTTTCTCTTTCTGTCTTTCCTCGGATACTATGTGTAGCAGATAGATGCTTGGTCTATCACCGTAGAAATTGCAGGCCTACGAGGAAATAAGCTAACCCGAGCAGGAAAAGCCGATACTTTGGAAGAAACGCCCTTTCAGACGGCTCGACGCGAAGCCAAAGAGGAGATCGGGCTTCCTGACACCAACCAGAAACTTCCGCAGCCTTTCACGGTCGAGCATCTCTGCGAGTTCCCGGCCAATTTGGCACGAACGGAACTGGTAGTTCGGCCGTGTGTGGCGCTTTTGCATTCTTTCGATGAAAGGACGGGCGAGAATGCCGATCCTGAGGTTTCCCTGATCCCGAGGTTGGATGCGCGGGAGGTGGCTGCGGTGTTTACGGCGCCGTTTAGGAATTTTTTGCGGAGCAGGGATGAAGAGGATTGGGGAGGGGATCCGGTGGATTGGTATAAGGGGGCTTGGACAGAGTGGCATCAGTCGGATTGGCGGAGTGAGTTTCTTCTCTTCGAGATGGGGGTGTAGACTCGGTTACTGACAGGTGAAGTAGTGCATCAGTTTTTCGTCCCTGTTCGGCCTAAAGAGGTGGTCAAGCCGAAGGAAGGGACCAGGGAGCAGAAACAGACGATCAGTCAATTGGAGGAACAGGAGAAGGCCGAGCAGGTGATCCGCTACCGGGTGTTTGGGATGACGGCACGAATGCTGGTGGATGTGGCGCGGGTTGCGTATGCAGAGGAGCCCGAGTTTGAGCACAACAGCCACTTCGGAGATGAGGCGATTATTGCGCAGTTGCGGAAGATGGGCCGCTTAAGTCCGATTCGGAGAAAAGGGGATCAGTTGACGAGGGAGGATACGAGGTTGGCGGCGAAGCTTAGTTGATATCTACCTACCTTTCTATATCTGAGATAGACATCTATTATGGATATTTTATCCCATAGGAAGACCGTGGCTTTCACATCTATCGCTATCAAATCGGGTCCTGGCACGAAGGGTCTCGGTGGCTTGTGAGACGACACCACGCGAGATCAGTGTCACTCGATCAGAACAGGAGACCACAAACAAGTTGGTAGGACAAACCCCTGAGATGCAGGCGGCTGGTAGGGACACCGGTTCGCAATCCCATATTTGTCCCTCTGCGGGCCACTGCTGTCGGGCCGGGGTTCCTCCTGATTGCCTGTGATTTGCCTGCTGCAGGTGCCCATCAGGTTGGCGCTACGGAATGCTTGACGTCCACAATCTTGTGATGACGCTCGAGATGCATAGCCGATGTTGTGCATTCGCCAATTAACAGCTGTCGTCCGGATTGTCATAGCGTGTTCCCACGCTATCTCCGAACCGCATCTGTAACCTCCTGTTGGTCGTACAAGGCAAAAATTTGTCATCGCACTCCGTAGTCGCTTGTGGGTGTTTGCATGAGGCATCTGGACCGTGCATTAGAGAGATCGGTAGCTGCAGAAGGGCAAGTTTTCGACGGAGATGCTTTCTGTTTCTGGTAGAAATTGCGGCATCTGCCGATCTGGAGTACCTTTAGCAATGTTGACTTGCCGAAATGATTATCTCAGAGAAGGAAAACTCCTCGTTTTCGAGCATAACTGGTGGCCTTTTAGTAGTCTAGGTCCCCTGGATGTTGCATTCTGGAACTCATGTCATGTCAGACGCAGATGAGCGGTGCAATTGCCCACTAGATGCAATAGGAAGGTCGGTGAGAATCCGTCAACATGAAGATGGTTGGGAAAGCCTGATTGAAGTCTTATCATGTCTAATGCCAACGGTAGCAAACGAGCAGCGCCTGGATGAATTCTTTGGGTGGAGAACTGATGGTTGAAGAAGGCCGGCTGACCAGCGAGGAATGTTTTGTTTGCCTTGTCGCCGCCGCTGCACGTGGCCAGGCCGGCTCGCTTCAAGGTCACCCCAAGTTGATTGTCTTTCTGTCTGCTTCTGCATTGTGCGCTGATGAAAGTACAGACAGGACTATCTGGCCAACATTATAGGTCAGACTTAACATTGTCATGGTGGTGGATGAATTATCCAACTACTATAATTGACCATCACCGTCATGCTCAGGCTGAGTTACGCAGCAGCTCAGTATCTGGCTTTCCTCATCTCAATTACAACCATGACTAAATCCTGGACGTGCAGATTACCCCATGCTATCAACGCTCCTGATACAGCACCGATCTCTCATTGGCCTCTCGGGCCGTGTGACAGCGTTGTGCTGGCGCTCATTGGGGCAGCCGCTTACATTCGCATCTGGCACAGTAAGTACGGAGTACAAACATGGTCACCTGGTGCTGGCCTCGAACAATGGTCTGCAACAATCTACAAGCGTGGAATGTGTCTGAAGCCTGCTTTAGGATTAGGAATGGCCCCTGCTGCCTAGCCTTGTAGCCCGCCAGGTGCAGGTGAGACATCCCGTGCAACAATGTTAGTGTCATTGATCCCTCATTGCTGATGACGGCAACACATGGAGCCAAGATGACCAGCAATGCCATCATCAGAGAAAGACTCCCACCGCCTATTCGAGGCGGCCGAAACTCGGAGATCCATTCACGACACCTGCAACATGGCGGATCGGATTTGGAATCTGTCTACCAATCACCGACGCAGGTCGGCTCGCATTGCCCGCAGCAGCATTGCTTGGTTGCCATGGGACCAGCCTCAATCCGACTGTGATCTGAAACGGGTCGGGTATGCCCGTGAGTGGAATTCGTCCGCTTTCTTGAATGGTGGCGGTGGACCGTCTTGATACTGGAAGTCTGGAAGCCCCACACTCAACCCAGAAGGCTCACATTGTAGCGCATGCCTTCTTGTCTCATCATGAGCTCATGCTCACTCGATCGGATCGATCGACTGAGTTGTTATCTGGGTGGATCTGAGCAAGGCATGAAGTCAGCGCGTACCGCGACTACCAGCCATCTCCACCGTATGTCAATCGTCTCTCGGGCTCAGCTGTACCACAATTCGATTGTGTCCGAAGTATACCCACCGGGTCTGTCGCACAGTACAATGTCTGCTGCGACGGGCGAATGTGGCGTCGCTGCATTGACAGCATTTGGGTTTTCACCGATCGAATCGGCCGCCTAGATGCCTGCCTGACTCCGATGGGGCTGATAGGTGCGACCACGCAGCTGAATCCCGAGAGGAAGGGACGAACAGTGGAGGAGGGCCAGAACGAGGCACATTACGGCGTGGTCGGTGAGACACTGTGATGTATCCACGAAATCCTCAGAGCGACACCGGTCTGGAGCACGTGTCTTGGCTAGAGTGACCTGTCATAGTATGAATGAGCGCCGGTTTAGCTCATAGGCATCGGATTCCTTGATGGAAGAGCCTGGTTGGGGCTAGAAGTGAAATCCGGCAGTCAGAGGCGTCAATGCGTCGGTTATCTGCCGGATGTCTCCTATGAAGGAAGTTGAGCATCGACAATGGGCATTATGGTCTGTCCTGAACAAAAGGAGAGCAATTCTGGATACTGGATAGACTATCTGTGTTACATGTCATATATGTACCTTGCACCCACGAGAAAAAAAAGAAACGAGAGAGACGCAGCTAAGGAAGAAAACGCGACTAAGAAACCAAGCTAAGCGTGCAGAGAAGAGAGAAGGAAGAAAAGAAGAGGGTCTGTCAAAGGCGATCTCCATACCGCAATGTGACCTATCCCACCCATGTATGTCATTCGCGCGGACTGGAAGTTTCCTTCGGACTGCAGACCGGGGGGCCATGCTGAGATGACGGATCCACCTTTCAGGTTAGTGAAAGCGTGAGTTCATTAAGTCGGTTCAGCCGTCAGGGATGAGGATGGATGGCGAGAGCTGAAAGGCTGAGGCAACCAGGGATAAGCGGTGTTCTTTGTTGGCGAGCCAGTGCCAGCCATCTACTAGCGACCGGCAAACAACCAAAATAAACCCGAAGGATGACTGGTGGGAGGCCGATCTGCCCCGGGAGCCGCTAATAATAATCGACCAAGTGGGTTTCTGTTCATTCTGGCAGGGTGAGATCGACTCTGGGGTCCTGCGGGCTTGGATCACTCCGGCGTTGGTGCGGTTGCTGGTTGAGGTTCGTATTTCCCGGCCCTAACTCAGTTGCTTTCCTTCATGATTCCATCCATCCATCCATCCATTCATTGATCCCGGCAGCCATCTTTTCCAAATCATTACTGGACCGCATTCTGACTGGGTCCAGGGCATTGGAGGCGAGGTTGCACGGAATCTGCCCATGGCGCGCCAGCAGCCCAGCCCACCCTATCACCATCCCTTGCATGGGGGTGTCACTCTCATGAGGCTATTCCCGCTCATGATGACCACGACGATCCTGCGGCCGACCAGGAACTGCCCTTGAGATATATCGGTTTTTACTTTTTTTTTGATTTTCCTGCTCTCGCTGGACCTGATCCGGCGGGCCCATCTGACTCCGCCCCGACTCCTTGGGATCTAGGGATGAACGGCCGGAACAGCCAGGCGGCCCTCGTTTAGTTGCATCGCGACCCTCCCCCTATGGATCCCCCCCTCCCCATGGATTGGATTGCCATCCCATCACATCACATCCACTGCTTCTGTCGGCCTCGTTCCCTTCTCCTCTTCTCTTATTAACCCCTCCCTTTCACGCCTGCCATCTGCTCCCCCCTCCCTCTCTTCTCCTCCCCTTGCCCTTCGTCCTCGCTTTCTTTCCCTCGTTCTCCTCTTTCTGAACCATGGTCCCGGCCTGTTCTTTATCTCTACAATCCCGGATAAAGACACCGGCCACAGGCTGACCTTGCCGGGGACGGTCGTGTGATTGTTTGCTTGCTTGCCTGCTGGGCTGTCATCCTGGCCGCCAAAAAAGGTTAAAATTGCAACGAGGCCGGCGACTGGCGAGAGTCGAAAAAGCAACGGACCTGGCCGTGTTCGGGTCACATTTTTGGTACTTCGCGAGTTACTTTGACACTTGCACGGAGGACATACTAATCCGGTCGACTTCACCCGATTCGACTGGCTGGTTATCTTTCTCTTCACTCCTTCTGCTTTGTTCTTTTGTTCCTCTGATTTTCCCTTGCCACGTTCTCCTCCCCCCCGGCTTCGAGGAGGAGGAAGCCATTTGAGACGCCCTTCCCCTCCCTTCATCCCCAGCTATAACTATCTACTACCCACTGCCACGACCACGATATACTTCCGTGCCCGAGCTACACCCACCCACGCCCACGCTTACACCACCATGCTTTCCCCTTCCTCGTTGGCCCTTCCTCGACAGGCCCCTCCGGTGAGGCCCTCCCGGTCCCTTGAAGGATTGGAACAAGTGATTCCTCCTCGAGTGCCAGTGCCCCCCGCTCGCCCGACACTGCTGCACCTTGATAAGCCACTCCCCGAGCTGCCTCCCAAGCCGCTGCCTGAAACCCCGTCGATGGATGAGGGCTCCACCGCATGGAGCGATGACAGCAGCACGGACTCCAGCTTCTGTGACAGCCGACGCTTTTCCGAGGATTCTACCGAGAGTTACCCTGTTTTTGTCCGCTCCGGTTCGGACGATCTGACCGAGCTTGTCGATCATTCTCCTGCTCCAGGGCCTCATCAACCTCACCACCTCGCCATCACCACCACTTTCCTCCATGATGACCATTGTGACCGCCCGCCGCCCTGGACGGCCACCCGGGCTGGTCCCAACCATTACTTTCGGGAGAAGAAATGGGACTTTTTCCCCGAGCTGGCCACTCCTTCGGCTCTTCCGCCATCCCCGCGTTTTGCAACACACCCCCGCAAAAAGACCGGCAGTCGATTAAACCTCGCCGTCTTCGACTTTTCCAAGGGTCGCAACCGCTGGAACTCGTCCGACGTCCGCAACTCAATTCGCTCTTACGTCCAACGGCGTTTATCGAAAAACTCGCTAGAAAGAAACAAGAGCAATAGATCTTCACGACCCGCGACAGACTCGCCAGACTATGCACGCACCCCGACCCCATCCAGCAAGACCACTGCATCGAAAGAACCTTCCCCGCCTGGCAGCCCGAGGCTCCTGAGCCCAGTGGATGTCTCGGCTGCGGGCAAACGCCTGTCACGCATGTCCACCCGCTCAACCATGGGTCCCCGCGGGAAGCGCCCGCGGCCCCTGGCGTTCCAGCGGAACAAGCAGCTGGCAGTCCCCATGTCGCCGTATCAAAAGTACGGTGCCGCCATCTGGGAGAAATCCGGTCGTGAGAAACGAATTAGTTACCGACAGAGCCACCACGTTCGGTTTCCCCGATATAGGAAAGCGAGCTCGTCCAAGAAGGGCTTTGTGTCGTCAGCAACACCACCTCTGACGCCACCAGCCCGGTCTCAACTCCAGCAGAACACCCGGGACTGTGTCAGGGCCCTGCAAGATGGGACACACCATCTCCTGGGCGCCCTCGATGGCGCCAGGAAGAAGATTACTGGATCGCGAGGCCATCGACGGAACTCTGAGCTGAAGTCGCAGATCCGACTCGTTGGACCAGTTAGTGCGTATAATAACAATTACGGACAGTCTGACCCATGGATTTAGAACGGACGGGGTCCACTCTCTACTCATTTTCTTTCCTGTTCGCTTCTCTTACTTTCAAGATATCCCTTCGCTTCTTTGCCATCTATTAGCCTTTAGCCCGTCTTGTTCCGGTCGCTCTCTACCTCTCTTCGTGTCTAGTCTTTACACCATGATATCCCGTTGGCATTTTCAGGTTGCTCGCTCGGCGTTGGGGATATAGGATGGATATATACATTGATAATAGCGTATTGTAATACGATTTCCTATCTATCTACCACAGTACTTACCTCTAAAATCTACCCACCACTAAGTAACCACACTCTCCAACCAAATAGAAATCAGATAACAGATAAATACATACTCCGCACCCAAATCAAGGCTCTTATTTCCAAAAAATGTAATCCCAATCAAAACACGTGCACCTCCCCCGCCCCCTTACCTCCAACATGATGAGCGTGATCTCAATTCATACGCATGATCTTCCCACCTACCCTACATACCCCACACACATGAATCAAGTCATCATCTGTCTCTCACCCCCTACCTTCACTGATAACTGACTATTTACCTACTTCGGAGTATTAATTACCCTGCTATACCTATCTAGTATCTACCCCCTATCCACACTCCTCCATAAAATTGAGATCATAACAACAAATAATACAACATCAATTAAACTAAATCTGTTATTTTACATATCCACTTACCCAAGTAGTCAACCAATCAATCAATATCCCACATCAAGATTTGTCATTCGAGTATATATGTAATGCTTTGTACGACATATATGCATCTACCCATACGACGCGGTTTGGGTTTGATTGTACTGGGGCATGTTGTATGACATTACATACCCTAATAGGTTGGGTAGGTACCGGGGCGGCGGGTTGTGTTACCTAGTAGGTAGTAAGTGGTATTTAACTAGGTCAGTGCGTAGACGGTATTTGATATTATGATGGGTTTGGTGCTGATGCTCGGTACCTGGATAGGCAGGGAGGGTTGTTTTTCCTGCGGAGATTTATGTGTGGGGTGGTTTAGGTAAGGGGGATTGTTTGGCTGGCTGGCTGGCTGGCTGGCTGGCTGGTTGGTTGAGATTGAGTATGGATACGTGTGTATGTATGTATGTGTGTATGTGTGCAGTAGGTGTGTTGTTGCTATGTATAGATAGATGGATAGGGGATTGGTTGGACCTGGAACCTGGAGCTTGGATGGTCTTGCAGGGGTGCATGTGCATATGCTATATGCTGTGCTGTGCTGTATGTTATTATGCTGGGGGGTGTTGGGTCGGAGGATTTAGGGAGATACTACCCCAGATTAGTGTTGGGTTGGTATCGTTGATGAAAGGATGTATTAGTTTCTAGGTGATAGGTATAATTGAGATAATTGATCATTCAACCTAAATAAGGTGATAGTAGTAGTCATAAAAGGTAACTAAGGTATTCTATATTTTATCCGTTCGCCCAACCATCGCCAGTCCGGAACCAACCCACAATGAACCCGAAAGAGACCCGACCAGAATGAAAAGAACTTCACAATTGCGCAACATTTTCCAGAATCTGCACCTCCTGGCCCGGCTTGAACGCCGGGAGACCGATGAACGGGCAGCCCGCGCACCGGAAGGCATCGCCCAGTGCGCAGTTACCACACGAGCCAGTCTTGCCCTCCACGGTGAAGTCCAACTCATTCAGATCGTCCGTCTCCAACTTCAGCACATTCAGAGCCTTGTCTGCCTTCTCTCGCTCCGCCTGTTCCTCTGCTTCGAGTCGTGCCGCGAGACCGCATGTGCAGTCCTTGCAGGCTCGGCGCCGGCGACCGGGCTTAGGCTGGCATTCCGGGGCTATACAGTCAATCCGTCAGCAAGGCTTGGAATATGGGATAGGATAAATGTAACTCACGTTGTATGGGCCTCTTCAAATCCTCATCCGACAGTAGCGTGTCCTCGTCGATCAAATCATCGTCATTATCGTAATCGTCCTCATTATTAATCATGCCCACAGCCACGGGCTGAACGGGAGGCGCAGGCGTAGGAGCAGGCGCAACCGTCTCCATCTTCACGGCATCCTTCTTCTTTCCACCGCGACGCAGGGGTATAGCGAACGACTTGGGCTGATCCATCTTCTCGAATCCGGCATCGGTCTTGATCAGCCCCGCCAAAACAGCCTCGCGCTTCTCAGCCTCCCCGAAGAAGTTATCCTGGGTCTGCAGCTTCGCCCCAGCCTTCATGCATGGAACCAGCGCCGTGTATACGTCCCGCGTGAGCAGGTGGAGTGCCTCCGACCGGCGCGTGCCATCGGTATCTGTAAGGACGAGAATGTGATCATATGTGTTGGAGGGGAGGGAGACGAAGCCGGCAGATATGCGGTCGAGCATCTGCAGGTCGGTTGTGGAGCGGTCGAAAGTCGTGAAAAGGTCTCGAAGCTTTTCTTCCTGAGTGGCGATGGAGGGGGGAGCGAGGAGGAGGGTGCGCTTGGAGGGGTCGGTTGACTTGGGCTGGAAGGAGGGAGTGGGCGCCATGTCGAAGTCGGGCGTTGTGTCAATGGTCACGAACGAGGGAGCCATTGTGTTAGTCTACCTGTGGTTTCGTTCGTGAAGGAAGGGTAGAGAGGTGGAGGAGAATGGAGGGGGGGAACTTGAGGTCAAAAGTGACCGGGACCGTGATCGGACGCTTGTTTTTGGGTTTGTCTGGCTGACTCAATTGTCATCTGACTGCGTTGTGATTGGGTGGTGGGGTCGGTGGCAGAGATTGTGTTTGAATGTTATCGCCGGTATTTTTTGGGTTATCTGATGACTGCGGACTACAAATCTGCACAACCCCGAGGAAATGCTGGGGACAAGGGTGTCAATCGGCCGATCGTGATAGGCCTTGCCCGCTCCCTTCGGCAATGATGAGATTTCTGGGAGGTTCTCCTCGGGTTCTGGCAACTTCACTGTGATCATTCTCTCCAATGCCCCGCACCGATATTACTTCAGCCCCGTTGCTATTGCTCCTGCTCGATGGCCGTGGAAATTGCACGGTAATTACTGGCCCTTTCGGGCTTAGCGTGGATGGCCTGCTGCCCAAGCTGGCTGACTAATATGCATCACTCGCAACCCCGCTTGTTTGCTGACGGCCCATGATGTCACAAGATGGCCGGAGAGGGTGGTTGCCCTCCTACCAACATGAAGCCTGTACACATATCGATGTGCCAGAAGTCGGGGCTTCATGCAACACGGATGGTCATTATTGGCGAGTTGGCCTGTCGGCTGAGGAGTTGCCAGTTGTTTACCCCAGACGCATTCCAACCTTAATCGTACCCCGGAAACGGCCATCGGGCGGGTAGATGGGTATGGAGGACTGGACAACTCGAGTGTTCAGGACAGCACGGTGGCTTCTGGGGTACTCTAATCAATTGATTAGAATGATTTTTGGCTCCGAGGCAGCAGTTCATCTATTTGGAGTAGTATTTCTTGAAGAGTTTTGTAGTGTCAAACTCTAGGTCCGACGGACCAGAAGAATACTACACTTTCTACACCAATTCAGCTACACGCTACACACGTCGATTTACACGACAGTCGTCACGCTTGACAGAGGCATTGCCGTATATACACCAGGCCATATAGGTCCAATCGTAATTTCATCTGTATGGCCATTGAGAGCCCACGGGCGGTGGCTGACAAGGCAGCATCACCGGATCCGCAGCGATGCCTGCAACCAACGTCACCTGCCTCAGGCTGGCCGTGTTCCTGGCCGTTCCTGGCGACTCCTCACTTCTCTCCCCTCGAGCCATCTCCCCCGCCTGACCCTTCAATCCAAACCAATTCATCAAATGCTCCATCATTTGCACACTTTGCATCCAAACCGTTGTCCCTCTAGCCTTCCAGTCTACATAGTAATAAACTAGACCCGCAACCATGGGTGGAGACGTTCCCCGGCAAGCTCCCAGCGCCCTTCCCCAGACTCCCGCGGGCCCCGTCGGGCAACGCATCAAGAACATTTACACCGACCGGCTCAAGCAATTCACCGCTACCGGTCAGTACGACGGCCAGAACCTCATCTCGTAAGTTCTTCCTCAATCTGATTATCACACAGCACTTTGTGGTTCTACCAGTGGCCTCGTTCCTACCCGACCCACATTAACGCCATACTAGCAAGCTGGCCGAGGCCGTCAACTCCGACGAGAACCATGTCAAGCTTTCAGTATATTCGGTCCCCAACTTGCAGCGTCCAACCTTCAAAGAGGCTACCGCCAATGAGTTCAAGCCCACCCATATCGGAGCCTCATTTGGCCCCAGCTGGTCCACCCATTGGTTCCGTATTCGCCTGACGGTCCCCGAGGATATGCGTCAGAAAGAGCGCTTGGAATTCCACTGGGATGCAAACAATGAGGGCCTGGTCTGGACGGAAGATGGCCGGCCCCTACAAGGCCTCACCGGTGGCAACGAGCGTATTGAATGGATCATTCCCGATGCCTGGCGTGACGGAAAGGAACACACCTTCTACATCGAAATGGCCTGCAATGGCATGTTCGGAAATGCCCCGGGCGGAGATTCAATCCAGCCACCTAACCCTAACAGATATTACACATTGCACAAGGCACAGATCACCGCCGTCAACCTGGAGGCACGGGCGTTGTTCTATGACTTCTGGATCATCGGAGGTATGTTCTGACCACTAACAATGCACACTGTGCGGGATGCTCTGTACCGTGCTCACTCGTACATTAGATGCGGCCAGAGAGTTTCCTGGTGATTCCTGGGAGTCTCATGAAGCCAATATGGTAGGAAATGCAATCATGGATGCGTTCATTGCTGGCAATGGAAGCAATGAATCAATCAAGGAGGCACGCAAAATTGCCAGAAAGTACCTGGGGGACAAGGTTGATTCTTCGGAAGTGTACGAGACCGACACACAACCCATTGTCTACGCCGTCGGACATTGTCATATCGACACCTGCTGGTTGTGGCCCTGGGCAGAAACCAAACGCAAGGTTGCCCGATCATGGTCGAACCAGTGCGACCTAATGGAGCGATACCCGGAGCATCGCTTTGCTTGTTCCCAGGCACAACAGTTCAAGTGGCTGAAACAATACTATCCCTCGGTTTTCGACCGCGTGAAACAATGGGTTAAGAAAGGTCATTTCCAGCCAATTGGTGGTAGCTGGGTCGAGCATGACACAAATATGCCCAGTGGAGAGTCTCTTGTGAGACAGTTCCTCTACGGGCAGCGCTTCTTCGAGAGTAATTTCGGGGAACGCTGCACGACCTTTTGGCTTCCGGATACCTTTGGCTATTCCACGCAGATACCCCAGATATGTCGCCTGGCGGGAATGAGTCGCTTCTTTACTCAGAAGCTCAGTTGGAATAACATTAACAACTTCCCACACACTACTTTCCAGTGGGTTGCACTCGATGGGAGCCAGGTTATCTGCCACATGACACCAGCGGAAACTTATACTGCCAGTGCTCATTTTGGCGACGTGAAGCGCAGCGTGACTCAACACAAGTCGCTGGATAATGATAACACATCGCTCTTAGTATTTGGCAAGGGAGACGGTGGTGGCGGGCCAACCTTCGAGCATCTGGAGAAGTTGCGTCGCTGCCGTGGTCTCAGTGACAAGGTAGGCTTGCTTCCCCGTGTGAAGATGGGGGGTTCGGTCGACGACTTCTTTGATAAGCTTGAGAAGAAGGTGGAACAAGGCACCCGCTTCGCTACGTGGTACGGGGAGCTGTATTTCGAGCTTCATCGGGGCACATACACCACACAGGCCAACAACAAGCGCAACAACCGTAAGTCTGAATTCCTGCTGAGGGAAATTGAGTATCTCGCCACTCTTGCTACCCTCACGCAGACTAGTGGTGATTATAAGTACCCTAAGAAGGAAATCGATGAAATGTGGGAAGACGTGCTCTTGTGCCAATTCCATGACTGCCTCCCTGGTAGCTGCATTGAGATGTGCTATGACGACTCGGATGAGCTCTACAAAAAGGTATTCGAAATCGGCCAGAAAGCAAGGAAGGATGCTCTCAAGGCTCTAGGATTCGGCGGCAAGAGTACCAAGGGTCTTGTTGCCATGAACACATTGCCATGGCCTCGCTCAGAAGTTGTCAAGGTTCCTGCTGAGTTTGCAACCGCGGGTGTCCCCAAGTACGCAATTGTCAGTGGTGAAACTGGTCTCATTCAGTGCCAGCCTTCTGCAACCTCCAAGACAGTACCTGCTGTGACTGTCTCTGAGATCGAGCCTGGTGTATTCCGTCTGCAGAATGAGAAACTGAGGGTGGATGTCCATGAAGGCATTATAACCTCCCTGTACGATCTTGAAGCAAAGCGCGAGATTATTGCCAAGGGCGGAAAGGCAGGGCAGCTTGTCATCTTTGATGATAAGCCACTCTATTGGCAAGCGTGGGATGTTGAGGTCTTCCACCTCGAATCAAGAAAGGAGTTGCCATCCGGGAAGACTACTATTGCCGAGAAGGATCCGTACCGTGTCAGCGTTGTCACTGAAACCCCAATTAGCGAGAACAGCTGGGTCAAGACGACTCTTAGTCTAGCTGCCGCGGTGGGAGACCAGCCATCCTATGTCGAGATGGAGAGTGAAGTCGAATGGCGGGAGACCATGAAATTCCTCAAAGTCGAGTTTCCGGTTGACATCACGAACACCGAGGCATCGTATGAGACACAGTATGGAATCATCAAGCGCCCGACGCATTACAATACTAGGTAAGTTATCTTTATAGACGTATGGTATTGTTGCTAACATGTTTCAGCTGGGACATGGCCAAGTTCGAAGTGTGCTGCCACAAATGGGCAGACCTGTCTGAGAATGGCTACGGTGTTTCGGTCCTCAACGACTCCAAGTACGGGTTTGCGACTTGCGGTAACCTGATGCGCCTTTCTCTGCTGCGCGCATCGAAGGCACCGGATGCTCATGCAGATATGGGTCATCATCGCATCCGCTACGCAATTCTCCCGCACGCAGGACCCTTGGATTCACGCACGATCCGCGCAGGGTACAACTTCAACCATCCCCTTGTTCTTGAGCCCGCATCTGTCTCCAAGGCCACGGACGCGTTCAAGTCTATCTCACTTGAGGGTTCTCCATCGCTCGTATTGGACGCGGTGAAGCGCGGCGAGGACGACGAAGACGTGTCGCGTGACAATCTGCCACGGCGCGCAGGCCAGAGCGTCATCCTCCGGATTTACGAGTCATTGGGCGGCAAGAGCCGTGGAACCATCAACACCAAACTTCCAATCAAAAAAGCGTGGAAATGCAACATTCTCGAAGATGATGAGACGGCTCTTACACTGTCCAAGGGCGACACGGATACCACAAACATCGATATCGAGTTGAGGGCTTTCGAAGTGGCGACGTACAGACTGCAGCTATAGCCGGTTTCTATCATTGTCGCGTCAGAGCAGGGAGGGAAGTCATCCTGTGTATTTGATTCCAAAATGAAACATATCTTTCAAGATGTACAATCTAGCAAGTCAGCGCCGATGCAGTCTAGTAATACAGAGGATATCACAAACATATAGAAACCGAGCCGATGCAGCGAACCCAAAGCGTCTGCGCCTCCACCAACCCAGACAAGAAACGAATAGCAAACCCACCAACTCCGGCAACCCCCATAAATCAATCGATCGACCGATCAATCCCGTCCATACGTAATCTTCAATCGCTTTGTCGGTGGCCTATCCCCATCCGTCCCATCATCGTCCCCCTTATCCTTATTACTCCCGCCTGATTTCTTCTTATTCTTCGACGACTGCCCCTTGACACTATTCGCTGCCGACGACACATCCCCATTCCCGGGCTTCCCGGTCGACCCGTTATACGTCGAGTTTGGAGTCGCAGCATGCGACGGTGTCGTTTGAGCGGATGAAGGCGCAGGCGAATCCTATACCAGTAACATATTAGCCCCCATTACCATCTCATCCATATCACCACAAACGAGACAAGGAGTGAAGAGAAAGGAGAACATACCCGCATAAACCCCGCCGAACTCCTCGAAAACACCCTATCCGCATCCGTAACCGTCGCCTTTCTCCTCGTCGCGCCACCACCACCACCTCCACCCACGCCAGCTGAAAGAGCTATCCCGCTGCCTCCGATCCCCGCCCCACTAGAAGATCCCTTGATGTAGTTGTCGAATCCCTTGATGATGTTTCCAGCGGTGGTTTCTTCGAGATAGGATTGTTCGAACCGGTAGATTTGGTCTTCGAGTTGGGCCTGTTTCATAATCCGTTTGTATTAGATATGATTCGGAAGGAGAAAACGGGGAGGGGAGGTGGGGGCAGTACCATGCTCTTATCCATCAGGCGCTTTTTTTGGAGAGTGTCGCGGAGCTCGCGTCGGAGTTTCTCGTAGTAGGGGAGGCCGCGGTTTGTGGTTGAGGAGGCGGAGGTGGAGGAGTCGGGGGCTTGCGGGGGTGGATTGGTTGAGGATGTGAGATTGGAGTTGGAATTGGAATTGGAATTCGGTGCTGTGGCTGCTGTGGTGGAGGGCATCGTGGTTGGGGCGGGGGTTGTTCCTGCTGGTGTGGTGGTGGTGGTGGTTGGTCCTGGGGTTGGTACCGTTGTTGCGGTCGCTGCTGGAGGGGCAGGTTCGGCCATGGTTTAATTTGGTTTTGTTGTTGGTGTGGTGGGGAATTGGACGGGTGGTGGGTTAGAGATTGGGGCGCATTGAGGGGGGTATGGTGGTAGAACTGCGTATGTAGATAGGTAGGTACCAGGCTGGAGCTGAGGATGTGTCGCGAGTCTAGAAGCGGAAGGGAACTTGAGGATGGGATGGAGGACAATCGCCGCCAGATCTTATCGGGGCTGTTTGGCTGGTTTGCATGGGCCCCGTCACTTACGTACACTCTTGCGGAGGGATGCATCAGCTCCTCCTTACTACTCTCTTCACCGGGTCGACTTGATCTGGACGGGTGGCTTGATATCATATTACTCTCATATTGGTTGCATTTGATTTGATCTAAAAGTGAGTTTGAGAATACTCCGATTTCAGGATGGATCACTCTATGCATAACATGGGAATGGATATGGATCATGGTCATGATCATGGCGATATGGATATGGGCGGAAAGTGCAGTATGAATGTAAGTGTCTTTGTCTCTGGGATATTTTGGTCTTGATGGAGCAGTGGGGAAATGTGTTGGAATGTGCTTCTTGCTAGGTTTGGGGTTACTGCTATCGGGCACTAATAGTCTCGTTGCTAGATGCTGTTCACCTGGTCTACGAAAGACCTCTGCATCGTCTTCCCCCAATGGCACATCACCAGTACTTGGTCCCTTCTGGGTTCGCTTGTCGTTATCGTGCTCTTGACAGCGGGCTACGAGGGCATCCGACAGCTTACAAGGCAATTTGAGGCGGCTCATGCTCGGAGGCTGGGCGCGTATACTACAGTTGCGGTGGGAGGTATGTTCTTCTCAGTTTTGATTGCGTTTGGTGTATCTTGCATGCGGGGGATATTGGAGTCACGGTTTCTTCCTCATCTTCGAGCGTTGGTTATTGGTTTTGTCCAACCTTGGCTGAGATGAGCACCTGACATCCGTCAAGGCAGCGATATCCACGACGATTCTGCCGCGGCCAATGCCCCTTCTAGCGAGACACTACCTGTCCCGAATTCCGGCTCACCCCTAGTTGTAGGCAGGGATAGCCGAAGGGCCGTCGAGCAAAGAGGAAAAATCACCATGGCGGCATTGTATGCTGTGCAGGTCTTCTATAGCTTTTTCATCATGTAAGTCTTCTAACTCCATGCCCTTCCCTCCTCTTCATGCCAAACAAATGTACTGAACTGCGCAGGCTGCTCTTTATGACGTATAACGGTTTTGTCATGCTTGCAGTTGCCGTTGGCGCCTTTGTAGGATATCTGGCGTTCGGAGACAACACCTCCGCCAGCAAATCAGTTGCTTGTCATTAGTGGACTGCAAGCATGAAGGCTTGCCTGGAACCTTGAGCTGGAAACAGTTTTCACTCAGACTCGGCATATGCTTAGCAGTAGCTTTGTTGGGTACTGTGACCGCTTGTCGTTTGATAGCATCAGTTGCACATTGGGTCGAATGAACATGGGGTAGTGCGTCCACTTCAAGTAGCGAATACCGTACTTAGGGAACTTCTACATCACTCCCGTCATCTCCGAACCCAAAGCTGAACCCACCTCCTTCGGGTACATCCCCGGCTCCATCTTGCTCTGGCGCTCCGTGCACAATTTCGTCCCACTTTCTCTTCTTTCCCTCGTATTTCTTCTTTAGTTCTTCCTGTGCCTGTTGCAATAACTCAGGGTGTGACTCCTGCATCTGTGCAACGAACCGCTCGTAAGGATTGTGCACATCTTTTCTGAATCCCGAGACCTGATCGGCCTTGTTGGACAAGAAGTCCAGGGCAGCGCTCAAGTGGGCACGGGGTATAAAGTTCTGCGTAATGGCGATAGCTGGTTCGATGTTGACGACCAAGTGCCACCAGCCCGAGGGCACGTGGAGGATCTCGCCCTCACCACAGATTCCCTCAATGCAGCCCGAGGTGCGCCGTGCCTCAGCATGGAAGCCGAAAAGCCACTCCGCGATGCTGAGTGGGGAAGTCACTTCACTTTGGTCGTCCGATACGTATACACCAGGAGGCGGCGGGAGCTTGGAAGACGACGGGAACATGATCCAGTACTTCGACCCCCGGACGACTGCATTCCACGCGCTGGTAGCGTTCGGGTCCTTGTGAAATGTACTTCCGGACCGCTCAGGTCCAATGATCAGCCATTGCCTGTCAGGACGATCATTCCCCAGCACAGAGAAGAAGTCCTCCCCAAAGCACGGGGGAGGCCAGTAAGTGGCTTCTGGCTCCTGCTCCGGCCGACCAATTTTGAGACCCATCTTGGCCACAAAAGCCCGGTCGAACAGGTATAGAGGGCTCTCGTCGGAGTTGTTCCCCATGTAGTCAACATAAATATGGAAAGGCCAGTCCACTGCCTCTGCGCGGAAAACGGCCTCGCCGTAGTGGTCAAGAAGCATATTCACGGACCAGTTCTTGTAGGCAGGCCATTGTTTCACTGGTTCCGTCAATATGAATGGCGTGTCACTCCATTTCTCATTGAATTCCTCAAAAGAGAGATCGGGAAGACGGGCGATTTGGTTCCGGGCCGGAATATTGTTCACATAGGGTTCTAAAGATATGTGCGCACAATGAAACGGCCGGTGTAAGACATCTGAAAACAGACTGGAGCAATCCAGCATGCACACCTCAGATGGAGGGATGTTAAGATAAGTGGAACGCCATGTACCCTTCCAAGAGAATGAGGCGGGAGGAGACCTGACTAAAGCGTTAGTGCAATGCTTCAGTCTATCTATATAAGTTGCATCATATACGACGGGGTAGATGAAAATTGCCAGAAACCTCTCCAATCAAGCTGCAACCAACTGCCAATCAACGGAAGAATGAGCGCAATTAAACAATAGATCTATGTCTCACCCGGTAAAAAGAGCTTTCCAGAGATCCTCGGCTCTGGTGAAAGCATAGAATGCCTTGCATGTCCGTCCAATACTTAAGAGACTGGGACCATCCAGAGATTCCAGTAACATCAATATCAACTCATCCGGCAGCAGATTAAAGGTTCCAATTGCATGGCGCAGGTTTTCTGCGGCGAGCAACGCATTACCACTGGGCTTGACACCCAAAGGATGGCCGGGAATGGCCTCATGGCCAGATACATCCTCAACACTAGGATCGGGATATGAAGCATAGCGGCCAGCATTCACCTCCCCGTCGAGGGGACGGGCACTGTCCAAGGAATTGATGTCCGGCATTTTCATGCTTCGGAGGAAAGCAAGTGACGAAACTGAATCCTCAAGACTTTCCTGATTTGGTGGGGAAACGACTAGACCGGTCACAGACCGGGCGGCGGTGGTACGCACTAGTAACAGTCGCCCACACACTGCCAGGGCTGTCAGGCAGGGAAGATACCGGGGGGGTAATGCCCAACCCAACGATAACAACGGCTCAAGGGAAGCCCACCGTAAGAATAGTACACAGTGAACACTCGACGCACACCGGCTTGGTCTCTACGGTCGTACAAGGGCCCTGCCTCCAGCGCCCGGCCAGCAAATGAGAGGGGAATGGCAAAAATTCCACGAGCCAAGGACGTGGGTAGGTTGCCCGATGGAGAAGGCGGTGCGTATCGGCTAGGCTAAACTGGCGCTAGAGGTCAAAAATTTCACCGCGTCAGAATGGAAAAATGGGCTACGCAGGGGAAAAAAAGGTAAGAAAAGAAAAAAAAGTTCGCTGTGCTCGTCCCGCCGCCGCTTCTGCTCCCCCATTTTCCCACACCATCTTCGGTGATCCAACTTGAACTTCTTTTCTCTTCCCACCCCTACGACTCTAGTAGTCTTTTGTGATATCTCTCAACCCCGAGAGTTTTGATTCCAGGTTCGTCGCTCCCTGGCCACTGTCTCTCTGCGCATTGCGGTCACCCCCACCATCCTCGCCTGTCGCTAACAAGCCTTTTCAGTTTTACTCCCAAAACCCCACCGTCTTATTTGATCACAGCGTCTCGCCTGTGGTCTATTCTACAACAACACCGCAATCATGGCTTCTAACGACAAGGGTTTGGAAGAGATCCCCGAGGGTATGTACTACTACTTCACTCTTTTACTACGACTTTGTGATCGATATCGATGTACTTTCCTAGCGATGGCTTTCTTGCCTCTCTTGAAGGCAGAGCAAGTCGATAGGAATAGCCACCACATCGCAGCACGAGGAGTAGCTGTTTAAGAACTGAGCTGACCAAGGTCTTCAAATCAACAGGACAGATCGAGTCCAACTACGATGAGGTCACCGACTCCTTCGACTCCATGGACCTGAAGCCCGAGCTGCTTCGCGGTATGTGATACAAATTTTATCCTCGATCCCAATAGGGTCTGGCTCAACGTATTCTGATGGCAACCCAGGTGTTTACGCTTACGGTTTCGAGCGTCCCTCCGCTATCCAGCAGCGTGCTATCATGCCCATCATCAAGGGTACGTTTTCTTTCCCCGTAGTCGGCGCAATCTATGATACTAACTAGGGCACCGCAGGCCACGATGTCATTGCCCAGGCCCAGTCTGGTACCGGAAAGACTGCTACTTTCTCCATCTCCGCTCTCCAGAAGATCGACCACAACCTCAAGGCCTGCCAGGCCCTGATCGTCGCTCCCACCCGTGAGTTGGCTCAGCAGATCCAGAAGGTCGTTGTCGCCATCGGTGACTTCATGAACATTGAGTGCCACGCCTGCATTGGTGGTACCAACGTCCGCGACGACATGACCGCTCTCCGCAACGGCCCTCAGGTCGTTGTCGGTACCCCCGGTCGTATTCACGACATGATCGAGCGCCGTGTCCTGAAGACCGACCAGATGAAGCTGTTCATCCTCGACGAGGCCGATGAGATGCTTTCTGTAAGTCCCTCACATTTCTCGATCCTGCGAAGAAGCACCCTGTGCTGACCAGTTCGATTAGCGTGGTTTCACCGAGCAAATCTATGACATCTTCCAGCTCCTTCCCCAGTCCACCCAGGTCACCCTGCTGTCCGCTACCATGCCCCAGGATGTCCTCGAGGTCACCACCAAGTTCATGCGTGACCCCATCCGTATCCTGGTCAAGAAGCAGGAGCTTACCCTCGAGGGTATCAAGCAGTTCTACATTGCTGTTGAGAAGGAGGAGTGGAAGCTCGACACCCTCTCCGATCTCTACGAGACCGTCACCATCACCCAGGCCGTCATCTTCTGCAACACCCGCCGCAAGGTCGACTGGCTCACTGACAAGCTCACTGCCCGTGACTTCACCGTCTCTGCCATGCACGGTGACATGGAGCAGGGCCAGCGTGATGTCATCATGAAGGAGTTCCGTTCCGGATCTTCCCGTGTTCTGATCGCCACTGACCTTCTGGCCCGTGGTATCGATGTCCAGCAGGTCTCCCTGGTCATCAACTACGATCTCCCCGCCAACCGTGAGAACTACATCCACCGTATCGGTCGTGGTGGTCGTTTCGGTCGTAAGGGTGTTGCCATCAACTTCGTCACTGCTGACGATGTCCGCATGATGCGCGAGATTGAGCAGTTCTACAGCACCCAGATTGAGGAGATGCCCATGAACGTTGCTGGTAAGCTATCGCTCGATCCCGTCCGAAAGTTTTCACCTGATACTAATTGTTCTTCCAGACCTCATCTAAACACCCTAATACCATCCTCTTACGTCCCTCGATGCGGATTACGAATGCAGTTGCCAATAACGCTCCAAGGGTGAGCTGCGGTGGGAAAAACGTTTTGACATCGTTGCGCTTCTCTTGGTAAAGGAGAATCCTTCAAAAAGTGGCTTTCTGTGTCTCCAGCATTTTCTCTTTTAGCAGTGGCTGGCAGGAACCGTATACCCTGCGCGTTTCTGTCTTTCTACTGTTCATGGTTTCCTTTGTCTTTTGTTGCTTATGGAGATGCGACACACGCTTGTGCGATTTTATTGCTGTAATTCATGGTTCTCTTCCGGAAACGCTTTTTCAGACTTTTTTCCTTTGCACTGTACCTAGCTCGCTCTGGTTGGTTAAGGATGCTGCGTTCATACTTGATCAAGAGGTCGGGCAAAAAATGTGATAAGTTCAATCAGGCTTTTTTTTCCTCAAGGCACTTTGGGTGGACGAAGATACGATTCTGGTTCGGACTGGCTGTATACCTGTGTTCAATACGATAGACGAGAGGGGTGCATGCCATTCTATTGGTTGCGTTGGCTAGTCAATACTCAATCGCTTGTCCTCTCTTTGTTGTCGTGTAGACCTGCCTTCATAAATGTTCAACCGTCCAAGTCTCTAATACGGAAGGAACTTGGTTCTGTATTCTTGTATATTCCATCCCTAGAACTCCACTCAACTTCTCCCGTTTCCCTCGTCTCAGCCCTTGCACTGCAATGGAGAAACCAACCCGACCGTGGGATCCCAACGCTCCCTCTCTCCTCTGGGCTCACGAAATCCGGCGTGAGAATATTCAACTCGTCAACCAGCTCGACAACACTCGAGCTGATCTTGCTACTGCCACTGACACCATAGATGGTCTGAAACAAAAGATCGACGAGCTAACTCAGCGACTTCATGATGAGAATAACGTCATCCACAATAGCTTGCAACAACTTGAAGCCCGATTTGACACTATGTTAGGAAGTATGCGAGAGCGGATCGAATGTCTTGAATCCGAGAATCGTCGACTAAGGACTAGACTTGATATCACTGAACAGGAATGCTCGAAACAGGCCCGCGAACAATATCGCATGGAGGAGGATATTCGTACGAGGATCCTTGATGAGGTGCGAACTTCGTTGGAGAGAATACCAGGGGTGTTGAAGATGCATGTGCCGAGGGCTGGACAGACTAGTCCTGGGTCTGATGTCCTTGTTCCAGACTCGATGCCCATGGATTCTGCGCCTGTTGCTAATCCAGATGTCCTGCGGACGCTGTCTGATACTACGTGGGGGTCTTATACACAGGTAGAGGCGAGTTTGGCTAGTGTTGTGAATAAGGGATACACTGAGGAATTGAGTCTGGATCTAGACACTGTTATGAAGCAGGGTGGGAGATCTCTCGCTGAGTACTTGTCCGCTGCGGAGGGAATGACCCCGAGGTTGCATTTACAGAACGCTGAGGAGGAGATACTTGGAGCATTTGTGCGAGGACTTGATGACTTGGACGTGCAGATCCTAATCGAGAAAGAGATGAGCCGGGTTGGATGGACGTGGAGTGCAATGAGGGCCATCTTGCAGGCAGCGATCCGGGTTAGAGAAGCACCTATCAAGGTGGACAAGACAGCCGATCGAGGGGTCAAACAGAACAATGTCGACCATGTCAAGAGCAAGCAGCGAAAGACGAGGAGGTTCATACCCATCGTACCAGCTGATGAAGAAGATGATCTCTTTGTAATGGAGATGTTTCGACATTAAAAGCCGGACTTGTGTCCTGATTCTTGATCCGAATGTTATTCAAGCCTATGATGTCTAGTCGATGTACATATCCTTTTGTTCAGTCTAACCGTTTATGTCTCGCTGTACCGATATCTGCCCACACGGTCCTCGACCTCGACCTCAATCCGGCCCTCCTCGAGCTCCGTGCCGTCGACTTCGATGGACGCCTTCATGACATCGCCAGACTTGACCTCGCCCACGCCCTTGGGAGTGCCAGTCAGGACGACATCGCCCTTCTCTAGGGTCATCACACGAGAGATCTCGGCCAGAAGTCTGGGGATCCGGTAAAGCATGAGGCCAGTCGAGTCGGCTTGGCGCACCTGTGAGCCCACGCTCAGACGGAGGAAGGCATTGTGGGGGTCAGGAAGACGCGACTTGGCGATCTCCTGAGAGACAGGCAGGAAAGTGTCGAAGCCCTTGGCGATGGACCAGGGCAGGCCTTTCTTCTTCGCTTCATCTTGGACGTTGCGAGCGGTCATGTCAATACCGAGGAGGTAGCCTATACGCAGCAGATAATATGCATTGTTAGTCGCTGGCAAAGAATATACAATCAAAGGGGGTTTCAGTTATGACTGACTGTGAATTGCATCCAATGCGCCCTTCTCGTCATTCGGGTCGAGATCCCGAACGGTCTTGCCCATCACCAGAGCCAATTCGACCTCATAGTGCAGGTTGGTACCCTGGGGACGGAGCACAGGACCCTCACCGGGGACGAGAATAGCGGAGGCGGGCTTCAAGAAGAAGAAGGGCTGCTTGGGCTTCGCGCTGTTAAGCTCTGTGATGTGATCGCTGCGAACGACTGCGGCGTTAGCCGATCAAAGCCCATTGTCATGACCCCAGCATGCGGGGGAACGTACGCATAGTTTCTGCCGATGCAGATGACCTTTCTGCAATTGGCCCTGATAGAAGCGGCCATGGTCTCTGCTTGAGGGGAGAGGAATTGAGGGGTTGGGAAATGGAATCGCGGCGAGTGGTAAGCCAGGCGGGTAATAATATATGCTCCCGGCTCACCAGTCGGAGCTCAGCCGATGCGACAGACGGAACAGTCCTCCGCGCGGTGCGTGCGGAGAGCTCGGAATCTCCGAGATTCGGAGCGTCGAGCCGTCAATGATAAGAGATGATGTGGGGGGTACAATTGCTACTGTAGTCTTCCATGTTCAGGACTCTAAACAGACAGACTTTAGCTTTTAGTTGTCGTTCGGATGGTTGCGATTGGATATCGCCATGGGTTGAGATATCTACTATCCTCGATGTCCTTACGTCACCCGTCCAACTGAGAGATGGAAGGACGGTGCCTGCAGTCAGCCGCTTTGTCCGCACTGCATCTGCGCATAGCCATTCAAATCCAATCTGAGGGGAGAGTACGGAGTATATTGCACCCTATACAATAATCACTATTTGAGCACTTGAGAATACTATCTCCCCATCCTCCGTACTTCGAACCTCCTCCAATTCCTTCCACATTACCGCCATCATGCAAGTAGCTGAGATTCTCTCTGACTTGACATCCCTACGCGTCTGTGTATGTATCCTTGATTGATATTGACCCAGCCTCGAGCCTTTCCATTGTCAAGAAACAAGATAATGAATAGCCCTTGTTTATCATCAATCAAGCGTTGGATAATTCAGCATTATCGCATCCTCTCATAACGATAACTAATCACATTCACAGGATCATCATGACGCCCTCGCGCTCGTCACCGTCAATGAGAGGATTCCTCTTGCTGCAGATTCAACCCAGCCGAGCACCATAGCTGCAATCCAAGCAAGCGCAGGGACGAACCAGGACGGTTATGAGAACGAGGACCTCCGTCGCGCTAAGGAACTAGTCGACTTGCATTATGAGATCAAGGCCCGGCATGCGCTGGGGACGGTGGATGAGGAGCTATCGAGTGCTAGGGAGGAGGTGGCTCGAGTGTTGAGGGAGCTTAGCCAGTGAGGAGGGTTTCAGCATTTATCTTGAGATTATTGCGATGGTGTTTTTCATCTGGGGGTTTGGGGTTGGAGTTATCGGTGGGAACATGTATTTGAAATCTCTGCCCCATAGGACAGGGGGGCTATGGGCATTGTGTAATCTACGAGCACCTACTGGTACACTTTGCAATATCTAGACAACTATCTATCTAGACGCGATAATCTCCAATCGCATGTGAATCCTTCCCAAAAAGGCAAGATTGAAGCTATCCTCGGACCGACTCGGGTCCGGGTTGCGGGCGGCGACAGCCCCCCCTTGCGCAGTGCCGGCCGGAGGGAGGCTCACCACCGCATCGTCACGCGTCGGTCGCTGCACCATTTCGACCCTCTCAATCCCTGTTCGGTCACTCGAACTACGGCTCGCAAACATGGCGACGAGCGTGGATGCAAAGCTGCTGAAGCAGACCAAATTCCCTCCGGAATTCAGCCGGAAGGTGGATATGAATAAGGTTAATATCGAGGTGATGAAGAAGTGCGTTGCAAACAAAACCCTGGGTTTCTTATCTGGATGGTGTTATCGGACCTGAACTAACTAACCCTTGATGGTTGTTGCAGATGGATCGCTGGAAAGATTTCCGAGATTCTGGGAAACGAAGATGATGTGGTGATTGAGTTGTGCTTTAACCTTTTGGAAGGGTCGCGGTTTGTATGTGCTATTCTGTTGCTTGCTGGGTTGATGAAGAGCCATCCCTGCTAACTGGTCTTGCGTTTGCTCTGTCTAGCCCGATATCAAATCCCTTCAGATCCAGCTCACCGGGTTCCTGGATAGAGATACGGCCAAGTTTTGCAAGGAGTTGTGGTCGCTGTGTCTGAGTGCCCAGGAAAATCCCCAGGGCGTGCCCAAGGAGTTGCTTGAGGCTAAGAAACTGGAGCTTATACAAGAGAAGGTGGGATGCTTGGTGTCTATTTGCGCTGTTGCTGTGGTCATGCGCTGACGCCCTCGCTAGATCGAGGCGGAAAAGGCCGCGGAGGAAGCCCGCAAACAGAAAGAACAAGAGCGCGCACGCGAGCGAGAGCTGGAAGACCTTCGACGCAGAGAGCGCTCTGAGCGCACAAGGGGAGGAAGACGAGGCGGTGGCCGCGGTGGTCGAGACTTCGATAGACGTCGCTCACCTCCGCGACAACGCAGCCGGGACCGGTTTCGAGGCCCGCCTGGCCGACGAGAGTTTGACTCCTACGTGCCCGCGGGCTCTCGTCGAGGCCGTCGGCCTTCTCGATCCCCAAGCCGCTCTCGTTCGCGCTCCGTGTCTTCCTCTCGGTCACCACCCCCAGCTCGTCGACAGCGCCCCCCTGCCAATGACCGACCCAGACGACGTCGATCGGTTAGCGGCTCTGTGTCCCCGGACCGTGGAGATCGCAGACGGCCCAGGCGACGCAGTCCTGATTACGGTGATCGTGCTAGATCCGTTTCCCGCAGTGAATCATCACGCTCACGCAGTCCCAGAAGAGACCGACGGAGACGGAGATCCGTTTCCTCGCGCAGTCCATCACGTTCACCTGTCTACAGAGATCGGCGGAGAAGAAGAGGCTCGTCTGAACCGAGGTCCCGTTCGAGGTCGCAAGGGTCGGATGGTAGCGGCGCCAGACGCAGAGGATCCTCGCCTCATCCTCCACGAGATGATAAGAAAGAATCCACCGCTGATATTGCAAAGGCCCGCAAGTCCCGTGACGACCACCGCTTGAGTCGCAGCAGAGATCGCGACCACACCCGCAGACGACGCCGGTTTCCGTCCCGGAGTGTCAGTCGCAGCCGCAGTCGCAGTCGAGGTCGATCCGCCAGCCAGGATTCGCGCAGTCCTAGTCGCAGTCGCAGTCGTGGCGATCGCAAGCGACGCCGGTCCATTGAGAGATATGCCCCGGTTGCTCGGAGACGACGCAACACGTCCTCCGTATCCGTTCCCAGTGACAAACGCAAGAGAATGGCTGATGAAGACGAGGAAGCCAAACGTTCATCCCCACGACCTGACAAGCCGAGCTCGAGCGACCAAGAGATGAAGGATGCCACTGAGGTGGGTGAATAAATCTCTAAGGGTACTCGTCACGCTGTTTCTATGGTTTCTTAAGTTCGTTCATGTCCGCAACTCCTCCACTCCTTCCTTCCATTGTAAGGCCTAAACTAACCACTTAATCGTAGCCTGGCCCATCATCCCTTCCTGCCCATCCACGCATCATCAACTCCGGACTACGCGAGAGACTTCTCCGCGAGAAGATAGTCGCGATGCGCCGCACCGCCTCGACCGACCAGGTAGGTAGCACCTGGACATCGCAGTAATCATCCACCTACACCCACGTACCTCCAATCCGTTCACCATCCATCCGCATGTTCCCAGCTGCCTTATGATTGGATTTCCCACCCTACACATGGCATAGCTACTAGTTAACGATCGCTCTCACGTGGTACCATCACCCAAAAAGTATTCCTTAAAAAGGAAAAAAGAAAAGAACAATACAAAACGAGTCTTCCCCATGTAGCAACATCTCCGTCAATAGTCTCATTCCCTCCCCCCTTTCCATTTTCTCCTTGGATGATATTAGCAAAGTTCAAGACACCGCGCAATCCCATGGATCCTCGATAGACTATTTTCGTTCTCAAAATCCAGTTCCGATCGGACGACTAGCGCGCCGACAAGGTTCGACCGTTTTCGGGGAATGCCCCACAAGGCTAAGACAATAGACACTATTTGTTTGTGAATGAAGACTATTGTTTGTTGGTCTTTGTTTAGTTTTGTCTAGGTAGTAGGTAGGTAGGTAGGTAGGACCGTTGAGCCGTTGGTGGGTTGTTGTGATGATCGCTGGGGTAAAGCAAAGGGTGAGCCCCTATACTATGTAGTTTGTGCTTTATAGAGGAAGAGAATAGATAGATGGATTGCTATGGACAGCTACAGATAGAAGACATCATAAATGAGGGAGGTATATCAATATCAACATCAAAACAAATGTGTGTTTTTGTCTACTTAATGCTGAGGTAGTCTTCTTTTTAACATTGCCTATTTTCATACTTCTCATTATCCTTCAATAAAGGACACCAGTTCACCCAATACTGACTGATACATCAACAGTAAGTGCGTAGATAGATTTTCCTAGACATTACAGCTAGATATCGATCAGTTACACAATACATACGACATGTTCCCAAGTACTCCGTACCTAGAAGACAGGATCTCCTCCCCTATCTATCCCAGAGCGAAAAACAACCATATCATATCATATCATATGAATACGAATACGAATACGAAAGATATGACCTACCATACTCTCTATCTAGTCCCTATATACTAAATTGATTATCTTTCTTCTCTATCTATCAATACCCTATTTAATATCTCTCCCCCTTCTACTGTGTACATAGTACATAGTACCAACTAACTACACTCCCCTCAACGAAGATCCACTCCCAATCCTATAATCCCATCAACAAGCCATAAGTAAATAGCCACATATCGCAGATCATATCCCACAACCTCTATACACTATATCAAATCCCCCATCCTCAATCTATCCATACTAGGTATATGAACATGACACCTCCAAATCCCCACCCTTTACCCGACAGCACTATCATGCCCATAATAACAATAACAAACTATAACATACCAAACTAACAAACACCATTAAAACCCACCTCAATAACCTATAACCTATAACATACCCAACTAACTACCTCCTCCACAAACTCACCTCGATAACCATATTCCTTTAGTGCCAACACTGGTTAACCTCAACCAACATACTTAGGTAGTAAAGATAACCATAAATAGAAACATACTACCTATTTGATACCCATATACTGTATGTACTATGTACAGAAGTTTTATGCACATGAACATCTTCGTAATCCTACCCACCGTGTGCCGTGACGTGACGTACATCACCCCGTTTCCCGCACCTGATCCCCTCGGACTGCGTGGCTGAGGCCGCTAATTACGATCGACTTGATAGACCTACACCTCGTCAGATGAGTTGGAACATGTTGCAAAATAACTCGGCTTGGTTGGGGCTGAGGCCGGGAAGAAGGAAGAGGATTCGGGTGAGAGGGAAAGAGGGAGAGAGTTCAAATCACGATGGACGGGATCGTCGGGGGCGGAACGATCTTACCTCGGGTTACGGATTGTCTGCCCCCATTACCACTTTCGGAGTTAGGGTTGGGGGCGGATGATGTGGGATTCAATGAAGATCGGATCTACGCGGGATTTAGGAGATGTCAAGTTGGTATGTGAACCGAAAATATTTTGTTCAAAGAGTGGTAGTAAAACATTCAAAATGGAATGGGATTGGCTGTCGCACAACCCCCGATCATAAGTACTGTACAGGTAATCAAATAACATATCATTGTATCGGCAAAGCGAATGGACTCCAATGAAGGAAAAGCTGAGATAATATCAAACAATCAAGCCAGAATGTAAAAGGGTTCGCCTGCTTGGCCACTATAGACATCCCCTCCTGTCAGGGTACAAAGCTCGAGCAGATATCAAGACAATCTTCACACATATTAGAATTAGAAAATTAGATATATACAGGAGGACTATTCACCATTGATGCCGTTGCTATCGTCGTAACTTCCGGGCTGTGGTTGGCCGCTTACCAGTCGCAAGCAGAGACGCTCACGGTGGCAGTGACGGTGACGGTGATCACGTCGGAGCCAGAGCCGGACTCAGAGCCGGAGCCAGCAACAGGGGCGGTGGTGATCTGAGGAGAGGAACCACCCTCAGTAGCAGAGGAGGCAGCAGGGACGGGAGTGTCAGTCTTGGTAGCGATGGGGACCACAGACTCCGCGGTGAGGGTGTCACAGGGAGTGGTGCTGGCCTCAGCGCTGGCGCCCGAGGGAGCGCTGCCAGTGGGAACGGCACCGCTGGCAGAGGGAGCAGGAGCACCACCGCTGGGGGCGCTACCAGCACCGGTCTGAGCAGGTGCAGAAGGAGCGGAACCGCCCTCGGTCATGGTGGCAACGGGAACAACGGTCTCGCCGGTGAGGGTGTCACAGGGGGTGGTAGTAGCAACGGCTCCGGCACCCTCGGGGGTGGTGGTAGCAACAGCAGGGACGCTAGCAGCACCGGAGGGAACAACACCACCGCTGGGAGCGCTGCCGGAACCAGACTGAGCAGGGACGGCAGGGGTCTCAGAGGGGCTGGAACCGCTGGGAGCACCAGGGGCGCCAGACTGAGCAGGGGCAGAAGGAGCGGAGCCGCCCTCAGTCTGGGTGGCGACAGGAACAACGGTCTCACCGGTCAGAGTGTCGCAGGGGGTGGTAGTGGCGACAGCGCCAGCGCCTTCGGGGGTGGTGGTAGCAACAGCAGGAACGCTAGCAGCGGGGGTCTCAGAGGGGCTGGCACCGCTGGGAGCACCGGGGGCACCGGACTCAGCGGGGACCGAAGTAGCACCGGACTGGGCGGGAGCAGAAGGAGCGGAGCCGCCCTCAGTCATGGTGCCAACGGGGACAACAGTGGCGCCGGTCAGGGTTTCGCAGGGGGTGGTGGAGGGGCCAGCGCCAGCACCCTCGGGGACGCTGGGGGACGAGGCAGCGGGAACAGAGCCGGAGGGGACGACACCACCGCTGGGAGCGGGAGCGCCGGACTGGGCAGGGGCAGAAGGAGCAGAGCCACCCTCGGTCATGGTGCCAACGGGGACAACAGTGGCGCCAGTCAAGGTTTCGCAGGGAGTGGTGGAAGGGCCAGCGCCAGCACCCTCGGGGACGCTGGGAGACGAAGCAGCGGGAACAGAGCCGGAGGGAACGACACCACCGGAGGGGATGGCACCGCTAGGAGATCCAGGGGCACCAGAGGGAGCACCAGGAGCGCCAGACTGAGCAGGGGAAGAGGGAACACCAGTGGGAACAACACCGCCGGAAGGAGCGCCAGGAGCACCGGACTGAGCGGGAGCACTGGGAGCAGAGCCACCCTCAGTCATAGTAGCAACGGGAACGACATCCTGCCCAGTGATGGTATCGCAAGGAGTGGTGGAAGCACCGGCGGGACCTTGGGGAGAGCCGGAGGGAACGGAACCGGAGGGAACGGGGCCAGTCGGGAAAGCACCACCGGAGGCACCAGCACCTCCGCCAACAATAACACCAACGCTGGCAGAGCCACCAGCAGAGCCACCAGCGGAAGCACCGGCACCGGCGCCAGCAGAGCCACCAACGGAGCCACCAGCACCAGCACCAGCGGAGCCACCAACAGAGACGGAACCAGAGCCACCGGCGGAAGCACCAGCAGAGCCTCCAGCAGAGCCACCAACGGAGCCAGAGCCGGAACCGCCAACGGATCCAGAGCCAGAGCCACCAACGGATCCAGAGCCAGAGCCACCAGCGGAACCGCCAACAGAGCCACTGGCCGAAGCGCCAGCAGAGCCACTAGCCGAAGCACCAGCAGAGCCACCGATGGAGCCGGAGCCGCCAACGGAACCGGAACCACCAGCAGAGCCACCGACAGAGCCAGAGCCAGAGCCACCAACGGAGACGGAGCCAGAGCCGCCAGCAGAGCCGCCAGCAGATCCGCCAACGGAGCCAGAGCCAGAGCCACCAACGGAACCGCCAGCACCGCCACCGACGACAGCGCTGCCGCTAGGAGAAGAAGGAACACCGGAGGGGATGACACCGCTGGGAGAGCTGGGAGAGCCGGTCTTATCAGCCGAAGCGCCGGAAGGTCCAGGAGCGCCAGACTGAGCGGGAGAGGAGGGGGCGGCGCCAGAGGGAGATCCAGGACCACCGGTCTGTTCAGCCGAGGCGCCGGAAGGACCGGGGGCGCCGGACTGAGCAGGGCTGCTAGGGCGGGAACCGCCGGCGGACACGGTAGGAACGCTAGCGGCAGGAGTCGAAGCGGCGACGGGAACGCTGGAGGCGCCCTTGCCGGAGCCGGAACCAGAGCCGATAGAGACCGTAGGACCGCCAGACAGACTGCAGCCGGTGAGCCATTCAATGATGATCACTTCAATGGAGGAGCTGATGTCGACACCGGCAGCACCACCGATGACAGCGGACAGCTCGGCGCGAGAGTCGAGAGAAATGGAGGCCAAACTCTCGCCAGACAGCAGAAGAGAGAGAATACCGCTGATGTTAACACCGATGAGAGTGTCGATGGTACCGGTGATGAAAGTCTCGAGCTCGGTGATGATGTCGGTGGACAGGTCGATGGTGACATCGCCACTCAGAGCGAAGGAAAGCCAGAAGTAGAGAACAGCCTTCAATTCGACACCCAGGCTGCAGCTGGATCCGGAGAGCCAAGTGGCCAGAGCAACACGAGCGTCGGCACTGACGGAACTGGCAAGCTTGCCGGCAATACAGGCCTCCAGAACGACTTCGACGTCGGACTCAATGTCGGCGGCGAGGGAGGACTTGAGGAAGGCAGAGAGATAGGCTTGGGCGCTGGCGGTGAGGGTACCGGACGTCTCGACAAGGGCGCTGATGGCGGCTCCAACGGAGACAGTAGTGAGACCAGCAGTGGGCACGGTGCCGATGGTAACAACACCGGTGGCGGTCTTGCCCTCCAACCAGGCCTCAACGGCAACCTTGAGGGAAGCACTCAGAGAGCACTCGGAACCAGAAAGCCAGGCCTTCAGGGCAGCCTCGACATCGGCAGCCAGGTCGGCGACAACACCGCCGCCGGCACAGAGGGAGAGACCAGCACGGACATCGACGTCCAATTCGACACCGACGGATCCGGAAACGAAAGCAGACAGGGAAGTCTGGAGAGAAGAGCTGAGGACGACGGCAGCCTCGAGGTCGGTAACGGAGAAGATACCGTCGACAGTCACGTAAAGATCGCCCTTGGCGGCAACCTCGGCGCAGGTGGGGATGAAGAGGGCCAGACCAGCACGGACATCGACGGACAAAGTAGCAGATGCACTACCCTCACACCAGGCCAGCAGAGATGTCTTGAGCGACGCATCGAACTCGGCATGGGCCCGGATCCACGCAGCCAACTCCGCACGTGCGGAGGCCTCGATGGTGCCGGCTGTGCAACCCAGAGCACCACCTTCAAGGACCGCGGCTGCCTGAGCGCTGATACCTGTGAGGAGGCTGGCGGAGCTCTTGACACCGCCGCCGAGGAGGGCCTCAATGAAGCCGGTCAAGTCCTCGCCAATGTCGGTGAGGATCTCGGCAACGAGGCCAAAGGTACGGGCGTCCAAGTCCTTGGTGGGGAGAGCGAGAGCGTAGCTCGCCAGACCGGCGAGCACGAGAAGCTTGTCAGAACGCATGGTGCCGAAAGGGCAAAGAATGTATATCGGAAAGTGGGTAAGGGCGTCAGCGAGTGTCTGGAATGAACCTGTCAAGAAATCCGAGAATACAGAAAAAGGGAAAGACGGGCTGGCTCGAAGCAGCCCAATTGGTTGGTTAAAGACAGACAGATAAAAGAATGAGGGTCAGTAAGGAAGGACAGAACCCAAAGGACAAAACAAAGTGACAGACGAAGGAGGACTTGATGTTCAATGGAAGAGGTGATCATCGGCGAGGTATATATACCCCTGAGCGAGTTTTCCAGCCGTGCCAGCGGGATCGGGCGATGGAGCCCTCCCCCAAGTCTGGAACCCACGAATGGAGCTGCACCTCCCAGCTGAGAGCATGTTGGCCCATCTGTGATCACTGATCGAGGGACCCGGATCTTCGAGCCAAGCTAGCCAAGTGGGTGCGCCGGGTGCCAGTGGAAACTAGGAGGCAAACCAGAGCGGACTACCGTTGTAGGTGGGTGCATCCGAAACAGACTAAGCAGAATGAGCATACTATTTCAGGGAACGGGGTTTCCTCCCACTGCGAGCGGGTCGCTGGTAGGATGATTTTTTGTCAAGCAGAGGAAAATTGTAAGCAGGGGGAAAAGCCTAGGCCGGTGAGCCACAAGCCCATGAGTCCGCCACCAATTGAAGTTCCGACTGCAGCCGTGGGGAGAGCCTCCGTTGTCAGGGAGTTGACTAGTAGTATTCAGACGCTAATGCTAGAATTTCAGGGTGAAAGGAATTGACCGAATTGATTGATTTGAATGAATTGATGGATTGATGTGAGACATCAGCAGCAACAGCATTGTCATTGTCATCATCCTCATCATCACCCGTGGGGTGGTCAGCGACGGAATGCCAACCACACGGTAGAGTCCACCAAAGTGATGTTGGCTCTGGTGATCGGACGGCGGGCCAATGACACCCCGGCCATGCAGACCCCATAGATGCATACTGTGTAGGGTAAACAGAAGGATAATCCTCCCAGTTGCCGGCCTGCCGTCGAGCCCGACCCATGGGCGATCAACACGGCCGGTGTTTTGTCCCTGAATTGTTAGCCTGGTCCACTGCGCCCACGGGAGAAGTCAAGATGAAACTTTAGAGTTGCTTAGGTGCCCTTTCAAAATATCATCAAACCGCTAGGAAAAGTCAAATACGGAGTATAACCGAAGCTATCCAGGTGTGGTTAGAAACCCAGCAAAAGTCGGGCAGGCAGAAGAGGGGGAAAAGGGAAAAAGGAAAAAATGGGAAAAGCAACCAAAAAAGGCGTTAAGATTTTGTGACAGATGTGCGTTGTTGACTGATCAACTAATTTCCGGGGCGGTGCATAAATCCAGTTCCGGAGCGTTAGAATAGGAAAGAAGAAAAAAAATAAAAAAAAACAAAGGAAAAAAAAAAAGAAATCCCAATAATGATAGAAAACCATGCCCAGCCATCCCCAGACCACCACCATTTCCTCGTATCTATCTAAGTAGATTATAGTCTAATCAATAATTGAAAGGAGCACAGATAAGATCTGTGCATCATGGCCATGGCACGAAAGACAGAAGACTGGTAGGTCGGTAGTATCAGGAAACCTTGAGACTCCGGATGAGAATTGAACAGGGTCACCTCTCTCCACTCCAAATATAGAATTTAATTTCCCCCAGGGAGGTAAAAAAAGCTCACTTCAAACAAGCCAGCTGGGGTTCACTAGCCTAGATGAGTTCCGGGGGCTGCCTAGTTACCTACACTGAGGTAGACTGAAGAGTGCAGGGGACAATAAGCACACCCTCTGTGCACAACCAAACATGGCCTGGTGGAGGCCGTCCTAGCACGCTAAACTAGTGCGTTAGCTTCGCTTTTAGTCAGGGACAAAAAGCTGCGGGTGCAATAGGCACTACTTTAGCTTACTTTAGCGCGTCTGACAAGAGGCCTTGCGACTTGCGAGAAGCAGAGAACCCAAAAGAACATTTAATGGCAAACTGTACCTGCCTCCAGACTGTCGTTTTGGGGTGCAGCAGTCTAGACTGCTCCGAGATACCAATATTAAGGCCTGGCTAGTCAACACTGGCAAGGATGCCCCGGAGGGTCAATCGTTGCCCGAACAGGCGTTCCTGACCCGAAGGCCTCGTACCTTTGGTTCCTGAGGCTCCACCCCCCTCCTCCCCCAATGGCCTGAGCTGCCGGCTGCCCGCTTTAGCCAAAGGCTAGTGAAGTAGTGAGGAAAGTCGGTCGGTCGATTTCTCCCCTCCCCCTCTCAGCCAGCGGGATCAAGGCAGTGGACACTGGCAAGTGGGAAGTGGCCAGTGGGCAGTAGTGGACACAGGTTTGTTCGACTCTGGAACGATGGCATCTGCGAGATCACTGACTTCGTGGTTTCATCGTCACTTGCAGATGGGTTCGATCTGTGTTCGTTCCGTGGAAACTCTAAAAGGCCGACCCAGTGAGGCATACCAACTTAGAGTGGCCCGGGTTTTGGGGCAACTAACCACGGGAGATTTCCTGATTCAATCAATATTGATTGCCCTATTCCTGCACCTAAAAAATAGGCGAATAGCAATTGGCATATGCTGCCACTGGAGAATTGATCGGGTACCAGCTGCCAAGTCATTTGAGGGGAAGGAGGCGGAAACCATCCGGTCAGTCAGTCAGTCAGTCACCACTACTGCAGCCAGCGTGCAGGGGGAAGAACTCCGGAAAGGCTCAGTCTCTGCCGTCCCCTCCCTACAAAGCAAGTACAACGGCGATGAAGACGAATACGACGACGACGACAATGACGATGACTGGGGACTCGGCCTCGCATGCCTTTTTAGGAAGCCGCAGGCCATCCGGTGATGTCAGGTATGTCTGGCAGGTCATGTCAAGCTTCACGCCAAAAGCCCTCTTGACAGTCACACCGTTCATTCTCCATGTTTCATAGTCGTACTAGCTCCGTGTGCTGAGAGCTTCACGGCAGGGAGCTTATTCCACGTTCTATTTTTGACCGGGATGTTCCATGTCACCGCTCTCCTTTTCTCCGCCAGTTCATTGACCTACCTAACCCCGTCTCTTGTATCAAACACTGGGATGACGCCACAGATCTTACGAGTCATGACTTACAGTTAGCACACGCATTCAACCCGACCGCGCTTTCGGAAGTCCTTCCTCGCATCGGCAAGAAAATCCCTCAAGAAACAATTTGCACGCCTGTTTGTGGTTCAGGAACAGGAAATGGTGAACAGGTATTTCTAGAGGTGCAAACATGAGATGAAGAATTGCTATAATTTTCTCTGCTGAGATGCCCAGAAATCGAATGTCCACTTTGTCCGATCTATGAGTTGTGGGTCAACAGGTCGGCACATATCCTATTAGCATTGACAGCTGCTGCTGCTGCACTCTTGACTGATATGCTCAGGCCTCCATACACTTTTGAATTATATGAAGCCTCTGGCAAAGGCACAGACCCGAAATTCAAGAGTTTTCTATAATCTCGGATGCGCCTCGATTGCCGGGAAAACTCAATCAACCCCTATATTGAAAAGGCTTGCAGAAAAGACGGTTCGAGATCTAATCCCATGTCAATTGTGGTATGACTGCATTAGTATCTCCTAGCCCATCGATCCTGCAAGCCATTATGTAGTGCAAGAAGGAAAGACATGCATATACGGGACTGGGGCTGCAGCCTACCAGTCACTAGCAGCCACGCCTCCCTACCGCCAGTTCTCTTTGTCATTGAACTTTGAACTTGTGACCTTGTCTGTAGTGAAAACTGTAGATCCTACCATATATGTAGTGGAATCATTTTCGTGTCCTATGCAATACTGGCATCAGGTGTTTTAATTCTGCCTATCTCGAATTATGCTGCGCTCTTCTCGGAAGAGGGGAGGTCGAATCATGGAATTCCTAGGGAATTAAGATTAGGTCTACGTTCTAGATTGTTTAATTAGTAAATCAAACAGTACATCATACATACATATGGTTATAGCTCAAATAGACCGTACTTTATGCCTCTCGGATTTCTCGGAACTATCAATATTCCCCAGTAAAAGCCGTTCAACGGCGGCAGCAGCTAGTAAATTTAAGAATCCGGATTATTGGATACACTGATACAATCGTAGTATATAACTGCTAGAATATTTATTGAGTGACCTTTTATGGCTACTTCCCGCCATCCCTGCTACATTAAATCGTAATGGTGGGTGGTGTTGTACCCGAATACTTATATATAACCCATAGCTCTAGCAATAATGTTATCATTCATCACAGGGATACCCACCTACGTGGTGTTTGACATTGACAGTTAACTAACGCGTTGAGCTGTTCTCCTGATTAGTACATAAGACCAATGCAGAGAGAAAGCCCGCCATTGGAGCCAAACTAGAAGTATAAACCGTGGTCGCTGGTTTGCGCTAAATCTCCGGGTTTCAACGTCGCGTCGAGGCAAAAGCACGGTTGCATGCGTCAATGAAGATGCAACGGAGACATGGCTCGCCCCGATGATTGTCAATTGAGGAAGAGAAATTGATCTTGCAAGTGCAAGCAAGGAGGGGGCTCAGTACTACCACGTAGGTAGATAGTACTTGCACTCATCGAGAGGGATGATTGTTTGTGATGGAGCGATTGCCCGGGGCAACGGGGGCTTGCACGTGACCTGCACCCAGCCACCCGCAATTCGAAGTTGGATGTTTCGAATTACTACGGAGTAACCACAACACGCCGACATCGACTACTAACCCTTTGCAGCAGGTATCATTGGGGCCAACTGGGCTGGATCTCCGGGCTGACACGTCAATGTGGTCTTACCGAGCTCTCGAATGATGCCCTCCCCCCCCTCACGCTCGACCGCGCCTACTAGCTTGCATCGCCAGCCTTCGTACCGTGAGATGTCCCGCGCCGCGATCTCCCGCTCCGGGTCCAGGCGGACTTCCCCAGAGATCCAGAACTCGACCGCCTTTCGAACCAATTCGTCCATCACTAGACAGTACTCTGGGGGTGACAGTTCTGACGACGAAGTTCCCGAACCGAAATTCAGCGCGTCCGTCAAGGCCCTCCTGGACGAGGATGGACTCGACCTGTCCCCGCGCCTTCGCGGCGAGCGCATGGGATCAGCTCGCTCAAGTCAGGAAAGACGATCTCGCACAACCTCTCCTCAAGACCAATCGACCGGGAGCCCTGCGCCTCGCGTGGTTCGCCTTGCCCCATCCCTGAATAGCAGTGGCGGCAGGTCTAGAAGGGAGGGATCGCTCTTGTCCAACAGCGAAAGCGCAGATCAGGACGCAAGAACCAACTCGAATGATTTCATCACGCCCGCCCCGCGGCCGCGCAGTGTGCGCATCAATGGCTCCCGTAGCCATACACGCTCGCCGGCGTCTGTATCGCCCTCCCAGAGACGATCGGCTGAAAGGAGCTATGTCGACGAGCATGGAAGTGCGGAGCGTTCTGAAGACGAAAGAAAGTCGAGGTACGAGGATGACTATGCTCCTCGGACTGGAACTTCATCGGTCCTCCGCACTCGGAACCCGGAGGATATCGGCATGCAGAGCTCACTGCGAGTGAAGAGAGTCGGAAGGCTCACCGGAACATTTTTAAACGGCCCCGCAAGGCGCGGCGTATTACGACGACAGAGTGAAGAGAATAATGAAGATCGAGAATTGGATGCAAATATTGACAACGCCGACTATCACTACAAGACTACAGCGAAATCCTCGTCCCCCAAGGTATCATGGGCGGATCCAAGCCCACCACCTAGGTCCGACGAGCTCCGATCCTACGATCGTGCCGACGGGCCCTTTTCCAGATCCTCATCGCCCAAGTCTTATGGATCGCACTCGAAGTCGACCCCCGGGTCTTCCTCAGAAATGTCCTCGAAACCGTCGAGTTCCAAGGACCAGCCTATGTTCAAAGTGCCTCTTCCGCCAACGTTGCCCTCGACTAGAGACCAAGAGAACGAACCCCCGCCGACCTTCAAGCGCGTCAAGCCTCAGGGATTCAATTTGCTGGACAAGCCCGAGAAGCTGGCCGTAGTATATGGCGACGAGAAGAAAGAGCAGGGAGAAACACCCGCAGGGAACGGGAACTCCCCCAGGAAAATCTTAGCAACAAGAAGCAGTAACACGCCTCACAGGCCGGCTCCTCCTCCTCCCAAGATGTCCGTTCTTGAGACAGCCACAGCCACAGGTGGAGCTGCCACAGCATCCCATTCGCGCAAGAAGCGCAACCAAGTTTCTGTCAACCATAAGCCTTTCACCCGGTTAGACTGTGTCGGTCGTGGTGGAAGTTCAAGGGTTTACCGAGTCATGGCCGAGAACTACAAGATCTTTGCCTTGAAGAGAGTTAACCTGGAGGACGTCGATCCCATCACCTTGGCTGGGTACAAAGGTGAAATCGACCTGCTCAAGAAACTGGAAAACCTTGACCGCGTCGTGCGCTTGTTTGATTGGGAGCTGAACCAAGACAAGCACACGCTGAGTGTCCTCATGGAAATTGGAGAGTCGGATCTGGAGAAGATCCTTACCTACAAGCTCAACGCTGAAGATGCCAGATTCGACATCAACTTTACTCGATACTACTGGAAGGAGATGCTGGAGTGTGTCCAAGCTGTACATGAACACAACGTTGTGCATTCGGATCTGAAACCCGCGAATTTCCTCCTGGTTCAGGGCCGGTTGAAGCTGATCGATTTCGGAATCGCGAACGCCATTCAGGATAACACTGTGAACGTGCATCGTGAGCAGCAAGTGGGGACGCCGAACTACATGTCGCCGGAGGCCTTGATCGATTCGAACGCTTCCCTTGGCCTACCTGCAAGTGTTGGAAAGATGATGAAGCTGGGAAAGCCGAGTGATGTGTGGAGTCTGGGATGCATTCTCTACAAGATGGTGTACGGCCAGCCTCCGTTCGCCAAAATCGCCAAATACTATGAACGCATTCTAGCCATTCCCAATCCGCACGTGAAGATTGACTTCCCAGCATTCGGTGTAGGAGGCGTCCCCGTGCCTCCCGGCCTGGTCCGAACGTTAAAGGGTTGTCTCCAGCGTGATCAGACGCTCCGACCAACCGTGGAAGAGCTCCTCGGCCAGCGAGACCCCTTCCTCTACCCCGACGCACAACTGGAAGGCGCCGTCCCAGTCACACAGGACATGCTAAACCGGATCCTGGTAAATGTGGTCAACCACTGCCGCGTGCGCGGCATCCCCAAGGACGAAGAACTTGCCGCCTGGCCGGCCGGATTCTTCGCCAAGATCAAAGCTGCGTTAGAGGAAGGCAGCTAACCACCGCCACCACTGCCCTTTTTCCTACTCCTTTCCTATGTGTCCTGTATCTTCTTGTCCTGATACCTCATCGAATGATCCGATGAACCCGGCGTTCCAGTACACACTACTTATATCCCTTTCCTATGTCCGACATACTTTCTTCACTTCTTGATCTATACATCCTTCTTTCTGCACGTTTTGGTTTAGGGTCCTGGAAATCTGGTGTTTTTTTGTATTGAGTCGCGCTTCAGCCTGGATGATTGTTCGATTGATTGATTGCATGTTTTCATTAATTGCATTGGAAGCTGTCGGCTTTAAACACAGCATGGGAAATTCGGAGTTTGGGGTCTTTTGCGTATAAACTTGGATGATACTTGATTTATTATACTTCGATTATAAACGTGTTGCTTTTGATTGTATATCGTCTCTACGTGTTGATCGTCTCAAGAGATGCATTACCAATCAATAACCTACGCAGATTGTTTCAATATAGAGAAGACGAATTACCACTCGAACCAAGCAAGCTCTTTTCATTCATTGGTAAATGTAAGCTCACTCACTCGCGCGAAAGCGAGAGTCAAGTCATGAAAACAGAACAGAACAGAACATGGAAACGGAAACAGAACGGATACTTTGCGCGCCGTTTAACGCCACACCCACTGATATAGTCTATGTAAAGACGAACACAAACCAACGCAACCGGGCATATTTTGAGATGAGGAGGATATGGTATGGTATGGATATGATGTGATGTGATATGGAGAAGGCGGGTTCATAATCATGGACGAGAAGTGAACGGGGTGATTAAACGAGGAGGACGGCGCTGAAGGAATTGATGATTAGTATTGCTGATGTGGAGAGGGCAGAGGAAAGGAAGAAAAAGGACTTACTTGACCGTGCCATCCAAGTCGGGGTTGTTGGTGATCTGGGCCCATTTACCCCAGACGACCTTACCGCTGGTGGTGACGAGACCCAATTCGGAAACGTTCACTTCGACAATGGTACCCTTGGTCAAGACACCCAGTTGGGTATACAGAGGGTTCTGGGGGTTCTTCTTGACCGAGAGGATGGGAAGCTGGACGGTGACACCCAGTTCAGGGCTGGAAGAACAAACACATTACGTCAGTTGAATGCTCCGCATCTAACAGACAGTGGAAGAAGAGGGGAGAATACGTACTGTGTAACATTGGCCTTCTTGTAACGCAGACCCATAGGACGAATGAACCGTTCGTACTTGACAGGCCGTCTGGTGAAGTCACTGCCGACGAAAGTGGGCTTGGTGATCATGCGCTTCCAGGACTTTTTGTGCGTCTTCTTTCCGGTGTTGACCACCTTGAACATCTCCTCCTCACTGATACCCTTAACCTTGGGCAGGGGCACAGCGAACTTGGCCGCCTTCTCATTCCGCTTGTCCTTGATGGCGCTGGAAAGGGCCTTGGCGTTGGTGGCCTGCGACCGATCGAGCAGGTACTGGGGCAGAGGGGTCTTGGAAGGCTCGTCGGGAGCAGACGACTTGACGTTCTTCTCCTCCTGGGCCTTGATGCGCTTGCGCATCTGGATCTTCTCCTTATGACGCTGCTGCTGGTACAGCTTGGCCCTCAGACCACGCAGGTTCTGCGCATCCTTCGACTGCTTGTGTCCCTCACGGGCCTGGCGCTTGCGGACCCGCTCATCATGATCGAGCCGCTTACCGTGCTGCTTCTGCCAGCGTTCGATATATCTATTCCTTGGTCAGTATGCTTGTTGCTTGTTGCTTTTTTTCTTTCCGTTTGCCGATATCCCCGGAGATAGATACAGCTCGGGGCGGGGAGGGAGGGGAGTGAGACGAACTCGTTCTGAGGCTGTATACGAAACGATCAGTTAGCAAGCCATTCTCCCTCAATCAATATATCCCATCCAACATACCATGATGAATCAACCGCGAAAGGCGAGTATAAAGCAAAAAGATATAACCAAGCCAACGGCAAGCCCGAAGAGAGAGAAACAAAAAAGTTCGATGCGGCGGCAACGGGAGCTGGGCTTGGCACCGCCCGATAAGTCACGTGGAGCAATTTATCGACAGGGCCGCCGTCCGGAATTTCATCCTCCAGATTGCTCGGAGAGCCAGGCCCAGTCAAACCAAACCCGCCTCAATTCCCTCCCTCCCTCTCGATATCCTGAGCACCATGTTCTCTCGGACCACGCTCGCCCGGGCATTGGCCCTTCCAATCGAGCAGTCCTCCGCCCGATGCGCCAGCACCACCTTCCGGGCCTGCCTTCACCAAGCTACTTCTACAACAACACAACCAGAAGCGCCCTTAAGCGCAACCCCCCGAGCCCAAACCTCCAATCCGATCCAACAACAACGCTTCTTGACCCCCTCCAACACCGTTCCCATAACCCGCGCCGATGTGCCCATCACCAAACAACCCGTGGCCCCGGCCTTCGACGCCCCATTGAAAGTGTCCCAATCCCTCCTCGAATTGCTTCCCAACCTCACCTCGCAAAAGCCGCACTTCATCACGGCCCACCTTCACGACAGACCCTACCTGCTCACTGCAGGCGATCAACTCCGTCTGCCCTTCCTAATGCCCAAGGTCAGACCGGGCGATATCCTCCGCTTCAACCGGGCGTCCTTGCTCGGTTCTCGCGATTTCACCCTCAAGGGAGGAGAACAGTATCTTGATGAGCGGCTGTTCGAGTGCCGTGTCCGGGTCATGGGAGTTGAGTCCGAGCCCCTGCGCATCACTGAGAAGACGAAGCGGAGACGACGCCACGTGCAGAAGGTCACGAGCAAGCACCGCTACACGATTCTGCGGGTCATGGATGTCAAAGTAAAGACTGCGGAGGAGTTGCTTGAGGATGGTGCTGTTGTTGTGGAGAGTGCTGATTCGGCGGCTAATGTGGAACTCAAGGCATGAAGGAACATTCGAGTTGAAGCGGGAGGAAGGAGGAGATCACGGACAAAAATGACCGGAACGTATGGCTGCTGAGCCATTTCCTTCGGACCATTGTTAGAGGTGTGGGTTACAGCTCATGATGGGTTTTATGCTGTGTTATATCCATTGCTCGGAACCGCGGAATGCGGTGGACCATGTACAGATAGGACTCTGTTTTTTTTTTTTTTGCACATTGAGGCGTGCAATTGTATTCTATTCTATAATTGGGTTTCAAATGTTCAATTGTTCCTTGCAGCCTTGTGCTTTGCCTTTTAGGTCGATAAGACTTTTGGAGAAACCGAGGCTGTTTACTGACTATCTGCAGCAGGACACTATTGTCGGGTTAGTGTCTGTTGATATCCTCAGTATGATCGAGCGAAATCGGCAACAGAGGATCCTAAGGCATGGTTACCATTGCACCAAAAGGCTACTAGCAATAATAGTTGGTATCAATGTCGTTTTGGACTAAGGATGGTATATATACAGTACTGCACGTGCTCGAGCATTGCCTTTGGATCAACTCAATCACCGTCCGTGCAAGATATCATCGGCAATCTTCTCTGCAAAAGCATAGACTGTCGACTGCGGAAGCCCTGGAGGCAGGAAAGGGAAACTGCTCGCATCAACAACCCGCAGACCCCGGACCCCATACACCCGTGCAGAGCTATCTAAGACTGCCATTGGGTCGTCTTTCCGTCCCATTTTACAAGTTGACGACGCGTGTGAGAAAGTAATCGTGTTTTTCCGGAGGAAGTCACGGATTTGCTCATTTGTCGTTACATTGTTCCCGGGGAGATATTCTTCTGGGTCGGCGACACCTAGCTCGGCCAGCTCCGCCCAAATCTGGCGACTTCGCTTGACCGCGTTAACCATGACCTCCATGTCTGTAGAGTTCGAGAGCCATTGGGGGTCAATGATGGGCGGAGTTGTCATATTTGGGCCTGCCAGTGTGATCTGGCCGCGGGAAAAAGGTGCAGCATCTGCAAAAACGATGGTGGCATATATCTGTTTATCGTCCGCATTGGCAGTCTGTGCAAAGCCGCTGGCGGTATACATGGTTTCCGGCCAGTCATCCGGCAAGGTGGAAAGCGCTGCGATAGTTTCATTGGAAAGACGCCAGCGGTATGGCTTGGGTAATTTCTCCCATCCAAAGTACCCCGGCCCAGGGAGGGATAGTGGTCCGGTGGCATTCTCAATGTATTGTTTGACATTGGACTCCACGAGCGCCTCATCGTCAGCCAATGTGGCTACAGTTGGGACATCTACTCGGTGGGTTGTTCCAGCCATAGGATGATCTTGTAAGTTCTGACCAACTCCTGGCGTGTGACTGATGCAGGTGATGTTGAACCGGGAAAGCTGGTCGTGTGGACCGATACCCGATACCATCAACAACTGGGGGGACTGAATGGCTCCTGCAGACAATATAACCTCCTTCCGAGCACTGAGGGTGAAGTTGACAGATGGAGTGCCGAAAGTTCCGGCCGTTTGGACCTGGACGCCCGTTGTGACTCTGTGCGTATCGAAATTGATTCTCTGTGCAAGGGTCTTGTGATACACCACAGGGCCTATGCCACTGTTCAGTGTCGATTGCAAAAAACTAGTCTCCGACGAGGAACGATGAGCATTGCTGGGGTTGATGGTCAGGGTTGAATATCCAGATCCCGAGAGATTGCCACTGTTGAATTCGGTCTGCTTCAACCCAAGAGCAATGAGTGCTTTGCGAAGCCAGGTTCCAAAGCCATCAACGAAGTTCCCCGAGGAAACCTCAAGAGGGCCACCGGACGAGCTGAAGGCCTCTGGGTTTTGTATGTTCGTCGAGTTGGTGAAAAGTTCCTCATCCGGGGGAGTAAAATGAACCGACTTCTTATAGTATGGGAGCATGTTGTCAAATTCATAGCTCTCGTCGTCTACCTCTTCCGCCCACTTGTGCAAGCTGCCTATGGTAGGGCGCTGGTAGTACATGTGGTGTCTTGCTGAGCCGCCCCCGAGTGTTTTCCCGCGTGGTAAGTGAAGAACACGATCTCCCAGACTCTGCTGCGGTTGGGTCAGGAACCCCCAATCAATGAGCGGCTGGTAGTCACTGGGATCTGGACCGATGAAAAAGTTCATATATTCGGGAATCACGGACAGGTCTCCATTGTCAATTTCGTAGAAGCCGCCTGCCTCCACGACGGCCACGCTGAGATATCCGCTCTTGACCAGTCGGCTAGCAACAGTCAAACCGGCAGTTCCCCCGCCTATAACGATATAGTCGAATGTGGCATTTTGCCCGGGTATACCCAACCACGTGCCTAAGAGAGGTCCTCGCTGGCCATAATCGAAGAGGTTGAGATCAGGGCCATCGTGAGCAGTGGCTACAGCTGCCAGGCTCAGCAAAGGCCAGAATGCCCGCATAATGGCTGCTCGATGATGGCGGTGGATAGAGATAGCACGGAGCGGGCCAAAGGAATGACTAGAGTGGGCAGTTTTGTGAAGGGTGTAATAGGATGCTTAACGATGAATGGGAAAAGGAAAGGAAGCGAAAAGACGAGATGATTGAAGAAGAGAAGCGGCACTTTCTAAGAAAGGAAGGAGGGGGCAACAATGGCAGTTGCCGTTTAGGGCCATCTGTCTTACAGAAGAAACCGTTACTCGTTTATATGTCGGTGAACTTATAAACGTGCTGTACAGAAAACTGACACCCTCAACCCATAATCTCAGCCAGTCCCAACTTTGCCCGGCAGCTTTCGAGGCTGTCTTTCTGCATTTGCTCATACAAGCTAATCTCATCAATGGTTGGAGTTCCCATCATCTGCTGGAACCCATCCAGATCGGTATCCGCTTCCATTATCAACCGTTGGGACTGCGACGTATTGCCGAGGTTCGAGTTGAAAATCCCTCCTGCAGACAAAGGAAGGAAGTCCTCGTATGTGATGGGCTCATACTCCAGAATACCGTCCTCCAAAAGCTGGCTCAGGTTGACCGTCTTCGATTCCAAACCAGCGTTGCGCTTTGGCGTTGTGTGATAGCAGAAGTATGCCAGATTCTGCTCCTGTAACTGACGTATATCGTCGGGAAACTCCTCAAAGTGCTTTCCCAGTATCTCCTCATACTTACCAGAGTCGGCTCCTGTCTCTGCCACTTCCTTGTTGACTCGAGCGAGGATGTCATCGTAAAGTTTTCGGCCTTTCCGCGTCAGAGCATATCCGCGCTGCTCGACTTCGCCGAACCTCGCCGTATGGGATCCCTTTATGTATGTGTTGTTCGAGTCTCGGAAGTATACCGTCTCCTCTAGAGCCTTGAAACTCGTCTGACGAAGCAGGATGGGAAACTCCCGGCGTGGCGGACCCTCGATGCGCTCCTTCGCCGGCATGCCATGGTCCTGCATCATTTTCTGGACCAGGTCGATATCAATAGTCCGTGGAGTCAGATGGTTGATGTGACAACTTGGGAAGGATACAATGTCGGCAATCAACGGGTGTTCCGCCTTGAGGATTTTGTATTCGTCCATCGTTACCGTTGCCTTGGAATGCCATCGGAAGGTCTCCAAACCTTCCGTTATAAACTCCTTGCACTCATCAGAGGTAAGGTGGCCTTGCGCTTCGGCATGGTTGATCAAAGCCATCAACCGGTCGGTAAAAATATTTCTCTGCTTCAGAGCCCTCTGCGCCAAGTCTCGTGTTCTCTCCGTCAAAAGGTCCATCCGCAGAACGGTCGTGAACACCCGGAATGGATGCCTGGCCAGAGCTTCCCTGCTCCTCGGTCGAAATGCGGTTGCGTGCATGGGGAATCCAGCAATACTCAGGTCATAGTAGCCCACGGGGTACATGCCCATGACAGAAAACATGCGCCGGATCGTGGCTAGCTCCTGTGCAGTCCCCAGACGGATAGCACCATGTCTCTCGACACGGTTCCTGGACGGCAGGACCTCGTCCGGGTCGATTTTATTAGCACCCCCAAACTCCCTGCTTATATTAATCGCCTCAGCATCTGCCTTCCATACCAGGTCCACCAGATCCCCGTAGAGGGGGACCTCGCTCTTGTACATCTCCGAGAGGGCATGGCAAAAACCGGCCCGCAGGGTATCTTGACCCCACTCCATACTGGAATATAATCGTCTATTGAATCGTTGCGGGAGCGTACAGAATTCTCTTTGAAGGGATCGAGTTGACAGTCGAGAGAAGAGTCGATACATGAGCAACAATAAGCTCAGTGTCCGATAAGGAAACCAACGCTGGACCAAATCACCTCAGCAATGCACCTCGGTGGTATGATGGATATATGTCCGAGAGCATCAGCATCTCACACCTCCTGTTATCCCTTACGTGCAGCGCTATATACTGCATTGCGACTCCATTCGCTATCAATCCCGATAAGCCGGTGGCCGCCGTATCAGGCTATCAGCTCATTAGCAGGAATCCCCAGACTAGAACTCTATCGTCATCGCCTAGAGCCGTGTCTATCCGCCCGTGCAGGGTCCGGATCTTCATCCGTCGGAACCGGATTCTCCGTCTGACCTCTCTTCTGAAGACTGTAGATTGTTCTGCGACAGTTCGGCCACTTAGCGTTGACCGGCTATGCACTAACGAGGAGGCGCCTCGGAACAGGATATCTGGCCGGATCCTGCATCCTCCTATGACCAGCCACTGCACCAAAGGTCCGATAAGACAGATATGGTAGTATCATGGGTCAAGCGATATGCTCTAAGATTATAGATAAAACAGAGTGTCAGTATGCACTAGAAGAGACAGAAAGAAACCGATCACTACACCGGAGATCAGATGCCTTGGTGGCGGAGATGTGCATAACCCGAGAACATCAATCTGGAGAAGTTATCACCGAACAAGCCAATCGGATCAAATAGTCGGGGGGAACCCGTCGGATATGTGATTCAAGAACGGAATATGCTTCATATTCCCAGCAAGAGTAATGGAGTCGGTTAACCATGGGTGGATAGTGAAGCCTGTCAGCGCCTCGGAGGTATGCGAAGAGTCCGTGCCGAGTGCCAATTCGGGATCGAACCTCGGACACCTTGACCAACATTCGTAATCAGTGGATTGTAAGAGGGCGCGCGAGCCTTTGACAGCTACGATACATGAAATGGAGTACCGTTGAAGTAAAGCTATACTAAGGAGTAAGATAATACATCTAATCAGAAGCGAAGCATATCCGATGTTAGGATATTCTTTCTCTCAGTCTGTTCTCCAGAGATCAGCGCCATATGAAATACGTATAGATGCAGGAAAGTCAAGCCGGTACGTACGTACCAGAACGAGGTCAAATCATGAAGACCACCCTCATATTCACCAAATACTGAGTCCAACATCACGAAATTAAACGTATAATTAAACAAATCCATTGCGCTACCAAGACTACCTGTATCCAATTTTCAACAGCAACCTAATCCTCCGTCTTCCTCGGCGGCGGCGGACTCTTCTTCACCAGAACAAAGTCCTGTTCCAGAAGCCAGAACCCCTTCGACTCGCGTCCTTTAATCGTCTTAACCATAGGTTCCACGTTATGCAACTTGGCCAATTCCAGATCCTCGCACCAGTTGTAATCCACAATCAGACTCTTCTTGACACCGAAGACAGTGTCGCTTTCTACGAAGTTGCTGTCCCGGGAGTATAGGGCTGTGATTAATTTGGTATATTCGGGGTGCGCGATCATGAAGTGCTATTTTTCTTTTGTTAGTTTGTGCTTGTAGGGATGGGGATAGGTGAAGATTACTTACCATATGGGCAGGACGGAACCAATGCCTCTTCAATTTCCGAAGAAGCTCTCCGACGGGACCGTCATTGGAGATGGGGTATGCGACGGGCTTAACGCACGCGAAGAGATAGTGGCCCTTTTCATCGGAGAGTATCTTTCCGCGGCAGTTAGGGTCTTGGGAGCCGTCGTACTCGAGGTCGTAGACGCCGTTGCCGTCGGTTTCCCACACGTCGATTAGGGCCTTGGGCACTGTGCTGCCTTCTGTGTCTTTGATCCAGCCTCGGACGATGGTGGGTTCGCCGGGGGTTCCGGCGGAAGAGATCGATTCGCCGTATTGGAAGGAGTGGGCTTCTTCGTCGTGGAAGGGGCCGAGGACTGAGGATTCGGTGGCGCCGGGCACGGTGGGGTAGGAAATGGCGTCGACGAGAGCGGATATTCCGAGAATGTCGGAGAGGAGGACGAATTCGTGGCGCACATCAGTGGAGATTTGGCCGACCTGGGGGGATGTTAGATTGGTTCGGATGATTGGGTTATAGGGGTGGTTATGGGGGATGTAGTACTTTGGTTAGGAATTGCCATGCTTGTTCCCATTCATCGAATTGCAGACCGACTTCCCGGACGTAGTCGTGGGCGGTTTGGATGAGTTTGAGGATGAGGTAGCGCAGTCTAGGGTTATCGCACATGGAGTTGATCTTCATGACGTTCTCGGTGATGTTTTCAATGGTCAGGTCGAGCATGGGGGGAAGGTTGGCGGCGATTTCTTCTGGCGTTGATGCGGCTGCCCATTTGGCGCGAGTGCGGTCGCTGAGGCCAGCAACGCTGGGAATACCGTTGGATTGCTGTTCGGACATTGTGATTTCTGACGAGAAATACTAGGTAGACTATGGAGGAGCAATTGGCCGAGACGTGATGGTCTTTCTCTTATACTTCGCCCGCTGCCTCAGGTTTTCGGTTAAGACCATTTAAGACACAATCTGGCTTCCACAAATACCTCCCCCGCACTTCATAACGCGGGGCACTGTGATTATTGCGGTGGACGTCATTCTGTGTGTTCGTGCCGATGATCGCAGCTGAAGGTTTGTTGTAGATGGATCCGTCGGAGCGGATATATGGGTGTGGGTGTTCATCCGTCGGAGATGACCATGGCGGCGGGACTCGTTGCGACCATGTCTCTAGGTTGCCGATTATTTGGTATGCCTAGGGACCTGGAAATCTTATTCCGTAACTGTCCTGATCTCTGAAATGATCGGGTCTCCTGGAACTGTTTGGTTTTGGATGACCAGCAATGCCGTTATTCCGTCGAGGAGTTCACATCACCAGCTGGCAATTTCTATTGCTGTCCTCAAGGCACCTAGAGCCTCGTTGGTGAACGACATGCAGAGTTAATGGGTTTCTGATCGGAATTATACGAGGATCGGCCACTACGGCTCGAGTGATTCTGCAGACCATTACACTGCAGCTCTCATTGCTCGCGATCGGGTGAACACGCGAATCGAACCATGACGTATTAGTCCTTATGGGCAGAGACTAGTTCGAGCATCTCAAGCTTGTTCGTACTGCAGATTTGCAAGCTGCAGTGATCCAGACCGGGCAGAGCTCTTTGGACGCACTGCATGCATGCTAGCCACCCTCCCCGAGACCTCCGTAGGTGGCACTAAGGACTAAGGGTGGGCGAGTTGAAAAACATAATTCCGGCCAGCAGGAGCACTGATTACGGAGTAAGTGCTGGCAAAGAATGCGGAATCCAGTTTTCGTTCTCAGCATAACCGTAGCCTGGAATTATTAAGAGCGTAAATCCGAGGGTCGAGCAGTGTCTTGGATGACCCCAGACCCCGCGAAAACTCCGGATGGCCGCGACGGATGTTCCTGGGATGGGTGATTAAATAGGGATGGCATCATCGGCTGGTGGCGATCGTAGGCGGACTCTGCTTTAAAGCCAATCCTGGCGGGCCGACTGAGTTAGTGTGGAGCAAGGCTAGGAAGCTCGAGAAATCGAGAACCGACCAACAACAGCGACAGGCATGAACTCACCCGGAGAATCATACGGTCGCCTGTAGACGAAGCCTTTGGTTGAGAAGGCATGGACGGCGGAGGTGACTCGCATGCGTCTCAGCCGGTGACGGCCAAACTGCGGGCTTCTCGTCGACGGCCGCCCCGGGCTTCACGTGCCTGCGAGACTTGTCGGGTGCGCAAGACCAAGGTCCGTTCCTTCTTTGTCGCGTCCTCGTCCCATAGTCCAACGCGGCCAATACCAATTACTGACACGCTTGATGACAGTGCGATCAAGCCCAGCCGTGTTCCTATTGCGCTTGTATGAAACCGATCTTGCGGGGCTCGTCTTCCAGCCGGATCCCGACTGACCTTCACCTTAGATCATTCGCTTGATTGCTTTTATCGCGCCGCAGGTCCAAATGAGAGCTCATCTACAGCAAAGCGACAGGCACAACTACGAGAAGCCCAAAGGTGCGTCGTTGTGTCGCATCTTCCTCAGTCCTTCTGTCATCTGATCTATCACCAGATCGAAAACCCGCCCATCGCCATGGCCGGATGTGAGCCAGGGTAATCAGCACGGCTCCCAGCAAAGTGACTCCCCAGACCATTTCCCTCCCCGACTTCCACGAGGCATTGGCAATATCAATGCGAGCTCACCCAGTGTTTTCACCCCTAAACGTGACGATGACAGTATAGTCGGTGAGAATATCCAGTGCTTCGTGTGTGGTTCCATTCTAAATCCTGGCAGCGGCTACCCCAGAGCTATGCGATTCGGCATCCAGAGACGGGCTGAGTGGTGTCAACCTTCATACCAATGGCACCGAGTTCTATGGTACTTCCTCGAACCTGGCTTTTCTGGGAAATCTGTACGCTCGGGCTCGTAACCAAGCAGAGACAAAAGCGTTAACTATCCCTGACAACGAGCCGCCGTATCCTTCACATGAGGGCTCTTACCCTGTCTTGAATTCTATACAATCCGACAAGACTAACTTGAATCAATTGTCACCCGATTCTCCTGCGGACAGGCAGTCAGATGGCTCACAGACGAACAAGGCACAGCTATCCATCGTGAATCTACTCTATAATCCGAAATACCCTAGCCACTCACCACCGCAGATCAGCGGTAGGGCCGAAGATGATAGACAAGGGGGAACAGCAACTGCTGAAGGCCCCAGAAACAATGCCCACAGTTATGTAGGCAAGTGAAAGCTACTGCTAAAACTGATGATCGTGAGCTAACCGTATAGATGCAGATCACCATTATGAGATGGCACCAGTCATTGACAGGCTTTCGGACGAGGCCCAACTCGAAATCGAGAAGATGTTCATCAGCAGCTACTTTTCGAACAAGCATTATATCCATCCCATGCTGTCCAAGACCAGCTTTATGCGGCGTTGTGAGAATGAAGCCTTTCTGTTGCCGAGACGGCCTGGCTTCTACCGCGGTATATCGAAATTCTCAGGGTTATATTTCTCTGTGGTTGCCCTAGGAGCCATCAATGCGAGTCCCCATGAGACAGCTCTGCTTGACCATTACTGCAGTTACCTCCCAAATCTAGGGAAGCCTGGTTCTATAACCAGACCTTCGGCATTGGATTTTGCAGATTACTACTTTGGAAAGGCCAAGCAAGCTTTAGGAGATTTGTTTGAGAGCTCTAGCTTGGAGAGTGCGCAAGCGCTTCTGCTCCTGGTGAGTTAATTGCTTCCCAACTATTGGGACATCCGTTACTGATAAAGCATGGCTAGAGTGTATTCTGTCAAAACGCGCTGCGGCCGCACAGCTGCTTCATGTACAGCGGAATGGCAGTAAGGACAGCGGTTGCCATAGGGCTGGCATCGGGAATGTCATCCGTTTCCCTTGATGCGCGAAAGGAGGGCAGACGAACCTGGTGGTAAGTGTCTATGATCCTCGTGCATACGTAACTAAGACTGGATAGGTGTATATATTCCCACGAGATGTGTGTATCTCCTACATGTCCTCTACTATGTACTGACTAGATACAGCGAGATGTGCTGTTCCTCCGGCCGTTTAGACAGTATGAAGGATCTTCAGTATTACCAAGTTCCAATACCAACACTGAAGGTGAGTGTTCCATAATGCGCCCGAGACTGTCATTCTGAACATGTTTAGGCTACGTCCGGCAATCTACTTGATCCCGATGCGGAAGACGACCACGTTGGTATGATCCCAGCCATGGTAGCGTTGGCACAAATCATGTCGGAGGCATCTCATCTTCTTTATCATTCGCCGAAGCGGTCTATGATCGAAATGTCACAGATTGCAATGAATTTGGACAACAAGTTGCTTGCATGGAAAACCACACTGCCACATTTTTTGGACATCGATGCTGCTTCATTGAATGACACTGAGTGGGCTTTCAAACAGAAATTGGTGTTAAGGCTACGTAAGTGTTGCTAAATTCCGTCCACAAAGGACCGATCTCACATAAGTAGGATTCTACAACACACGGATCCTAATACATCGCCCATTCCTCGCTGCATCAGCGTCTAGCACCGAGTTCTCCAATCTGCTCCAGCATCTGCACACCTGCCTGGCTGCTGCGAGAACCAGCATCCAGATGCAGTATGAATCATTCCTGCATAGGATATACATACGAACATGGTTAGTAATTATCATATCTCTTAGTAATATCTGCTGACCAGCAAGGTGGTATAACACGACATACGCACTATATGGAGCCATGATTCTGCTCCACCTCGTCCTGTCCGGATTCCCTGGTATTCGCGACGAGGATCTTTTGCTGGATGTCGAGAAAAGCCTTGACATATTCGAGTCGATGAACAACATCGTGGTTGCTCGCCGATGTGCCGAGATGATCCGAGAGGTTCTTGAAGTCGCGCGAGCCTGTGTAGCACGTCGTCGTGCCACAATATCTGCTCCAACATCAGCACTAGCTCCTAACTCGGGCACTACATTCGGCCTCGATGCTGCCGACCCAGCAGTGCACCATCGAGACCTAACCGGGATGGCGTCGTCCGGCGTGGATAGCGATTTCTTCTTCTCGCTGTTCAATCAGGACTCCCAGCCTAACACTCGGGCCGAGATATTGGCTAATCTGGTTGATCCGACGATTCTCGAGGATTTTGCGTTTGGGACCGGGGGGAGCGACTTTTCGGCTTTCCTTGGCTCTTGATATCCCATGCAGGTGTTGACGTCCTACTTCCATTGCCATATCCACTGCCTCTCACATGACTAGTTAGCTAGCAATATAGACTATGTACATGAAGCTGGCTACACTTTCCATTTGAAGGACATATATGATACCTCACCACCCACCGAGTACAGAGTAACAAAATCAAATGATGAATTAATAGTACCCCCTACCCCCATTACCAACTACCTCCAAACCAAACCCCCTCCATCCCTGCATCCCACCCACCAGAAAAGACCAACACCCACACAATCCGTATATCTAATACCCAACCAAGCCCCATCAACTCCATACCCAACCCACCCCACATACCCCCTCCACCTCCGAAACAAGCACAGCTACCTCCCCATCCCATCCCATCTCAAGAAAACCCACCTACCCAAACCAACCCAAATGACGGCATACAGCATACAGCAACCTAAACAAGCAATCCACCTCGAACCGCAATCCATCCCCACCCAAACGATCCTTAATAAGCTCACTATTTAGAACCGGACCAACTGCGGAGTCCCGCGACTGTTTCATTTCGCGCGAGATAGGTGGTCCTTAATATCCCAATGTAAGTGTCTGTATTATCTACCTAAGATTGATCATAGAGTATCTAGTGTGTAGGTAGGCAGGCAGTAGATAGTAGGATGGATTCTGTGGGTTTGGTTGGTACTTGGTGAATGGGTGGGTATGTTATTATTTTGTATAAAAGTACTCGGTTAGTATGTATGTATAATCTGTTAGATAAGATGTGCTACTATTTGTTACTGTGGATATTAGTGGAGTGGTAATGTTATTAGGGGATGAAGGAAGCGTGCCCGGTATGTTCTCGGTTCGGACCAATCTTATCTGAGGTGATGGGTATCGTCTACTTCCTAAGAATGCTTCATGCTACTGAAGACACAAGACCAATGCTAACAATCAATTTTAGTGACCATGACCGTGAGTAAAAATCCACGCTATCTATCCATCCCATGGCCAACCAGTCTATATCCATCCATTCCGGATCCGTCATAAAGAAACAAGAACAGTAACGAACCCATATGTACATACAATGCATGCCGGAAGTGCAGTCATTCATCCATCCAGGGAATTAGTTCGTAAAGAGCAGCAGTGTCATCATCAGGCACAACTCCGAGCGAGAGCAGCAATAATAAGCAAGGTATCAAAAAACGGAACCTCCGGGCATCGGAAGGAGAATCACAGAATGCGCCAAGATCGGTAAACAGAGATGCAGGGGTGTGGTCATCAAGGGCATCAAAGGTAGTGTTGAACGTAGGAAGAGGTGGTCAGTGTACATCGGTTGAGAGACCTGTTCGTAGACAGGGAAGAGGTGAAGATGATTATAGCGGAGGAATCGAGGTGTCCTGTAAACTTTCGTCGCTAATCGAGGTGGCAGGAGAGGCTAATCCTGAGATCACCGAGGAGGTGCCCCCGAGTCCGCTGTCTCCGGTTTGTTCGATCTCGAGTATCGAGTCCTCCAGCTGGGCGCCCATACGGGGAGGGTTGATGGTGGGCTTGGCCGCGCTGGTCATCAGCTCGTCGATGCCGGGTTTCTCCGGGACATAGTGATCGAGATTAGTCGCGCTGTCGAGGCTGTCAAGGGCGAATTCGAGGAACTCGGCGTCCTTCTTGCTCACGCTCAAGGTCCACCGGTATTCGCACAGTCGGAGACGGTAGAATTCAGACTCTTCTTTGGTCGGTGCCGTGACGCGAAGCAGCACGCCGAAAGATCCGATCAGGGCAAAGTTCGTCCGCGCGGCGGCAGGCCAGAACGAGCGCAGATGGGTCGGACGCAGTCGGTTGACAAAGTCCATGGCGGAAATCAGCCGGGTCTTGGCGGCGGAGCGGCAGATGTGGGAGAGGTAGGCGTCGGCGGTGTCCGGGGACAGCGACCGGACAATGCAGCGGTGCAGGGTGATTTCCGTGGCGAAATAGGCCAGGTGCAAGGCGCCATTACGCGAGTTGTCCTCGCTGACGGTCTCGAAGAGATCGCCGCCCGAGTCCATCTTCAGCTGCGTCGGCAGCCGACCGAACCACTCCTTGAGCCGGATCTGGGCTGGCTTGGCGCGCTCCAGAATCATGCGCGTGCGGTTGTTGCCCGCCGCTCGGAATTCCTCGATCGCCTGGAGTGTATAGAACCGGTCCAGGATATCGGACAGGATCGTCGTCAAGGCCACCATGTGGCAGAAGGAGAGCGGGCCGTGGCCCACGGGCGCATCCTCGTGTTGCGAGGAACCCGAAAACGCATCGGTGAAATCCTGTTCCACCAGGTCCTGGACCATCCAATTGGACGACACGATGTGAGATGGCCGGCCGTGCACCAGGGCGGACCATTTGTCCTGCATATATAGTGCCCATGCCAAGCGTTTCCGGAGGCCCTTTTCCCACGCTTCCATCCGCCAATTGGAGCAGTCCTGGTGCAGGCCAAGCTCAAACCCGGCGGTGACCAACTGTGCGTTCAATGCAGCTGTAGCCAGGTTGGACCGCTGCATGAGCAACAGGCCGGCCTGGACGGTCGACATGGACGCATAGGGCAGCGACTCGGTCAGCAGCTTGAGGGCCGTGCTCTCCAGCCGGCCGGCATCGGGCCGGCGTATTGATTGCGAGACCGGGCCCACATCAACAAACTTCAATGCCAGCACGTAGACGGCGGACAGGAGCAGCGGCGTCAGACCGGTTCGGGCCCGGTACGACTGGCGGAAACTGTCCTCCATGAGGACGGGGAAGGTAGGATGGACATTCTCGAAGAACTTCTCCACCAAAGTGGAGCCATAAGGAGCAACCAGGCTCTCAATGGCATCCAGGGTGGCGGTTTGCGGGGAGTCCGCGTGGGAGCGGGTGTTGACCACCCGCATGAAGGTGCCGTCGTCACCGAATTTACGCACGCGAGACGAAGCCACGCACCCTTCGTTGTTCTGGTCCAAGGGCAGGAACTCGAGGAGGGCGGGCTCGAGTTCAGTGGTGAGGCCGATGTGTTGGGTCGACTGGAACCAAAAGGCCGGCGTGAGGAGATGGTGATTGTGCAATGTAGGGCGGGAACTATCAGGTTTGTTCACTGGGGGGAGGGTAGATTGCCTGGCAGCGGGGGCCACGAGTTAGCGTTCCAATTGAATTCAGGCACGTCCGAGATCGGCATACCTCTTGGGGGATTCCACTTCATCGGAATCGGTGTCGTCGAATTTACGTTTTTTAGACTGGACCTCCGCCGTACCGGGGCGACTCGTCACGGATAACGTGAAAGTGCAGTCCTGGCGGTGGAAGTCGCACGAGTAACACTTGTTCACCATTTCGTTTATAGCACACCGGCTCTTTCTGCGCACACAGGCGTCGCAACTGGGCCCATCCCGGCCTGGTGCAGTCACACGAGGAAGGGTGCCAATGGACGAGGCGGGCGAATGTGGCGTGGATGTTGAACCAGGCTGGGGGGCGTGTGATGATGGCTGGGGTTGTGATTGCTGCTGGACCCGGGGTCGAAGGAGCTGATGGTCAGAGGCAGGCGACGGCTGGAAGGCAGCTGCAGAGGGCACCGTTGGCCCCGTCGTCGTGGACGACTGGAGGGTGATAACAGCAGCCATTCAGAGCGGTCGACTCGACAGGTCCAAAGATAAGGGCACTCAATGGAGCGGCCGTGCAGGGACAGAACCGGGGAGACAGGCGGAGATGCGCGCAGATAGGCCGTGGACCTGGGCACCAATCTCACCAATCTGACCAAGCGTAACAGAAACAATAATAGGAATGGGCGATAGCGACGGGAATCTCACGGGATTCTGTCACGTAAACGAACCGGGGCAGCCGGAAACTCCGCCGTGTGAGCTCCGCAATGGAGAGACGGAGAACGGACGGAGGACAAGGCAGAGAGAGGGTGAGCCAGGGCCTCCCCGAACTAGAATTTATCTGGGGTTGACGTGCAGGTCAACTGGTTGGTTGGTTGGATGGTGGTAGTAAATAGATAGTATTGATAGATAGTGTCGGTGGTGATCCCGTCTATCCAACGCACCGACCAATGGCTGATGGAGCACCGTCGACAGGGTTGCCTGCCACGTACGAACCGTAGCGGAGAAGCTTATCAGCTGGGGTTGGGTAGGCGAAAGGAAGCAAGGAAGGAAGGAAGGTCCAGAAGAGTGTGGTCAGATTGAGTGATAGTCAATGCTGATAGATAGAGAGAGCCTGAGTGAGAGGGAGAGAGAGAGAGCCTGAGAGTGGAGAGATAGGAAAGAAGGTGAGTGGTGAGAGTCGGGGAGTACAGCCAACCACTTGCGGAACCGGAGCCGCCAGATCGGGGAGATGGAGATATACTCTGATAAAGACGGAGGTGGATTTAAGCCAGAGAGGAATCAGGTAATGGAATAAGTTAATGATTACAGTCAGTCAGTCAGTCAGTCAGTTGCCAGGATTCCCAGGTGATGATAATATTGATGATATCAGAAATACTAAAAAAAAAAAGACACCTGGATCTGATCTGTCACCTGGAGATTTCGAGAAAGAGAAAAGACAAGACCCGTCCTCAACCCTTCCTCGTGCCCATCCAGTGATTATAATGGATTACTATCCCAGAGAGCCTGTGGTCGGGACCGGGCAGAAAAGGAACAGTCATCAGGATCAATAAGAGAATCTCCGGATGTAGCGATCGATCAGCGAGGCCCCTTCCGACCCTCTCCATCGGCCGGGTTTCCCACACGTAACAGATATGCGCCTGGCATCCTGGATGGCCGCCCGTCTGCTTTCGCCTCAAGTTCCTGCGCCCTTGGACGCCCTCGCCCCGATAAGCCTCGCCCGCCTGATTGGATCCCCGATCGGTTGGCTGCCGAGGCGGCCTTGGTATTACGTACTGAATTGCTCTCGTCCGAAAGTTTGGGGTTGTAACAAGTGCCGCCCGGGTGAATCTTGTCTGGAGGCAATTCCCCGGTGGTAAGAAAATTAAAGGAAGAATCAGACATTATAATAAAACATAATAAATACAAGAAAACATGGTGGGAAAAAAGTAAAGTGCTCCTTCCACGCGGTGCATCCCCCTAGTTTCTCCTATCGACTAGTACCTAGGATCCTACATCGTAGGACCGTCTTTAAGTACGAATCCGACCTATCAAGCCGGCGAACCTCTCACCAAGCCTCGATTACTCAGACTAAGTGCCAATCACATCATCCCGATAACGCTCTGGCCCGGCCAATCACGGTGGCTGCAAAGGCATGAAACCGGCATAGCGCAACACCGGCAACGGGGATCGGCCCTGCAGCTGGCGGCTTTCCCCACAGCCTCAGCAAGCCCCATGTGGGTTTTGGCTGCAAGGTCGGCGGGAAAATCCCCGGGGTGGTGATTGGTGGGCGTCTGTCGTCCTTGGGCACCTCTGCTGACCGTCCGTCTTATTAACTTAATAATCGCTATTACTAGTACTACAGAGTAAGGTTTCCCGGCGGCGCGTCCGTTGCATGATTCAGGTACTGGTAACTTGCCTGCCCGTCCGTTGGGGGCTGATGCCCATTGTACTGGGTACGACTGGCGGTGGGAAGAGGATCTGGGGAGGTACCTGTTATCTCCGGGGAAAATGGACCGTCAGTGCTTCTGGAGCCACTCCGTGCCACTGCGGCACTACATAGTACATAGTACGTACCAGGCATTGGCTCGCGTGCACGTTGGCGTTGAACGCGCTGGCCCCGATTCTCATTACTTAATGTAAAGGTCATCCTGCTGCATCCCCGGGGATTCCTATTATTAAGGGGGCCGCCATGCGGGAAAGCTCTCTGTTACTGTTAGTAGCAGGAGCACTAGAGCAATTTGTTTGGCCCAATCCTTTGCCCGCCACGAGGTTTCAATTATCAAACCGATACTGCTTTAGACTTTGCGTGCTGCTGTCTAGTCTCTCAACATGCCCAAGGTTCAACCTGAAGCCAATCAACCTAACAGTCACCACTAACCACATCACCGCCGCCAACAGCAACCAGGCATTGGCACGTCCCATTTTCATGTCATCGTCGCATGGTTAGATTGTTACTATCCACATACAAACTCTAGCCGCAATTAATAATGCTCGCATGGACGATTCCACATGTTTTAGCTCCTGAAAGGTTGAGAAAAAAAAATAGAATCACCATGACGACATGATCGTCCACAACCAATGCAAGTATGTGCTTTCCTCCTTTTTTCTTTCTTTCTTTTTCTTTTTTCTTTTTTTTTTTTTAAAAAAAAAAATCCCCTTCCTCTTTCAGTTTCATCGAATTCTGTATATGCATCGCGTCGCGTCATAACTCCAAAACTCCATGCTATACCGAACCCCAAACAAAGACAACCGGACCGCGGTATGTCGAACCAAACTGATGGAAAGAATCGAATCTACTCCGTGAAGTTGCGCAATTTCGTCAACTCATCCAACAGCTCCTGCAAATCACCATCTGAGATCTTATGCTGTAGACTAGGAATAAGTGACTTGGCTTCCTCCGCATTATCACAACATAGACTTCCTGTGTTGGTTGTTAGCGCACTGATCTCCTTGGCTTGGCTTCACCATTTCCATGTGAAAATTCCCCTCCCATCACATCACAGCCATGTGACAAAGAAGATAGAGAATGAAAGAAAGAGGGGGAAAAGAAAATACCCAACTGCGATCTCTCAAACATCTCCAATTCTGTATGCGAATTCAACAACCGCTCAACAGCCTTGATATTCTCTTCATCCTTGAACCGCGCAAACACCTCCAGGTAATCCAACGTTTTCGTAAGGTTCCTAATGACACGATGCATGTTAGCGCTGCACCTATCCCAAGTATTCTATCCATTCATCTCATCATGCACACCACCCGTAGACAGCGGGTGAACTCACTCCGGTTCCTCGTATTTCTTCCCGCCTCTGCGCTTATTCTCCAATACCTTGTTGATGACGAGACGCGCTTCGGACAGCGATAGCGTGTGCGTGTTCTGGTCGGCGCCGAGCTTGAGTGTCGAGGCGGCTTCGAGTTCGCCTTGGGGAAGGGTGCGCTTGCGGTGGGTGGCTGGGGGGAGTTGGACGCTCATGGTTTCTTTTCGTGGGGTGATGAGGTCGTGGGTTGTTTCGTAGACGTGAGATAGCTGATGATGTTGGTGCGAGATGGGGGAATCTGGCGCGTTGAGTTTTGCGGCGGCAGATGAGGGCGGTGAGGGGGTTACCGCCTTGATGTGGTTATCACGGATTGATTAGATGGTGAGGATTGATTGATGGGTTATTTATTAGTAAGTTACGGGTGGAGATGATGAGATAGATGATCGTGCTTTAGATCTAGGACTGCCATGTGTAACTACAAGGCAAGTAAGGGTATCAATTCAACACTTATCGACACTTTTCTATATCCATAGCCAAAACGCCCCGATGCTATGCGATAGATAATACAGACGTTCTAGCCAAGCAGATCGTCTTAGATCTGACGGAACGCCACCTCCTTCGGCAGACGGAAGCTGGCGCAGAACATTTGCTTATTAGGACTGACCAATCTCACATTGTGGATGGCCAGCTCGATTTCCTGGTTGCCGCTGCCCCCGACGCGATCCTCCGTCGTGATGGTGTGGCCGATGCGCTCCGAGATGCGCTGGCACACATCCACGTGGTCGTCATGTTCGTCCTCCGAGTGGCCCGAGAAACAGTAGACGTGGACCATGGGCAGGGGTTGCGAGGTGTGCGGGGCAAAGAGCGATTCCTTGCCTGCGTAGACGCCAACAAAGGCATCGAGGAACTCAATGGCGTTGCCGGGAAGGTTCATCACGTAGTGGTGGAAGACGGTCGGGCGGTGGAAGACCTCGGGCTGCGGCAGGTGGTCGCCCTTCTCCTCGGCTGCGGCTTTCTTGCTCCTCCGGATCTTGGGCTCAATAGTCACGGTGTGCGGGGATTCTTGGAGGGCGTGCGCAGACCAGCGGATAAACTCGCGGCCGTCCTTGTTGAAGGGGGTGACGAACTTGTCGGCCTTGTTGCGCTTTATGGCGTCCAGCATCACCTCGTACCCGTGCGGGTTGAGGTCGTTGGCCCACACGAAAATCTTCTTCCGACCAGCGGGCACGGCGAAGGGCCCAACGCCCGCCATGACGTCGCAGACCATCTCACCGGGGCGGAACTTGTCCACAAGACGGCGGTGCTCCGTCTCGAGACGGCTGTTCCAGTACACGCGCGAGTAGTCGAAGCGGAACTCGCAGTTTTGCTCGTGCTGGATGACGTTCAGGTCGTTCTTGCCGGCCAGAAGCTCGAAGGGGAACGTGCGGAATTGACTGTGGGAGCCTACGTCCTCGGTCTTGCGAATGACGGTGCTAACATTGGGGTTCTTGTCCATTAGGACCTGGGCGATCAGATGCTTGTAGGGCAGGTATTGCTCGCGAAGGTTGAGATGCGCTTTTTGATCAGCTTGGAGTCCACAATGGCAAATGTAAATCGAACTTACAAACATGACCAACTTGCGTGAATCCCTGAGGGATCTCATCCAGCATGTCCTCCGGCAGGATGCAGGACATAATATCCGCTGCTTCAATTAGCCCTTGCGCCCTCATACCCAACATCGAAAGAACTCAAACCCACCATAAGTCCAATAATCATACTCCAGTGTCAAATCATAAGGCTTCACGCCAACCACTCCCTGCTTAACAAGCTCGCTGATCGTCGGGGACCACGTCGTGGCGTCTAATTCACCCATCAGCACATCCATCTCATCCCTAATATCCCAGGTATAAAACTAACCATCAGGCTTAACCTCCTCCTTCAACAACAGACACTTGTGCACCAGATCATCGACCTTGATTTCCCGAATGCAGCCCAATCTCGGCAGCTGGAGCAAATCCCGGCTCTTGGTCAATTCCTTCCGCACGTTGGAGATATCCGAGATCTTGAAGATAGCCGCCGCAGAGATTGGCACTGTCCTTTTGAAAAAGGATCGGTCCAGGACTCGCATAGCCCGGTTCACTGGAGGACGGAACATGGCGGGGAGGTCGCTGCGGAGCGGGTGGGTGGGTGCGGAGTCGATGTCCATGGACACGGGGTGACGGGGTTGATAGGACGTTTGGGTTCCGGGGGTTGGGGAGTGGTGCGAGTGGGCGTTGAGTCAGGAAGAATGCATTGGCTGGTTGGGATCTGGTGGTTTGGTGGGAGGATCGCGACATTTTTTAGACTTTGGAATTGGGCCGTGACTCGCTGCTTATCGGCACGTGATGGTGATGCAGATAAGATCGGTCTGGGGTTATCACATGAAAGTCTACTGTGTCTGAGATGCCAATGGCATGGCTATGGATGGTGAATCAAGAATAGTAAGTTGACTGTTATTCACATTGATTGGGATGATCACGTATGACCAGGGGGTGCCTATCGCTTAGACCTACAACTATAAACACTAAATACTAAGCATCTGCACAGCAGACGACAACAATATAAAATCGCCAGAGCAGCACGCAAACATGCAACAGAAAGAACAAAAGCCACATCTAGATCAGGGTATCAGATCTCTTCCTCCCATAATTACCGTCCCCCCTCCAATCTCGCAATGCGCTCATTCAGCTCCTTAATCTGGTCATCCTTCTTCTTCAGCGCAATCCGCGATATATCCCTCCCCTTGACTATCCCCTTCAGCTTCAACTCATACTTATGCAACATATCCACCAACTCATCCTTCGCCTGCTTCGATACCTTCACCTGGTTCTTCTCGAGAATCTTGACAGCCGTTACCGCCAAGCCCTCCTTCTTCAATTCATCCGCATCAACACCAGGTCCAGCCCGGAACCTGACCGGCGTAGGCGTCCCCGAGAACTCCATCGACGACGGCGGACCAGACACCGTAGAAGCAAAAGACACCGTCTTATCCGTATACGATCTTGCCAACGAAGTCGGCGTAAAGCTCAACGTCTTTCCACTGCCATCCTCCTCCATATCCGAGAACTTCCTCTTCCCCGACGCAGAAGCCGCACCCGACGGCGTCTTCGGTGGCCCGAAGTCCGGCTGTCGCAGCGGGGCTGACTGCTGCTGCTGCTGCCCTCCTTGAACAAGAATCTTCCCCACCGCCGCATCATCCTCATCATCCCATTCGAACTCATCCATATCTTCTGACATCATACGTGCTTTGGCGCTTTGTGGGAGCGTATTGAACCCCACCCTGCCGCCGGGGGTGGCACCCATGATTGAACCGTATCGAATCGTGCGATCAGTCTGGGGTGTCAGGAGACCTGTCGCGGACAGGCGAGGTTTCTTGGTCGGGGTTCCGGGGGCAGAGGAATCAGGCTCGGTGTGAGAGTTTGACAAGACGGCGTGTTTCTCGCGGATTTCGGCGTCGCTGGCCCAGAGGAAGAATCGGCACCGTTGCGCTTGGGGCTTTTGGCAGGTGTAGACTACGAGGATGCGGGGGGGTTTCTTGATTAGCGGTGGACCTTATTGGGGAAGATAACAAGGTTACATACACCATCGCCCATGGTTCACACTGTGGTTCTTGGTTTGGAACTTGGCGGCCGGGGGACGGTCAGGACAGTTGCAGCGCCAGACATCGTCGAGGAAGAGACCCCGCAGAGGAACGGCCATGCCAGGCGAGCGAGGCGACCCCGCGCCACTGAAGGATTTGGTGGGAGACAGCATGAGTAATCGGGGGAGATTTAAAGTTGGGGATATGACAGGCTGGATATTTCGTAGATCAAAGGCAGTGTTTATAACTGGAGTAGAAAAGACTGCCGTTGGGTGTCGCCATGGAAACTGGGGGTGACGTTAGAGACCCGCCAGGGCGGCAATCCGGGGAAGATGACATGAAGAATCTATACAGGATGGAGTATACCTACTAGTACAATCAAAAAAAAAAAAAAAAAAAATCGCTTGTCTATGCTAATAATAATATTATGTTTATGCAAAAGTCCGACGCCCCGATCAGATCCTGTCTCTTCGAGCCACAGGCAATGCCATGCAACATTCTAACGACCAGAACCAACGATGTATACGAGGGATGTATAGACTCTAGGGTATCTCAACAATGCAACCACACTTATTCCGCCAGTACCTGTCGTAACATAACACCAAACGAGTCGGACAACTTGAGGATCTCCGATACGTCCGGCTTGATCGGCTCGCCAGCCGTGCGCCGGAGCTGGTCCTGCTGCTTGACCCGGCGTCTGCGCTCCGCCGTGATCGGGTCGAGATCCTCTTCGTCGTCCAGCTCTTCCGATCCCTCCGATTCGGCGTCGGAGATGGCAAGATCTTCAAGGTCGGCCTCATCCAGGCCAAAGTCGCTGCCCCGGAACGTCGCGTTACCCAGATATCCTTCATGGCCCGTTCCTTCGGCCGCCATCTTCTGTCGCGTTTTGTTCAGGTGCCACCGCTTTCGGTCTTCGTGCCATTTGATCAAGGCATTGATCTCCTCCAGTGCCTTGTTGTTGTCAACTTGTCCAAAATCCTTGGCTCCTCGCAGCAAGGCGTTCATGTCCAGATCGCCCCCGCGCGGTCCCTTGCGCAAGAACTCCAGGATATCCTCGATCCACCCCATGAGGGACGTGAACAGGCCATTATCGTGCAAGTGAACCTCATGCACGAACTTATAGAAGCTGCTCTGGTGACGTTCGCAGAGATCGATGAAGGCCTGGACCGTCTGGTTCGGATCCGCCGAAACATCCTGCCGCTGGCACTTCTCGATCACTGCAATCGCATCGTCAGCAAAACGAGCGAAATCCGTGATGCTGCTGTAGACATTGGCCGACTTGTAGACGCGGACCAGCGGTTCGTAGAAGATGGTGAAAAGGTCGCGGAAGAGCTGGAGGGTAACTGGTTCTTCGACGATACTGAGCATCATGGCCTTGTCGCGCTGGCGAGTGTAAAGCTTCAGTAGCTGTTTCATGTTCGCAAACCAATGGGCACCCTCTCGCAGCTCCACCTCGACATTGTCCACGGCTTGATTCCAGGCCACATAGGCATTGAATACCTTGCCAAATTGCTCGGGAGTCAGCTCAGGCTGCAGAAGCTCAGTGCGAAGAATAGCCACGACAATATCAATATCCTCATCAGCAGCTTCTGCGCGGATCTCGTTCTTGAGACTTTCATCCGAGTCGGTGAACGCCTTAAGCTTTTGGCAGAGGATGGGATCTTCGACCTTGGCGGCCAGCGCATCGATCGATTTCTGGAAGGCCTTGATGCCATCGTTGAGAGTCATCGAGAAGATCCGCTGTAGGAGCGAGCGCGAGCCGAAGGGCTGGGCCAGGAAGAGGTCGAGCACTCCTGCCATCACGGCTGCCGGGTTGGCAATTCGAATAACATTCTTCAACAGAGTGTACGGGACGAGGGAATGGATTCTCTTGGCTTGTGCGAATAGTTCGGGGGAGTTGTCCTCAGCCAAGAACAGGTGGTAAAGCGTTGCAGCAACCCTGAAGCGGTCTTGGTCAGCCTATCATACAATCAAAACGGGATTTTGCTCGTCACGTACTCAATCCGGAGCCACTCAGCAAACTTTTGGTACTTGGGACTGAGATCCTGCACCGTCGGCTTCTCCTTGATCTCGGAAAACAGCTTTGTCAGGCCATCTATATTGGGATATCCCAGTCAGCGTGGTCATTACCGATTCGCGTCATTCACCACTTACTGCTCTCGACAATGTCTCGACGGAAATTCTCCATGTAAGCGTCCAATTCAGCTGCGCGTGCCCGGGCGATTTCGTAGAATCGCTTTTGCTCTTCTATTCTCACCGCGTCGACATCCTTCCGCTTCTGCATATCCAGCTTCTCCTCTTCGTTCAAAGTGACGGGGTCGGCCGTCAAAAACTCTTCCAAGGCTTTCGTTTCAGCCACCCGCTTGTTTTGTAGCATGGTGCGAAGGAACGCCCGAAGAGAGACTCTCTGGTCTTCCCGGTAGAGCACTGTCTCCCTCGAACCTTCACTAGATGCCCGGGGCGATCTCAAGGAACGCTTAGAAGACCGGGACAACGACCGGTGATGATGGTTTCCAGGGGTCAAGTTCCGTGACGAATAGCCCTCGTCCACGGCGCTGACACCGACTGTTGACACGGAAGAGACCGAGGATGCTTCGTCATCTGCCGACCCGAACCAGCTTGTTGTCATTGAGGATTTGTTCTTGCGAGGGAGAGGGGGCAGCGGTTTGCCGGGAAATTCGGTTCGTAGTCGCTTGTGAAGTTTGGCAAAGTCGCCGTAACGACGAGCCACGAAGAGATCGGGCTTGCCTTCTCTTCGCACACGAAGTATGAACTCCTGGTTATACGTCAGTGGGGATATCCAGTGCCGCAGACGCGCAAACACTTACCGCATGTTGATGGTATCGTACAGTCCGTCGCACCGAGGTGACTCGCACAGCAGCCACATTGATATCCCATCCATGAATTACATTTCCCTCGGGCATGTTGACCAACAGCCCCTTTTCATTAGCCCCGCGATCGACGACTTCCATCTCCGAGAATTGAATGCGCTCTTCATAGCCCGAGGCCGTCGGGATTCCTGAAACCATCATGAGTTCGACCAATTTCTCACACTTTCGCGCCAACTTCCTGCGCTTTGTCTCTTCCAGGCGGTCTTCCGAAGATGAGACATTCTTCTTTGCAAACGATTCTAGAAACTGTGTGCCGGCCATTAGCTCCAATTCATCGCATGTGCTGCATTGGTTGTCCGAGGGGGTACACGCACCACTTGTAGTTTATCTTGCCAGAACTCCTTCTCGCGGGCCTGATCGAGGAACGGAAAATTGCGCACATGGTGGACGAAGATGTATCGCAAGATAGGGAGTTCCGAGTCGACGGGCGCAACTTCGCCGAATTCTGACTTGAAGGGGGCACCGAAGCGTTGGAGGGCGGTTGGCGAGTTTAGCTCGGCGATTTCACTCTGGACCTGACGGGCGATGAGTTCGCGCTTGAGATCTAAAGCTGTTAAAGATGATACTTAGTCCATGGGGAGGAGAGAGGACCAACAATGTTCTTGCTTCCCGGTGAGAATCTGACCGGGGGCGGGCTGGACGAGGCAGGCGGGCGGGCGCCTGACTGCACTCCGTTGGGGGCAGACATGGTGGAATCGCTGCAGCACTGGATTTCCCCCTCGAGGTCGGGCAATCGTTGACTGGGCTATATAGCCCTAAAGTAGACACAGGGGTAATAAGAATACGACCGGAATCCACTTCTAGAAGATGGCCGCAAGCCCAGAATCCGTCTGCCTAGCCACAGCCAAGGTTTGGGCTGGAGACGATGACGTTTTGGCGCCCGTCGATGCTCGGCGCGCCTGATCACCAGTCACCAGAGCGCACTTGTTGTTCAGGCCGATCGGAAACCTGTTTGAGGTGGTAACAAGGGAGATTGAGAAGAGGGAGGAGAAAAGATGTAGGGTAGAAGAGGAGAGGATATGAGAGAGAGAAGAGAGGGGAAGCTGAAGAGGGGAAGCGAAGAGGGAAGGGAAGGACAAGCTAGCGAGGCCCTACTACTAAATACTAGTTAGTAGTAATCTGCAGGCGATGGGCGATGATGACACCACCGATCCCCAAGCACCAAGTCGGAGGAATGCGAATAAAATTAGATGCCCTGCCCCCTCTTTGACGCGTCCGGTGCTCAGCCCTGTGGCCCCGCCCTGAGCTTTCCGCGGATCGCGCACTTCTAGTTCTTCGTTCTCCAGAAAAGATGCTTGTCACCGGCGGTGGATACTGGATTCTCCATTCCCCCCCCCCCCCACGTCTGCCTGCCAGTTTCTCCTCAGTCGGACAGCTGCCAACTGCCAACCAAGACCCCCAAGATTGAGATCGGCTAGTTCCATGTTAGTCTCCTGCGTCGAATCGCATGACTGCCGGCTGCAACCAATCTAATCCGCTTGTCTGACTGCATGCATCATCGATCTTATCGGTACCTATCATCTATCAACGCAGCAGTGAGACCTGAGAATTACGTCCTAAATACTCATCGGAACATCAATCTATGCCTAGTCTGTTGTATCTTTTATGTCTCATTCACTCAGCGAACCTCTGCTTGCCTGAGGCAGAAATCCCATCACAATATGACTTGCCTATTTCTCCAGTCTACACCACCCCAGTGCCTGCACAAGTGATGGATACTCGTCACTTTGCTGTAGATAGTAATAGAATGGAATCAAACACTGGTATGTTTGATCCCAATACAAATGGACGCCATACTGACTGAGATGACCCTCCAGGCCCATGATGCTTGTGCATGACTCCAGTCATGCTTTGCGAGAAGCTCTCCCTCATGGCGAGTACCCGATGCTGCCCGAGAGTCGAGAACTATAAAGCTCTGAAAAGCGAACACTTTCTCAGGTGCCTCGACTAAGGAGTCATAACAATATCATCCACGGTAGGTTCAGGGGCTGTGGTCGAAAGACCATACGACGGCTAAGACATGGTCATGTCTACCTCATGGCGAGCACCCGATACTGCCCGAGATTTTGGTGCCTTGAAGAACTGCAAAATGAGCAAATATAGCTTTTATCAAGCACCTCGACTGAGGAGTCATAACCTGCGTCAATATCCATCACGGTAGGTTCAGGGGCTGTGGTCGAAAGGCTATATCACAGCTAAGATACGGTCATGTCAACCTCATGGCGAGCACCCGATACTGTTCGGGAGTTGAGTGTGTTGAAGCACTGCGAAGCGAGCAGATATAGTCCTTGTTCATTCTTCGATGGAGGAGTCATAGCCTGCGTCAGCATTATCCGCGGTAGGCTCGAAGCCCGTGGTCGAAAGACCACCCTACGGTTAAGATACGGTCATGTCTACCTCATGTTGCTATATTTACAGCAGTTGACTCACGACGAAAAGTCTGGGGGAGTCATATACAACCATGGGCCATGTAAACTGGTGGACTTTATATCTCTCGCAGGATATTTGCCTCCCTTGGCTTCATTCTACACTTTTAAATAGTATATTGCTTTCAACTGGAGTAAATCAATCGTCTCCAGACACCTCCGAATACTTCCACATTCGAATTGCAACAGGCAAACGCTTTGCCCATCTTTCTTTCGTTTAACGTGTCTTGCAATAAGCACGCCCACTACAATCCTATCATCCAACGAACCTTTTCACTCATTGAACCGGATTATCAAACAACATCACATCCTTTAAAGTGCCTTGCAACAAGTACACCCACAAAAAGCCTTTTCTCCAACCAATCTATTCACTCATTAAACCGGGTTATCAAACAACATGACGATCGGTGAGGTGCTGTCTGCATCTTCTTCGACGAATAGTGCAAATTGCACAATTGAACTCCGCCCTTACTACGAACACGATGCGGAAGAGAACAACCACCATAACGACAGCTCCAATCTGTGTGAGCATCGATGCGGCTTACTCCTCTACGAGGCTTTGAATAATTCTTTGGCGACATCTTCCTACATCAACGTCCCTGAAAACAGCCCTCTGAGAGGCGGATGGCCAGCACTTGCCGAACTTATCGACCCGATCGAGCATATGAGCTTCTGCGAAGCCTGTCCGAGGGAACCAGCCTACCGAGACTATTTCCACACAGTCTGCGATGGAATCGTCCGACAATACAAGAACTTCTACCAAATACTTTTTCGGCAATACAACCAAAACGACTTTGTTGCGATCTACTACAACGACTACTACAACGAGCATATCTTCACGGAATATATCCGCCAAATCGATCGGATACTCGATATTATAAGCCGACTGAGTTACACCTTGGCATACCAGCCCGTCTACGATGGAGATTCCTGGAATATCATGTTCGATCAAGCCATACGACTGTCAGACGCCACATACGACCTTCGAGATCGGGTGATGTCCAACCAAAACTAAGAGAGTGGAGTGATACCTTACCTTGAAAGGTGCTCCATGGGATAAGTGTACGAGTATTGAATGGGGTATTGTTAAATGGAGTGATACCTTGAAAGGTGCTCCATCGGATAAGTGTATGAGTATGAGTATTGAAAGGGGTCTTCTTGAATGGAGTGATACCTTGAAAGGTACTCCGTGAGATTTGTGTACGAGTATTGAACCTGGGTTTGCTGAAGGGAGTGATGCCTTCAAAGGTGCTCTCTGATATTGGTGTACGACTTTTGGATTGCTGTTGAGTGTTTGGCCTCCTTGGAGAGGGTCAGGAGTTGATCATGTTGCTAGCGTGCTAGCGTTGTCCTGTACTTATATATCCGAGCTTTGGGTGGGTGGGTGGGAGGCCCCAAAGCTAACAATCATATCTTGATTGACAATCCTCACATTGTTGTCGCATATAATAGATTGTAGATCATCATACCATGTAGGGCTGTGGAGTCCATGCCCGAAAAGGCCGTCAATAGGGAAGCGGCGTGAATAAGGGATTGATGCCTGGGGCCGCCAAGGCCCGTCGGGGATCTGCTGCGCCTCCCGTTTCACCTCCTCAACCCTCGCCGGCCTCCGTGTCGGAACTCAATTCTGAGGATTCCCATCAGACTCGATCCTCGAGTTCATTACTGCTGCTACCTCCTGAGGGCACAGGCTGGTGCACCCAAGCAACTCGTACCATTCGCACTCCTGTCCATCGCAGCCAGCACCGATCCGACCCTTCGTCGCTGCCGACGATAACGATCCCTCGGCTCTTATCGATCGCGAGCTGCGAGTGACTCCTTGCACCATTCCGTCGTGATCGTATATGACACAGATACGCCCGCCGGTCTTCCCTCCTACATGACCATTTCCCACCATGGGGAAATTTGACACCAATGAGGTCTCGGAGTTCCTTCCCATGAGCCGTCCGCGGCCCTCATCCACCGCCTCTGCGACATCCTCCGATTCGAGCCTCTCCGTCGACACCTACCCGGAAGAATCCAAGTACACCTCAACCGCACCCGAGGGATTGTCGGAAGAGAACAGATACCGAGATGTGGAGGAGGGCGAACCTGGAGCGGACGAGCCGTTTCTCCCTTCGACCAAGAAGGCTGGTACCTCCGGGAGCCGTACATCTCGTCTGATATGGGGCCTGGTTATACTGTGCGTGGCAGGTTGGCTGTGGGGATTGGCGCTATTCATCACCCAGGGACACTCAAACCAGCAGACGGTTACAGAAGCCCTACAGTCTCACGAGTCGGACACAAGCTCTGGGAGTTCGAAACCGGTCACGCTGGAACAGGTCCTCACGGGACAGTGGCTTCCTCGCTTCCATGCCGTTGCGTGGATTGCGGGACCCAATGGCGAGGATGGTCTTCTAGTGGAGCGGGGAGAAGATCGCGGGAAGGGATTCTTGCGAGTTGAAGACATTCGCAGTCGCAAGAGCGGTGTTACCAGTCAGGCAAGCAAGGTGCTGATGGAGAAGGCGATTGTGCAGGTGGATGGACGTTCAATCTTTCCAGTGACGACATGGCCCAGCCCGGATCTGAACAAGGTGTTGATCATATCCGAGCGCGAGAAGAATTGGAGGCATTCGTTCACGGGAAAATACTGGATCTTCGACGTGGCTACTCAAACAGCGCAGCCGCTTGATCCTAGTGACCCCGATGCACGCGTGCAGCTTGCGATTTGGTCACCAAAATCCGACATGGTTGCTTTCGTGAGGAATAACAACCTGTATTTGCGCAAACTGTCTTCGGATAAGATTGTGCCCGTTACAAAGGACGGCGGCGCGGATCTTTTCTACGGCGTTCCCGATTGGGTTTACGAGGAAGAGGTCTTCTCGGGCAACAGTGTAACCTGGTGGTCCGGCGACGGCAAATACGTGGCTTTCCTGCGTACCAACGAGACGGCTGTCCCTGATTTCCCCGTGCAGTACTATCTCTCAAGGCCCTCCGGAAAGGAACCTGCCCCGGGACTCGAGGATTACCCCGAGGTCAGGGACATCAAGTACCCCAAGGCTGGAGCTCCCGATCCCGTTGTTAACCTGCAATTCTACGACGTTGAGAAACAAGAGGTCTTTTCAATCGACACACCCGATGATTTCGAGGACGACGATCGGATCATCATCGAGATCGTGTGGGGAACCGAAGGAAAGGTCCTTGTGCGAGCAACCAACAGAGAAAGCGATATCCTAAAGGTGTTCTTGTTCGACACGAAAGCCAGGACCAGCAAGCTTGTGCGCTCTGAGAATGTTGCTAGCATCGATGGTGGCTGGGTAGAGCCTTCACAGTACACACGGTTTATCCCAGCAGATGCCAGCCGCGGCCGCCCTCATGACGGATACCTCGACACTGTGATCCACGAGGGCTACGAGCACCTGGGCTACTTCACGCCCCTGGACAACCCCGAACCCGTCCTTCTCACCAAGGGAAACTGGGAGGTGGTGGATGCTCCCACTGCCGTGGACCTGAACAAAGGCATTGTCTACTTCATCGCAACAAAAGAAGCCCCTACCGAGCGCCACCTGTACCAGGTCCAGCTGGACGGATCGAACCTTAAGCCTCTAACAGACACCTCCAAGCCAGGCTACTACGATGTATCTTTCTCACACGGAACCGGCTACGCCCTACTCAGCTACGATGGCCCTTCTGTCCCCTGGCAAGCGATCGTCAACACCGAGACCGACGAACTCAAGTACGAAGACACCATCGAAGACAACGCCGCTCTTTCCAGCATGGTGGATACATACGCCCTCCCCACCGAGATCTACCAGAACGTCACCATCGACGGCTTCACCCTCCAAGTTGTCGAGCGTCGCCCGCCACACTTCAACCCAGCCAAAAAATACCCCGTCCTATTCTACCTCTACAACGGGCCTCGATCCCAAACCGTAAACCGCAAATTCACCATCGACTTCCAATCCTACGTCGCCTCCAGCCTGGGCTACATCGTCGTCACCGTCGACGGGCGAGGCACCGGCTTCTCCGGACGGAAACTGCGCTGCATCGTCCGCGGCAACCTAGGCTTCTACGAAGCCTATGACCAAATCACGACCGCCAAGATCTGGGGCGCAAAGCCCTACGTCGACGAATCCAGACTCGCAATCTGGGGCTGGAGCTACGGCGGGTTCATGACCCTCAAGACTCTAGAACAAGACGCCGGCCAAACCTTCCAATACGGCATGGCCGTCGCCCCCGTCACCGACTGGCGACACTACGGTAACCCCTCCCCCATCCCCCACCCATCCTCTATTCACCCAACTAACCCCCACCCCAATCCACAGACTCAATCTACACCGAACGCTACATGCACACCCCGGAACACAACCCGAACGGCTACGACAACACCTCCATCAGCGACATGGCGGCCCTCAGCGAATCCGTCCGTTTCCTGGTCATGCACGGCGCCTCGGACGACAACGTCCACGTCCAAAACACCCTCGTACTGGTCGACAAACTCGACCTCGCCAATGTTCAGAACTACGATCTCCATTTCTATCCGGACTCGGATCATAGCATCAACTTTCATAATGCCCATACGATGGTTTATGAACGTATGTTTCTCCCTCCTCCCTGATCCCTTTTAGTTGTGTATGGTTACGAGAATGCACGAACTGGATGGGTTAGATGTGTATATTAATCGATGCTAATTATTTCCTGGGGATGGATAGGCCTGTCGAGCTGGCTCATCAACGCATTCAATGATGAATGGCATCGGATCGCAAATCCGGTTCCTGATGATTCGATGTGGGCGCGGGTGAAGAGGTCGTTGCCGTTACCTTTGCTTGGGAATTAGGCGTGTGAGATGGGAGAAAGGGGATAGGGGGTATATCTCGGTATATTTATCATTGGTTATTACGGCTTTTATTCATATCCGCATTTGGATACAGGTGTTGTTTTTCGGGTTCATATTGGGTATTGTTCTAGGTAGTACTGTTTACTGCATGGTAGGTGATGACGGTTGTATTTAGTCTACTCAAGTGGGTATAGCAAGTAGTCAATGCATTAAGTAATCATTTTGATAACACCATCCTGTAGGTCTATGCAGAATCACATGGAAATCTAGCGATGGACCAATGGCCCGAGCCAATCATCTGTACAATCGACGGGAATAGTATAAACAGGCATCCCATATGCAAAGGAGTGGCACACGAGGTGTATGTACAAGGAGTGATGACATCTCAACGGAGATGAGTATAAACAGAAATCATGCAACAATAACGATATGGGTATATTTTCAGGGGAAACAGGATCAAACATTGTTGCCACCTTCAATTCCCCGGAAGATGCTGGACTGGAGGAATTCCTCGCGCATGATCATGCTGACATCCGAGTTGCGGTACTGGTGCAGATCCTCGCGTTGTAAGCCGCGCAGCTGCTCCCGACCTGCGGTGGAGAGCGAGTGAGTGCGCGAGTGACGCCCAGTACGGCTAAGCACAGGAGAGAGGCGACCAGAAGGAGACAAATGGCCGGTTGGTGATTTGCTTCCTGGCATACCAGAGAAGGAGAGGGTTTGGCGGGGTGCGAAGACGGGCAGAGAAGCACTGCTGGGAAGAGGCATGAAAGAACTGGCGTCTGTCGAGGCGTTGCTCACGCTCGACCGAATGGACGATGGGCGTTGGTGGGAGTTGAGCATGGGGAAGTTGGAGACGGAGCTGTACAAGGTCGACATGCCTGATCCAGCCGACGACCGCCAAGAGTTGACAGCGCTCCGAGGAATCGTGATGACTTCTTCGTCGATTGGCAGGGTCTGCTGCAGGGCTGTGGCAACATCCAGGGGCTCATTAAGGTTGCCGTTCGGGCGGCTTGCCATGGTTCTGGCTGACTTGCCAATCCAGAGCATTTGTTCGTGCTCGCGGAGGTATCGATCACCACTGAAGGACTTTTGCACGATATTGCGGGTCATCATTCCCAGCTTGCGACGGTGCTCGCTCTTTTCGTACATGCGGCGGGTGATCTTGGCGACATCCTCAGGGGTAGGGGAGGAGGTAAGCACTGGCGGTGCCTCGGTATCTTCGGCGTACTTGCTCCATTCACCAAGGAGACCGAGCATCGTGATTTGTGCCCTCGCGAGAGCCAGGGCATCGTTGGGTGCAACCACAGCACTGAAGCGAGAGAAGTCGTCGGGGTCGCTCAGCACTCGAAGGGATGCACCGACATCGGTGCAGACAACAGGAGCACCGGTCAGAGCAGCTTCTCCAAGCGCCAACGGAAGACCTTCGGATAGAGACGAGTTCAGGAACAACCAGGTATTTTCCAACACCTTCATTGGGTCTGCAGTGCCACGGAGGGTGACCTTGCCACGGAGACCCTTGGAAGCAATGATTTCCTGGCATTCAGTAGAGTACGTAGGCGCCTTGTCAATGGCTCCATAAATGTCAAGATGGTAATCATCGAACTTCCACTGGTTGATGATGATGTCGGCGGCAAGAAGCGCAATCTTGATGTCCTTGGCATACCAGACATGGGACAACATGGTGACCGTTGGGCGCTCCGACTTGATCTCCTTGACGGGGGCAAACTTCTGCATATCAGTGATACCGTTGACGACAGGGTCGACCTTGCGACGGAAAACGTTGCGGTGCTCGATGGTGCCTTGGCAGGTACCAATCTCCACTTCCCAGCCCGGGTTGAAGAAATCAGCACAGGGCAGAATGATATCGGCATGATGCAAAGTCAGGACAGAGGTGACTCGCATCAATCCTAGCAGAGTATTGCGGACGAAGGGAGAAAGCTTGCAAAGTGCAGAAGACAGGCAGAGGTTCGTTTCACGCCAACTGATAGCATGGTCCCAAATCTGGAGCGTGCAGTTTCTCTTCATCTTGCAGACAACGCCATAAGAGGCACTCACACTGTGGTGCGAAGCCTGGAACACGTTGGGGATCTTCTCAGGGATCGGGATGGAGAAGATGAACAGATAGCGATACCAGAGCTCCAAGGCAATGTCGAGAGACGCCAGCGTGGGAAGCTCAGTGTGGAACCACTCGGATGAGGGGACTGCATTGGCCATTTCTTGACTGAGCCAAAGGTCTCGCCAGCTTTCCTTGACAATCTCGCTGTCCCAAACTTGGGTCCAGTGCCGCGAATCTTGGAAGTAAGTATTGAGGTTTACCAGTGCGCGAGTTGCCTGCTGAATATCAGCCTTGGAGAGATGGACAGCACGAGCGCCCTTGACCAAGGCGGTTAGGATCGGGATAAAGTTCATCTTGATGTCCATCTCGCTGGCAGAAGTAACGTTCTCTACCTCCGAGTCGAGCTTGTTTGTAAACAGACCGTGTGTGGGAGTGAGGAAGTCAAGACCCCAGAGAGGAACCACCTTCAATGACAGGATGTTCTGCTCTGTCTGGTGCTTGGGAATACCAAAGTCATTGGCTGACTCGCAAATCATGTGCCACTTGATGGTCCTGAGGGAATTGATCATATCACGTCGGCATGCAGAAACACCGCCACCTTCATTTGGCCAGGTACCGTTATCAGCAGCCATAACATGCAAAGACTTTTCTGTATCGGCGCCAAAGTCCTTGGATCTGGTGTTGACTACCGCGTCACCGCCAGGTCCGAAATTGAACAGATCACTGATCTTGACAGCAAGAGGAGTCCAGCTAGAGATGTTGTCATCCAGATCGGCACTGGCCGTGACGGTGTCTGCGCGAATATCCAGGTATTTCTTGGCTGATGCAAGATCACCGCAATCCCGGCTACGCCAGTAAGGAGCGAGAGTCTTGTCTCTCCGCAACAGGCGTTCATCCATCCAGCGGACAATGACACCGTCAAAGTCAACACGATCCTTCCACGCCTTCCAAATTAATGACCGAGCTCGTGAAGTCGACACAGGGAAGCGCTTCTTGGTGAGTCCAAAGAACCGGGTGAAGACGCTGGAGTTGAGGCTGTCGCAATACACGAGAGGATTGTCATGCACAAAGCTGGTGTACTTGGGCTTGGCGAGCACTGCGAGGTAGTCGTGTTCAATCATGGGCGGCGTCTGTACCTTTTGTCCATTGAGGGTGGTGAAGATGGTGGGATGGAACTTGTGATCGTAGAGCCAACGAGCTTCGTAGACATCGGCACCCTGAACAAACGTCGCTTCCGTGACCTTGGAATGAGGGATCCACCGGTCTACCTTCTCAGGATGGCGAAGAGGAGGCGCGCACCACGAGACGGTACAAGTGATATGCGAGAGCGCAAATTCAGCGCGAAGCAATTCGTCTCCAAAGCGGGGATTTTTGCGATAGTGGTACTTGAAGCGGATGAGGTTCCCATCCTTCATAAAGGATCCGGCCTCGATTAGTCCTTTCCGGTTGTACTGCACGCTCTGCAGGTGGTTGTCGCCACGTACACAACGCCGGCCCATGGGAATCTTCGCCTGCGAGGACTTGGACAAGCCGAAGGTCTTTTTAGTTGGGGCACGGTAGTCGTAGTGATATTCGTTGAGTAGCTTTCCAGCCTTGAATTCCTGGCGGACCAAAAGCAGCACATCCTTGGAGTACACGCAGACGTAACTCAGGCTCTTTGTGCCCTCAGGCTCTACTTTATGCTGTCCAGCATAATAATAGACCTTGAAGCCTCCATCTGGTTCATCGTGCTTGAAGGCAGTGAATGTGCCGTCCAGACTCTGGATGATGAATCGGCTCTTCTTGATGCTGATAGTCATTCCTTTGGTCTCGTTCCAGAGCTGCTTCACATTGTCACGACCATGGAATAAGAAGAAGGACAGACCGAGGTTCTGCATGATTCTAGAATAGGACCAGAGCAAGCTCAACGCCAGGGTAGCTGGTACACGGATGATCGTATGATGCTGGCGAATGACATGATTGAATTCCCGCTGAAACTCGGGGTCCGCGACCAGGGCGACAACAATGAACTTGATGATCGAAGCGAGTGCATAGTACAAAGAGTTCCAAGGCTTCACGAGGACCTGCATGATGGCAGGAAGCTTCCGTGGGACGTATGGGATGTGCTCCGGGGTCTCCGGGTCTCGAAAAACGGCAGCTTCGCCGGTACCGTAGTGCGCATAATCAAGGATGCTGACAGCACTGGCAGCTCCCAGATTGCTTCGGGCAACATGCACGTCAAGAACATCAGTGTCAAACCGGCAAAGACTTTCTTCGAGCCATTTCCGGCTAGCTTCAGAAAGCTCGCATGGCTGGCCCAGGCAACGGTTGATCAAGGCGGTTCTGATATCTTTGGGCAGTTTTTCCCAATGGGCATCGCATTCGAAGCCGAGGCACAGTTGCTGCAGGAGCTCTGTCTTAGCCCAGCGGATGACACCAGCTGTGTTGGACTCTGCACGGAGTTGTCGGGCCATGGTTTCAGTCACACCGGCCGTGACGAGCGACTCGGCAAGCACCGCATATTCGTGAGGCATTCGGAGCATGGATTCTGCAACTGCATGGAGAAGAGTCTCGGCAATGACTTGGCAGTTCGCGCTAACGTCGATCCGTTGATCCAATCCGCGGCCTACACAGATGGCGATGTGTAGCTGGCCGGTTGTACTGCAGCTGAGGGCGTGAACACCAGGACCAAGCGATCCGATGGGGACAAGCTCCAAAGAAATTTCTCCTTTAGCCCAGGCTCCCAAGGCTAGATTCACTAGGTCTTCGGATTTCGGGAATGCTTCTTCTATTCTTGGTTCCCTTCTGCGTGAAAGCAGGATCTCCTTGACTTCCACACCAGGATGGGCTTGCGGGGTCAGGTTCAAGCGTGCGTCAGACGGAACAAGCGAAATCTTCTCGTAGAAAGTTTGCAGCTCCTGCTGAGACCATTCGGGATCGGCCCATGGAGCCGTGTATGCGTGGAACACCTTTCCAAGCTCCACGGGAGAAGCCACATTCTTCGGCATGCCCATCTTGGCAGAGAATAGCGTGAGAATAGCGACGGTCCAGGTGGCGGACCCGAGACCAATGACTTCCGAATACAAGAAGTGCGGCAGACGGACCTTGAGGGCGATACCAACCGGCAAGCCCACGAGACATCCGATAAGGAGGGTCTTGAAGGCATGAGGGCCAGTGAAGATCTTCGTGTATTGGTACCAAAGTAGGCCGGTGTACGCCAGGATATAAGAACAGTAGATGATCATGGCCTCCATGGTGTTCTGGAAGGTCCACAGGAGGGCGGTAGACAAGGCCAGACTCCATACGTGCCACATGAGGAATTTGAAAAAGGTTCTCCAGTACACCTTTCTCTTGTATCTCACGTCCCGCTTCTGTACCAGGCGGATATCCTTGGCCTTGTGAACTGCAACAGATGTTTGCTTTCCGATGAGATCGTGCAGTTCTTGGGCCTTGGTGTCGATGAGGACAGCGCCGATCAAGTAATATGCCAGTCCGAATCCCACCGCCATGCGCTGCGAGCTGGTGACTGAAGCAGACAGACCGACTAGATGACCGCCGGTGAGAAGCTCCACCCACTTGTCAAGCAGGGCCAGAATAAAGTACAACACACCACATCCGATTTCTCGACTTGACTGTCGCCACTGGATGAAAGCGTTGTGAAGTCTGATGCCCTTCTGGGAGTTCCGAAGCACATCCAGTCCGACCTTGGTTTGGATATTCCAGGAGGAGCTGAAAGGAATCGGTCTGGGTACATCGGCATATCTGCAGTACCAATCCAGGAGGAAGTTGGTGGCATCCCAATCCTTGGCTAGCTCCAAAACTAGCTTGTCAGTGGTGGGCTTGCGGAAGAACCAGCGTTGTGTCTCCGCCATGACATCCTTCAGCAGCGCTTCTCGAGATAATTTCAAGACGGCCGGGTCGCTCAAGTTGCCAAAGACCTTCTCGTCATTGTTGCCGTAAGTCGCGACATACCACTTTCGAATCTCTGTATCATCCGTCCGGCGTATGCTCTGATACCAAGTGACCCATTTGGAGGCAACGGATCGCAGGCCAAAGAGTAGGGCAATGATGAAGACGTAGATGACAGCCAGGTAGATCGCCGAGTCATGGCCAGCGAACGTGGTGACGATTGGCGAGATGAACAAGATCGGGACACACGCGAAGATGATCTTGCGTCCCGACAAGAAGGTCGAACCAGGGTAACTGAAACTCGCCAGGGAGGCAAAGGCCGAAAAGTAGATTGTCAGCGCAATGAGGTAGAGGTAAAAGATGATTCCACTGCGCGGGCCGTCCACGGCCGAGATGCAGATGAAACCGATGAGTCCACCAGCTACTGTGAAGGCGATACCAGCAATCAGTCGGATCAGGACAAACATGTTGGCAGCTGCGAAGGCCATTGAAATGAGATAGTACGGTCCGCCACAGGCGATCCACGTGCCAATAGCACCCGACAGCAAGAGCGAAATCATCAGGGCAATCGTCGCACTCTGCTGCTCGTCATATGTCATGAAGGCGGAGAGATAGAGTCCACGACCAATGATCGTAAGCATGATGATATCAATCAGAGCGGGGAAAGCAAAAACACTGAGAAAGGTGAACCGCTGATAACCACGCATGGGCTTGACCTTGTGGGCGGGATTGACGTCGATTTGCGCGCCGGCATACGAGGTGGCCATGTCGGGCGCTCCGTTGATCCAGTTGGGAAGCTGCTCATCGGTGTAGCTTTTACGGAACCGATCCGACAGTAGCTTTCCGAAGGCGCTGGGCAGGATATCGAAATAAGCCTCGCAGCGGGATCCGAGGGCAAACGATTCGGCAAAAGCAGCAGCTTGGTCGGACTGGCTGTTAAACAGCGGATTCCGATCGGTTACTTCGGCATAGATCTCATCGAGAGCACCTTTCCGCGCAGCACAGAACAACGAAAGAAGCATCATGTCAGTGTAGGTATCGACGGGGCCGTCCTGAATCAGCTCGCACAGGCCGCTGGAAATCCGAGCTAGATCATCCTCTTTCCGTTCTCGTAGTACCTCGGTAAAGACGGATTCGGCCTCGTTGAACAGCGCGAGACAGGAGGCAGCGGAAGGATATTGACAGCCTTGCTCCTTGTACCAATTAATCCGCGTTTCAATCAACTGCGCGGGTGAAGTCGATCCCTCGAGATAGGAAACTGTATTGAGGTTCTTGAGCTGGGCAAGAGTAGGTGCATCGACAAGCTGTCGTCGGAGGTATGCGCAGATGGTTTCAGACAGCTCGCTCTTGGCATCGGTCAACGACAAGTGCTGCAGTAGCAGAAGCCGTTCCTCCGGGCTCAGGACATCGATATCTTGAACCACCCGGCGAGAAAGCCCGATGTCCTCGTTGAAATCTTTGGACCATCTCGCCAACGCGGTTTCCGCCTCGAAACAAACGTGGCGTGGATAGCCTTTGGCGGACAGGAAGGTGTGCAGTACGGTACCTACCAGACCCTGGGCATTTTTCGAGGCGAAGATATCGAATCCATCCGTATCCATCTGATATACGGCCCAGAAGCGAACGTCAGTACTCTTGCGGAGTCCGGAATCCAGACCTAGGTATACGTTCAGCATGTCGTTGGACGCTATATTCGACAATTCCTTGATCGAAGCAGCCAGTTGGTCGGAGGGAATCCAGCTAGAGAGAGCGAGGTTGTCATGGAATTGGCGGAGGAGCAGACCGATACTTTGGAGCTTAGACACCGGGACCGGGTGCAGCAGACTAAGCGACTTCAGTCGCAGCTGGGATTGAACGATTTCGGCGAAAGCAGCTGGTGTTGCCTCGGAGCCAAGAGGGAAACAACCCAGCTCTTTGTATTCGACACTGGCCATGGAGATCGACAGGGGACTTCCTTGTGACTTGACTTGGGCGACCCATTCTGGAGGCTCCCGAAGGGTGGTGGTCGGCGTGCGGTTGGACCTGGAAGGGTACTCGGACGATGTAAGCACGTTCTCCAGCGAGGGAAAAAAGGGCATCAGGGCGTCCCAGGAGTCTTTGGTGTCGGAATCACGGGCGATGTGGAGGTTGGTGCGCCAGCGATCGTGGACCTTCATGATTTCCGCATCCTTCAGCCATCCAAACGAGGACAGAGGCTCGGGCGTTTTGACATTCAGGGCGGCGTTCTCGAGGGCAGACTGACGACCAATCCACGGAATGGCACTGTAGAAATTACACCATCCCATGGACCGCTGCACGACGGCGTTGGAAAGATAAGCATCATCGTCGACGGTCTCCCAGGCGATCACGGAGAATTCTCTCATGCAAGCCTCCGACACAAAAGCCTTGATCGTTGGTCGCAAGTCGTTTAACTGGAAATAGTCGCGTTTCTGGCCGTCAGGGAGGATGCTAGCATTGCGAATGACGAGACCGGAGATGGCGGGACTTTGCAAGATTTGGCCATCCGTGAGGAATGTGGGGGGTGCTGTTTCCAGATACACGGCGAGACCGAGACCATGAATGGCCTCGGCCAGCTTCACCAGGACGGTTGGCGTGAATTTGTCCTCCCAGTTCGCAAGCAAAATGCCACAGAACGCGGCGCCATGGAAGCTTCCAGCCAGGAAGCTGTCGATCTTTTCGATAGCGGCGAGAGTTGAGTCTTGGGCGGGGACGAGGGCGAGATCAACTCGGCCCATGAACTGCTTCCCATTGGCATGCGAGATGGCCTGGACGACCCCTGACTTGGACGGATCCACGATCAAGAGGTCATAGCTGTCGAGAAGCTGACGGTGGGTAGCATCTGACGGAGTACTAAGGGAGCCTAGGTAGACGCCCACCGATGAAGGCTTCTGTTTCGTGCGATGGGTTGCCAAGGCCAGCTGTTGGGTTGCCAGCTTGTCCAGGCGTTGGAGAACAGTGACAGGAATGGTCTCCACCCGGGGTCTCGACTAGACCGACATCAGCCAAGAGTTTCAACCAGACTTGGTGCAGAGGATCTCACCTTATACCATCGGATAGCTCTACGGGTGCCAGAGTAGGTGAAATAGGAACATCCGCAGACCACACTTGCCAGCAAGATGGCGATCAAAACCTATGACATGTTAGCGCAAGGCATCCTCGGGTGTGGCATGCTGAAGGTTGACAGCAAGGTGCAGGGCACAGAGTCACATACAAACTGCCACCAGTACTCTCTCATGTAAATCCACCCGACGGGTGAGACGTCGAGAATTTTCGCCATCCCGATTAGAAATTAAAGTTAAAAAAATGCGGAAGCGAAGGACATATGAATAACGAAGGACGGAGCGGAGCTGAAACTACTATTAGATGCTCGACGTGCTCATCGGGGAAGGGACGAAGGTGTCCTAGGCCATGCTCGAGGGGGATAGTTTGGTTGACCAGGGAGCCGAGATAGCGAACGAGAGTGGTTTGGGGTATAAACGAGAGAAGAAGTAGTGGAATGAAAGGCGACCGAGCGGAAAAAGAAAGAAAGAAAGTTAAGATATACAACAGGTTGGGATGGAAGCAGGAGGAATGATGGAGCCGCCAACTGCCAGCCTCTGTACTTGCGCCTCTCCGATTGAGTGAAAGAGGGCGCGCTTTAGGTCAGCCGCTGCACGATGTCAGTTAAGGTGTCTCCTCTTTTCCTTTTCCGCTTATTTTTATTTAAATGTTTGGGTCGCATTAGATCGGAACCACAGGTCTGATGCACTGGAATGGCCGGTGGCGGCCAACGCAATCGCCCCGGCCTCGAGGCCGACAAAAATAGCGAACGTCTCAGCTTTGCAGCTAGCTTGGCGCTAATGGTTTAGGATTGTTTGACCACGGCGGGGATTACTATTGTGTCTGTACATAGTAGGTGTAGTATCATAATATTGAGGCAGTGTGGTAGTGTGCGGTGTAGTCAGGCATAAGGCATAAGGCCCGGCCATGACGGTGGCAATGGCACAATGGCACTCGGAGTGCGGCATTGGATTTGGGTTTGGGTGAAGGGCAGAAAACCTTCCATTGAGTTTTTCAGCCGTTCACGCCAGGAGTCGGAGTGATGACCAAATCAGAAGACTGGGGAATGGGACGGTTCCATCCATGGCAGCAGTGACTAGTCAGGGTGGAGGGAATACAGCAGTGCTGGTGACGGAAGTGGGATTCGATGCATGGTCATTGTGCTGCCCACCGACACTGACTCGGGCGGTCCCATTGGCCCAGAGGGGGGATTTTGTTTGCCTGCTCCTTACTTTGGCCTAAGTGGATTGCAGAGGCGACTGGAAAGCCTGGAAGGAGAGGAGACGAGGAGCCTAGGAGACGAGGAGACAAGAAGACGCCAGTGGAGTGGAGGAAGCAGAAAAAAAGAAACCAAAAAAAAGCACCCAAAGATGGCGGCGGTGGGGAAAGAAGGAAGGAACCATGCAGCTACCCAAAACGAGCAAGCGCTGTATGGATACGGATACAAGCCGTCGCTGTGTATCCTGACCATACGGTATTCAGCCGGATGCGGTTTTACAAAAAACCACCGTGGTGACATGGTCAGGCGGTTTGTATTACGGGCTCGTGTAACAGCCGCGATTGGGCCTACTTTACCTGTGACTACTTTACCTGTGACTACTACTGAGTACTGACTAGACACTTCTTCAAGGCCATTATTATTCCCCCACATCGGCACTGGTTCATAGTCGATCCCTCGGACTTCCATAGTTCTAGCGGCCCTGAGCCGTGAAGCCCTGAACCGTCGCTAAAATTGGACCGGGAGGTCAGACCAGGGCCCTTGGCGACCCTTGGTTGGGTCTTGGGCCTTGTCTGTGAGTGTCTCCTATCGGCTGGAAGCTCCGTGCCACAAAACTGTGGCCAAGCTATGATGTTTGTGCCTCCATCGCTAGCTTGTTTAACTTTTCCCCCTTCTCTAAACGATGCTGAGATCGGTGCTAAGCCAATGAAGCAGGACTCTCGGCGATGGGTCGGGATCAGGATCTGAGACCAATTTCCACCATTTTCACCATTTCCACCAATTCCACCAATTCCACCCGATCAGCAGGAATGAGGACTAGTCACATCGCTCATGAACACGGCCATCCAAGATTCCAATCTGCGAGCGGGTCTGCACGAACCCAGTTGAGGATATGGAATCCGCAAAACTGGCTGCATCGTGGAACCTCGGGCCCGATGTCGCCAGTGGGAACGATGGGTTGCCAATCCCCTGAGCCACCGGCCAGGATAAATAGACATACATAATGTGATTGCATGCGCATATGACAGCCACCGGTCTTCTATCCACAGCCGACGGCGTTTTTCCAGGGGTCCAACGCAGGTCCTCCCAGTCATTCGTTATCATTCGTCCTCGCTTGCTTGTCCTTCTTTTCTTTTTCCGCAAGTGTTCAGTTCCTGAGCCGGCTGTATTGCAATGAGCTCTCTGGCCCTCAGTCTGAGCTGTTTTTTGGGCTTTATAACCTGCACCACTCCCCCAGGGGTATGGTCTCAGAACCCGACGATCTCTACTGCGTCTTCCTCGTCTTCTGCCGCTGAAGCCACCGGGACTGTTGTTCCTGGTACTACTTCAGCTGTCCACTCGTTGATTACTTCTACTACCCCGTCTACCTTGATTTCCGTGGGATCTACTTCTACCTCTACAACTTCTGGCTCTATCAGTACATTCGTTGAGCCCTCATCCAGTGTGTCTAGCAGCACACTCGACACCATGTCTCTCACTTCGAGTCTGGCAGTGTCTGTGGCCCCTTCGGCCACACCCATCACGGCCACCCCCATCACAGCCGGCTCCATCGCTGCCAACATTTTGGTTATTGCGCGTGACTCGGCCTCGGCTAGTGTGGCCTCGTCAGGCCTCAATGCCTATGGCATCCCATTTACTACCTTGGTGGTCCCCCAGTCCGGAGCCAGCCTGCCCGCCCTGAACAGCAGCGAGGGGGGTAACTTTGGCGGTATTGTGGTGGCCAGCGAAGTCAGCTACAACTATGGCAACACCTCGGGGTACCAGAGTGCCCTGACCACCGACCAGTGGAACCAGCTCTGGGCCTATCAGCTGGCCTATGGCGTCCGAATGGTGCAGTACGACGTGTTTCCGGGACCGAACTTCGGCGCCAGCGCTGCAGGCGACGGATGCTGTGCGACGGGTGTGGAGCAACTGTTGTCCTTTACCGATATCAGCGACTTTCCCACGTCCGGGCTGCGCACCGGGGCTGGGGTCAGCACCTCGGGCCTCTGGCACTATCCGGCCACCATCGCCAACACCACCTCGACCAAGGAGATCGCTCGGTTTGCTGCCGGCTCAACTGGGGGCGAGACCACGGCGGCCGTCATCAACAACTTCAATGGCCGGGAGCAGATGGCTTTCTTCATTTCCTTTGACACGGTCTGGAGTGCCACTTCCACCTACCTGCAGCACGCTTGGATCACCTGGTTGACCCGCGGGATGTATGCCGGATATCGCCGGGTCAACCTCAACACTCAGATTGATGATATGTTCCTCGAGACGGACATTTACAAGCCCAACGGTACCACCTTCCGCATCACTCCCAGCGATCTGGATGGTATCGCGAAATGGCTGCCCGAGATCAACGCCAAGATGAACCCGGGCAGCAGCTACTTTGTCGAGGTCGGCCACAATGGCAACGGCAACATTGAGACAGCCGCGTCTAGCGATGCTGGCTACATCGAGTGCAACGGCGGCGGCATCGAGTACGACTCGCCGGCGGACACTCCCCTTGAGTGGAAGAAGCCTCTGGGTACCGGCACCAACCTGTGGCCCGCCAGCCCGACGACCTACAACTGGACCGTGGCCTGCACCGAGCTGGACCCTCTCCGGGTCTGGTGGACCAACACCACCAACCGCGACAAGTTCGGACACATCTCGCACACCTTCACCCACGAGGAGCAGGACAACGCCACCTACGCGGACGTCTTCAAGGAGATCTCCTTCAACCAGGCCTGGCTGAAGCAAGTTGAGATCTCGTCCGCCAAGTACTTCACCTCCAACGGCATCATTCCCCCTGCCATCACGGGTCTGCATAACGGCGATGCCCTCCGCGCCTGGTGGGAGAACGGCATCACCAACTGCGTTGGCGACAACACCCGGCCTGCCCTGCTCAACCAGCAGAACGACATGTGGCCATACTGGACCGTCACTTCCACCGATGGTTTCGACGGCATGCAGGTGAACCCCCGGTTCGCCACCCGCATCTACTACAACTGCGACACCCCGGACTGCACAGTGCAGGAGTGGATCGACACCTCAGCAGGCAGCGGAGACTTTGACACCCTGCTGGCGACGGAGAAGGCCGAAGTGATGCGTCACCTGCTGGGGCTGCACCATGACCCCTACATGTTCCACCAGGCCAACCTGCGCAACGCCGACACCACTCCCCTCACCATCAACGGAGTGTCGGGACAGTACTCGATCATGCAAGCGTGGGTTGAGACCCAGGTGCAGGAGTTTGTGCGGCTGGTCAACTGGCCTCTGGTTACCATCACGCACCAACAGGTATGTCATCCCTTTCCTGCCCCTCTTTTCACATTCCACCCTCCCACAAACAACCCCAACTAACACCCACCTTTACAGATGTCCGACAGCTTCCTCGCCCGGTACACCCGCGACGCGTGCAAATACTCCCTGTCCCACACCATCTCCAACCGACAGATCACGGGGGTCACTGTCTCCGCAACCGGCAACACCTGCAGCGTCCCCATCCCGGTGACGTTCCCTGTTGCCCCGACCAGCACGCAGGGTTTCACGACCGAGCAACTCGGTAGTGATCCCTTGACCGTGTGGGTGCAGTTGTCCGGCTCGCCTGTGAGCTTTACCCTGTCGACTCCGATTGCATTGTAAGCTGCATAGACTTGGATATTGTAATTACATATTATTTGGGAAAAGCGGATGCATATTAGTTAGTTTTGGAATATAATGATACCTCTCAACACATTCCTATTCCTTCTACTGTGTACTCTGTAGTCCGTACATAGTTCACCAACAAAGAAAACACCCGAAAGCATAAAATAACCTCATCCCTACAATCCAATCAAACCCTATCCAACTCTGCCAACAAGTAACCCTCCAATCACCTACACCCAACAAAAGTACCACTTACACACCGCCACCACCACCACCACAACCAACCAACCAACCAGTAACCAAACCCATCAACAAAACAACCAAACCCAAATACAGTGTAAGCAAACAAACCCCTCAACTCCCACTCACTGAAACCCCTCCAATCACACCCCTGTACCAAAAGCACCGCCAAGAACCAAAAGTATATTTATAGTAGCTAGATAGGTGCCAAAAACATGGATATGGCCATGCACGGACAACCCAGACCCTGCAGAAACCCCTGTCTATACCCACCTTTACATGCGACCTATCAGGGTTTATCACTTACGTATTGATTTCGGGTATAGGTTTTTGTTTATTGATTCTGATTCCTTAGGAATTTGCCACATTCATGGCGTATGTGGCGTTGGTTGGTATGTTTGCCGGGTATAATGTATGTATGTATGTATGGATCCGGTTGAATGTTGGATAGATACGTATTGGGTGTTAGGGTTGGATTTGTAAGTCGGATATCCTCCGTTCTCTATCCCATCCATCCATCAAGAATGAGGTAGGTGAAGTAGGTGAAGTAAACCGATAGGTCCGATCTTGGCGGGTCCAGTCCCCTAATCGAGGGCCTTGCAGGATCCATCTGATCGGAGAATTACTATAGCCTAGTAGAAATGTAGAATGAATGAACTTAATCGGTTACGTTACTCTGGGGTCTCGTGTTTGTGGATACTTTCTTTACTTGATTGCTACTATTCTACTGGTAGTAGTTCCGAGACATACCTATGTAGATAGATACTTCCCATCATCCGATTCCGTATACCATCCGAGTCACCACCTCCATTACTTACAGGGAAGAGAATAATGCACGGGCAGGCACATCTTAACTCCGGCCCTCATACGATCCCCATTCCTATGTTTCACAACTGACCTGGCCTCACCTCACATCATCTTGGGCTCGTATGTCAACATAAATATGTAGCACAAAGCCCAGGGGGTGCCGTGAAACCTCGTATCCAGGCCAGTCCAGTCCAGTATAAAACTCGCCACGGGAATAACACCACTTCATCGGTGGTAATTACCCGAATGAGGTTGCTTCTTCCCTGCACCACATCACTTCCCCCCGGTCCTCCTTGGGTGTTGGGTGGAAGGAAGGCTTACTGTTACACAATCCTGCACATCAAGCTTTGACGTCTGCCAGGGTCAGGGACGATGTGTTGGCGATGTATGACTGGATACATTGCATCGAATCCCTGTTAGAGGCGAATTGAACCGACCGGTGTGTCATGAGATACACGGAGCAGGTCCGAAGCCAGACATCTTCATTAGGTTAGGTTGGAGATGTATCCAGACGCAGAAAATCAATAATCCCCGCCTGACAACAACGTGGTGATGGGACCGGACCAGGACCACTTGTGGTGTGTCGGGCATGCCCGATGCTGTTCTCATCCTGGTCTGGTCAGGCCAGGCCAGACCCTTGGCTTGCGGCTATTGCCAGAGGGGGGAGGGAATGATGTGAACGGCAACCGACTCACTAATGTTTGACGATGGATATAAGCGAGCCTGCCAAGCTGGTATGTGTATCGCAAAATACGGCATGATGATGGACTGGAATGGGTCTGTGGGTGGATTTCCACACCCGGGTAATTTACCATACCCGGTGTGACGGTACGGGGCAGATCTCGGGAGTTACGGTTAGTGTCCGACGGACGCTTTCTTCGATGGCTGGAATCTGGAATGGATGGAATCTGGCAATGGCTGGATCATGGCTGGATGATTGGCAAGGTTCCGGCCCGATGGGAGGACAGCCAACGCATAAAATAGGGTCAATGGCCACTCACTACCACTGGTATAGAGGAAACGTTGACTGCCCCTCTACGGAAAGTTTCTGCACGGCAAAAAGGAAACTCTAATGCCAAGGGAAAATCTCGGTTGGAGCGATTTGCCTCGGTGTATCCATCGCTTAGACCAGCGCAGGAATAGTAACACCAGTTATACATCTCGCTAGCTTTGGACAGTGCGCTGGCTGGTGTTTCACCTCGAGGCGAGTTCCGTGGTTGCCTGTGGAGGTGGCTTTGAACCGTGGGTGTGCTGAAGAAATCTCAATCTCTGGGCCCCAATTTGTGGACGATCTGTTTTTTGCTTGGGTCGGGACTCGGCGGAACGATTTGCCATCATTTCATTCTTGGCCGGTTAGGCTCCCGAATTTCTTTGTTGTTGCTCAACTCAGGAGATTAGTTAGGGCCAGGTTGCACGGAAAGTGGCGGAGGATTTGCAGGGTCCAGCCGGTGCCTTCAGGGTCCATCACACCACCTATCATCACCACTCAAGCCTCAGCCTCAGCTCAGTTCAGTTCAGCTCGGCTGCTTCCTTTGACGCTGCAATGAAACAAGTCCTGTGACAGGTGAAGCTTTGGATCTTCATCAGGCACCCGAATTCTCGTGCAGCGGTCTAGACGTTGCTTCACTGTCCCTGTCCTCGGGCCATCTGCACTCCACCTTTTATTCCCCGTAGCCCCGGATCTTTTGCATCGCACACACGATATTTCTTCCCGAGTTCTTTCCGTGATTCCCCTGAGATTCTACGCATGGAGGCAGAAACGGCCCTCAAGGGCCCCACCCCGCGGGGTTGGAGGGCGTGGACCATGAAGAAGAAGCTCATCATGCTGGGGGGGATTCTGGCCCTGATTATCGCCTTGGGAATCGGTCTGGGAGTGGGATTGGGCGTGGGATTGGGAGGAGGCAGCGGAGGAGAAGAAGAGGGTGGAGGAGAGACCACGCCGCCCACCAGCTCAGGCAATTTCACGTCCGCCAAGTGGAATCCCACTGCTGGAACCACCTGGCAGATCGAACTGCTGTATCCTCTGAATGATACCTCGGTTGATGTGGAGGTCTACGACATTGATCTGTTCGACAACAACCGGTCCATGATCACCAGTTTGCAGGACGCCGGCCGCAAGGTCATCTGCTACTTTTCCGCCGGTAGCTACGAGAACTGGCGCCCGGACAAGGACAAGTTCGAAAAGGCCGATCTGGGGAAGAACATGGATGGCTGGCCGGGGGAGAAATGGATCAACATCAGCTCGCCGAGTATTCGCAGCATCATGCTGGACCGGTTGGAGTTGGCCAAGAACAAGAGCTGCGATGGAATTGACCCCGACAATGTCGACGGATACGACAATTCCAATGGTTTGGGATTGACGCAGGCGGACTCGATCGATTACATGAACTGGATGGCTAATGAAGCCCACGCGCGCAACATGTCCATCGGGTTGAAGAATGCAGGCGCGATCATTTCATCAGTCATCAACAACATGCAATGGAGTGTTAATGAGCAGTGCGCCCAGTACGAGGAGTGCGATACCTATGCTGCGTTCACGCAGAAGAACAAGCCCGTCTTCCACATTGAATACCCTAAGGGCGACGACACCAACAATAATCTGTCGGTCAGCTCGAGCGAGAAGCAGAGTGCATGCGACTTTACAGGGTCTGGGAACTTTTCCACAGTGATTAAGAATATGGATTTGGACAATTGGATTCAGACGTGCTAATATCGGTGCCATGGATGGATGGATGGATGCCATGGAGATGTTACTGATTGAGCAAGGCGCAGGGAGTTGTTGTATTGTAGCTATCATGATGTAATAGCGTTCTACATAATTGCAATATCGGTTATACTATCCCTACTACCTCTACCTCTACTCAGCATCCTTTCTTTGTTCATACGAGTCATGATCATGCCATGCAACATGCCATGTCATTCCAGTTGATCAATCAGATTCCAAACTTCTCAGCACCGAATAACCCCTCTTTCAAAGAAACCCAACACGGCACAAACTGACTCCCTGATCTCGCCATCTCGGCCAGCCTAGCTGCCTACCTCCTGTCTCACAACCAAACCACGGTGCCATCAGCAAGCAGATCAGACCTGAAAGTAGATTCCTCCGGTGCGGTCCACCAGCCGCAAAGACTGACTAATTGCAACGTGCACGGATATTCCCAACCGACTGGTTGACAGCCCCTATTCTATGCCCCAGTACTAGTAGTACTATACCTAGATTGAGTCCATAATCCGACCCCATTCCGATCGAACCTATGGCTACAGCTCGACTGGTACTCCACATGACCTAAACTCGAAGATATGGTAAATACCCACTAAGTAAACTCCTCAAACTAACTAGAAAAGATAGATGGATAAATAGATTATAGATGGAAGAATACTCCTTCCAGAATAAGATTATTAATTCTATATTACACTAATTCAGCGTCTTCGCTTGATCTAATCCCCACCACCACCTACCACTCCATAGAATTAGATAGGTAGGTAGGTAGGTCTATGTCCGAGTCTCCGAGTACATCCGCATACCAATACCGTAATTTACTCTGTATAGTAATTTTCACAAATAAACTCAACTCATGTCGTCAGTAAACTCTATCCGTATGACTTTCCCCTCATCGTTTCTTTGTTTGAATCCGATGATTCACATGAGATGGAATGATTTGACTCGTGTTCATTTACATTCACAAGGACAGAATCAAGGAAGTATTTACTACTCCGACCTAGGTAGGTAGGTAGGTAGGTAGGTAGGTAAGCCTTTGACGTAGGTCACATTGACCCGACCGACCGAAACCAAGATGAATGATGAATGAATGTTACACAACAACGCCAATTTCCTTGCTAGGGAACTTACAACAATACCAATGGCTTGGGTTTTACCGAACGCAGAACATACCTACCTATTCATCTTACTCATACTCATACTCATACTCATTACTTGAGCACTAACACCAACCTACTTACTTAGTACCTAGAACTAAGTATGTATGTAAGAACTTAGGAGAAATAAGAACCTTGATCATGATACTTTAACCTTCGTCTTCTACACCATACCAGAAAAGCTCTATCCTCCGACAGGTCAACGGCATTGCTTTTTCCGGCTGCGGCGGTGGTGCCTGATTTCCTGTTCCTGAACCACAACTAGGTACCTACTAGTAGCCAAACGGGGACCCGACCGGATTTGTTCCCGTTCGGGCCAATGATCGGCGTGTGGGGCGGTCAGGAACCAAACCTGCTTAGTCCATCATAGTACCTAGGTAGGTTAGTGTCGGTGTTTTCCCGGTGGTGTAGGTAAGTGGCTTGAGCTTCCATGTTTTTGATGGCTAGTTTAGTGTGGTTTAGTGGGTGGTTGGTTTATTCCTTGATTTTAGGTAGTAAGTAGATACCTAGGTGGTGGGTAGAGGAACAAAGGAAAATATGTTACGTTGGATTGCCGAGGTGAGAGTACTAGGTAAGTGGGAGGAAGGCGGTAGAGAAGCGAGGGTTTGAATCTAGACTTGGACTTACCTTGCTGTTGGCTTGGCATGTTTACTACTTAGGTTTGGTAGGTGTGTGTGTGTGTGAGACGGCAGGCTGCATTGTAGGCCTAGGTACTCCATAGTGATTGAGTCATGATGATACTTATCGTGTAGCAACAATTAGTTCCTATCTAACTACCTTCCTAGAAACTAAGGTGTAGATAAATCTATCTATATAACAGTTCACTATAGACTATGTAGTAGTTCGTTCGAAATAAATTAACTGGTCTGTGCCGGGAATATATTTATCACTGGCACGGAGCATAGCATAATAAGTGGATAAGCACAGCACATCAAACACAAGTGTAGTCCTTAATCTCATCTCATCTATACTATACATAGAATATAGGTAGAGGTAGAGGTAGAGGTAGTATCCAACTGACTCAAATCTGCTATATTAGTATCATCTCAAGTTAGATACTCCGTCATACGGTCGCGCAAATGCAGTGCTCATACCACCCAACCCTCTTCCAGAGGGTGGGTGGGTGATACATCCGGAGTACTCCGTAAATACTCCAATTCTTGTTCTAGAATCCACCTGAGTGTGTCATGTTAAGTACCCCGGATTATCACCACAGCACATATAATAATTATGTCCTAGAAATGTAAGATAGTATAGGAATGGAATGTATGATATGACTAAGCCCGATCGACACACAGGGCTGGGCTAGTAAATGACAGATGATCAACAATCTTAGCTCATCTTATACCTACCTACCTACCTACCATATACTTTCTTCCCAAGGGTCGAATTGAAAATCCCACCAATTATCTATCTGTATATTGTTTCGCTCAGCGAGGATCAAAATCAAGTATGAAGTAGTGTAGTATCACGGGACATGCAACATTACCCCGCGTGAAATGACTGGAATCTGGGGGAAAGTTACTTTGGACACGACACTTGGTCAAGTTACTCCGAATGCAACTTGAGTCATTCATTTGACTGGACCTTCTACCTTCGGTATCTTACTTACTCTACTGCTCTATCGTATGATCACTATTATCAATGGGCAAGTAAGTAAGTAAGTAGGCAAGTAAGTATAATCCCTGCCCTACGTACGAAACCCAAACAGCAACCGGAACATTTCCCAGCCACATTATGCAGGGTATATATGGATACGGGGTATGTGTGTTTGTGGCACATACCTATATTCATAAACGGAGTACTCCGAAAACAACACACCTTACCTACATTATTATTATTAGTACTTGTGTTACCATTCCAGTACCTACTCCCGGAATCGATGAACAATAATGCCTAGATAAATTATAAACACCACGGATCAAAAAAGATACATAGATAGAAAATAGAAAGAAAGGAACACGGAACCCGAACTACCGACATCAATGGATGCCTTATGCATGTATGATGTCTGCAAGTCTCGGAAAAACCCATGTCCTAGTTACTTCTCTGTCTTGCCAAGGATATATGGAGTAGATGGTAGGTGTATACCATGCCACATACCTACCTCCTATATGCACAAAGTACATACTTAGTGTAGTGCAATACCCAAGAATATGATATGATATGATGTCTAAATATGATACCTAAGATAGGTGGAATCCAAGACATGCAGATGCCCTACATCTTCTTTGTCACCCATCTTAACAATCCTAGCAAAACTAAACAAGAACCTAGGTAAATAAGGAGGTATGCTCTTACCTCACCACTCGTAAACGCGGATACGAATGGCGTGATCCAGATCTAATTCTACATACCCTCACTTAGGCACTAGGCCTAGATACATCAATCATACCCTACATCCATCCATCCAACCGAGGCAAACCTTACATCCTCATGCACCGTACCTACATCATCCCTACCTTGCCCCTTTCCCACCAAAAATATACCAACATATAGAAGAAAAACGAGCCCATGGTTCCCCTGTTTGACGATTATAGTAAAGTGGGCATAACATGGGCCCATGGCAATGAAGAAAATCTGGCCTTAGTGGAGTCCCGTGTGGGCTGGGTACGGGCGCTTTCTTTATCGATCGGTGGTCGGGAGGGAGGGGAGGGAAGAGGGGCCAAGCGAGGGAGGAAGTGGAGGGGAGAAAATTACGGTCGGTTCGGTGGGGGTGAATCCACTATGTATTGTATGTATTGAGTTGTATAGTTACTCCTCTGTATACTGTATAGTAGTATGATATGTGCTTGGTATATTTCCATATAGACTGACCAGAATGTACAGTACGTTAATCATCTCATTTCGCCATCAATTCAACAAATTCCTCCCATTGTCCCCCAAAACTCGCATAATAATCCGTATCCAAATGAGTGATAAAGATCTCATCCGCCACTCGACGCACCTGCTTGACCAAGTCCCGGAAATGGTGGCCTTCCACAGTATCCGGCACCGAGTGGACCACTGCACACAGCTGACTGCGAGTACTGTTCGGGATGTCCTCAAACAGTTTAGCTCCGTCACGCTCCAGGAACGTCTGGTAGGTGGCCTCGAACACCACCGTCGAATCAGCCGTCGGCAAGTAGCGGGCATCAGGAATCGCGCCGGGATTATGGACAACCTGGTCTCGTTAGCATGATCTATCCGGGCGATCCAAACGACGGCGCTTCGGCAGGGGTGAAGCAGGCCGAAAATTGGTAATCGTAAATTACCGCCACCGTCGTAATAAAAATACAGGAAACATACAAAATGGTCCGGACCTAGACCCGGAGTCGTTTTCACCACCGTCGTCAATTCCTCCAGATATGCCAAGGTACCATTGTCGTATTGCTGGGGGGTTTCGTCGAAAAATATGCCCCGAACCGCTAGGTTGGGGTTCGAACTGTTGGTCGGCCATGCTGCATACGTTTCAATGTCCCGCCGCACCAACGACAGATTCCGCTGGGCATATGTGGTAGCAACATATCCTAGTAGTCGGACATTGCTGTAAGCTGCCAGCTTGGGAACCTCCCGCGTGTAGTTGGCATCGGGCAAGGCGTTGGGCCCTGGGCCACTACCGGGATTGATCACCACCGTAAAGTTGACATCCCGGTGAGTAGAGATCCTGTGGCGTTCAGCTTGCGTTCAAACCTCGGGGGTTACTGGTCATGCCACGGGACTTCCGGTGGCTGATAGATAGCGTGGCATGGACTGAGAGTACAATGTGGTTGGCGGGGGGGAGGGGAGGGGGGAGGGGAAGGGGTAGTAGGTAACATGGGGCAAGGAGGGTTGGGTTTGTTGAGATCGGGAATATGATCACCTACACTTTTTCCAACGGATCCCATGCCCCCTGAGCAGGATAAACGTAAAGCGGGACAAACACCGAAGCTTTAGGGCCCATGGTGAATTTCTTGCGGAGGGTCAACACCACGGCTGGAGGTATGACGACTGCGAGAAGAGCAATAAAAACAAGGACCACCAGAATGAGTCGCGAACGCCGACTGCGCAGACAGCGCCGGTCTCTCACGTGTTTTTCTGGCCCCATTCCGCTAAGTGCTAAGGAAAAGACTAAAGATCGATTGAAACCGTGCGCACCAAATCGTGGACGAAACGAGCTAACAAGTGGGCTCTGGCCAGCCGGGCTGGAAGGCTAACAATTAAGTAGTCATCGTCTGTAGATAGTTGAGTTTGGTCCAGCAATTCATCGGTTCTGTCGGTTCAATCGGGTCCGTGAAAAATATGATAATAATTAATCACCAAAAAAAAATAAGTGAATGAAAAATAAAATCCAATAAATCCCAAGAAAAATAAAATAAGGCAGAAGATGAATGCGGCGCACCCAAAATAGAGCGGGGCAGGGTTTCGACCATGCATCAGGTCTCGGATTACGGATAGCTGGATGAACAATTCCCTTTTCCCTGGTCCAGTGCTGTTCGTCCCAAATGGCACATCCTGCAGCTCCAGTGGAGGCCGACCAGACTTCTTCGATGCCTGCCTGCCCCAACAAGAGGCAAATGTGAGCCTTCGCCTTCTAGCCCCGTTCCATACCAAAGTAACCGCTGACAACATCGACGCTCTTTATATTTGCTTTTCCCTCCTCCTCGATCGTTTCTTTTCTGTCTGGTTTTCCGTATACCCTTTTCTGTCGGGCAGTCTTATATATTTCTTTTTTTGTCGCCCGTTTTGCTTTTCCTTGCGTCCATTCGCTTTTCCGGTTGATTCGTTGTAAATAAGCAAGTCACGGATCACGATATCTTCGCCTGACCCAGAGGCAGCGGTTACATCGGAGCGCAAGTGGAGGTCTGTCGCTCGTTAAGAGGGAACGAAATATAAGATTTGTGGACACCTTCTTGGGTCACCTGCGGTCGTTCAATCTTCCTGTCGCTTCCTTGTTTGCTCAAGCGTTTCCTCGTCCGCTTCACATCCTTCTATCCTCGACATACCAAATGGAGAGCCCTCGTCAGTCCGATGCAAGCACTCCGGTGGAGACTGGTTCCCCCGGGTGCGTGGACACTCCGGCCACCCAATCCTCTGTGCTGTTCGATGGCAACCTGGAAGAGTTGCTGCGCAACTTGCCCCTCGATCAGTACATTCTCGTTACAGGGGGCCTCGGGTTCATCGGCAGTCACACAACATTGGAGCTACTCAAGGCCAATTATAATGTAATTGTGATCGACAACCTCAGCAACTCCTTTCAGACCGTCTTTGACCGCATCAAGCAACTTGCGGCCAAGCATCATGAGCAGCAAGGAACCCGCATGCCTTTGTTGCAGCTGCACGCCCATGACTACCGGGATACGGTGGCTCTTCGAGGCCTTCTGGAACAGTATCAGATCCAATCCCGGTGGGGAACCCCCAAATCCAAGATTGGCGGTGTCATTCACTTTGCGGCTTATAAGGCCGTGGAGGAGAGTATCAAGAACCCTTTGAAATACTACGCAAACAACGTTAGTGGTCTCATCGACTTTGCCACCACTCTGGGAGAGTTTGGCATCAAGACATTCATCTTCTCGTCTTCCGCCACTGTGTACGGAACGTTGGCTACCTCCGGCCTCCCGTTGAAGGAAGAGCTCTGTGTCCACAAGGAAGAAACCTTCAAGGACCACACCGGCCAGGAGACGGCCGTCAAGCCGGGCTGCACAGGTATCACCAACCCGTATGGGCGCACCAAGTGGATCTGTGAAGCCATATTAGCGGACCTGGCGGCCTCCGACCCGGAGTGGACGATTGTAGCTCTACGGTACTTCAACCCTATCGGATGTGACGAGTCTGGTCTCCTGGGTGAGGACCCCAGACAGACACCCACGAACCTTCTTCCGGTGGTCGTCAAGGTCATGACCGGGCAGTACAAGGAGCTGCAAATGTTTGGCACGGACTGGGACACCGAAGACGGCACGGCCGTCCGTGACTTCATCCACGTCACCGATCTTGCCCGGGGACACATTGCTGCGCTCAACACCGCCAACGGTGGGAAGCTGGTCGAGAACTTCCGGACCTTTAATCTGGGAACGGGACGAGGCCACTCGGTGATGGAGGTGGTCAACACCATGGAGGCAGTATCTTCCAAGCCGATTCCCCGAAAGGCAGCCGGTCGCCGCGCTGGCGATGTTGGATCATGTGTTGCCGTCGCCTCGAGATCGTCCGACGAGCTTGAGTGGAAGACTGAAAAGACGTTGAAGGATGCTTGCATGAGCCTGTGTAATTTCCTTAGTGTCAGCGGCCTCTCTTCCTGAATTGCGATTGTTTTTGGTCATATTGGCGCATGGTGGATATATTTCTTGTTTTGTTTTAAAACAGCCCCTAATCCGGCCCTGTCTTGATGTTTATGCCTTTATATCCATGTCTTGGTTGAATCTGGGATATTGGCAGCTCATAGTACCCTTTTTGCATGATAGAGTCGATTCCCAAGATACGTCCATAATGCAGTTGTATAGTTGATAAGTCTCGCGATGTGTAGAGGTAGTGTTTATGAGTTAGCCAGCAGTATCTTCTGCATAAACACGACAACCAGGAGTCGACAAGAGAAGTGAGCGACCTCCCATCAAGTGCAACAAGTAAAGTCTGAGGAATCAGTGAAAGAAGAGTGAAAGGTGGGGGCAGCAGGCAACAAAAGCATCCGGGCTTAGTCAGGTTTGCAATCTCACTCTGCAACACAACTTTCAACAAAGAAGAATCCAGCTTTAAATATCCAATCCAAATATAAGCAGACGTCAGGATCGACGTGTTATCACTGCAGCTGTGATCATCGGACAAGGCAGAAGCCAATCGCCCCTCTGTAAGACAAGCAATATACCGGGCTTCAAAGTGCTTGCGCGGCTTGCCTTAGCCTGTTTTCCGCTGCCAGTCGCGTGCGAGCACGGGCATTGGCCCAGCGCCACAGTGTACATGCTGGGGTCATGGCATGTACAAGCTTTCCAAAGCGAGTATATGATACTGCTGCGTGCTTGCCAGCAGAGCAGCGGGTTTATTCCCTGTTAGCAAACAGGGTTGATTTCCATGGACTTGAGTCTGTCTGGAGTAGGTTTGATGATGTTCTGGTATGTTTGATCTGGTGACGAACTAGAAGACTCTAGCGGGGTTAGAGCTTGGCTGGTGGATAATGTTTAGGATGGCACTGTAAGTGATGGGTTGTTGGATATATCCCGGTTGTTGCATGTGCTGATGCCTGTTGTGAATGGGGTACGTAATTAAGTAGGACATGCTATGTCGATTTACACATCATAAAATCTATTGGAGGATCAGGGAAGCGTGGCAGCACCCTAAATCCACCGCTGCTCGGGGAATTATATATTCTGCGCGATAGAAGTACCACACTGATCGTTTTGCTGCCACCAGGTTGACTGGACTGTCACAAGTCAGCTGCTCCACTGATATGTGCTGGTCGTTAAATATCGCAGATATGAAGTCTTGTAAGGCATTAAGGGTGAAGCGCGATAGAGATGGAGTAAAGAGAGCGTAGAGCGATATTAAGTGGAGCTAGTATATAGCTGGGTTTATTAGAGAGGAACTGCAACATCTCAGTGAGAGCAATGCCAAATTAGTGGAGGATGCTGGTAGACAAGGGAACTGGGGGAATCTTGCTGCCTACTCAGGATAGCTGAGAAACATGCACTGTGCCGCCTGTTGAACAGAATTATCTACTAGATTAGAATAAGACTATATAAGAGCCCAAGGAGCAGAGAGACTGCAAAGTTGATTCTGGGGGTGCCTGTGGCATAACTTGAAGTTGAGGTTCCCGAAAGGGTAATTTCGATCCATCCCCACCTTGAATGCTTGATTAATTTTAATCACATGATCTTCACATGATCCACTGCATCATGTGACCTGGCACAAGATGAAGCTGATTGTGTTTCCCAAAAGGGAAGGTTCAAGCTCTCTCCATGTCAAATACTCGATTAAGTTTCTCTTCTGATATTTGTTCAAGTTGAGGAACCAAGTGTTGATAGCCACATCAATTATCCGGAGAGCAACCTATTAAGGTCCATACCATCTTCAAAGGGGTGATTCTTAACAATCCCCATTTTGAACGCTCTTTTCCTTTGGGTGAAGTCACCTGGGGTGATACCAGCAATCTCAAACCGCATATGGGTATATCCTTCAAGCGATTGATGGCTACGCTAATGATCAGGGCAAGCTGTTAGATAATAGGATGGTTAACTAAAGCTGAGACAGCCCCAAGGACAACACTAGACACTAGATCAGTCTACTGGAATTTAAACCAAGTGACAGAAATATATCCTTTGGGAAAGGCCATGGTCAACCTCTGGTCGCCCGTTCTGTGAGCTACAATTCTTAAGAATACGCTCGAACACGAATGTGTACCTCTCACGTGACTCACCTCCGGCTTGGCATCAAATTCCCGCCGCAGTTTTCTCGAATCTGCTCCGCGTCGGCCACAACTTCATATCCGCACCACATCAATCAATTGTTGGCTGGTCGAACCCACGGTGCATCCTTAACTTCCTTAATACCTATACCAGCTCAGATTACACAATGATCTGCCAACGATGCCGAACCGGCATCCTGTCCCGGATGCAGCAGCCTACCGTTGCGCTGTCACGCACACACCAGCTTCCCTTCCAGCGAACCCAATTCCGCAACTACAGTGATGGAAAGCCTACCGTATCGGCCACACCCCCTCCGTCCAACCCCCGACAGCCTGTCGGCGGCGATATCACGATCCCATCGGCCGTGTCGTCCGCGACCCCTGGCGTGTCCCAACCTTTGAGCACCCCCGAAGGTATCCACGTTGAAGTCAACCCTGCGAAGCCCAAGAAACCCGTCGTGGAACGTCCTCCGAGCTCCTGCGCTGCTGGTCAGAAGTTGAATGGGCTGAACTACTTCAAGAACAAGCCTGATATCGTGGCCTTGGAGGATTCGGAATACCCCGAGTGGCTGTGGTCGATGTTGGACGACTCGAAGAACAGCAAGACTGCCAGGGGAGGAGTTGACCCGAGCAGTATGTTCTATGCCCCTATAATGTTGTACCGGTCGCTGACTGTTACTAGCTTTGAACAAGAAGCAGCGCAAGCGTTACGAGAAGAAGATGGCCGCCCGTGCCGCCAACCTGCCTCCCCAGATCCCCGTCCACCATCACGCTACGGACATCACACCGGCTCCTTACAACAGCGATGTAGCATCGGAGGACCTTATTGCGGCGGCGGCCGAGAGTATCGAGAAGCGTACGGAAATCACACGGAGTGCCAGAGACGCCCGGAGAAAGGCCATCCGGGAAGACAACTTCCTGCGTGGTCTGTAGATATTTGCCTCGGCTTGGATGGTTCAACATTGTACAGTGTTGGCAGTGTAGAATCCTTGGGATGTTCATGTATTTTATGCGACTTGTATTCATATTATTCAGAAGGCGTGAAGGTGTTCTTCATAACTGTTCTATACTTGGGGATGTTGATTGTCTCGCCAGTACCTGGATGACAGACTGCCAGGAGTACACCGACCGACTACTTGCCAGTATGACCCCGTCATCACCAGTATAGCCTCGCACTGTTTATTCCCGTTTCCCACAGTGAAGTGAACCGTATGCAAACGATCGACGGAGTTTTCGTTGGGGACGTCGCAAATGGTGTCTCCGATCGGGGAACGGTTGTAATCGGGACTATTCTTGCGGTCGCTAACAACCACAAAAGGGACGCGACTTTGGAAATATGGCAGTCGGGAGAGTAGTGTAATGGGAATTCAGGTCTCACTAGTTGACGGTCCAAATTCGACCTCGGGCGCAAAGGGAATCAAAGTAGTGATTAGCCCCTGTAAGCCTAAAATTCATCATCAGCATGGGAAAGTGTGGCAGTGTGCCGGGGTTGAGCGGGGTGATTCAGCCCTGTGGACTGTGGAGATCGAGATGCGCCCGCTGTTAGATCCGATCTGGTCGAATTTGAGATTCCTCGACCATCTTCATGTGGCCGGAGATGTGTTTACGGATGGAAGTGTGGAAGACGGAAGCAGCAAGCGATGTACCTGAGGCAAAGCTTTCTGATGACATCACCGATTCATGCCCGATTCCAGTCTGGCTGCTGCACTGCAACGTCTCATTCCACCGCTACGCAGCCTCAGTGTATGCCTGATTCCGTATTGAATCTGTGGAGGATGTCGGGTACCATTAGGTTACCCAGTGCATAATAGATTCCCAACAGCATGGGCATCAGAAAACGCAGGGTCTTAAAGACCGAGTTGAAGGCTGAGGTGGGCTGGGCTGGCTGTATCGATCGAGGAACGCCCCGCCGTGCAAGGTTCGATCTCCAGCCTCGTCACTCGTGGTAAACCGGGCAGACTCGATCTCATCTCATGGCCCATGGCCTCCACAGGCGCCAGCCTATGGATGCTCCGATGATGCAGTCACCGCCAAACCGTCAGTGTCCACGCGGAGTGGAGCAGGTAAAACTCAGCGGACAACGAAACACCTTTTCCTTTCTTTCTCCCGCGCTTTCACATTGTTCTCTTTCTATTATCTATCCATCAGGCCTGTGACAGCCGTCTATCTTGGTCCTCGCCCCGCCTGCGTTTCCATCTCCCTCCTACCATCTGTAGGTCTCGGAGTTGTTCTCCGCCCCCTGAACCGTCCCGCGTCGATCATCAGACCCCTCCATATTCTGTGTAACTCGCAGTGTACACCATTTATCTCCTGAACCACATCATCACTCATTCTTTTTGAATTACACTGCCGTGCAACATGGAGAACCTCACCACTCAAACTAGTCGCATCACCATGGACTCTACCCAGTCTAATGCACCCAAAATCAACCTTCCTTTTATGCCATCCATGCTCAACTACTTGGATAAGACCTATAGTTCGCTGACTACCATGGCCGGACCCAACTTTCTGACCGACGTTCAACATGAACCCAAGGGACAGTCAGATACGGATCCACTGGCCACTATAGCTGGGTTCTACGAGTATATGGCTAGCCCAGAGGGTTCGGCCATGCGACCTGCCAGTCCACCAGACCTCTCGGCACCCATTACGGACTATTTTATCTCCACCAGTCACAATACATACTTGACTGGTAACCAGCTGTATAGTGATTCAAGCTCAAGTGCCTATACGAATGTATGTCCCTCCCATTCTCCGTCAGAAACAGTTTCATTGTCAATGTGCTGTATGCCCGTTATCTGTAACGTCTGAGCGAGATGCTCAGAATAGATGACAACACATGATACTTGTAACCAGCAGCTGATGATCTCAGGTTCTGCTTAGTGGGTGCAGATCGGTGGAAATCGATGTCTGGGATGGAAAAGCAGAGTCCGACGTACAAACCAGCGATACAAGCAGTGACTCCTCCAATGATGACAAGAATATCTGTAAGCCCCGTCGATCGAAAACAGAACGGTTGAAGAAGGCAACGGAAAGTCATCGTCATCTGCGCGCCCTTTCCCAAGAGTTTGGCAAGCTTGAAGGCTTTCTGCATCATAAGCCGTCAGTTAGCAAGCATGACGGCAAGGCAGATTCCATCAGTGTGCCTGGACGTCCAGAGCCGCGGGTATTGCATGGCCACACACTGACCAAGGAGACAAGCTTCCGGGAAGTCTGCTATGCCATTCGGGACAGTGCATTTGTTACGAGCGATCTCCCGGTGATTGTGAGTCTGGAGGTTCATACCTGCCTGGAGCAGCAGCAGATCATGGTGGAGATTATGGAGGAAGCATGGAATGGAATGCTGATCGAGGTGACACCGGAAATCGAAGCCAGGATGAGCCCACCCCCCCTCGCCGATCTGAAGCGGAAGATCTTGATCAAGGTGAAGCACGTGGATTCTGCAGATGAAAACGATGACCGCGAGGCAAAAGAAAAGGCGGTTTACTCCGCGCATATGCAAGCCTTGAAGAAGCAGCGTACACCGACGGCTCCCGACTTGTCCCCAGAGGCTGTCTCTCCAGCTCCCCACAAACCTTCGAAGATATTGCAGGCGCTCAGTAAATTGGCGGTTTTTACCAAGGGGTTTCACTTTAGTAATTTTGCACAGCCGGGTATGCACCTCTGTCATATGCAATGAGCTCATATTGACTATAAACAGAAGCCAAGGTGCCCAGCCATGTATTCTCGCTGTCTGAAAAGGCGGTTCGAGAAGCACATGCCAGTGACGGAAATGCCCTGTTTGAGCACAACCGACACTTTTTCATGCGGGTTTACCCGAACGGGCTACGTGTGGACTCGTCCAACATGGACCCCAGCTTCTTTTGGCGACGGGGTGCGCAGATGGTGGCTCTGAACTGGCAGAGTCTTGACAAAGCGATGATGCTGAATGCAGGCATGTTCGCGGGAGAGCAGGGCTGGGTGCTCAAGCCGCCGGGCTATCGAAGCAGTGCATCAGAGCCCGGGATTATACCTCCTCGACGACTGGATCTGACTATTGAGGTCCTTGCAGGACAGAACATCCCGCTGCCGCCAGGACACACCAACGAGAAGAAGTTCTATCCGTATCTGACATGTCTGCTGCACGTGGAGACACCGGATGACAGTTTTGCAGCCGGTGATGATGACAGTGATTCCGAAAAGACCGGGTATAAGCACACGACGAAGAGCGTCACGGGGGTGAATCCGGATTTTGGCGGCGAAAAGCTGCTTTTTCCGACCGTGTCTGGTTTCCTGGACGAGTTGACATTTGTCCGGTAAGTGCTGCCTTTCCAACCGTCAGCCTCGCTAATATAGACAGGTTTAAAATCAAGGACAATGAATGGATGCGCAATGCGCTGGCCGCATGGGCGTGCATCCGACTGGATCGGCTGCGGGAGGGTTATCGAGTGATTCATTTGTATGACGCGACGGGGAAGCCGACGGAGGGGGCTTTGTTGGTGCATATTACGAAAGCGTACAGCTGATGCTGTTCAAAGGATAGATGCTAGGCATGTTTTGAATGTGCGGTCTAGATTATTTTATAGATGGTAACTACAATAGCTAGATACGATTTCAAGTACAATAATTCAATTATATGTATGCCTGCCATGTATGTTTCAGTATTTCCATAGCCCCAAGGGATATACTACATTAACCCATGTATGTATGGCCTTCCAGCTCTCAAGTATACACAAACAACAAGCTACCAGCTACACTATCAACAACATCACCCTAGACACTCACCCACTCTCCACATAAATCCTAGATAAAAAAGCATCCCCTCACGAACTCACCCCATATACCCCAAATATCCCACCAACTATAATCCTACCCAGTACCCAAACAACAATCCCAACCCAAATCAACCCAAATCCCCATAAAAAATAAACAATAACCCCTCTGCCAAGATCAACCAACCCCAGAGTAAAAGCCAAGCCTCCAAAATCCGGGGTAACCCCTCAACCCAAAGCGGCAATTCCAAGCGCGGGATTGATTGATTCCCCGCACTCCGACTCCGACTCCGCTTACGCTTACGCTTACGATTTCTGGTTTCATCAACATCATCAACATCCATCGAGCATAACTCACAAGTCATAAGTCACAACGGATGAGTGAGTGTTAGTTGTGTGGAGTGTTTATCTAGATCTATTGATTGATCGATCTTATCTTATCAACCAAATTTGGTTATGGTTCACAATATGGGCGATACACCCAACCCCAACCCCACCGATCAATCTACGAAAGACACCGATACCAACACCAACACCAACACCAACACCGACACCAACACCCAAAAACAACAACCCAATAACAACCTTAACAACAATAATAAAGGTCAAAAACACACCCGCTGCAGAACAGGATGTCTCCGCTGCAGAACTCGTCGACGGAAATGTACCCCACCAATTACCATCCCCATACCTATTGTTTTCTGTACCTACATAAAGACATAAAGGCTAATGATTATACTATACGGGAATAAAGGCGACGAACTCAAACCCCGATGCCAAAACTGTATCGACAAGGGACTAGTCTGTAGGTATGGAGTGCAAGTTACCTTTTTGGAGAAGAATTTGGTTACTGTTTCTCAGGGGGAATATTCTCGGGGTGTCAGAGGGGGAAGGGGAGGGGGAAGGGGAAGGGGGAGAGGAGGGAGATATGGAAAAGTCGAGGTATAGTTTTGTTTCATATTTTTATATTTGATATGTAAATTGGGCTGATTGTTTGTGTGTTTGGTGTAGTTTGTGAATGAGGATTTATCATTCGATGATAATATCCATGATCATGGTGATCGCGGTAATGATGAGGAAACTCAGCACTTGGATCATGATAAGGGACTAACCTCGAGTACGAAACTCATTACCGAGAGGGATAAATCTGCCGTGTGTGGGCTTCTTGCTTTGGGTGGTGAATCTATTTCAACTTTACCTTTACCTATTCCTGTTCCAGATACAACACGCATTTCTCAATCATCATTGTTGATCGGGAATGAGAATCCACCAATCCCTACACAGACAGAAGTCATCACTGAGGACGAGAAGATTCAACTCCTATGTAACTATCGATATAAGGTTGCTCTCTGGGTAAGTACCTCCATCCACCTCACACCACACTAGGATATTGGGACTAATGTATGACAAGCTCGATATATACGACCTCTCCCACCCCTTCGGTATCTCCGCCGTTCAAATGGCCATGAAATCGGGGGCCGTGATGGGGGCGTTGTTGGAGCTATCTAGGGTTTGTGCCTTGAATCAGGATGCACACTCTACCCAGGGAGTAGAGTCATCCATTGAGGGCATATCATCAGACTATGATGGTATACTCACCACCGAGGTTGCACTGACAATACTCCTAAGAGAAGTAAGGTACCTCGTGTCCGATCTCTCACGCGGATGGAAAACCATGAGAAGATACAACCCGAGAATAATAAACTCCTTGATCCACCGGGCATTCACCCCCGGGATAGAAGGATCAATTTACTGGATGTTTTTCCGATTAGGTATACTCCCCTCCCCATCCCCTCCCCATACCCTACTATTCCACTCTAACTAAGGATTAGATCTAAGCACCGCCCTCGCAACCAACACCCCCATCCAAATCCCCCTCCCCATCCCCAATCTCTCAACCCAACCAAACACACAAACCCCACAAGAAAAAACCCACACCCTTCTGTACCTCTGCGCCCAAGCCCTAAAGATACACCACCAACAAAACACCCCTCCACACCACTGGCTAGAGATCCTAAAGCACCTGGAACAATGGTACCACCTCCGCCCCCCCGAATTCCTCCCTATAGTTGATTCCCCCCACACCACGGCCTCATTCCCAATACTCCTCTTCGTCAACGGGGCCGGTATCTTCACCAACCAGATATATCACACCGCCATGTTACTCTTACTAGAATGTAAGCCACGAACTGTGCTATCGGGGGTGCACTCAGCATTATGGCACGCGCAACGTCTCTGCGGAATCGCAATGAACAACAATCGACAGGAATCATGGGATCCGTGTCTTTTGGCCTCGTTGCTTGTCGCGGCGAGGAGGATGAGCTTTCAGGGCCAGCGGGGGGATATATTAGCTGGGTTGGAGAGGATTAAGAAGGTGACGGGGTGGAGGGTGGATGGGTATTTGGCGGAGTGGGATTTTGATAGCGGCGGTAGTTAGTTAGGTTACTGTGTAGAGCTATGTACCTGTACACCCCAAGCGATTTCCAAATCTCGTATCCGCCAACAAGTCCCCCAGCCTGTTTCGTTCTCGATGTTCTGGATTAACTGGATGATTTGTTCGTGTTCGGACGGATGGCTGAACAGTTGTCCTGCTATCCAGAGCGGCTGGATCGAGTTGTTCAGACATCCTTGGTGTGGGTTTGTTAGGGATATACCGCATATGTGACGGGCGTGCCAGAGGGGATATAGAGTGGGGGATTGGGGGAGGGGGATGTTCTTTGGTTTCATTTTGAGTAGGAGTATACATGCGGTGTGATAGAGTTGCGTTGAGGATATAGCCGCCCAGTGGATGAATAGAATCCGAGGAAATGGTTTTTTGTTGACGGTTTGCACGGGGAGGAGTTCGTTTGGACGGTCTGATAGCCAGTGTTGGAGGTCGTTCCAGAGGGTTATCCATCGTGTGGAGAAGTTAACGGCCGTGCAGTCGTTCGGTTCGTTAAGTTCCACGAATTTCGTCCGATCGGAGATGAGTTCCGTGGATTTGACGCAGAGATATACCGCGTAGTTGGCGTGCATGTCTGGGGATTTAAATCTCTGAAAGATCCCACGCGCGTCCTCTCCCTCTGGGATCCATTTCGAGGGATGTAATAGGGTGGTTTGCGTGCCGTCTGATATCAACGCTCCGCATAGATCTGTCCTATATCAACACATCTGACCATAAACATGCTACGCAATAAGGTAATAAAGGCATCTCACCCATCCTAGCAAAACACCAAAACACAGCCCGCAACAACCCCTCACTAAACCCCGTAATCCCAAAGGATTCAAATAACGCCGCACAGCCCTCCAAATGGCGACGCCAGTCCTGGGCCCGAGCAGACATCATCTCCAGACAGCAGAGCAGCACGCACGCAGCGATGATCTTGGGATCGCGGAGTTGAAGAAGTGGACTTAGGTGTCGAATGGCCTCTTGGTAGAGTTCCAGACTGTCGAACCAGTTCCGGACTCCGGTTTTGCGCTCGATTTGGCGGGCTGAGATGGCGAGCATGGCGTAGGATAGGGCGGGGAATGTACGGGCAAGTAGGGGGACTTGTTGGCGAAAGGTGCATTGGGTGTCGAACATGTCGAGCTGGTTTGTTAGCTTTCTTGATGTGTGGAGGGGGGAAGAGGGAGGGGGGAGGGGGGGTACCCAGGGGGCGATTTCCGTGATGTAGTTTTTGAGGTATTGGATTTGGGTTTCGTTGGTGAGGGGGGTTTGGGGCTGGGGTTGGGTGTGTTCGATAGGGTCGGGGCTGGAGACGCGTGTTGGAGCAGTTGAGTTTGCTAAGGTGAAGAGGATGCATCGTAATTCTTCTTGTGATGCTAAGTATCCAGGGTCTTCGGAGAAGCCGTCTGTCCAGCTGGTGGTGGGGGATTGGAATGGGTCATTGGGATGTAGTGGGGAGTTGTAGTCTGCCAGGTGGTAAGACAGGCTCCATGGGGATCCTGGAGCTGGGTGGACATTCTCTCGAGATGCGAGTCGTGGACGCTTCAGGGGACTTTGATTCTCGATCATGGTTGCTGATATGAAGCCACGGGCAACCGGAGGGAGATAGATGGTGGGGCGGATGCGGGGAAGCTGACTACAGAACAAAGAGGGTTTATGCACTGGTTAGCCATAGCAGATTCTACTACAACACTGGAATCAACACTGGGACATATCTAATAATACATGGCTTCATATCGACCCAAAGGCGGCCTTTCTCCCCTCACCAACAACGCAATGGTGGATCCCTCTCGGACAATAAATCCCTCCTCACCACCACACGCCCGGACAATGGCACCGATCGCATACGCATGAATCGTCAGAGCAATAACCTCATTCGGGTCGCGTGAAAAGATATCCTCCAGCACCTGTTGCTTTCTGGCCACATGTTGCTCGGTGGTTTCGAACGTGAATGGCGACCACAGCCGGTCTTCCTCGGGGAAACCATCCTCAACCAGGTACCGAGGATACAACTGGTTAATCTGTGTCAGGGTGCTTCGCTTATCGCAAGTGTGACCCGTCAGACGCTCTCGCAGCCCTTCTTTCACCATGGGAGCGATCCGTCTACCTGAATCCTTCAAGGCGGTGGAAAACATGATCTTCGTCGTATGAAGACACCGCTGCAACGGACTCGTGTAAATCGTCTCTGGCAATGGGATCTTCTGCTCCAGGGCGACAGTCGTCCAGAACTTGCCCAGTTCACGAGCTTGTTGGATTCCAGTATCGGTTAGCTGCGCGTCCACCCAGTAGGTAGTGCCGTCTCCATCGAGACGAGCCCAATAATCCTGTTCTGTCAGCTGCGTTCGCTTGGAGAAGTAAGGAGTACTTACATCCCAATTTCCCTTCCCAACCTTATCCCTGTATTCATTGTGGACGCCATGGCCATGTCTAGTGAGATAGAGGATTTTGTAGCTGACATTCTTGGGACTTCGTACGTTCAGACGGCGCACGTAGGAGGTCAATCGTTCCCAGGGCGTTTTGTCCTGTTCTAGCCACTCGGTAAAGGCGTCTGTGTCGCCATAGATCTGATCGACAATTCCGAGGTTTGGCTGAGTGCCTACTTTTAGGCCTGGGATTCGGTTGGCGATTTCGTTATAGTCCACGAAGATATCAGGGACTAGCTGGAATTTCCAAAAGGGTTCCTGTTTCTCCATTGTAAGTGATTAATTGAGGTTATAGTGCTGCCTGAGTAAATGCAGGGGCTGCATATATAGCTATTTCATGCCTGACATTAGACTGTGGTAGAGTCTGGATCTATAGTGGGGTTCTTTCAATTTTGTTGTAACATGCCGGCTTGGACTTGAGTTAATAAGTTATAAGTGACGTGGCGGTGCCTGGTTAACTCCGGATAGATCCGATGCACTTTTCACTGAGGTGAGAAATCGAAGATTGCATTCATCAATACCGAGTTTGAGTGTCAATTTCCGATACATGGGAAGTTTGAATGAAGATTCCTCAGGATGTTGAATGCCATCAATCACGGAACTTGCATGCTCAACAGCCGATTCATTCACTCGGAATAAACAGCGACATATTAATACCAGTGTAAGGCTTCTCACGTATGATGTAGTTAAGGCAAAGGGTCATGGAATAATGACTAGATTCTTTATGAGAGCGACAACAATGAGAAGAACAAACAAGATGATGGATCACATGATAACAATGACATGGATCTGGCCCAACTAACCCCTCGGACAAAGTTGGCCTAGTGCGCCCGCCATAATCTTCATTCTCCTCTGTCCAAGGTGATATTCCCCAGCCAAAACAAACAAATCAAAACAATCCCCCAACCCGGAATCGAACCGATGATTTTCCAGTTCCAATCCAATCCCATCACACTACAACCAAACCACAACCAACTACACCATCAAGGAATATTATCCCCCTCACCAACACTACACCCACCGCCACCCAATCCACCACTTCCATCCCTACACTACCACCACCACAACCAACATACCCAACACCAATACGACACTCCCATCCCAATCCCAGAATCAACCCGAATACTTAAAACCAAATACTACCTACCCAACCATAACCTCTCAAAACTAACCCCAACTACAGACCACCAATGACGTCTTCCAAGAATCCATTCCCGAAAGCAGCCTAGCGGATGAACAATCCGGGGTAACCTTTGCCTCGACCTGCCGCTTTGGGTAATGACATGATTCGTGCTACTTTATCAGAACGATGGAGGGTTTAGTTGGGTTGGATGAGATGGTCGGGGGATGTCCGACCCCTCTATCTCCTCTCCTCTCCTCTATCTCGTCATTACCATGTGTGGAGTAGATGTATATAAGAGCTACTACCTACCCCATACTATCCCACCCCATATAAATCCACACCCAATACTTTAGTACTGTACACCAGAACAAACACCCAAAGAAGATTAAAAGATCAAAAGACCAAAAAATGAAACTCAACCTCTTCCCCCCCGGCACCCCCCTCCAAGCAGCAATATGGTCTGCGTGTGGGATGGCTTTTATTCTTTTCGGTAGCTTACCCATCCCCCTCCCAATTCCCCCTATACCCCCCATCCCACACCCATACTAACCCAATATAATACCGAAATATACAGGCTACGACCAAGGCGTGTTCTCCGGAATAATCGAAAACCCCTCTTTCCTACGCACCATGTCGCACCCCAACGACAGCCTAACCGGGATCATCGTATCCATCTACAACCTGGGATGTTTCTTCGGCTGCGTGATTAATTTCCTTCTTGGGGATTGGTTAGGAAGACGGAGGGCGATGTGGGTTGCTATGGTTTGGGTTATCGTATGTCTTATTTCCCTGGGAGAGTTGTGGTGTATTTGCTAATGATGATATGGGGGGTGATAGGTAGGTGCAGTGTTGCAATCTAGTGCGTTTAGCATCCCCCATCTCATGATCGGTCGCTTCGTGACGGGCCTCGGAACAGGCATCGAGACATCCACGGTGCCCATGTATCAGGCGGAATTGTGTGAGGCGAGGAAGAGAGGGCGGATGGTGTGTAGTGAGCCGTTGTTGGTGGGGGTGGGGATTGTGATTAGGTACTCCCCTTCCATATCCTTCTTTTCCTGGTTGTGCGCTAATGGTGTGGGTTGGTAGTTATTTCTTCGACTATGGGATGAGTTTTGTGGGTGGGGAGATTGCTTGGAGGTTGCCGATTGCGTGTCAGATTGTTTTTGCTTGTGTGAGTTTTTCTTTTTTCTTCTAGTTTTGTTTGGTAAGGGGGAGGGTTGCTAATGGCTTAGGTGGTTATTGTGTTGGTTTTTGGATTGCCCGAGTCACCCAGGTATTGTTATAAAGAAGGGAGGAATGAAGAGGCGCTGCAGATCCTGAGTGATGTGTATGGACGGCCAAAGGACGATCCGACGATTTTGGCGGAGCAGGAGGAGATTCTCGAGGCGATTGCGGTGGAGACGAAACATGGGGGGTATAAATGGAGGTATACTTGCTGCTTTATAGGCTGTGGCTCTTGGACTGACTGATGTAGGAATATCTTCAAGCCGGATGAAGTTTCAACAGGGCACAGAGTGTATGTCTTACACAGTGTAAGTCCAGGTCAGGCAAGAATACTAACAGTGCTAGGCTTCTCGCGTATGGCATGCAATTCATGAACCAAGTTGGCGGCATCAATCTAGTAGTGTATGTCAATCCTTTGGTTATCTGACTGGGAGCTAATGAACAGATACTATATCCCTACCGTTCTCAACACCAACGTCGGTCTCAGCAAAAACCTCTCCAATCTTCTCGGAGGCTGCGTCCAAATCATGTTTGTCGTCGGTAGTATCTTCCCCACCTTTTTTGTAGATCGAGTCGGACGCAGAGCACCCATGATCTGGGGGTCATTCGGCCTGGGAATCTGCATGATGATGGTCGCCATCCTGCTCAGCTTCAAAGGCCATGCCAACGAACATGCGACATCTTCCGCCGCTGTCGCCTTCTTCTTCGTGTATATGCTCATCTTTGGCGCCTCGGTCAATTGCATTCCCTGGTGTTATGTCCCAGAGATTCTGCCCCTACACGCACGCACCAAAGGAACGGCCGTCGGGATATCCTCGAACTGGATCTGGGTAAGTCCTCATCCAATGCCATGAGCCATGCTGATGAACAGAACTTTTTCGTCGTGATGGTCACCCCCGTTATCATCAACCGGCTCCAATGGAAAGCCTACCTCATCTTCATGTGCACCAACTTTGCCTTTGTCCCGCTGGTATATTTCTGCTATCCCGAAACCGCCCGGTTGACGCTCGAGGAGATCGACTACCTGTTCACCAATCCGGGAAAAAGCGCAGTGCAGACCTCCAAAGAACTGGTGAAGCAGCGAAAGAATGGATGTGCGGGTCAGCGGGTTGGACACGAGAAGCAGAACGGTGAGGTTGCTGGGGTATCCGATGAGCAGGTCGAGCAGGTGTAGAATATCGCGCGATACATGTATGCGTCTGCACGGTATAGCGGTCAGTGAGGCATTTCACGGTCGCAATTGAAGTATACAAGAGTACCATCAGCAGGGAAACCTGTTGTAGTAGAGGAGTAGCCTCAAAAGGATATCGGTCGGAGATGGACGTGGCTAGCTGGCGAGTCATGCAGCTGAGGACATACATATGCACATACCGGGCCCACGTCGAGGACTGTAAGTTGTGCATTGGTTCATACATGAGGGATATCGGACAAACCATGTGGATACGGAGGGAATTGGTGATGCGTTATCGGGAAATTGCGGTGTGTTGCGTGGATTGCAATTTGCAGTGGATTGGAGGATGGTAGACAGATGGGCAGTGGAAGCAAACAAACAGAGGTGTCAATGGTTGGTGGGATAGGAGATCCATCGTTGTTTGACAGGAGCGGGGCCGAGCTGACAGGTCACATTTGATGAATATCAATCGGCTGGACTTGGTCGGGTTCCAGTTAGCGTGGAATCCCACCACGCTAACGGTGAACTGGCTGGACGAGTGAGGGGAGGAGAAAACAGGGTCAGCACAAACAGCGGAGAATAACTCAACCAATGACCATCCCCACAGTCCATGTATCAGTGTATGTATCCAATTCTGACCCCGTCACTTGCTGCGAAACACCCACCATGCATCTAGAGCTCACGGGCCAAGAGGTGAGTGATAGACTGATCAACGCTGTGGAGAGGACTAATTCACCGAACCGTGATAGAGTTCAGCTACCATCCCTGACCGATCGAACAGTTGCCAGAATATTATGAGAAAATAAGAGAAAAAATCACGCACCCCAGCATGAAGCAGGTCGAAGCAGGTAGCAATAATCCAGGCAAGGAAAACCAGGTAGCCCTTGCGCGTTGCTTGCAGGGTGTCAGCATCCCCAAGCATAGTATAGATCTGTGCAGTGCAGATTACTACTTCCTCTGTATACTGTCCAAATGACTGATCCGACCTGATTATTGGCCCATCGAGTCTCGATCCTTTCCGTGATTAGTGCTTATTCTGACAGGCGGGACGATAGCAAACATGCCCCTCAAGAGATTTGGAATGTCGGAGCTATCTAGCCTCAACTCTCAAGGAATGACCATGACCAGTTTGTGTTGGGTGGATCGCACTGATCAGATCTTAGCGAGTGGCAGTGGGTCGGTCAGCTTCGGTTGACGGCGTCCCCGCAAACCAGTCGGATGGACCTGATTGGAACACCGGACGGAGAACAGAGGACTTGCAAGAATATTAGCTAGCACACTGACCAGGGTCTGCATGGTGAGTCGATATGCGCGAGACGGGCTACAGCCGGCGCTAAACCATGGTGCATTGGTAGCAGCACAACTTAGATTGGGTGTGACCTATACATTAGCTGATGGCAAATCCGAGCTGATCTCGGAGCCGGGCTTTGAAGGGGAACATCAAACCAGTCACATAATTCCAGCATCCAGCAAGGACCCGGTTACCGAGTAGGTTGCATAAACGGGGATACATCTGTCCTTTGATGTTTTTCCTCTTTGAATACACAAGAGTCATCCTTTGTCTTATTTTTTCAAAGTATAAATCGCGCACCCCTTGGGACATGCATATCGCGCATACCTACCATCATGAAAAGGATGAAAGATGGATAGAACTGAAACTGGCCAGGATGCATGCAAGTCATGACGGGAAGATCCGAGTCATCCGAATCACCTCCAGACATCTAGTATCACCGACATGACAAGTTGGCTAACCAGGGTCCATTTCATCAAATAGGTATGATTGATCGATGGATGTATTCGTGTTTCCAATCGACCAGTCCAAGCTAGGCTGAAGATCTCCCGACGGACTAGTCTACCTGTCTACCTCCTAGATCCTCCCAAGTAGGCATGTAATTTCTGAATCAATTTTATTCCCCAATCTAAAATCCGATTGATCCATAATAAACCCCCCGATGCAGAACTAAGCCTATCCTGGCTTGATGTGATTTCAGATTCCAGCCAGAACGATTCATCATTCCAATCCCAGTAATCTTTTCTTGTCGCAAACACACCGGCCGGGTGGCCTATATATAGATGGCGAGTCTGCTCGGCGAGGGAGGGAGTTCACGCGACAGTATAAATCTTTTCTGATTCTATCCTTTACCTATCCTCTGTCCAACGACTGTGCTGACTTTATTGGAACACCACCATGCCTGTGAGTTCTATACACCCTTATCTTTGTGATTGCGACCGAGACTAATACCACCATAGGTATCATCAACAACCAAAATGCCCGGAGCCAAATGCCCCAACTGTGAGGCAAAAGGACAGACGGTGTGGGTGATTCCAGGCAAGAATTGCCATGTATGCGGATGTTCGGTTTCGTGATTGGCCTAGGTGTGTATCCGTCCTATCTACATCCCACAGAACCATCTCTAATGATAAAGATAGCTGCCTAGAACAACAACAACACAAAATGATCCCCCGATGAGACGACCACGGAATCACGTCCTCCAGATACCCTATTCATTCCTGCTTTCTGTTCACAACAGCTTGGGCGACGACGGAATCAACTGGAAGAGCGGAAGTGATAGGTCAGGTCAGGTCCACCCACACCGAGGGAGACTCGACGGGATGGGACTGGATTGGAGTTTGGGTGGTGGAAAATGGGTGTTTTTCTTTTCTTTACTTACGATAATTAGACGATTTAATCATGCATAGACTTATGATCATACCCTTTCAGATTATGGACGATATGTAGATCGTAGAGAAGAGGAGACAGACAGAAAGTGCCATGGTCTTGGCCTTGGCCTCGGTTCGGATCGGGGCAGCGCAACGCAGCTCTCCCCGCAAATCACCATCTCATCTCCAACCTACCTACCTCCTACACTACGACCTCACCACCATCACAACCACCACCAACCAAAAGAACCCAGCAAAATGCTAATAATCGGCCTCACCGGCTCCATCGCGACCGGCAAATCCACCGTCTCCTCCCTCCTCTCCTCCGCCCCATACCAACTCCCCATAATCGACACCGACCTATTAGCCCGAAAAGTCGTCGAACCAGGAACCCCAGGCTACAAAGCCATCGTCGATTACTTTGGACCGACGACACCAGACCTGCTTCTCCCTCCACCCCCCAATGATCTCCCCACAAGCACATCCTCCAGCAAAAGTCCAAACCGTCCACTCAACCGCCCCGCCCTCGGCCGCCGCATCTTCGGCACCGACCCCTCACGCACCCGCGACCGCGAAGTCCTCAACAAGATCGTGCACCCGGCCATACGGCGCGAAATCTACAAATCCATCTTATATTACTATGTCCGGGGCCATTGGGCGGTTGTGTTGGATGTGCCGTTGCTGTTTGAGAGCGGGATGGATTTGATGTGTGGGGTTGTGATGGTTGTTGGGGTGAGGGATGCGAGGGTGCAGATGGAGAGGTTACGGGCGAGGGATGCGCATCTTTCGGAGACGGAGGCGGAGGATCGGGTTAGGAGTCAGGGGGATGTTAGTGGGAAGGTGGAACGGGCGGAGTGGAGGGGGGAGGGGAGGGGCGTGGTGGTTTGGAATGATGGGGATAAGAGGGATTTGGAGGGTGAGGTGAGGAGGGCGATGGAGGGGATTACTGTGGGGAGGTGGTGGACGTGGGTGTTGTGGATGGTGCCGCCGGTGGCGGTTGTAGTGGCGGGGTGGAATTTGGGGAGGAATTTTTGGTTGAAGAAGGGGTGGGAGGGGAGGGAGAGGGAGAGGGGGAGGAAAGTGAAGTTGTGAATGTGAATGTGATTGTTGTTACGATACGGGGATATGGTGTGTGGTGTGTGGTGGGTGAGTGTGTTTTGTAGTGTGTGTTTGGATGATGTCACGTGCGGGATTCGTGAAGTATATAGTCTACTTATTTCCTTGCTTCGTCTTCTTCTGTCTCTGAGTGTGAGGGAGGTGTCCCCATCTTGTAGGGTGCTCTATGTAGGAGCCATCCTATCAAGATGGGGAACCTCCCACTGGTTTGTCTATATCATGGCCTTGAGCTGGTTCTTGGTCTGAACTGGTCACTATGCCGATAGCTCAACATGAGCTGGGAACAATACGGCCTGCTTGGTGACGCTCAAAACGGTCTCGGCGTATGGTCGTTTACTTAAAAACGTGTTGGTGATGTTTTCTCACGTCTCTCTCCTCACTCACCTCATCTCACTTGCATGGTGTTGTGCTTGTTCAATTTTAACACTTCACGTTGAATCACGACAAGAAACTACGTGCTAGGTATGGATCTAGTCAGGCTAGGTGTCATTGCAGTATCAAGTCTAATGCTAACTGTCAAGGATGTTCTCCTGCTGCGACGGTATGGAGTACTGGGTCGAGGTCAACGAGCAGGGACCTCGACTCTGCCGCAAGCGAAAAACAAGCACCCGCTGCACCCTGCCTGCCAATGTCCGTCCTTTGGCTCGCTCGGAGACAGTTCGCCCAGAGACAGTTCGCTCTACCGCACTTCGCTCTACCGCAGTTCACTCTACCGCAGTTCGCTATACTGCAGCTCGCTATACTGCAGCTCGCTCTACCGCAGGTCGCTCTGAAGCCAACCGCCGTCCTTTCGAAGAGTACATCACCTGGGACACCCCTCATTACCGCGGTAGGTTGTACCTGATCTGTACTCGAAGTACCGGCTGATTGAAGCAGCGTTCCTTGTCCCTGAAAGTGAAATAGTGGAGCTGGGCAAAGAAGCCTGGCTGGACCGTCGTAGGAAGTACCGCGAGCTCCGCGAATCGTGCAAGGAACTCATGGAGAAACGAAACAAAGACTGTGTGCCGTCGCACTATGAGAGGTCGGCAGGATATAGGACTGACGTGAAACAAACCCCAGTCAGACCCAAAGACAACACCCCTGGCAGACCCAAAGACACCTATGTGAGAAGTTCGTATCGATCGAATGGAAACCAGGCTGCGACTGCGTCCACCAGAAGACAGACCTGGACTAATGATCGAGTTACCAATTCCTTTTGGTGATCATACCACAGTCGAGATGAGCTGTACGATATGACATTGCCTCAAGTTTGTATCTTATTTATGTTTGCGCTTTTTCTGTTTTTTATCGTCACCAACGGTGCCATGTCGTCCGCCCGAGATACTTGTGAGCTGTGATACTTTGACTCGTGGCTTTTCTTTCTTCACCGAGGCGTCATCTTCATCTTCGGCTTCTTCACCAGTCTAAAATAGTCAGATGGATGTCAAGTAATTGTCAAAAGACTTACCACTGTTCTCTTCTTCCGTTTAAAGTTCCCATAAGCCTGTCTACCACCGGCATCATCGTCGTCCGCATCCAGCGATCCATCTGCAACAACAAACGGCGGCGGTGCATAAGCAGCCGGCGCATAATCCAGCACCCATTCTGTATCACCCGAATCCTGAGCCTGACGAGCAAGTGCTTCCTTGCGCTTTTCTTCCTCCTCCGCCAGGGCTGCCGAGATGGCGTCGAGATCCGACTGAGGTGTAGGGCTATCGGTCGGGCCGGTCGAGAGTCGCTGCCTCTTAGGGGGCGTAGAAACCTTCGAATCGTCCGTAGAAGGCTGGGAGGCTTCACGAGCGGCATTAGTGGCAGCAGCGCGTTGCATGAACTGTACCGTTAGCGATATCCCAGAGTGCAGTGGGGTTGCATACCTTCATAGTCAGCAGACGCGAAGACATGGATTTGTCTGGCTTAGCGCCAGAACTAGGTGAGCCGCGCATGATGATTGACAATACTCAAGCCAGACAATAACTATGTCGTCCAAGTCACTCAGTTGCACGATGTTAGCAGAAATCGAGCGGCAGAATCCCACCGCATCAGCCGCAGGAGCGCCGCCGATTGGCCGCTCAAGCGCCGCAGCTCCCGCAAACTGGGAAACCTCATCCAACTCCGTCGAACGCCCTTCTCTCCGCTCATTCCCAGTTCACAACCCCTTTCCAGGACTCATTGTCATCATGTTGCCCTGCGTTCGTGGCCGGGTCGCGGCCCTCTCCACCTGGACCCCCCGATTTGCCGCCCGGGCCAGCTACTCGACCACCGTGCCTCGCCTCTCCGAGAACTTCATCCCCGGCAACGACCCGACCCCGCGTGCGCCCAAGCCCAATGTCTCTGCGACTAATGCTACTCCGGTGGATGCCATGGGCAACTGGGATGCGCCTTTGAGGGAGGATCCCGAGGCGGCCGAGCGTATCCGTCACCTCCAGGCGCCCAACCGGGCTACTACCTGGGCTGCTAGTCAGCAGCCGAAGGAGAAGGCCATGGTTGGACCTCGCTTTGAGCAGACGATAATGGAGTTGCAGGTGTGTGCATTGGCTTTTTATGGGAACGAAGACTAATTGTATAGCCTCAACCCCTTGCTGCCATTGAGCTTATCCACAAACAACCCGTTCGCTGGACGAAAAGCCGCGTTGTCAGCTGTGATGGTGGAGGCGGTCCTTTGGGCCATCCCAAGGTGTTTATCAACACTGATAAGCCTGATATTGCTACCTGCGGATACTGCGGTCTTCCTTTTGTATGTCTGTCTGGATTGTGTGTGATCCGTGCTAATGAGTATAGGCCCACGAGCAACATCGCGCCTACCTCGAGTCCCTTCCCGCCACCAGCTACCCCCTCAAGCCGGTGGGTGATGCTGCCGAGGTGAATGAGAGCCAGCGGGTGACTGAGGGTGGATTTGAGCAGCGTTGATTGTTATTTAGCAGTTGTACAGAGTACGGATGAATTTATTTTTTCTATCACATTTATATATTCACTACCATATACCCTATGGCAAGATGTTAAGCCTTGTCTCCTTGAATAGTAGCAACCACCTTTCTAGAGTGTCTCGCAGCCCTAAACTCCAAATACCAAATACCCTGCCATGTTCCGGTTGCCAAACGTCCATTCGTAATGGGAATTGTAACTGACGCTCCAATCAACGCCGACTTGATATGTGCCTACACCACAGTGTTAGCAATCTTCACAAATAAACCCCATCATCCTATTCGCATAATAAAGGGGGGGTAACCCCCCCCCTCTCCCTTACCCCCCTTCCCCTCCCCCAAACACCTCCCAAAAACAAACGAGAGAGAGAAAACGTACAGGCATATCGTCCTCCCCCTCCGCCGAATGTCTATAAAGATTTCCCTTCTTGTCATACGGCGCAATGCGATCCAACGCATCACTCATATCGGCGCGTACATCATCATCCCAGTTCTCATTGAGGGAGAGCGCGCAACTCGTGTGTTGGATGAACAGATGCAGAAGACCGACTTTGTAGTTCTTGATTTCCGGGAGCGAGGACACGATTTCGTCGGTTATGAGGTAGCTGCCGCGTGAGCGGGAGGGGAGGGTGAGGGTTTTTTGCGTCCAGGACATTTTTTCTTCTTTTCGAGATTGGTTAGAGGGTTTGGTTAGTTGGGTGGTGAGGAGGGAAGGGGAGGGGAGGGAGGTGGTGGGTGTTGCGGGGTTGGTAGTGCTGGAGGGAGTGGGTTGAGTAGAGGGAGGAAGGTGTAGATGTGTAATATAGTGTCGAATCGATTGTGGTGTATGAGACAGGCGTACCGTTCTCTGGGATGGTAATGCGGGTGATTGATGGGGATTGTTGATGCTGGTGTTGTTGTGTTGAGGAATTTCAGTGGGGGATAAACCGCCGACGTCATCCCACCCCGGTGTGATTATTTATCACTGCACTACTACAGGCCAAATTACCCGCACCGCATTTCCATCTCCGCCATCTCCTCAGAGGATTGTGATATTTGTTATGCGTGGAGAGGAGGGGTACTACTTGGATGTCGGTTTCGTTGCATTGTTTCAAGGTTATGGGATGGTATTGTTACAGTGGATGTGGTGGATGAGAATGGATGTCAGCTGCGCATGCTGCACTGTGGTCACAGCTGTGATGATGGCGCTTAGCCTGTCGATCATCCTGCCAGACAACGGCCAAGAACATTTTCTTGATGATCTATTGGACGGGATGCTATCCTGTATTAAGTTTGAACCAATAAACTCGTTATTCATGGCTATACAGTCGTGTTACATCCGGCTTGGAAGACCCCCTAGTCATTCCTTCTTTTGTCCCTTCTCATCCAAGAGATCGCTCTGCTCATCAATCCCTGACCATTTGGGTTTTCCATCCGGAATATCCAGAACGCGCTTACCATAGAAGATATGACAACTAAAATCATCAGCATACGCCATCAGACTGGCAAGAGACTTACTCTATCTCAAAAGCCTCCCTCCAGTGCTGTCTATTCTCATCATGATCCGCACTCTCAATGGCCTGAGGAAACAGCAAACACACATTGCGTCCCTCATCCATGATCGGGGACCGACAGAAAGAACAACACACCTTGGTGGGCAGCTCATACTCCGTCGTGGAATTAGCAGTCGAGTAAAACGACAGCCCGTCCACCCCCTTGGTGAACGCGAGATCCGACTTGTGGAAAATAGCCGCCCATTGGAACGGAGCGCCTACGCAGTCAGCATGTCTCAGAGACGAAACCGACAAACCCACCGTGTAACACTTGACAGCCCCGGCAATGGCAGAACTTGGCCTTCAATGGTCGGTCTCGACTGAGCTGATACGTCACCTGGCCGCATTGGCATTTTCCGCGCCATTTCACAGGGCCAAACTCCTCAGGGGAGCGAATACTGTACGGGGGCCGTTTGGTCCACTCGTCTCCATCGGATTTGGACTTGTTCTCGAATGGATTGGTGGCTCCCACGTCGGGGAGAGGAGAAGCCAATCCGGCCATTCTTGGGGTGGCTTGGAAATGGCTGTAGATGCGGTAGAAGGGTGGCGCTCGGGGTGGCAGGGGGCGGCAGAGTGAGGCAGTCAGAAAGGGGCCAATAGATCGCATTGCAGTGCTGTATATACCATAGTAGAACGATCTCAGTTGGCGAAGAGCGCATGGTTTTAATTATGGTCAAGCTGCGGATGATGTCATGGCGATGTAGTGGATGGGCCTTGTTTGGCAGTGCAGATGACGATGGGTCCGAGGTTATTGCGGATAAGCTTAATCGGTATGAACATCTGCAGGGTCTGGCGCTTAGTGCAGAGTGCACTGATGGAAGTATAGACAATAAAGGATGGGAACGCTAGTCATGATTTTACTGAGATTTTTGCTGTAGGTGCTGCTCACTTGCCTGATACGGGCGCTGCTGCTTTAATAAGGGCAGCATATGTATGAGTGCTCTGTATGTGCTACCGCACACTCACTGATCGCTCATTGAGCACGCATCAACTTTACTCCAATACTTTCTATGTGACTAGTACTAGGTCCTCAAACTGTGTACAGAGTAACCTTATGTCTAAGACAAGCCATAAGTACATAGTTCTTTCCATTCATACTCAAACGTAATTAGATACTTTTCTCATGTTATTCTCTGCGAAAGTTACAAGAAGTTCATGATATCTATAATGATACGTAGGTACAATAATGTTGATTTACATAGAGGCTCGTTTCTCTCTATAGTAATGCACAGTTTCACTTTCTTAGACCATTTATTCTTCCTTCACTGACCAGTAAATAACAGTCACGTGCAGAGAGTTGTACAAGTTATTAACACCAATGCGGGATCTCCCTGTCTCTCTCTCTTCTCAATTCATCTCACAACTTGAATATGCCTTCCATCACCTCTCTGCCTACTGAGTGTCTTTGGAGTATCTTCCAAAACTGTGACACTATCGCCGATGCGGTTACCCTATCTTCAGCCTGTAAACACCTTCATTCCATCTATGTATCCAACAAATACTCCGTCCTGGGCAAAATCGGGCCACGCGATATCCCCGCCTTTGACGATGCTGTTATCGCAGTCCGAGCTACGAGGATCGTACTAGAGTCCTTTGACAAATGCCATTTCCCGCCTGACCCTTTTCCATTCGACTGTCTGAGCTTGGAAGCTCAAACACCATCTCTTGACGATATACGGCTTGTCCTGGACTGGGAGCATCTACTCAGATGCATGGAAGATATATGCCTGCAGAACATAGAGTGGGGAAAGGATTGCTACTACGAGATTAAGCCAGACCGTGGAAAATGGTTAATCTAGCGGGAGAACTTTCGACGCGCAATGTATCGCTCGTTTCTCATGGGTGCCGTGCTTTGTCGGGCATATCAGGAGCCGCTGTCACCTCTGAAGGAAGATGATGATCGTCCGCAGGACTTTTTGAAGGATGCCAAACTGCGGATTGATGATCCAGATGCGTGGCTGATAACACGCGATGAAATGGCCTACCTTCTCAAGTACCCGGTCTTCAACTTTGAGTCATATAATGACCATGCTACGATTTATGGACCTCTAGCGGAGTTCTTGAAGCAGTAGAGTGAGCATCATTCGTGTGAGCCGGCATTACTGAGCATGTACCCTGAGGATGCTACCCCCCGTGACTTGGATTTACACCATGCCAGAGTGTTATACGCAGAGATTGTCCAATGCCTGCTGATGACGATGGCTTTCCTCAACCCGAATGCAAATACTCAGTTCTTCGAAGATGCCAGCCACGATACGAGAGAACTGGACAGAAAGGTTACGATTATCCCTTTGGGCTCCTTCTACCCGGAAAGGATTTCGATGCCAAACAACCCGCACAAAGCACATAAGACTCTTCTGGTAAAACAGCCCGTACCCCATCCGCAGAAAACAGGTACCGCGTGGCACCCATCTTCCTCATGTCTCTGGGCAATACTCAATAACATGCACGCTTTTTCTGGCCAACCAAACACATATGGAGAGTCTTATCCCACTCCACCTCCTCCACTGCAGATCTTCCAGTACATCTTTCGGACACATATGGGTCTACGATTTATCGATTTCGCGTTCGAGGAAGATGGCATAGATTCCACACATAGGCTGTTCGTGCACCACCCGTCTATAAGTCGGATCTTCGTCGACGGCTGGCCGGAAGAGGTACCAATAATGTTTGACACTCTCGGTGCTGAGGAGGGGCATTATGTCACCTCCTATGTGCCAGACCCGCATGTGTGACAAGAACCCAACCTCCGCAATGCTGATTTACCGTATCAGGCAGCAGTGTGACACTGGCTTTTCCCCGATGCTGACCAAGTTTCATTCAATCCGTCGGTCAGTTACACATGGATAATGCTCATGCCAATGTAGCAAAGTAATATTCCGCGTTTACTTTTCCCAGGATCACACATGTCACTTGTGTATCTTTGAGTTTGCAGTAAGCCAAAACCTCGAGCAATCTCGAGCGATGCATATTCTCAATCAACACCGACATCTGGACAACAAGCCAGAGTCTTCTCGCAAGGTACAACATCGCCTTACCTCATCCACATGGCTAACGATGATATCCATATAGGTGCGGTTCAGACGAGTGCTTATAGACACTTCCTAGTCTAGTTCCAACATCCCTCCCCTTCTTCTCCCTAATAATGAACCACCAGAGAACATTGCAGCATCCAAGTCGGATATTGCCCCGGGCTGGGATACAGCACGGACGGGAAATGTGGAAGAATCTCGGATGATACTGCAATGGTGTTTTGGAGACTGCTTCTTCTTATTTATGCCTGCCTCGAATGATAGGCGATGTAGATCAGAATAAGGCAGATACTGGACCGCCCTGATAAAGAAAAGATTCTGGCCTTGCCGGCCTAGGGCAGTGATCGGGACACGCACTTGGATGCTTCCCCCACGGCGAGCCACAAGCGGCGCTAGTGAATTTCCACCGAAATCATCTAGTTTAGTCGAATAATATCATTGTAATGAGCACCTACTGTGTAGGTAGCTAACCCAATGGGTTAACGGCAGGCATTGATCATCTCTTTGACTTGTCCAGCCATTCATCGTCAGCCTTACTGCCAGTCTGCTAGTGGTCGAGAATTGCCGTTTCACCTGCGACACCCTGCCGATCAGCCACCCCAACTCAACATGAAACACTGGCCAGCCCCTATCATCGGTTCATCTCGCTTGCTGAGCTGCTGAGCTGCTGAGTTGCTGGCAACTTGCCAATCAAGCGACCGGACCATGCCCAGCCTGAGTCGGCGACGCGCTGGAATGGGACGAACGACGGGTTCATGCAGCAACTTCACATCACACCGATTCCAATCCCCGCCTCGGATTATTCCTTCGTATTGTCTCCTGTTTCTCTTTCTTCCTCTTCCTCTCCCTTCTTCCTCTCTCAGATTCCTCAGCGTCCCTCCATGCCGCCCACCTATCCATCATGGGATTACTGAGCCGGCTTCGCAGGCGTTCCAAGAGCCATAGCCGCGCGGGGAATGTGGCCACCTACGACCACCTCTGCGTCGACGTCCACCACTCCTTCGGTCCCGACGCCACCAAGAAGCTCCCGCGCCCGCTGCTCGCCCGCATCTTCGCCTACGTCTGTCCCCATACCGTCGACACCAGCTATGATACTTCCGAGGAGTCCATGACCGAGGATGGCTGCATGCTCTGTGACATGCGCGATCTGGCCCATTGTGCCCTCGTGTGCAAGCGATGGTACCTAGAGGCTCGATCATTACTGTGTGTTACACTCTCTATACCCTCTACCCTCTACCCTCTCCCCCATACTCATCAATCGTTGCTAGGTACGCCCACGTCCGCATCGATGCCGTCCACTATTGCGAACTCGAGGTCGAACTCGCCGCCAAACGAAAACGTCGCTCCTTCTTCGACCGCAACGGCGAAGCCATCGACGCCCCCCAAGTCCGTCTCCGCCTCTTCATGCAGACCGTCCGAGATTCACAAGACCTGGGAAGTTTGGTACTCTCCCTGCGAATGCCATACATGACACGCGAGGCCAGCAAGGCCGAAATCGCCCGCACCATCTCCGTCACGCCCAACCTGCGCTACGTCGACCTACCGTCCGGGATATACAGCGATGACGCGTCGTGTCTGGCCTTGAAACAGGAGATTATCGGTCGGTGTCCGGATCTGCGTCGCATGAGTTATCGTCACGGCGCCGAGGGCAGCTTCTCACAGCTACCAGAGTCGCGTCTCTGGATGAACCTGGAAGTCCTGGAACTTTCGCGCTTGCACGTCGAATCGCGCGTCCTCCGACTAGGACTGGCCTCGTTTCCGAACCTCCGCGAAGTCACCCTCGATGACCTGCCCTGGCTCGAAGACTCCGCCTTTGCCCCCTCCGACATCCTTCCCCCCTTCCCAGCCGTCCAGCGGCTCACTCTTCGCGATACCCCGAACGTCACGGCAAGCGGGCTTGCCGGAATTCTTTCTCTACCTCGCAACCGCAAGGCTTTACAGTATTTAACTCTCTCCGCGACGGGGATCCTCCCAGCCACGTTGCACCAGATCCTCTCCGCGGCCCCACAGCTCCAGGGCCTCCTGGTGATCCAGGACGTATCACGATCCTTTCCCACCGATCGGGTCCCCCCATTATCATCCCGCTCGCTCAAACTACTGCACTACGAGATCACCTCGCCGGCGGGGTCCTGCGGTCTCGCCCCGGTTGCAGCATCCTACTACACATACCTGATCGCCTCCCTGATGTCCAACAACCTCCCATTCCTTCGCGACCTCTACGTCCGCGACGCCAGCTTCCCAGAGACACTGCTCCTCGCACCCCCTCCACGCCTCTACGGCGGCGGCGAAACCGGACCCCAGTTCTTCAGCGGGGGAATCTCCCAACCACTGAACGTCTACAGCAAGGGATTGGATGAGTTGGAATGGAACTTCACTCCGTACGAGCCACCATCGACCCGCGGACGACGCGATAGCACCACCCGGCCAGTGAGTTTCCACGACGCGCAACTCAGCCGGTCATGGGGCGGCGACGCGCGCAAGAGCGTGCTCGTGGGCAACGGGTTTGGCGGGTTCCTGGCCGTGCCGGTAGATGATGGACGACCGAAGAGTAGTGGGGGATGGAGACGAGATAGTCGACAGGATTTATGGAGATGATCCGATCTTATCCTTTCTTTCCTCTTTCACTTCAAATTGGGCATGATGGGCAGTAATGATAATGACCTGACTTTTCCTAGTATTTATATTCCACATACGTTTATCTTCAATTCTTCCATTCCATACCATCCCATTCCATTCCATTCACTAATCCCATCGTAACCCTATTCCTAATCCCCACTCCTCCTCCCTACAAAAAAGTACTACATACATAGTCCCTAACAAGCCTCCCCCACAACCAAAACCCCTACATCATGTGCCCCAACCTCGTACTATACTTATCCCTCACACACCCCAAATCATTCCCCGTCCAAGCATCCGTAACCCTGTACCCTCCTCCCCGCCGATACCCACCCTTCAACTCCGGCACCTCCTTCCAATACGCCGTCCGCGTCTGCACCGTATCCTGCGAATTCAACATCAACACTAGTGTCCCGTTCAGGGCAGTTGAACTCGACGGTCCGGACCAGTATTCTGCTGGGTGGGACGGGTCGAAGGTCCAGTCGGCATTGTAGCCCCATTTGTAGGGGTAGGCGGGACGGCCGATTTGGGGATCTTGGTGGAAGGTGAGTAATGGGGCGTTGGAGAGGATGGTTAGGTGGGATTTGTCGATTGAGGAGAGCTGCATTTTGTTAGGTTGGTTTGAGGAGGGGGTGGGGTTACTGGGAGGGGGTAATACCGGCGTCCCAATAATCAACGGCGACTTCATCACGGCCCAAAGAGCAAAATGGGCTCGGTTCTCAGCGAGTGTCAGATTCCCGTTTCCGACTTCGAGCATGTCTGGGTCCGGGTAGCCCCAGAAATCGGCGTAGTTCATGAGGAAGGAGTTTTCGTTGGCGATTTCGGCGATGCGGGTCCAGCTTGCTTTTCTCATTGTTTTGACGTTAGTATGGGTGTGGGTAGGGGTTGGGGGTGGGGGTGGGGGGGGGTACGTGTGATATCGCCCGACATGCGCCAGGAATTTCCGGTTGCATTTCCCCAATCATTCACGTCGGCTTGGCCCCAGTCGCAGAGGGAGTAGAGGATGGTGCGGTTGACGTTGAGGAGGGCATTGCGCATACGCATGTATCGTTTTGCGGTGGTGGAGGTGGCCCAGTTGTAGTTGTCGGGGGCGGCGTTGGTCAGGTCGTCGCAGGTGCCGTTGGGGAAGGATGACCCGTCGGTGCTGTCGGGGACGCAGTAGGTGTATTGGTCCGTTAGGTTGGTGGGGACGCCGCAGTTGTCGTATTTGAGGTCTGATGGATGGTTAGTGGTGGGTGAGTGGTGGTTTGAGGGTTGGGGCATACAGTCTACGCCCCATTCGGCAAACGATTGAGCATCGATCTCTTCGTAGCCTAGACTTGCGGGATAGCCGGCGCAGGTGGTTAGACCGGCGCCTGTGTGGTTAGTAGGAGGTCAATGTGGGATGGGAGGGGGTGGTACTGCTGTAGATGCCTAGCTTCAGGCCAAGGGCATGCACTTGGTCTGCGACACCGGAGATGCCGTTGGGGAATTTGTCCGGGTCAGGGATGATGCGTTTGGTTGTGGGATCGCGACCAGATTTAACGGACCAGCAGTCGTCAACTGGTTTTGTTAGTGATTATGCAGAGTACCGGCAGGGGCAGAGGCAGGGGAGTACTGTTGATGTATTCATATCCGAGACTTTTCAGTCCTAGATTGACAACCTCATTGGCGGCGGTGAGAATCTTGTCCGCATCAATTTCGCAATTGTAGGCATTCCACGAGTTCCAGCCGAGAGCTGGCACTCGGCCCTGTGATTGTTAGTTTGGCAGATGGATGAGAAGAATGTACATACCACGTCATCGGGTCGGACGAGGGCCGCAGCCCGCGACAATAACAGGAACGAAATCAGGAGCTGCCACATGTTGTTTGATCTCATGAAATCGTGGGACTGGAGAAAGAGGTGGCGATGGGAGTTTAAGTATGCAGCTCATCGTGCGGGGAAGCATTCTGGCCATGCAGCCGGCTAAGATCTGCAGGTCAACTCAATGGTCCCAATTGGGTTCGCCCCGAACCCCCGATTTAGGCTATTTGACCAAGTAACATCGCAGTGGTTGCCGTGCTACAGAGACAGCTGGAGTTGAATTCCCATGCTGTGGCTGATGTGTGGTGCCGTGTTGGAATGGAAGCATGTGACGATCATCTCGGTGTGTTGAGTATGACAGTTGAGTCTGCACTAAGGTTGCAACTGATGACTGTGCTTGTAGTTTGTCCAACTGACTTAGGTTTCCGTCCTCTGGACAAGGTTTGGATGTGCACTGCTGCCTGGTTGGACGAGGCCGTAGGTGCAGGCTTTGGCCTTGAATAGTGGGATGTGCGGTAAGGAGGTCGAAGGTGCTCGGATCATTGGTGATGCTGCAGATCACGTGCCAAGCGAGCCTGGATTGCCCCGGATCGTATGATGGACATGGAGAGGAGAAGAGAAGAGAGGAGAAATGACGGAGAGACGGAGGAGGAGTATGCAAACGCACCAATCGGAGGCAAAGAGGGGTGACCCTGGCACTAGCCACTTGCAGTCTAGGCTGCTGCCTCAGGCTGGGTTCCCCGCCCGATGCAAATGATTGTTGTTGTGTCAATATTTCCAGTGGGTTATTTCTGCCAAGATATGCCTGTCAGTAACATAAATATTCAAAGATAAATAAATACACTTCGGACAGTCATCAGAAAAGCTTTGCAGTATGCTTGCCAAGGTGTGAGCCCCACTGTTTCCATTCTCATCCGTTAATATGCCAATAGTGAAGTGCTTGTCCAACATAAGCACTATGCCCAACACAATTTCCGGTTCTCTTCGCAACCGAGCGACACTCACCCCTTAGCCTCGATGTCTCACTTGTCAATTAAAGTCAAATCCAGACTGCTGATTAAGCAATATAACCATCAAGCAGGGTTGGCCTTATCTACTGTCCTGCACTAGTTCATCGCGTTAATTTAAATCAAGACACCTGCCTATTCGCGATGAGTCAACCCTCACTTGCCACCAAACCAAACCCACCACCGGGTTTCTGTCCACCACCATGAAACATACCATGGATGAAACAAGTACTACGGCAGAAGGATCAAATCGTATACCCCTCGACAATAGTGGCCACGGCCCCCTCCGAGTCCCCGGCTTCGGAGACATCCCCATCGAGTATGAGCTCCCACCCAAAGCCCGCTTTGCCCACGGCATCCGCGAATGGCGACAGACCCCTGCCGTCACGGCTCGCGAATTGGCCATGGTGGCGGTAATGAACAACCTGACCGATCACCCCGACTGGCATGTGGATATCTTCAATGACGAGGTTGTTGCGCTCTGGAAAAAAGAGGCCTTTGACACGACCCCCCTCATGAGTGAAAAGGCGTGGGACTGGTGTTTGAAAGAACTGCGTGATAAAGCAGTCTACTTTCGCGAGAATCAACACATTCGGGTGCTGGACACAGGATCCTGTGTGTGTAAATCGGATACTCCAACCCTGCGCTCTCTGGGCGCTGTATTCAGATGGGCAGTTCCCCCCCTACTCAGACAGCAGAAGCAGCAGCAGGGTCTGGATTGGCGGACCAAGCAGTTATTAAAAATTGTCGATCCGTTGTTATTCCCATTGGTATATGGGAAGAGCCTGGTCTTGACGGATGGAGGGCGAGTCGACCTGCACGACATTCATGGCTCCTACAAACATGCGACAGTCGCGCCGAAACAGTTCGATAGGCGTGTGGACTCCCCGTATGTGCAGAGTGAGATAGAAAAACGGCCTCAGAATCCCATGGGAACCACCCCCCGAGATAGGTTAGAGACCAAGTTCTATCGTTGGAGCTGGAACTACCAGTGTCTTCCCTGCGAGGTAGAGTTTCTTAAGGACTCCGGTACCGAGGTGCGGATTACCTCGTATATCAATAACATACACCCGGCTCATAAAGGGCTGTACGACGCCATTGAGAAACTTGTTTCCCTGGCAATCAGGCCGTGGAATGATTGCCTGGTTCAAGGGCAGGACGGCTGGAGGGATGTGTCCAACCACGGACAGCTGGGGCCCGTCCCACTGCGAATCATCACATACGGTATTGAATGGGACAATGAACTTCCTGAATGGGCTACTGCTTTCAATGTGCCCTCAGATGTCAAGAAAAGAATGTATCGTCGATATCAAGAACGGTTGCAGAGGAGCATGGAAGATCAAACAAAAGCCGGCAGGAAAGAGCATCGTAAGATGCAGGAAATGCTAGCTTCTTTCTGGGATGTTGCGGGCAAAGAAGACATGGAGCTGCCCCCTCCAGACTCAGACTTATGGCAGAAAGCAAGAGAGTATCTTGAACTCCCCGAGGATGGATCAACCACTCTTGTTGCACTCCCAGACGACTGGAAATCCTACCCGTGGCGAAGGCTTCAACAAAAGGTTTGGCGGGTGCTTCGCTGGAAACATCCAGAGCCAGGAACTGCCTTTTCGTACGAAGACTGGAAGACTGGCCGACACGACGATCGGGCCATTATTGACATTGTCCGCGATCGACCAGACTGGGGCCTCGAGCGACCATTCCACCCGGTAATCCCAGCCCACACTCCCTATATGATCACCCTCCAGGACACCTTCCGGAAGCAAGGCTTGCAGGTCATTGCGGAGATGGACAACATCGAGGTCACGCCAGAAGACCCCAGCTATTCCGACGATAGCTGGCGACTACCGGGCCAGTTGAACGAGCACATTGTGGCTGTGGCAGTATTCACCTACGAGGTGCACAATATCACCGAGCCCCGCATGGCATTTCGCCAGCACACCTGTCTTGAGGGCTCCTACTATCGCTACTTCGAAGAGGAATACACCACGCGAAATTATTCTCCGGATGCTAACCCTGCCCACCGACAGGGCAAGACACATGGCTTAGAAGTTGACGCATTGGAGAAGATCCTGGGATTTTCACCCGGACAGCTCTCGACTGATAACTACTGGGGTCGGTCATTCCAGGACGCCGGCTCCATTGCTACACCCCAGGGGCGATTGGTCACATTCCCCAACGTCCGGGAACACCGGGTGGAACCATTCAAGCTGGTTGATCCCACTATCTCGGGGCATTACCGTTCAATCAAGCTGTACCTGGTCGACCCCCACTACCGGGTATGTTCAACCCGCAATGTGCCACCGCAGCAGCATCACTGGTGGGCACAAGAAGTGAGCAGCGATCTTGCCACGGCGGGACTACCTCGCGAAATGATAGATGAGATCATGCACAGGACAAACAACTGGCCGATGGGCATGCAAGAAGCGAGAAATCACCGGCGGGAACTCATCAAAGAACACCGGTGGAATGAGAGGACCAAACTGGGTAGTATGTCCAGCCCTGGGTTTTGATATTAGATATTAGATATAGAATTTCATCGTCATCGATGTCCATGAAAATGATGGGAAAAAAGAATGGAAAAAAGAAAAAGGAAAAAGGAAAAGGCTGCACGAATTACCATACACAGAATGCCAATCCCAAGATTGCCAGACTGTAGCTAATACCCCCGGAATAGGGAGGGTTTCTATTGGAAAATCTATCCACCTTCAGTCTCAATCATATTTTCTTTTTTTCACCTATAGATCGATACTATCCCTTTCAAATACACTTGGAAGTTTCTATCAGGTCCCTCCGTTGTCTCACCCTCCTCATTCGCATTCGTCAGAAAGCGTTGATATTCATATATAGATGTACGGTTATATCTGATCACCACCTTTGAATCTATAGAGATACTAGTATAGATATATAATATAATATAGAGAAGTGGTATTGTGTGAACAATACCAATGAAGTGGAGGATATAGTATTCTCCATATGGATTGATTGCATGCGAGTGATTCGTGAAATTAGTACAGTACTCTCACTACTATACTACAATCTAATGCAAGGCATAATCTCTTCGATACTATCATACATTCCACCACCGTCTAGTATCTAGTATTTCTATCTACTCACTACTAGCCACAAGTCCATTACAACTGACATGCGCCATATCTCTGATACAACCGTGGGAGGAGGGGGGGGGGATCTAAACCCTACACTTCGGCTCCGTAGTATCATCAAACTTATCCTCCTCAGCCTTAAAATCCTTCCCAATACTCTCAAGATCATTCTCCGTGAGAGCGCGTCTCGCCTTGGCCGCCTTCGCAAAGTCATCCTCCGTCTTCAACTCCCCCCCGCCAATCATATCCAACAAGGCCATGGGAGCAGACGTCGGATCCGAAATAATGCTCTGAATGCCCAACGCCACATTTCCCGCCGCGGCCACCGTCTCAAACGCCGTATCCAGCACCTCCAGCTCAGGCGTAAGATCATCCAAGAAGGGGATAAACGCAAACGCAATGCCCAGAATCTCCAACACGAGCTTGATTTTATCCTCCTTGGCTTGTTTCTCGCCGATGGCTTTGACCTGCCCCATACTGGCGATGGATTGCTGGATCATGAAGACGGGGGTGGAGAAGGTCTCGTAGAGGTCTTGCATCCCGCCGGTCCAGTTCCCCAGGTTGATGTCCATGACGCGGCCGAGGAGGTTATTTTGCATGGAGTTGACGGAGGGAAGCGCGGCGGTGATGACGTCCTTGGGGTTGGAGACGTCGATTTTGTTCCCCTTGACGGCTTGGGGCACGCCGATCCAGCGGTAATCGGTGCCGCTGGAGCATTCGCCCGGAATGCAGTGGCCGATTTGATGGACGGGGCCGCCTTTGTTGACGAATTCGACCCAGGTGCGGTTGATGCCGTAGGTGGATTCGAGTTCGGAGTAGAAGCCCTCGGAGTCCTTGAGGGTGTAGGTCATGGTGAAGCGGTCGGCGCCCATGAGTTGGGTGTAGCGGAAGGGGCATTGTTGGGTGGATGTAGGGCCGTAGCCTTCGCAGGTGCAGTCGAAGTATTTGTTGCCGGGGCCGCCTTCGGGTTTGCTGGTGGTGGAGTCGGCCATGAAGGTGGAGATGGCTTCGGGGACCATTTCGCGGACGTATTGTTGGTAGTATTTGAAGTATTTGTCGTAGTTGGTGTTGGCGGTGGTGTAGTTGTCCAGGGAGGCTTCGAGGGTGAGGTAGAGCGTGTCCATGGCGTAGTAGGGCATGCATTGGTCCGGGTAGCTGCCGAGGGCGTTGTTGAGGTCGTCGATGGTGGCGTAGGATTGGGTTAGGTCGCAGTTCCAGGTGGTTTGGCAGGCTGCGTCGGTGGAGTCGTCGGTGCAGGAGAGGATCTCTTGCTTGTAGTCGTCGAGGTAGCCGGCTAGGGCGCTCCAGTAGGGGTGGGCGATGGCTTGGGTGTTGTTCTTGGCTAGGATGATGTTGTTGTCTTCGACGTTGCTGATCATTTCGACGGAGCCGATGGTGATCAGGTTCCAGATGTAGAGGCCGGAGTTCTCGCCGGAGTCGAGAACGAGGCGTTGTTGGCAGTTTTGGGTGTCGACGCAGGTCTCGAGGTAGTTGTCGTACCAGGAGTAGAGGCCGGCGCCAGCGATGGTCAGGTTGGTGTTCTCGTACATGGTCACGGCGTAGGCGAAGTTGCAGAGATCGTCGGAGGCTTTGCAGGTGGAGTCGGGGAAGGTGGGATCGTTGGTGAAGAGGCCAACGGAGGCGTTGAAGGGCCCGGGGGATTGAGTGGCATCGGCGAATTGGTAGTAGGGGGATTCAGTCTGGATCAGGCCGGCGAAGGTGTTGGTGGCGTTGTAGAAGTTGTACTGGTAGAGGATGGAGTGCTCCGAGGCAGTGCCGTACATCCACGTTGGGCCGGAGGTGGACTCGACGAGGAGGCCACGGCCCACTGCCACGCTGATCTGGGTGTTGTCTGCGTCGTCGATGTCGTGGTCTGCCACCCACAGCCACATGTTCTCGAAGTAGCCGTTGGAGTCGGGCGTCATGTGCATCATCATGGAGGCGGCGACGCAGCCGGACTCGATGGAGTCGCTGGTAGGGCATTCGGCCACTTGCAGTTTGGAGCCATAGGCACCTCCCACGCGGAAGTGGGCATCCCACATGCCTGCGTAGCCTTGGAGCTCGGCCTGGATGTTCCATTCCACAAGGACCAGGCCGGGGAGTTCACCGATGGAGGTGAAGAGGATGTCGCTGATCTCTACCTGGCCTACGTCGCCGGCGTTGCCAACCTGGATCATGGGCTTGGGGGAGGTCATGTCGGAGAAGTAGTCTCCGGATGCGACCAGTTGGGACCAGACCATACCGGTGATGCGGGCGTGTTTGGGAATGACGACGGTCTTGGTGATGATGTAGGATCCGGGGGGGAAGTAGATCAGGTTGTCGGCGGTGGCTAGGGCTAATGCGGAGACGATGGCATCGGTATCGTCGGTGGATCCATCACCGGCGGCGCCGTGGTCTTTGACGCTGATGATATCTCCCGTGGACAATGTCTCGTATTGAGGGCGGTTGCGGTAGAAGTAGCTGTCGCGGTAGATGGGGTTGTCGTTGGCCGCGTCTAGCAGAGGCCCGGGGGGTGTCTGCACGTTCACCGAGTAGGATCCAAAGGATTTGGAGGATTTCTCCTGGAGGTTGCCGATGACGACAAAGTCCACGTCGCCATTTGGGAGATCGAGGCTGGAGCCATCCGTGAATGAAACCATGGTGTCGACGCCGTTGACTCCGACGTTGTCCAGGGTGATGATGCTGGTTTCCAGGATGCTCTTCTCTTCGAAGTTGGCTTGAATGGCAATGGGGGTTTCATCAAACATGGTGTCCAGGATGTAGGTGGATCCGGCTTGTTGGCCTGTGGTGTCTTGAGGGTTGATCAAACTGATGCCCACTGGCGAGCTCGACAGATGCAATCCGGCCCAGGTCCATCCCCAGTCCCAGATCAGGCAGATGGAGGCGTTGGTTTGACCAGCGATGGTGAAGTCTCGGACCGTGTACTGTTGATTGCCTCCATAGATACCATACTCGCCTCCGGTGATGGTGCAGCCCGACATGAATCCTCCACTGCCGTTTTCCGTGTACATGCCCATCTGGGTGGTACCCTTGGCCGAGCTGGCCGTGATGAAAAGGTTGGTCAGGGAGGTGGCCTGGGCGACTTGCCAATGGAGTCCAGCCGCATAAGCAGTGGTGGTCTCCTCAATGTCGATGATGATGTTTCGAACTTGACGGTAAAAGTTGTTTTGCTATGCCGGTCAGGTACTGATTCAGAGAAAAAGAATAGAAAGAAAAGGAAAAGGATTTGAAAAAAAAAAAAGGGTGAGGATTACCTCAATATACCACTCATCACCATTGTCGTTGGGAATGTAGACATCACTCTGGATAGCTCCCAGACCAATGAACGAAGGAGACGTCTTGATGATGGGCATGTCATTGGCATCTCCCACGAGCTGAGAGTAGTAGGAGGCATTGATAGGGGAGGAGATCAGGTAGGTGCCCGGAGGGAAGTAGATAAAGCTGCCCTTGGTCGAAGACGACTCGCAGTTCTCCATGCAGCTACCACCATAGGCAATAGCGGCATTGATGGCATCAGTATCATCAGTCACTCCATCACCCTTGGCGCCAAACTTGGAATCAGTGACATCGCGATAGACGGGGTAGGAAGAATCCCATCCCATGGGGGGTAGACCATGGTCGACCTGAGATGGCCAATAGCCCGAGGAACTATCTCTCTTCGATACTGTCAAGGGCTTAGCCGTCTTGGCGAATTGACTGTAGCTTTTGTGGAGAGTTCCATTCGACAGTTGTTGGGATGCATGGTGTTCGGCCAGAAGAGCGGCGGCGGCACGCAGATTGGCATCCAACGTGGGAGCCACCGGCTCATCGGATCTCTTGTGTTGGGTCGATTGAGCTTCCTCCGAGTGGCGCGAGCGATAGGTGTTGCGTTTCGGATTGGCCACCCGGTAGGCATTGTATTCGGACTGTTGGGCTACAGCCGAGGCCACCAGTTTCTGAGCGTACGCGAGGGCGCTGCTTGAAACATTATGCAAGCTGGGGGTGGGAGGATCGGCGATAGCACGCCGTTGATGCCACAGATACAGAGGTTCCGCTTCTGGTGAAGCAGCGATGAAGCTGATAAGATAGAAAAGGAAAAATAAAAGAGGGAGACGATTGGAAGCCGCCATATTTATACCATTAGAGAATGAGAGAACCTCAGTGAGGAAGGAATGTCAGGTCGAATGACCAAAAACGAAGGACGGTTCAATGAAGAAAGAATGAATGAGTGAATGAGTGAATGAATGACTGAAGAGGACCTTGGTTTTTCATCCAGCACTGGGATGGAATATTTATAGTTGAAACCAGTGCCATCCAAGGCATCCATCCAAGGCATGCAGGTACAGACTGGATCAGTCTATGCATCAGCCTAGTGATTCCTTCGGCGTGTTGAGATTAATGGCTCATGCAATCTCGCTTGCCTGCTCGATAAGCCGCATGAAGACAGTTAGGGCTCATCCTCCGGAGGCAGCCATCCCCACTGCACCCCCACTTAATCCCCTCGTAGTGCTTAGTCGTTTTTAGTGGCTTTTAGTAGACCCTTTCGCCCTAATTTCTGACCCTGCGAAGCTAAGATCCTTTGGCGCGCCTGCAAGTGGATCGGCAGCCTCGTGAAAATGGAGTCGGTCCATGCTGAAAGTAGCCCCTATCTCCATGAGGCGGAATGCTTCATCACGGCAGCCTTCAAGCGAGCCCTTGGGTCCTCATCGGGTTCTATTTATTCGGTGGGATTTCAATTTGTTTTCCTCACCACCATCGTTCCTTTCTTTCCTTGATTGCTACCGGCTTCGTCTTGTTTCATTCTCTGTTGGCTTCCAATCATCCAAGATGCAATCCGTTTCTCGACTTGCTTTGCTTGCCCTGGGCTCATTGCCCCTTGCCTTTGGTCAGCTGGAGACCATTGGCGTGACTACCTCTGGCGTCACCCCGACTAGTTCGCCATCGTCGACGTCCTCGTCCTCATCCTCAACCCCATCCTCTACCCCGCTCACTACGCCAGCTCCCAGTACCACCACGACTGGGGATCCGTTGGTTCTTACCACTATCTTTACCCAGCCCTCAGGATGTGTCGGTGGGATGAGTGAAGTTGCGTCGTGGTCGACCGAGCTCTGGCAGAACATTGTCAACCCGGTGCCGACCTTGACGCTGTCATCTTGTTATCCAAGCCAATTCTATTATAGCGCTGTGGCTACTTCTGTGCTGCCTCCATACAAACAGCTGGTGTGTCCCGAAGACTGGGAGACATACAATGCCACCGACACGGACATTGTCTGTTGCCCCGGGTATGTTTTCTGCCTCCGAGATCGAAAGAGTTACTGACTGACGGTTTCAGTGGCTATGGTTTGTATGCTCCCAACTGGTTGAATACGACACGTCCCGGATTGGGTGCTGTCTGCACTTCCAGCATCTGGCCCGACGTGTTGATGGACATTACCAGCTACGATTCCACGGCTCTGGCAACGGTCATTGCCACCACCGCTGGGGCCAATGGCACCTTGGTGTTTGCGACGGCGTTTGATGGAACTCTCGCCACTTCAATAGCCTCTTCCACTTCTTCCTCCAGCCAGACTGTCCCATCAACCACCAGCAGCGTCACTCCCACTACCTCGCCCGTTGTGACCACCTCGGTGGCTTCTACTACCTCCACCACCTCCACTGGAACTTCCAGTCTCACGGCTATCTCTCAGCTCCCCAGTTGCGGGGTAAGTAGAATACTTATCTGGTGTATGTCATCGACTAACTTTCTCTAGCAAACCTGCTTCAGCAATGTGCTGGCCAAGTACGAGTCTTTGGGATGTACCACTTCGGACCCATCTTGCATGTGCCGGAATATCAACTTCTACTATGGTATCCGGGATTGCTCCAACGCGGCCTGTGGCACCGATGTTGCCAGCACCGTGATTGCCTTTGAAAGCAGTTACTGTACTTCGGCCATTGCCGCTGAAACCACTTATCCCAGCACTGCCAGCGCAACTGCTGTTCCCACCGCCATCTCTGCTCTGCCTACTTGCGGTCAAACCTGCTTCGACAACATGTTGGGCAAGTATTCCTCCCTCGGATGTAGCAGTGCGGATCCCTCCTGTCTGTGCGAGAACATCGACTTCTACTATGGTATCCGGGACTGCGCCAATGCTGCTTGCGGCACTGATGTTGCCAGCACTGTGCTTGCCTTTGAAACTGCGTACTGCTCCTCTGCCACGGCTACGGCCACCAGCACTTGAGGGGTGTGACTTTGGGATTCAATCTGTAATTTCATAATGGAGCGCTATTGTCTGCAGGTGGATACGAGTAGATTAGATTTGCCATGCCAATAGTTCTGAATAATTGAATGTGTTCCTATGTTTGACCTGTCGCTCCTTCTAATTTGGTCTGCCTTTGAAATGCCCGCATATCACCGTATACAAGATGCCTAGTTTTACCCCTCCATCGTCTCGTACCCTTCCACAATCCATCTGCAGCAGGCTAAATCCTCCGGCTACACTAGCGCTGACGCCGGTGCCATGTGTCTCGGAGCTCCGGCCATAGCCCCGAGCGCCCTTATCTTTCAGTTTCCCCTGATGAATTGTGTGGCGATGAACAGCTGAAGGATTCAGGTCCCATGATCATGGCGCGTTTTCCAGATGTGACGTGTTCATTGGATCGATGAGGACCGGTTCGGAGATTCGACAGGAGCTTGTTTAGTGCGGCTCGAATCCTTCAGGGTTTTCGCCCTAAAATCTGACACTGTCGGCACTAGGACCCTGCTACGAGACCGGCGCTAAAATAGTTTAATTGCTGCAGGGTCCAGAGCATGCACTACGCAGGGTTACATCGACTATTGATTTCGTCTCTTCCTTCCATGCCGGATATGCTACCCGAACCGTGCTGGCAATCTCGCGTCGACACTGCAAGGCTGTACAGCCTCACAGAGCCCCTCAATCGGACTAGATCTCATCCTTCTGCAATAGTCCTACTGGATTAGGCAGACAAGGATGCGAGATTCGGAATCGCGGCATTAATCTTCAGCGAGGCGAAGAGTGGGGGTCAATCATATGCTAATGCAAATGACATACGAGAATAATCAGAAGACCCATTCCTTCCTTCTCCTTTTCGACCGGTCAGAATGGGTCGATAGCCATCAGACCAGGCAGGTTGCCGTGTTTTCTTCGTATTTCAATCGTCTAATCTCACTTTCTCTCTCCTTGTCTTCTCTCTCTGTCGCTCTTGTCGGTCATTCTTTATCCTTCATTCTTTACTCGTCACTCTTTACCTGTCTCCTTGTTTATCACACTCGTTCAGACATTTGTCACTACCAAGATGAAGATATTTAACCTGCTTCTCCTCTGGTGCTCCGTCCTCTTCACCAATGTCCTGGCTGACAATGAGTCTATTGCAAATGAGTTAATTTACTTTTACTATGTCTACAAGATGGAGTTCCTATCCGGGGCCACCAAAACAATGGCCGTCGACTGCGAAGGAAGTGCGCATGGAGGAATGTGCTATTTTGACGAATTTGTCGAGCACCTCATCGAGGATCGGTGGCTGAACGTATATGATCCCCTCCCTGGCGATCACACTATAACCCCCGGTGATGCCCAAATCCCCAGACTTGAACGGAACCTGCCCTCATCGGCCCGCTACAAGCTGAGCAGCTTGTTGAGTACCCTCAATGGCGAGACGGCGTTTCCCATTGTACTTCAAAAAGTTCTGCATGCCGCCAACGAGGCCTTTGAGGCTGCTGAAGACAACGATGTAACCCTGGCGACGTCGGATATCAACGCGGCAGTTGACAACGCCCGAGCTGCCAAGGAGGCCCGCAACCGGGCCATCTTCGATCTTCAACAAGATGCCCTCTCCCGAAGACTCGATGCCGCAATCGTGGACTATGTTCAATCAACTGCCTCGGGATTCAAGTGGCCTCAGACATTTCAGGCAATCGACGACGCGGTTGACGACGGGGAGCTCGACAAGGCAACGGCGAAAGACTACAAAAGCCAGCTCCGAACGTTTTCCAAGTCCTATGAGCATGATATCATTAGTAGTGTCACCTCGGAAATGACTCATTTGGATGTTGTACGGAGCTTTGCGACCTCGATCACTCGCTACACGCGGGTCATGGAGGATAGGGAACCTGGATCGACGGGTCTTGATGCGTCGTCTTCTTCCTCGGAATGTTCGGACGAGTTCAGTTCGGATTCCACTTCTTCAGATGAGTCGTCATCTTCTTCAGGTGGCTCGTCGTCATCGTGATTGTCCTAGATCATGGTTTGGTTGAAATATTGTGGATAGGCGAGATTGATCGGTCTGGACTGAACAGTGGTGTTGTACTCACTTTCGTGAAGGATAGGAAGTGTATATTTGATATAGACCATGCAAATATGAGTCTTTGTATACAGCATGGAGGTATCAATTCCATGGTCTACTGTAGTGGTAGTTTTTAACGGGTACACCAGATCCACAATGACATCTAACCTGATACCTAAGTACACTGAATATATCAGATGCCCTCTTCAGAATTAGCTACAGATTTACAGAAGACATCTAAACCTCCAGCATATCATCTCACAGCTCCATCCCAAAGCCATAGACATAGAAGTCGAGATACCTCTGCAGTGAGGATGATTAAATCCATTGACCTAACCCTTATTAAAATACTTTTATTCTCTCTCTCCTCTTTTGCACACCAAGGGTGGCATGAAGCATATATCCTATTCCATGTCTCCATCTAATGAAGAATTCACGCAAAACGCACATGACACAAAGGAATTACACCTATGGCTCTCTTTCCTCTACAAACCATCTGAACGACTATATTCATACTATAAATAAAACTCCAGATTTCATACCTCAATCTACTACACACAACTCAAGTGATGCACTTCATCCTTATACTCCCAAAATAGTATATATATCAACATAACCTCACCCTCCGATTATCATCACCACATAGCTCCAAGTTCATACATCCACCATACTTTCCAATGGAAAACTTTCCTTTCTGACTACGTAGTAACAGGACGAAGTTAGGATTCTTATATCTGAATTCTGAACAACGCTGTATACCTCAGAATGACCCGTGCAGACCCACATTCCGCCCTTTCGAGATCGGTCTGCCGAACCACACAATGAATTTTCTACATCTGCCAAGTGCCACATGAGTTCTCCACAGCACATGCATGCGGGGATAGGATGGATGATCTCGAACCTACATATACTGCATACACGGTTTTTTAATCAAGATGAAAATTGGGCTTTTGTGTAAGGTGACGTCATACCTGCCATATCAATATCATCTGAATTATTGGATATGTCTAAGATATCAGAACAATATCAACACATATTTTGAATATGTAATATGGCAACTCCGCCAACTTTAATCCGAACCACTCAATGTGGATACCCAAGACATCCCTCCGCAGCGAATAAGAATAAGGTTAAGCACTGACCGGAACCGAACCAAACTCTTCTCTTCCTATCCTCAACCTACCTCAACCTCACTCCCTCATTCAACCCCATCATCCCTCCATCCACCACCATGGACTCCCCCCCCTCTCCCACCGCGCCCGCACCATCCTCGGCAACGCCAACGCCCTCATGTGGGACATCATGCGCAACCCGTGGTGTCCTCTCACCAACCCCACCGGGTACGTCAACGTCGGGGTAGCCGAGAACGCCCTCATGCACGACTACCTCCTCTCATACATGAACACGCAACTCACTCTACCCGCAAAATACCTCACCTACAACGACGGGGCCATTGGCGCAGAACGTCTTCGACGTGCCATGGCCGCCTTCCTAACCAAACACCTTCACCCAGTGAAACCACTCACCAGCGATAATCTCCTCGTCACCAACGGTGTCTCTTCAGCAATCGAGCACATGTCCTGGGCGTTTACCGATCCAGGAGAGGGAATCCTCCTGGGTAGACCGTACTACGGGACGTTTATCCCTGATATGTCTGTTCGGCCGGGGGCGGTGGTCGTTGGGGTGGAGTTTGGGGATGTGGATCCTTTTAGTATGGATGCTGTGGAGTGTTATGAAAAGGCACTGGTGAGGTTTCAGGAAACGACGGGGAAGAAGGTTCGAGCGGTGATGCTCTGTCATCCGCATAATCCGCTGGGGAGGTGTTATCCCCGGCAGACGATAGTGGGTTTGATGCGACTGTGTCAGAAATATCAGATACATTTGATAAGTGATGAGATTTATGCACTGTCTGTGTGGGAGAATACCATTGATGAGGATGTCAGTCCCGTGGGGTTTGAGTCTGCGTTGTCGATTGATATGACTGGGATTATTGATCCGAGTTTAGTCCATTTGCTCTGGGGAATGAGTAAGGATTTTGGCGCTAATGGGATACGGCTAGGGGTGATTATCTCGCAGAGTAATCCTGTGTTGTTGGAGGCGGTTAAGGGGGTTTCGTTGTATACGTACTCCTCGTCGGTATCGGAGCATTTGGCGGCGGTGATTCTGGAAGATGAGGAGTTTACAACCCGGTATATACGGCTTAATCGGCAGAGGATGGGTGAATCGTATGCCTTTGCTGCAGGGTATTTGAAGGATTGTGGGATTGAGTATGCGACTGGTGCTAATGCGGCGTTCTTTTTGTGGGTTAATTTGGGTCGGAAGTATTGCGAGTTGCATCCGGAGATGGGGGATTTGGGCGATGGGATTGGGGATAAGGTGATGGAGGTTCTGTTGCAGAGGAAGGTGTTTCTGGCGAGTGGGGGGTTGTTTGGATCGGAGAGGAGTGGGTGGTTCAGGATTGTGTTTACCCATGAAAGAGGGTATTTGGAGGAGGCGTTGAGGAGGGTGGTGTTGGCATTACATGATTGATTAGTCTGGATAGAGATGTTCTTCGTGGGTGGTTGGATAAACTCGACTGTAGTAATACACATGGTTTATACTTGGCTTCTCTATACAATCTATGGACCTACTGAGATTGGAAAGATGATTGAGTGACCGCCCCCATACAGCACGAATAAGTCTTGCATGGTTCTCGCAAAATACAATTCTAATCTAATACAGTGCTCGATACTTTGATTACTCCATGCTATTAGCATGATGATATGCAGGAGATCCCCTCACAAAAGCCATCATTCACAATCAACACATTCACACTCCAGAAGGCCATCAACCACCTACCTACCCTCAAATATTCAACTCCAAACCCAAACCCAAACCCAAACCTAAACATCCATCTTCATCAACATCCCAACCCAAGGCGTCTTCCCAACCCTCTCATGACTCCACTCCCCCACAGCCCTAAACCCTTGTTCTTCGTAGTATCTATAATGATGTTAATCTCAATCCTTCCCAACTGAGCTTCCATAATAAAATAAAGATAAACAAAACCCACCTAACCAATCTTCCCCCACTTCCCCCCAACTATCCACCCAAACCACCCCTTTCCCTCTGTTTCGAGTAAACTCCCTCACCCAATCAATCAACGCCCTTCCCGCCCCTTGCCTCAACTCACTCTCAACCCTACTATCCGTGATAATCACCTCTAGATAAACCCACCCACCCTCCGGGATAGGAAGATGGGTCTGGGCTTTCACATACCCCGGGACCCAATCCTCGCGGACTTGGACGAAGCCAACGGGGAGAAAGTGTTTGTCGTTGGGGGTTGTGCGGAGGGTGCTTGGTGGGAGAGGGATATGGTCATCTGGGTGGGAGGGATATTCTCGTTCGGCGATGAAGATGCGTAGGTTGTTGGTAGTGCTGGTGTTTGTGTCAGTGAGGCGGTTTTCCTCGGAGGACTGCAATTCGGTTAAAGTGTCGGTGGGGAAGTCGCCGCGTTGGGAAAAGGGAATGGATCCCCATTGGTGGGGGTTGTTGATGGAGGTTAGGAATGGGAGGGAGGAGTCGTAGGTGGAGAGGAGGAAGGTTAGGTCGGTGGGGGAGGGGGTGGCGGGGCGGATAATAAATGGAGAGGAAGATGATGGCATTGGTGTTAGAGGTGGTGATGTAGGATTGTAGGGTGTATTTTGATATTTAGGGTTGAGAAGTGTTAGGGGTCAGGGGTTCCCCGCTTTTATACCTTGTTTGGGGAGGTTGGTTTGTTATCTTAGTTCGCTTATCTACGGAGGTGCTAGGACTATTTCGTATTTGGGATGGGTTGGTATGACGTTTAGGCAGACGGATTCGAGAGGGTGGTCTGAGTGGCTTGTTATAGGGCTTGTCGGTGTTAAGAGGGTGTGTTTATCTGGTTTTTCGGATAGGATAGTCTGCGTTATTGCTTGATTTGGAGCCCAGGGTACCATACTCGGGTAACTGCACTTATTGTCTTCCCTCTAGTTTCACCATTAGCCGACCAACGGGTACGGCAGCGACCCATTCTCGTCGTGGAGGAAGAATAGCTTCGTGGTTTACAGCAACATCCAACTGATCTCCAGGTCGTATGCAATATTTCTTAAGTAATTGCGAGACAGCCAGAAAGAGCTCCAAGTATGCAAAACTGTGTCATCAGTCATTACTCCTCTGGTAGTCATCAAGAAACATACTGATTGCCAATGCAAGTAGACGCGCCCTTGGAAAAAGGAATATAGTAGTCATCGCGAAGACCAGTCGATCCATCTGGGTCTTTGTCAAGCCACCGAGCGGGCTTATACTTCTCTGGATCCGGAAAAGCAACCTCGTCACGCAGATACCAGATAGGAGAGCTGGATATCATCATCTAATATGTTGTGAGTTTCCATATTGCATTCACTAATCAATCAACCTACCCCTCCAGGAAGATGTCTCCCCGCAATAACATAGCCTCCCTTGGGAACAATTCTAGGAAGCATGGCAGCTGCTGCACCGGTCCATCTGATTCCCTCCTTAACGCAGGCTCTGAGTGTCGGGATTGATTCCAGTGTAGTCATGTCAGTAGGCCACCCGGCAGATTCCAGGCCAGACACTAGCTCAGCCTGAAAAGACTGGTTGAGTGAAAGCGCGTAGAGAATATGGGCTAGTGTGGCAGAGGTCGTATCAGTGCCAGGACCCAGCATCTCTTTTGCTTCAGAGAGGGCGGATTTCTCGGACATTCTATTGATTGCCATTACTTTGAGGAAAGATAGGCTCGGTGCCTTTTCGCTGTCCATCGTGGCTGCAAGTTGCTCATCTGCCCACTGGTCTTATCAGTATGTGTCACAAGCAACGCATAACTTAGTCCTACACGATCGAATCGTTGGGTGCTAGTAATCGATGAAATCTCCCAACCGGAGATTTGGTAGATCCAATCAGCGAGCGAGTGCCACAGGCCAACGAGCATTGGGAAGTTTGTATACTGAATATGGTCAGCTATTGACCATAGCTCACCAGAACGAACGTGACCCACCACCGGCATTTTCGAGGATTTGGCATCATTTTCTTTAATGACATCAAGCTCTTTCCCTGCATCTAGGGAGTCTATAGCCCCGATTGCATTTCCGAACGCGAAGGTTGCTTCATACTTTAGTAAGACACCTGGTATGAATAATAAATACTTACAGACGATATCTGATTCCAACGCGCGGCAAGTCGGCATTAGGTCAATAGGCCCCTTCTGACTAGCGGTAGCCAGATACTTCGACAATCGGTCAATCGTTCCTACCATCATTTCCATCAATGCGGGAACCTTGCTGCGATTGAACAGGATCCCCATGTGTCGTCGACGTTGGGCATGCTCCTTCGGATCCCTTCCAATACCATATCAGCCATATCCCACAGGCGATACATCAGGTTTCTGTTATACTTACGTGATTGAAAACAACGCAGGGTGACCATCCTGCACAAATTGATTATACACTCGGGGATCTTTTACAAACGGGCTGTTGGGTGCGTGCACCGTTTTGTATATATCGAGGGAATAGAACGATACTTGGTTTGGTCCGATGCGAACAAGTGGTCCTAAGGTGTATATTGTTAAAGACGATTGGATGTCATGATCGGATCACATACCGAGCCTTTTGTGCAATTTTGGAAGTTTTAGCGTCAAATTTCCTCGGAACTCGGTAGGAAACTCCCATAGCAGACGAGAGACTGGTGCCAGGATTCCTGCATTTGGAATAGATGCCAACGGTGACAGGAGATATGTATAAATGAGCTTGCAGACGTTAGTCGGAGGGTCTTTCTCTTGATCGCTCGTTTCACTTACCCGAGACATGACCACAGCAACGATCATCAAAACCAATATTAACAACCCCATCTCGGGAATCTTTGATTTGGCTTCTTTTGTGAGCTTCTAGCCGTACTTACATTGCGTCCTACGCAAACCGGGCAGACTATACATTTCATGAAAATCTTCCAGAAATCCACAACAGACCCGATCCTTCACCGACTTGCTGGTTCTGTTGTGGGTCGTTTCTCCCTGTTTAAGCCATGGCCCAGTCATTCGGGTGCTTGCGCAAATGACACCATTTGAGGCCATAATGCAGAATTGCTCGCATATCGGCATTCATCCTGTCGGCACTGCAGTGCATTTAGGAAGCAACAGCCAATAGCGTCGGGTCTCAGGCATCCCTCAGGGATGTGATTGGGTCCGAATCGCGTGGTAGCGCACGGGCCACCATTGACTCTTCATGATGCACTGTCCGGTAGGAATCACCTCATTTCTCTCTCGAATGCCTAATTACGTTAGCATACTGTGACATGAAGAATTGCAATCATGGAGGATAGTGGGAGAGTTGCATACAAACATACTCAGGTCTATTTAGACACATGGTTTAGATGATCATGCGCAGTCTTCGTAGCAGCCGGTCAGAATCTCAAATGCCTCACATCAAGGCCAGCAAAGGCTCTTCTGTTGGAATGGCAGTAAGGCTGCCATTGACGTGGAGCGAGAGTGGGGCGTGGATCCACACGACATTGTCACTGACCGAGGACGAAGCTTGGATAATAGGGGCGACGAATGATGGCTGAATCCACATTAGCAAGAGCTTCAGAACGTTGATAAACCATAAGCCCTCCAAGTACGGGTCATTGCTCCTGGAATTGAGGGTTTGTACGCTTAACACGTACCACAGTGGTGGGCCATGGCGACCAGAGATAAGACCGCCACTGTCACAGAGACGGACAAGAGCGACGAGATCGCTTTTGTAAATTCTCAAACCCCAGTTGGTAGATAGAAGAAACAATCAAGCTGACGAACTATAGGGGCGGCTTGGCTACCAACAGGTAGCACCCAATTAATGAATGCGTCACGTTGCGGTCACTGATTATCTCTTCTCCAGGTCCTTCATCGAAGCTATTCTCTCTTTGAAAATTTCTCTACCTCATTTGGTGTGCACATGGCTTGAATCACAATCAATTTCATTCTTGCTAATATGCATAGCGGCCCTGTACTTTGTTGGTGGTGTTCGGGTCACCTTCACAACTGGAATCGCTGCCGGAGGGCCATTGGCATATTGGTAAGTTGAACCCAAGCTCCATGATGATGTGCTAATCATCGCGCAGGACAAGCTATATTGTGACATGTGTGTTCACATTACTACTGCAGCGGTCATTGCAGAGGTCTGTTCCGCTGCTCCGACTGCAGGCTCAATCTACCTCTGGGCTGCAGAAGCTGGTGGTCGCCGTTATGGACGGCTGTTCGGATTCATAGTCGCCTGGTGGAGTACAACAGCCTGGACCACATTTTGTGCTAGTTCGTTTCGAACTCTTTCCTGTCTTCGTGATTCTGACTAGTCTGATCAGGTAATACGCAGTCCGCGGTGAACTATATGCTCTCGGTAGGTCGAAGTTTTCCAGATCTATGACCCTTCTAACCAGATATAGGAGCTGTCGGTTTTCAACGTCGACTTTCCCATGGATACCAACAATTTGAAATTCCGTGCTGTCCAATGGATCTGCACCGAAGTGTTTTTGGGCTTAGCGGCATGGATGAACTTTGCCTCCCGTACGTTGCATATGACTCTCGTCCAACTCGACTGACAACTTCCCAGCTCGAGTATTCCGATGGATTTTCTGGCTTTCCAACGGCGCCGTGTTCTTGGATTTCATCCTCAATCTTATATGGCTACCATTTGGTGCTAGCGACACCTATGGACTGCGGACTGCACATGAAGCAGTCATGACCACTTACAACGGGACTGGAGTGCCGGATGGCTGGAACTGGTGCCTGTCATATCTGGCAACCGCAGGGATTCTCATTGGATTTGATGCATCTGGCCACGTCGCCGAAGAAACCAAGAGCGCCACCATCAATGCGGCCAAAGGAATATTCTGGAGTACAGTGGTTAGCGGTGTCTTTGGCTTCGCGGCCGTCATCCTGTTTCTTTTCACCTCGGTGAGTTGGCAGTATGTCTCGACACAAGCAAAGAGTCGAACTGATTCAAAGTCAGCCACCCATTGATGTGCTATTCTCGTACGATGCTCCGCAGCCATTCGTGCCCCTCTATGCTGTTGTTCTTGGCCGCGGCGGACATATCGTTATGAATGTTCTATCAGTTGTGGCTGGTAAGCATCATGCGCATTAATCTGCTATCACCCATCTAACGCGACAGAACACCGCCATCGCAATCACCGCCGCCTCGCGCCTCGTCTTTGCCGTCTACCGAGACGGAGTCCTCACACTTTCCCATTGGGTGTCCCGGGTGTCCGAAACAGGACAGCCTCGCAATGCAGTCATCGTGGTTTGGGTCGTATCTGCAGTCATCAGCTGCACCATACTTCCTTCTAGTGTCGCTTTCACCTCCCTCGTCTCCGCTGCCGGCGTCCCCTCCGCTGCTGCCTACGGTCTGATCTGCCTGGGTAGACTGACTCTGACGCGCAATGAGAAGCTGGATGCCAAATGGTCTCTTGGACAGTGGAGTAAGCCATTCCAATTTGTGGCGCTTGTTTGGAACGCCTGGGTTGTGGCGGTGCTCCTTTCACCGTACGAGTTTCCGGTGACGGCGGGGACACTGAATTGTAAGTTCCACTGATACGGCTAGTCTGGGACGTGATGTAATAGTGCTGACTATGCTAGATGCTCCTATAATCATGGCCATTGTGACAACATTTACATTGGCCTCTTGGTTCGTGACCCCAGCTGATGCCTGGTTGCGGCAGGGGTTCACACATGCGGATGAATAAGTTTCGAATTGGTGAAAAATCTGCCGTGAAAACAGAGCCATACTAAAATGGAATCTAGTCAGCATTCATCTGGCAAGGGCGATACAAGTCGTTCAATCGAAACTGCGCAAACCACTGAACGAAACCCGCCAGAGATGAAATTCAATAAAACGTCACCTAACTTGCTTCACAGCATGTCTTCCGACACGATGGTGATAGGCAGATAAGTTTGAAATCTTCAATTGGTCTATTGTAGGGTCGACTGCCACTCAGCACCAGCGCAGCTCTCCGTGTCAGATGTTAGCGATCCCAACATATCCGACTACTGAAATGGTTCGTCCTATTTGCGGAGGATTAGGCACCTCATTACCCACAGCGCCATATCAGTCCCGACCCACATAGGAGTTGACGTAGATTAGAGGGAATTCCGGTATCTAACCGAGCACTGCGCGCAATATCCCGTGAGGGGTAGCGCGTAGGGCTGATGTCAGGGACAACGAGTATGGCGAGATAAGGATACTCGCGGAGAGACCGGATCAACTCGCAGTTGCATACCAAGCTTTCTCGTGCCTGGGGGGATGGAATGATGCTCCACCGGTGAGAGTGGGTTCATCTAGTGGGCCTCTCATGTGGGCATTCTATTGCTTGGTATTAGTCCCTCCGTATTGTCCCGGGGTGAGCCTTTACCACTGGTTACTCAGAGCTGATATGCCAGATAGACAAACAGCAACATATGTTACTTTCGAGGGGATGATGATTTGAGGGAAAGACAAACACGGTCATGTGATCACACAAAAGAACGAGGGTCGGAAGCCTTCTCCTCATTTCTCCCGCCCATCCGCAAAGAACTTCGTACGACGTGGGTTACTCCAAGTTACAGCAATCATTCTATCCGGCTAATGGCATCAGCAGGCACCAGCTTTTGAGACCGCACAGACATTCCACGATTGTATCCTTCCCCTACAGCCCCACCCAACAAGCCTAGTTGCCACGGCACTAATGCCATCGAGTTGCCATGTTCGGTCAAACTTGCTTGGTCCAATTTATGGCAAAAGAGGGGCCGAAAGCGACAGTCATGACAGGCCAATTCCCAAGGATGGGTCGGCTACACGCCACGCTAGAAAGCTTGTCACGATCGGGTGATGGCAGCGGTTGATGGAATTTGCAACCCAATGGTGCGAGGCCTTGCACTTAGTCGTACGATCCTGACTATACCTGTGTATTGGCAGCTCTTTGATATTAAACAACTGAGCACAGCGCTGGTATTGCCAGATATCACCAGTGAAGCAAGGCAGAGACATCCCGACCCACGTGTAGGTCGCATTCGGCGATACAACCCTTGCAGGCCGTGGCAAAGCGAATGACAATGTGCCTATCTCAGTAGGTACGTATCTGACTAAATTTGGCCGGCGGGCATCGGAGGAGCGGTGATCGGATGCGTCGTACCGAGCACAATACTCGCTTTGTCACGGTATGTGGGATGCACGGTTTGAGGCGTCCCATCAGCGTTCAGGCCATGATTGAATGAGGTATGCAATGCATAAGTGGCGTTGTACTCAACCCCGGGTTGACTGTTCGGAGATGCGTTGGAGCTCCGGTCCAGTTTGGATACCATCCGCCCGATAACATCCAGAACCAGCCACTTACATGGTCCAGATTGGAAATAATAATGGGTACACTATAACCCTCTCCGTGATAAGATACCCGATGGTGTATACACCCCACGGATGATTGGCTCTCCAAATCATCCTGTGTCGTATCTCCGCAAATGGTTATCAGTCTCCTCGAGCGAGTTCGTCAATCGGCCACGTGTGGGACCGCCAATAATATTATCCCCAATCTCATCCGGCTTGTGCACCAGACCTGTTTGGCAATGGCTAGATTGTTCGATAGCAGGAATCGCCTTATCTCGTTTAATCGACTCCATGTCTGATTCTCAATGCTGGATTATCTTGGGTGCACTCAGCACGTTGTCTGTACTCAATTGTTGCTGTCTCTCGCAACGCGATCATGCTATCTGATGGCGAGCTAGACGCTGACTTTGATTCATCAATCTGACAGCAATCCTCATGATAAGCCATCAAGCAACGCAGAGGGCAATTAATCGGCGGCAGGACAAAGCGGGGAACTGCATGCAGCCATTGGGCGGAGTCCAGCCGGTCGCCTCCACAGGTCCGACAGGCTTGACTCTGGGGACTATCAATGTGATTGTTATCACCTGCTATTCGGACTAAGAGGCCCCTCACCGGCATCCCGGCTTCTACTCGTGGTCCACCAGATAACAGGAAGAGGTTTAAGTGCCGCGCACGAACACCCCGGACGACCTATATAAGAAGGCAGTATCTCGACATCCGAGAATGCGTCCTAGTATCCACCATCATGGCGGACGAAGTCACCGACAGTCCTCCCTCCACTCCGGTGGAGGTGAACGAGAAGAAACCTGATCTGCATGTTCAGGAAAAGGCAGACATTCAAGATGTCGAGGTCGCCCCAGGCTTTGTGGCCGAGGCAGACTTTGAGGGACATTACAAGGATGTTCCTATTGGAGAGGGCATCGTCCCTGATGATAACGACGAGTTCATTGATCCTCGTCTCAAGGACTACCCTATACCTTTGGTGGCCAAGACGGTAGATCTGCGCAATGACCCAACGTGAGTTGCCCCACCTTGTGACTGCTCGCCGCTGACTGCTCGCAGCGAGCCCATCTTAACTTTCCGATTTTGGACCTTGTCGACGTTCTGGGTCCTTGTCGGTTGCGCCCTTTCTACCTTTTACTACTTCAAACCATACTATAACACCATCACGAGTTATGCCGTCCAATTGCTGTCTTGGGGGATGGGTGATGCTATGGCCAAGTACCTACCCAAGAGGCAATTCAGCTTTTTCGGATGGAAGTGGACCATGAACCCAGGGCCGTGGAATGCAAAGGAGCATGCACTCATTGTTGTAGCCTACTGGGGTAGTGTGAGTGACATCTGTGGCATACTGAGGCTCGCTAATCGTCATGCAGTGTTATACAGCCTATGGAATGGGTCCCTTGTCCGCTATCGAACTGTACTATGGTGAGAAGCTCAACGCTGGGTGGTCCATGTTCTTCCTGCTCGCCTCTCAGATGATCGGATATGGCTTCGCGGGATTATTCCGTGACATTCTCGTCCGGCCGCCCCAGATGTACTATCCTGGGGTGTTGCCCAACGTGTCACTGTTCAATGCCATGCACAAGAACCCCTCGGTGACCAAGAAAGCCCTCAAATACTTTGCCATTGTGGCTTCTGTCACATTTGTGTATGAGTGGCTCCCGGAGCTGATCTTCCCTTTGTTGAGCTCACTCCCTCTGATCTGTTGGTTTGGTCACGGCAACTGGAAGGCGTTTGTCCTGGGCTCGGGAACCTACGGATTTGTTAGTACCCACTATCATATTATGGTCTCGGCTAACATCACGACAGGGCATACTGGATCTCTCGCTCGATTGGAACTATATCACCTTCTTGTCTCCATACTATACCCCACTTTGGTCTAGTCTCAACCAGGGCATCTTCGCCATGTTCTGTTGTTGGGTACTCTATCCGCTCATCTACTTTACCAATACGATGAACGCGCAAAACTTCGCCCCCATGGATACCGGGACATATACCGCCAATGGCAGCACCTATGATGTGACTGCCATTGTCGGCTCCAATATGGAGCTAAATCGCACGGCGCTTGCGGAGTACGGAGCTCCTTACTGGGCTCCATCCTATGTGTTCTACTGGTTCTGGACTTTTGCTGCCCTGACAGCTTCCATGGCTTATGCAATCCTCTGGTACGGCAAGTCGGGCTGGAGAGATCTCAAGGCCGCTTGGCAGAACAAACGCAGCGACTACGATGATCCATACCTCAAGATGATGTCCTTCCAGAAGCGAGTGCCTCACTGGTGGTATCTCACGCTGCTTGTGATTTGCGCCGTGATTGCAATCGCTCAAGGATACGAAGGGAACATGAAGCTCTCCTGGTGGGGATTCGTCGTGATCTGTCTCTTTTCATTTGTCTTTACCTGGCCCAATGGCATTCTCTGGGCTGTGGCCAACATTCAGGTCGGCATGGGTTCGTTCAGTGATCTGCTAGCGGGTGCCATGTTTCCTGGCAAGCCTACTGCCGTGCTGTCCGCGTATACCTACGGCTACTGTGTGTTGGAGCAGAACCTCAACCTCATCTCGGACTACAAGTTCGGGTTTTACATGAAGATCCCTGAGCGCGAGATGTTCTGGGGGCAGGTCTGGGGCACCGTGCTCGGGCCATTCATCAACTACGGCTTCATGCAACTAATTATTGATCGAGAGCGACCGTTCTTGATTGGACAGCGGAGCTCGGAGGCGTGGGACGCAGTTCAGACGCGTGTCTACTACTCCAACTCCATCATCTGGGGCATTCTAGGACCCAAGGAATTCTTCGTTGACCGCTACCCTTGGGTGTATTACTCCTTCGTGGTGGGTGCTGGGACTGTGATTGTGACCTGGCTGGTGCAAAAGTGGAAGCCCAAGTGGGATTTGGAACGCTGGTTCAACCCGACTCTGCTCTTCTACGGAGGCTACTTGTTTCCGTACTACCCCACCACGAACTTCTTCATGTCTTTCCTGGCGTGTATCTTGTTCATGGGAATCCTGCCTCGGTACTTTCCCGTGTGGTGGAGAAAGTACAACTACCTGACGGGTGTTGGTCTGGATTGCGGAACGCAGCTGATGACTTTGGTACGTTTCTCTACTATTTGGCTTTCGCTTGCTAACAATATAGGTTTGTATCTTTGTGGTCAACCTCCCTAACCTGTCGTTTCCCGCGTGGTGGGGCAATTATCCGGATGTTACCGACCGGTGTTTTCCTCCATCCGACCTGCCTGCGAATGCATTGAACTGATGCGTGGTATACGAGTCTGCTGATGAATTATATTGATTACTGATTGCATGCCATGGTGATTGCTTTCTATGCTGTCCGTTCCAGCCTTGTACATACATGTAGGTGTACATACTTGCTCTTAACACTGTACATAGCAATGAATTCTGAATTCCAGTTGACTCGCCTGGCCAGAGTTGAAGTAATATCCTGGTTGCTGCAAACAGTGACGTCGATGGCTGGTCACATACAAATAGCCTTTACTGCAGCACAACCGGATTCCGCCATGCTTTCCACTCAGTTTAAACCTAGATGCTGAACCAGCAACAGCTTTCACACCTTCAATCGCAGAGACTAAATAGAAGAACAGTAGTCTATTCCCAGTCAAACGTAAAATTAACCTGCAGACCATCCCAAAACCAAGCCACACCCACCCACATACCACCACCCTAACCACCCATGACGCAGTATACTCCATAAAACCCATCCACACTCAAAACACCAACGTATCCCACCACCACCAGCAACAACCCACCAAAATCCACACTCCACCATGCAAATCGCCCTCTTCGGCCCAACCGGCCAAGTCGGGCAATCCATCCTACACGCCCTCCTAAGCACGACCCCCTACCAGATCCTTCAAATCACATCCCCAAGATCCAACACCAGTGCACTCTCCACCGCGCAAACCCTCCCCCTAGAGCAACAATCCCGTCTGAACACCAAATCCATCGACCTCGTCACCTGCACCACCGACGCCCTAATCCCCCTCCTCACGGACATCGAAATCATCATCAGCGCACTCAACGGCCCGGCACTCCACTCACAATCGAAAATCCAAGACGCGGGGGCGATTACAGGCGTGAGGCGCTTTTATCCGAGTGAATATGGGATGCATCATGTTTATCAACCTGCGGAGCAGGGGGATGGGAAGGGATGTGGGTGGGGATATATCCATCCGGTATGCAATATCCATCCATGCCCAGTATATATAAATAAAACAAACCAACCCAACTAACAAAAGCCCAGACATGGATGGAAAAAATCACCGCAACGGAGAAATGTCTCCACCATCCAGCTATCACCTCCGGCTCCATGACCTACACGATCATCGGCAGCGGCGACCTCTACAACCAAGCCAAAGAGGAAACATGGTGTCCTTGGACCAACCCCACCCTCCCCTCCTACACCATCTACATAATCGGCGACCCCTCTGCAAAGATCAACTTCACCCACACCGACGACCTCGCCGCCTTCCTCATCCAAACAATCCAGCACCCCGAAGTGTCCGAAAACAAGGAATTGAATTTCGTGAGTGATACGGTCTCGTATAATGATATTGCGGCGTTATTGGAGAAGTATTCGGGCAGGGAGGTACAGAAGGTGGTGTATCCGGGGAGTTTGGTGGATGAGGTGTTGAGGGATAGGGGGATGGTGCCGAGGGAGGTGAAAGCGGAGGGGGGTGCCTTTGGGGATGATTTTTGGGTTTTGGTGCGGGGGGTGCAGGGGTTGGGGAGGTTTGTGAGGCCGAGGGGGATGGTGCATAATGGGTTGTTTCCTGTGGTGGAGGGGGTGAGGACTGTGGAGGGGTATTTTGGGGGGTTGTTTGGGAAGTAACTTTCGGAGATTATGGGGTATGATGTATATGGTGAGGGGGGTATGGATAAGGGTTGTGGGTTTATTGTGAGATGGATAAGGGTGCGATTATTAATCCCACCAGATGTTGATTTGCATGTTCAGCTCGGAGGGTAGGTGAGTTAAATACTATGAGTATCCAGCATGTATGATCTCAGATCAAATCATGATTCAATCCTGCATTCAACCCCAAAAAGGTAAAGTGAAAATTGCCGTATCATCATATCTGATCTTCGATGCCCTTATCTCCAACACCATCTAGATTCTCAACAACCCACAAACCACATAGCCTTCCTCAGCAAAAGTAACAACACAGCATTAATTTACTATCTACTCGTTCATTCTTCATTTCTTTTCACCCATATACTAATTGAAACCCCACCCCCAGGAAGCTTCTCACCTACCCCGACACCCTCCCACTATCCTCCCCCTAGCATTCTGATTCTGATTCCGATTCTGCTCCCCCATCTCATACTCCACCACCACCTGATCCGTCCGATGAATCTCCCACATCGTCCGATTCTTCGCATCCGGGATCATCTCCTCTTGACTATCCATCCTCGACGGAAAAGAAACAGGCTGTGTTGATCGTCCGCCCGTTCGTTTCGAGGGCCCGGTTCCTCCTCCTTCGTAGGTGGGATAGGACCGCGGAGTGCCGTAGGAGCGCTTTCCAAGGAGGAATTCGAGGAGGGGTTGCAGGGTGGGGATGCAGGAGGCGAGGACGACGAGGTCGGCTTCGATGCTGGGATTTGTTAGGTTTGGGGTGGATGGGATGGGATGGGATGAATGGACGTACTTTGTCCAGAGGACGAGGGACCATCCTGCATCTGTGGTGGAGTTAGTATATTTTTGGGTGGATGGAAGGGGGGGTACATACAGGTTGCGTCGGTGACGTTGGCGAGGGCGTTGAGATGCGTGGTTTTGATGATGGCCGCGCAGGCGGAACTGGATTTCATTGTGGTTAGAGATGAGGGGGGAAAGGAATTATGTATGACGAACATGGCTCCTAGACCTAATGCTGCGGACAAGGCTAGCTTCTTGCGCAGAGACATCTGCAACTTCCACAGAATCACACTGGGGTAGATGGCGAGGCTGAGATCGGTAAATGCGGATAGGGCTATTCCGGTCAATTTTAAGCAAGCATACACAGAAAACGACCTACCTCCATTGAACGTCGCAAAACCAATAATCACATTGGAACTACGACACGTTGCCCCCGCCACAGTCATCCACAGAGCGCGCGGGGGATCGCACGAGGTAAAGAAGAGCAGGATGTTGACTACCGCAACGGCCATGACCAGTCCGGTGAGTCCCCAAAGTGCACACTTCATGCGGATTCCTGGGATCAAAATGCGGTGGAGCAAGGCAGCCACGCCCAGTTTCGGGAATGCAAACGAGAGAATGCCGAAAATCCAGCCAATGTCGATGGTGAGGTTGGCTTTCTCTGTGGCAGCCGGTCCGATCGTAGACGAGTGTTGGCCGAATCCATGATGAACAGCGACTGTCGCGGTGATCACGTTGGCTAATCCTAGAATCTGGCCGAGTCGGTATGTTGGTGGCTGGTATACATCCAGGAGACTCACCATGGAGAAACCAATGAGCCAATCGTCCAGCCCCACGGCGTGGATGATCTTGGTTCGGATGAACAGGCGGGCGAGCACCATGACCATCGCGAGGCCCGTTAGGGTCCACATCACGGCCAGAAGAACTGGACCTTTGTTTTCTTCATCATATGCAGTGGTGCCTGCCATGGTTGGATGGCCAGCCTACGAACGTGGCCTTAACATCCAGCATAGGGAATGGGTTGGGAGGAAGACAGCGCGAGGGTCGATTTTTACGTGCCTTGGGCTGTCAATTACCTAAAGACTGTCAGCCTCACATCCCCTGGCCAGCATCCCTGTCAATTCCGACCCCAGGAAGGACTCGGCTGGTCCAAATTTGGGTGCCTAGCAATCTCGTTGGCCCGTTCATTTAATATCGTGGGGGGGGGTGGATTAGTTTGCGCGCCGCGTGTGCCCTAATTCAGACCAGTCAGCACTATCCGCCACTAATCATGCACGGCAACATAAGCACAAAGACAGTCGGTGGTCTTCCCTGTTGTTCCTGCAGTCGGAGCCTTACCGTTGCACGTGCATTGCATTGTCTTCGTATTCTCCAGCAAGAAGATCTTCATAGCATCGTGGTGAGTATCGAGATCGTGCTGCGGCCCCGACTCCCTCCCGAGGCCCTCCCGTGAGTCAATTAATGACCGACTCCACTCCGGCAACCGGAAAGTGGACCAGCAGCAGACTTAGTGGGGCGATGGCTTCGAAATACACGATTCGTCCAATCGGGGATGCTGACATGGCTTGTTGTCATTTTGGTAGATTGTTAGTCTCCGACAGACTGCATGGTACGATGCCGCAGTCCCTCCAAGGCTCGAACGGTCGAACTATCTTTGATTGGGTTGTCCCTGACAGACTACTTATTCCATCCCTGACCACTGTCACCATCCCACTGACCAGATCCTCTCACCTCTTTGCTTCCTCAGTTACAATGGTCGAACTCAACGGAACATCTGCACCTGCCTCTGATTCCCGCACAGGGGATCATGTCGATCAGATCGCCATCTCCCCCACAGCCCCTGACCAAGTGGCCAATCTTGCACAGACCATTGCCTCGTTGGCCAAGTCCTTTACTGCCGGTGATTCCGGAGTTCGACAGAAGCTGCTCGAAGCTGCCGATTCCCTGCTTTCTGCCCTGGAGACTCCTCGCGAGACAATTCTCCGCTATTGCTGGCGCAACGTAGGTCACTTCCTCCGTCTCTCTGACCAAATCTCACTGGATTCAGCCTACTGGCTTCGCGGCCATCGAAAGCGGAATCAACCTGGGCATCTTCCGCTACCTCTCCAGCCATGAGCGCCCCATTCCCATCCCCGAGCTGGCCACCGCCACCGGGGCAGACACCGTCCTCCTCCGTAAGCCCTATACCTTCATCCAACACCATCACTCAACCTGACAAAACTCACACAGAACGAATCATGAAAAACCTCAATGCCGTCCACGCCGTGACCGAAACCGACCGAGACGAATACATCAGTAACAACTTCACACGCACCGTTGCCAACACCCGCTACGCCGATGCCTTTCCCACAATGTATCCCCCCCTCCTACATCATCAAGATAACATCCATCTAACTCCTCCAAGAACAGGAACCACCTCCCCCGCCATCACCGCCATCCCCGAATTCCTCCGCAAAACCCAATACCAAAACCCCACCAACGGACTCGTCTGTCCCTTCCAACAGGGCTTCCGCACTGAGTTCTCCTTCTTTGACTTCTTATCCCGGGATTCTACCCTCAGCGCCCAATTCAACAACCTCATGTCCGTTTACCACCAAGGCCGCGCCAGCTGGATGGACCAGGGCTTCTACCCCGTGGAGCGCCTCCTCACTCCCACTCCCATCACCTCCACTCCCGACAGCAATATCCTCCTCGTCGACGTCGGCGGCGGCAAAGGTCACGATCTGAACGAGTTCCGCATCAAATGGCCCGCCGCTACCGGCCGCTTAATCCTGCAAGACCAGCCCGCCGTACTGGCCGAAGCCACGGGCCTGCACGAGTCCATTGAACGCATGCCACATGATTTCTTCACGGAACAGCCGTGCAAGGGTGCGTGAACCCCCATTCACTCCACCGCCCCCTCTAATTTTTGTAATTTATAGGATCCCGCGCCTACTTCCTCCACTCCGTCCTCCACGACTGGCCCGACGACAAATGTCTGAAGATCCTGGCCCCGTTACGCGCGGCCATGACACCGGGCTATAGTCGACTGCTAATCAACGAGAACGTCATTCCTGATCGTGGAGCCCATTGGCAAGCTACTGGGTTGGATTGGGTCATGATGGCGGATTTTGCGGGCGCGGAGAGGACGGAGGCGCAGTGGAGGGGGTTGTTGGGGAGAGCGGGATTCAGGATTTTGAAGATTTGGGTGGGGGATGCGTGGTCGGAGAGTTTGATTGAGTGTGAGGTGGAGGTGTAGGTTGGGTATCTGGCTGTTGTTTCTGTTGGGGTTGATGTTTAGATAGAGAATGGATTAATGAGATGGATCTATGGATGGTTTGGGGTTGACTATACTGGGGGGATTTGATTGGGTAGTATATGAGGGCTTGGTGGGGTTTGAGTGGTGTATATATCTTAATAGCCTTTCAACATTCTATTATTATTACATTTTATATTTTCATTGTGATTGCGTGACTGGATTAGGAATATCTTTTGCTTGATATCTCGGAGTGAGTAAATATGATACATTTGATAATCAGGTATCTTTAATTATTCAGTTTATTATGTTCGTCTTCTTCTCCTTGTACTTGGTATTTTTATTGGGGGTCAGATAATCCCACCAAGATATTTCACATCTATTGTCAAATAACTTGAAGCCTCCCATGTGAATGTACTCATTGGGGATTCCCCAAGATAGTTCCAGGAGTGTGCGGGAAAAGGAATCACACATACCCCCTTGTGTGATAAGAACCATCACAGGATCACAACACGTGGATATTGACATTTGACAGGGACCAGACAAACGCCTCAGGCTCCACCTTCGGCCCTACTCCAGCTTAGTTGTATCTGGTTATATTAAGTGGTAAGATTACATGCTGACTGTACCAGTACTACGAGGCCGTCAGACCAAGCTTTGCCAAGTATGGACATGCTAAAGGATCAAATCCTGGACTCGCTAGCCCTGGGAGAACCCGGAAATTGATAGGGTGGTCTGAGAGGAGGGAGAAAAGAAAAGAAAAAAAAAAAAAAAAAAAAAAAAAAAACAAAGGGGACGCTAGTTTCATGGCTGTGTACCCCGACAAGGCTGAGGTGCTTATGGTTAACAGATTGTTCAAGAATAAATAAACCTTGTTAATGTTAATTAGTGGCCACCTCCCTCGCAACCATGAGGAACAACCAAGTTTCCTGCCATGTCGACCTCGTATGCCGCCCAGAGTAACCTGCCCACCATTCTCGGGGTCCTGACTACCTTCTTCTTCCTGGCCATCATCGTCGTCGGTCTGCGAGTCTATAGCCGCCTTCGTATCGCACGAGCTGCCGGTATTGATGATCTTCTCATTGTGATTGCAGCGGTACGGGGATGAATGTCAAAGCTCATGTCTCACACTGACTCCTTTAGCTCTGTCAGTTGGGACAATGGATCGTCATTCTCATCCAAGCTCACCACGGACTCGGCCGGCACCAGGACACCCTCTCCGCGACCGAGCTGACCATTTTTAACCATGCCAGTTTCTGGGGAAATGTCATCGGGATTGCCATCGGCACCATGTTCCTGAAGCTCTCCATCGCGGTGAACCTGCTCCGTGTGTGTCAGAACCGCTGGTTCACGGTGGTGTTGTGGATTTTGATCGGTAGGATTTCTGTCTCCGGCTGCGTGGAGGTTATTAACTTCTGGCCTGCAGTCATTGTGATTCTCTACGAGCTGGTCGGCACACTTTTCTTCTTCCTCAACTGTCGCCCCATGGCCGGATCATGGGATCTGACCATCGATGCCAAATGCGCATCTACCAGAGTCATCGTTATCTTTGGGCTTATCAACACGAGTGAGTTCGCATCAGAGTGTTTTGGCTCTATCTGACCCACTAGGCTTCAATATTGTCACTGACGTGGCCCTTGCCATCCTCCCGATTCCTATTATCTGGCGTCTGAATATGAAGCGCTCCGTGCGTATCTACCTGGTCGGCGTTCTCAGTCTGGGGTACCTGTAGGAACCTCCCATGCCCTGAGTTGAGACCGGGCTGAATGTTGATACAGTGCGGTTGCGATGGACATTGTTAAATCTTATTATCAAGAAACATACACGGTGACCACGGACGAAACTTAGTAGGTGCACGTCCTTATTCATCGGTGCATTATGTTCTGAACTAATTACGTGGCTGCTTCATTCATAAAGCACGTTCAGCTTAATTTTCTATGGATTGTATGCCACCAACACTATTGCATGGACTTCTATCTAACCCTACACTTATTCCAGTCTGGAAGATTGCGTTGGAATAATTGCCGCTTCGGTCCCCATGCTCAGGCCACTGGTTGGCAAGGCCCTCGGGCTTGGATCAACAGACACCTACTATCCATATGGCAGCACTCCTAACGGTGCATTGGGCAGGAGTAATGGGTCGCACGCTGCCGGGCGTTTCTCGGCGATACGGAGAAGTGTCATCGGTCGGGTCGGACCCAGCCGCGACATATACGAGCTGGACGAGCGCGAGACAGACAGTGAAGGGGGCACAAGCGTGAGAACCAGCCAATTCAAAACGGACGACACTACCGGACATGGTATTTCGGTGTACCGGCACGAGGCGGAAAGCGAGGAAAACATCCTCTCAGATCCTTCGCTTGGTTCCAGGACCACGGTGACCCACAGCCGGGCTCGATTCCATCGTGCTTCGATAGGAGGAATTACTAGGACTACGGAGGTTATGGTGGAATAAGGCCAAACCTATAGTACAGTGGGTCGGGATGGCCTATTAGGACCATGACTTGATCCTTGTTCTAGAGGTATCAGCAAGTAGGAAAACCAATCTAATTTAGAGCTTGCGATATTCACTACGAAGCTGATTGGGTGGGTGGACTTTAGTATACATCTGTTATAGGGCCGGCTTTGCAAGTGCTTACAGCCGGCCAAATTACCGACCCGCCATTTCAGGGGCAGAAACTCCCGAGAACATGCCATTGGTTCGGCACCAACCAAGCGAGCCCTAGAAGCAGGTCATAAAGAGGCCGCTGCAGTAGTCCTCGTGGCAGACTGGACGCTCTTCAAAATTTTCATCATGTCTTCCAAATCTCTCTTCACAGCGGCCGTCACGGTTGGAATAAGCTGCGTTGCAGCAGCGGCCTCCAACTCGACCTCATTTAGGGCCCGATTCCCCGAGGCAGCAGTCCAAACAGTCGACGTGGTTGTCGTGGGTGGTGGCGCATCGGGGGCGAACGCAGCGGTCCATTTCAAGGATGCTGGCCTTTCTCTCGTGCTCGTCGAAAAACAGGACCGACTTGTATGTGCTTTCCAATCTCTGCGACTTTCTCCAATCTGACCACGCACAGGGTGGAATGGTTAACAGCTGGACCGATCCTACAACAGGGACTAATTATGATTGTATGTGCTTTACCTATTGCGAAAGATATCCATGCCAACGCATAATCAGACGGAGTGGCAACATACACCAACGTCACCGGCACAGTCGAATTCTTCAACCGCCTGGGCGTCGATATTGTTGAGCCAGACGAGGACAGTGCATTTACCTCCTACTATGCGGACTTTGCCACGGGGGAAACCGTGGATTACGTTGCTCCTAGCGTCACAGACGAGCTTCTCGCCTTAGAGAGATTCTACAACGTATCCAGTCTGTACCAGGACCTGTTCCTTCCTTCATACGCCAATTGGCCCGCACCCGATGATATCCCGGAAGACTTGTTGATGCCGTTTCGTGATTTCGCCATCAAATACAACCTGAACGATACCATGCTAGTAAGCATTCAGCAACCTGCCCCTGGCCTTTCCGATAAGGCTTAACATGACCGTCCTAACTGCCATCTCTAGCTCATATGGGCCGGCATCGGCGCCGGCCTAGCCGACATGCTCGACGCACCAACCCTATACCTACTGCAAACATTCGGCCCTCAAACCGCCGCCGTCTTTCTAGGCACCGACGTGCAATACGTGCCCGCATCCGGCCGCAACCAAGACATCTACGACGCAGCCGTCCACATCCTCGACGACTCAGTCCTCCTGAACAGCATGGTCATCGAATCGGTCCGTCTTCCAGGAAACCTCGGTGTCGAACTCCTCATCCAAAACAAACTCCACGGAACCTACACCATCATCCTCGCCAAACGCCTAGTAATGGCCATTGAACCCACTCCATCCAACATGGCCCCCTTCTCCCTCGACGACACCGAATCCTCCATCTTCAATCAAGCCACATGGAGCGTCGTCCACACTGGAATCGTCTCCCATCCTTCTCTCCCAGTCAACGGCCTCGTTTACAATCTCCCCAGCACAGCAGTAAACGGGAACGACTTCGCGTACCCTGAGCCTCCGTTCGTGGATTACTTCGAGGTGAGCCACCCCTCCCCCCTACCCCCCTCCCTGACCCTGAAACCTAACACAATGCTATTTAATAAATAGTACCTAGGAAACAACCTCTGGCAAGTCATCGTCGTCGGATGGTTGGGATTTACCGAATCCGCGGCCCAGGAATTGGCCAACGAGGCACTCCAAGCCCTTGCCGCGGCTGGAACGATCCCAGCTACTAATGGCACGAACCTGACGATCAAGGCTTGGTCGAACCACGGGGCTATGGATATGCGTACGACGGCTGAGAATCTTAAAAAGGGGTATATTCAGAATCAGTATGCTCTGCAGGGCTATCGGTCGACGTATTGGACCGGTGGGGCGTTTTCGAATCAGTTGTCGACGTATCTTTGGTGGTTTAATTTGGAGTACTTGGTTCCGCTTGTTAGGGGGAGTTTCGATTGAGGATTTGGGGTTCGAATGTTTCGGATGTATAGTCAGAAGATATTTGTTGGTAGAAAGGGTTAGACTCAGTCTACCGTGTGAACTGTGAACTATGACATAAGGCTGCTTTCAATGTGAGATATAGTTTATTATTGTGGAGTGTATGCCAAGAAGTACGGGGCAATGGCGCATCTGGGAGCGCGTCAGACTGAAGATCTGGAGGTGGCCGGTTCAAGCCCGGCTTGCCCCATTCTTTTTGCTTTTTTGTTTTTTTCTCTTGATGTTAGTGAGACGATGAATATTTGTATTTGTGATACTAGGTAGGGGTTACTAGTTTTTTGTGGAACTGGTATTTCCATATAGTAGTGTATAAGCTCGCAAGGACGGGAGGGCATTGCCCGATGGCCACTATAGTCCGCTGCCATATCATTAGCTTTCTCTCCTACACTATAACAAATGTATTTATACTTATATAAATTCCAACCAGATCCCTTTATACCCCTAAATTTCTATCCCTCCCCCCCCCCCCAAGGAAACTATTTCACCTCCGCAACCCCCCCCAACGCATCATATAACCTCCCCCAAACCCCCCCTGCCACCCCCTCACCACCTCCCACTCCCCCCCCGGCAAAGCAACAGCGAACATCCTCAACCACCCCCCGACAATAAAATCCGCATAACTCATCCTTCCCCCCAACACAAACGGCCCAGAGGCATCCCTCCCAAACAACCCCGCCAAATCCCCCAACGTCTCCTCCAACGAACGCAGTACCTTCTCCCTCGCCTCCCCTCGCACCACAAGATCCTCAAATGAACTCACCCCCGCCCGCCTTACAAACTCCCTCTTCGTCTCCTCCTCCGTCGCCGGATCAAGCGGCATCCCCTGCACCGCTAACACCACATGCGCCGTGAACACCGCGTCAACATTCCTATTAAACCGCGCATATTCTTCATATTCGCCCGCACTCTGCTCCGAGAGTGGTATCAGCTGTGCGAATTCCTGCCTGGGGACGAAATCGAGTGTTTGCGGGGGGAAGAGGTCCCCTGTGCCGGACGTCGGGTAGGTGGTTTGTAAGTAGGTGGCTATGTCGAATGAGTCGCCGATTTTGGTGTCTGTGTTGGGGTCGGTGAGGATGGGGAGGGTGTGGAAGTCGGTGCCGTCGGCGAATTTGCGACAGGCAGGGAGGTCGAGGTTGCGGCGGACTTTGGGGATGGCTGGGAGGGGAACCCAGGTTGTGGTGTAGGGGAGGGATTTGAAGTTTAGGGCCATGCGGGATTTCCACGGGTTGGGACTGCAGCATGTTTTTGAGACGGGGGGGCGCATGGCGATGTCGTAGTAGGTTAGGGGGATTGTTGGGGTTGACATTTTGGATGAGGGGAATTGGATGGGGGATGTGGTTTTGGTGGCCAGGGTGTGTGGGTTGAGGTAGATGGGGGTGGTGTTTTCGGTAGACGGGTTGTGGTTTGAAGTAGGTGAAGTATGGATAATAATGTAATGGAGGTAGTGATAGTCAAGACATATATACCCAAAGCCAAAGTAACATCACGTGAGCGGAGACCATAAGAGTGGGGATTTGATCGGTTCGGTTCCTTCCGAGCGCAGTGCCAAGACTGCAGCCCCGCCACTTGCAGCTGGAATGAGTCAAGTCGCTGACTCCTGAGGCTGAGCTTTGGCGAAGCCCCACCCTGTTGATTCGTTGAAGCTGAATCGCTGGGCTGGATCGTGTTGTATGTGGGGTTGACTAGTCTCGGAGAGGGTTAGATCGGCTCGACTCTTAATGACTCATGTCGACTCATTAAGATGCCCCTACCCTTTTTAGGGAGAAAAGGGGTATACACTTTACTTTGACATGACCAGTTAGTTGGTATTCAGGAAGAATTCATCGGACAATTACTCGGCTATTTCTACTATCTATAATATGTTCATGATAGTATTACTCTCTACATACTTTAACTTCTCTTCATCGCTACAATCGTATAATCATAACATTGATGACGATGGATAAACCTTTAGTTGTGAAAGGTCTTCTCTCTACTATACATTTCTCTAGATCTTATATACAATGACCTCGGCAAACTTCTATGATAATACTACCAGTCTATTCCAAGTAAACGGAAAGAATACTCAAACTAACTGCTACATAAGACTAAGATTTCCAATCAGAATCTGTAGTTATAAAAGGATTTAACACAACAAAAAGGCACAACACCGATTCAACAACGCTTAAAATAACCACAACATACAGCTTTGACACCTCCACCAGTCGAGATGAGCTATCTCAATCCTCTGTCCTCTGTGTCGTCAAAACCGATCATCGTCGCTGATCCATCATCCGCAATCAGAGCCACCTGGTTATGTTGGGCGATTGAGGGGTCCCCACAATGCAAGTTAGTGTTTGTTGTATCTGGAGGCATCATAATAAGTTCTCTACCGCGCTCCAAAATCCATTTTATGTCTTTATTGAGACATATTCCATCTCCCGTGGGTCCCATCTTCGGCTTTAGAATGGAAGAAACCCGGAATTGCCCCATTCCCGTGCAAAGCCATTGCCCATCGCTGCTATATCTTACTTGGTTTAGCGGGTAATCCAACATGAGCCGGTATCTCGACGTGAGCATTCCTATTGGAACCCACGTATCGGTGGAGTACAGTTGAATGGAGAAATATCTTACCAGGGCGAGTATATCATCTGTTGGAGAGAATGCAATATCGTTGGCTCCGTCATTTATCGTCTTCACCAAAACACCGGTCGTGATGTTCCAGATTGCACAAGTCGTGCCGATAGTGGATTTGTTGTGGATAGTTGCAGCTACCATGTCTCCTTTTTCAGAAATAGAGATTCTCCCCTTCAAGGAAATCGCAATGTCATTGCACTCAACCGTCTGGAATCGCCTTCTAGTGTTCAAATTCCAGAGCTCAATTTTGACACTCGCACCTTCTACCCCAGATACCATCAGCCCTGCATTGGGTGATAGTCCCGCTCCGCAGCGACGGTCATTGCCTTCCGGCACTGGAAGATCTAGAGTGTTGACAACCATCCAGGCGATTGTATCTAAGACGATCACTGACAGATCGGTGACGATTACCATAGTGCCTTGCGAAAAACCAATGTCAAAAATCTGTTCATCCTCCTGGAGGCGGAAGGTATATGCCAGCGTCTTAGCCTTGGTATTCCAGACCTTCGTGGCACCAGCTTGCTGGGTTATCAGGAATGTCCCGTCTGGGGAGAGAGTAATAAATGACCCCTGTTCATAGCTGGAGCCATCCACCTCTGTTGAGGTCTCTGTGAGTCGACCCCAAATCCTCACTTGCCCTGATTGGACACCTGCAATAATCTTCCCATCTGGCGAAATGGCGTAAAGGAAATTATTTTTGCTTCCAACCTTCCGTTTCAATTTTCCTGTACTGGCCTCCCAGACCCAAACACCATCCCGCGCGACAATAGCCACATGCCCGCTGTCTGGGGCAAGCCATGCCACAACAGAAACTAAATGGTCACGTTCAGAATAAGAAAAACCATCCAAAGGAGTGCATGAGGCAGGACTTGCGAGTTTCCATGTCCAGACCTGGCCATTTTCTGCAACAGCAATGAGTGAGCTACCCTCGGGGGAGAATACAGCACGTTCTGTAGGACCTGTATTGATGCCTTCACTGAAGGCTTTTGTTCTCGGATCCCAGAAGCGTATCGATCCCTCAGGTGAAACATACCGTAGCCTTCCATCCGGGGAAAATGACAGGGAATCTACGGCATATGTTTGGAATGGATGTGGGATGATCTTATCAGGGGCTGTCCAAAGTCGAAGAGCGCTCTGTTTCAGCCCTTCGACCGCATTCTCCTTGGGACTGTTTCTTTCGGTGAACAAAACCATGCTCCCGTCAGGCGAGTTTTCCAATTTCGGAGGTAGCTCGAGATAATCGGGCACGTCCTCCGAATCATCGAGCAGCCATTTCCATGTATCAAGGTCCCAAACATGAGTCTCTTTGCTTCCATTCACGGCCATGAGTCTCTTACCATCTGATGAAAACAGTAATGAAACTCTAGTTTTGATGCCCAAAAAGCCACTGAATGGCAATACCTTCTGAACTCCTGTTGGTAAATGCCACAACTCTGCGCGCTGCCTGAAGAAGGTAGCTAGCGATATGCTATCTGGCGAAAAAGACATGGCAATGCATGCATCTGTGTCCTCGGCCAGTGATTGGACGCATTTCCAGGTTGTCGTATCCCAAATAGAGATACCGGCTTCTGATTCTAATGCCAACAATGCGTTGTCTGGTGAAAATGCCATGGACAAGACGATGCCAAATTGTAGACTTTGTAACAAAGGGCTCCAGTTTTCCGAAGTGCTTGGACGCACAACTATCCAGCTTGGGATTTCTTTTTCAAACCGTTCTCGAATAATACTTCTTTTTGGAGTAAATAGCAGGGCTGATGCATACAGCTGTAGCGGCGCCTGTTCAATGGCCGATCTGAAAGTCACTGTAAATCGCTCTGCATCGCGGACAAACTCGCTCAAATGGAATGATTCTTCTAACTTGATAACAATCAATATCATCTTAAGAGAACCAGCATTTTTTAACTTACTGAAGAGTTAGATGTATGCTTGAGTATATCTCTCAACATCATGATACCTCTAGGCATCTTGTCCATGATAGCCATAGCCTCAATCCAATGACTGAAGTGCTTTTGTAGGAATTTACGAAGCATTTCGGTATGGAAGGGTGTGGCTTCGGTTTGTTGAAAGTGATAGGCCCATTGACAGCATGCGTAACGGACATGTTCTGGGAGATGTCGGTCCACGAGACTGCGTTGGATTTCTTCTGTGCGAGTATTGACCCTTTCGAGCTGGCAGATATTTTTCTTCAGAGTATGGGACATGGTGTCAATACAACACTCAAAAAGCTTTTGATTCACACGTTTTTCGTCGATCAAGAAATCAGGTCCACATCTCTGCTGATCGACGAGAAAATCTCGAAATGAAAGATGCAGGAGTTCAATCGAGCCGTCCGCTTCGGATATATTGATCATCGATTGTAAAGACAGCAGTGCTTTCTTGACTTTCTTTTCTTCGTCTGAAAGGAGACCACTGAGACCTTTGACAGAGAGCTCTTCCGACAGAACGATAACTGTCCCAACAATCGTCTTGAATCGCGTAGCTCGAGCTTCTCTCTCTTGTTCTGTGCTAGTTCCATCCCCATTGACTTCAAACCTCAGGATCTGATGATACAATTTGTCGAGCTGCCCCTGAGGAGAGTTTGGATCTGGCTTACTCCCTCCGCTGGCAAGGATCAAGTTCAAGCGTGCTTCTGGGTTTTCTTCTGACTTTTGGAGAAATCGACATGCTGTTGCTGCGAAGATAAACAAGCCATCGGCTTGGTTAACGAGCTTCTTGATGTTTTCAGGACCCGGCCAACTTGGATCTAGGCTGTAATCATCGTTATTTCCCCCAAATCGTCCGGATGAACTTTGACATATCTCCTTCAATCGATGCTTGAAGAACCGTGTAATATCATCCTCACGTGACGCATTGACAAGAGGAAGAGGAACTTTGAGTAATCTTTGATCCTGAAGCTTCTCTGATGGCATGTAGCGCAAAATATCCCGGGTTGGTCGACTAGTAAGAAAGACACGTACTTTAATGTGAGGGTCTTGTAGTTGGTCAACTTGTTTCAGAAGGTCCAAAAGAACTTGGATATCATTATTGTCGTCTCTGATGTTCTCTGGAGCCTCCGGCTCTTCAGGAAGGCACTCGTCTAGCGCATCAATTACCCAAAAAATTGTCAGTCGAGGAAGAATTCGCCCCGCTAGCTGCTGAAGCGGCTCCAAGATCAGCTTCCGCCACTGTGTCACAGGTTTTCCAGAAGCAATGTTAAGGTTAGATCCAATAGCTTCACACACGGCTTTACTAAGTTCTGGCAAGGCCTCTGCCAGGTTCCAGGCAAGTGTGGAAAAAAAGCGGCCAGCGTAATCCTGATTCTTTCTTGATCTCTTGAAGAAGAAGGTGCCGCCCAAGCAGACATCATCCCGTAGCTGCTCCTGTTTGAGTAGGTGCTTCCTCCCGTCCAATCTCGATGCGACCGTTCGGGCAATTGTCGATTTTCCTGTGCCGGCCATGCCATGAAGCCAAAAGATCGGGGCCGCAGAAGGTGAAGGATCATCTATCCAAGCTTCGATCTTTGTCAGCATATCCACTTGTGTGCCTTCGAGGCACTGCGTGTCTTCTTGCTTCCGTGCGTTATACGCTGCTTGCTGCAGAGGCTCCAGCCTGCTCAATCGATTCAACTCAAGGATTTCCTTGATGATATGTTAGTAATTACATACAAATCTGGTCTAGAAACTTACTGTGACATCCTTGGCTATTTCATTCAGTGAATCTTGCATCTGATCCTGGAACACTTTGATATCCTTGAGTATATTATCGGATTGTACTTGAAGGTAATCCAAGACTAATTTGTCCTTTGGTCTTATGCTGTCGATCATGGCGTTCCAATTATCAGCGAGAACCAGGTCTCTCAAATATCGGCCTGCTATGGTTCGGGAATACTGTTTCACAAATTGAACCTGATACTTCAAGGTGTCGGTATAGATCGAGACGATTCGTTCCTTTAACCAGGACATATCATTTTCGCCACTGTGTACCATCAGTATAATTCGTATCCGAGTCCACAATAGCATACCTTGCACCTCGATCGCTATGGCCCTTTTCAATCAAGTGATATCGCACCAGGAGATCTGTAATAAAGTCCAGTCCACTCGTAGCGTCGTCCTTTTGCGTCATGGGATTCAGGAAAGCCTGCACCAGAGTTTTAGTATCCATTCCGATGAAATATAATGTACCACACACTCACCGGTAGGATCAGCAGCACCCCAGCCCATGCAATCGCAGCATGGGGCTCATTGGCTACCAAAACTGAAATGACGTCTTTCGCACAGACAATCCGATGAACCACACGGCGCATCCCTTCACTGATAGAGATTGCTCTTTTCTTGAACCTCACCACGAGCTGTTTCTCGTGAAGTTCCCGCAACTTGTTCTCTGTAACAACTTTCACCTGCGCCTGCCGATCAACCCCTACTAAGTCATTATTACTATGACCATGACTCGTATCCAAAATCCAGTTTTCGTAAAACTCGATCAGGTCTGGTTCCTGAAGCCGCAGGCATTCGTAAGCAGTGTCCCAGAGATTTCCCCATTTGCACTCCAAACCACTTTCAGCCTTGTCTTGGTGCGTTGCATCTGGGGTTGTTTCTGTCGTGAAATCTCTGTTAGTTGAGGATGAGGGTACAAGAGGATCTTCAGCTTCAAGGTCCGTCAGTGCATTTGGTTAAGGAACAACCGCGGGTACCTGGGCAGGCACACCTGTAGGGTTGCTAGAAGACTCGGAATCGGGAGCTTCGGGCTTCCGCTTCAGTCGCGCACTCAATCGCTTCATGCAACTTTTTCGGGGCATCGTAGCGGCAGTATAATGAATATGTAGGTACAAGATGCCTTCTGGGACTGCAAAGCCTTATAGCACTAGGCTTCTCAGCGGATAGCACTGTCAGATTATCCCGCTCTCGTGTCGTCTTACGTGGCAAGTCATGGTTTCTTTTGCCATTTGAGCCTCCAGCAGCGACCGGGATTGGACCCTAGATTCGGTATCCTGAAGCAATCATCTTGGGGCAAAGGTGTCACAAGAGTCTCTGCTGACAGGATGCTTACCACAACCACATGCACAAGGCTGTAGAATCCTTTTTTCTTTGCCTTTGATGTTCGTCATCTCGCTGTTTGAGACCTTGAATTTGTCGAGCTTACCTTTAAGCTCGCTGAGGACATCAAAACATCCTAACTTCGAGAATGTCGGCTTTCTGTTGACTGAGAGGATGGCCTGAGAAGAATGACCAATACAGCTGCATTGAGCAGGAATTTGGCGGAAATGTTCTAGAGAGAAATCTTTTGTAGCCGTTCAGGCTGACAACGGGAGGTGATCAATGGAGAATATCTACTTCGATCGGCATTTGAGATCAGCAGATATGCGCGCTGCTTACTATCCGACGAGAGTAACACGGCATGGGTATCCGTTTGCTGGATGAGTTCCGGCTTTCTCGGTTTGATACGCTCTCTCCCCATTTACCAGCTTAGGTCTCCTGTCCTGCAAGCCCATAGATCGAGCGCATCTACCCATGAATCCTTCTTGCTTTGAATTCATTGCATCCCACTCATCGTAAGCTGGTCTGATATCAAATTTACGGGCTGTCATAACGAGAACTACTCGCATTTCATTGTTAACGAGGGTTTGACCGATGCAATTCCGCGGACCTTGCTCAAACGGGCGATATGAGCCCGGATCGGGATAAAGCTCGTGGCCTGCATCAACAAGCCACCGCTCAGGCAGAAATTCTGCCGCGCGTGGCCATACCCTGGGGTTGTGATGGATGGGCTGGTGTAGAACGACGATGCTGATATCATCCATCAAAGGATACGTGTTGCCATGCCGATCGGTCAGAGACAGGCCATCGCTGCCTTGGCGCATGGTACCCGCGGGAGGATAGAGTCGGAGGGTTTCCTTGATCACTGCCATTGTATATGAGCATTGGTTGAGCAGTGCAGGCTGTTCAAGGAGTAGCTGTGCTGCAGTAGCGGGATCCTGCCCAAAGACTTGATCATGTTCCTGCCGGACACGGGCCAACGCTTCAGGGTCTTGTGCCAGTAGATGATACACATAGGCAATGCTGCTGGCAGTGGTATCTGTTCCAGCGAAGAGAAACAGCCGAATCTGGTACGTCACATATTCTGCAAAGTGGTCGTCCAGTTTGGTGGCTTGTGAGATGTGTTTGTTTTTATTATCTAGGTACGCCTCTAAGGCTAGTGTGATGATGGATTTTGCTCGCTTAGAGCCAGAAGAAATATCAGCTTGCTTTATCTCGGAGAAGCGTTGATTCAGTGCTTTGCGAATCCACTTGTTCATGACACGGCCATAGTATCGTTGAATGAGAGGCCGCAGTGGATGTGCCAGTACACGGGGATCCCAAAACGAGTGCCATCTAGTGATATGCCCAAGGGCGGTTGCAATGATATTATCAGAATTCTGATGGTCCAAGTCCGCATCCCTGCGCCAGTTAACAGGTGCTATATATGATGCAGATCACTTACAAGGTTACTTTGAGAATGACGTCCATGGTCAATCGCGTAGTGAGGTCATCCAGGGCGAACAATTCTCCAGAATTCGCTTTCTCGTGCAGCTTGTCACAGAAAACCCCGACTGACTTGATAACTTCGGGTAGTAGGTCTTGCATGCTACCTGCGCTAAAACCTGGATTGAAGACGGATCTCCACGCCTTCCATTCAGTGTTTCCCATGGAAATCATACTAGGCCCACCTGTGATCGGTCCCATGAACCGAGGCTGGATGACAGTCTTGGGAAGATTCAATTTAGTTGTCGCCTGGGACGCTGCTTCTGGATTGAATACCAAGTACTGCGCAGGGGACACCGGCCATACGTCCAGAAAAAAGATCTCCGTGTCGGTAAATTCCGATGCCAACTCTTGCGTAGCAAGCGCCACGTTAGCATCGGCGGGCAGACGATTGACATAGTCAGAAAGCACGAAGATGTGACCTGTTAGCCAGTTCCATCCTTTTGGCATGGGCTAGAATTGGTTAATAACAGAGTGATGTAGGCGGGGTCGTCTTACAATGCCTTGTTTGCGGAGCCGGTTGATTCTGGACCGGTGTTGGTAGAGCGCATAGAGACCGTACGCGACGGCGCTTACAAAAGGCAAGCAGAGGGTTAGGAGAAGATTGGTAAATGCCATTGCGCTGTGCTGGTGTCCCTCGCTTCAACAAGGCGGAGAAGAAGATAGGGGAAGAAGAAGGAGGAGACGAGACCCAATGGAGGCGGTGAATGACTGTTCAACTTGCCTAACCCGTGATCTACCCGTGATCTGCCCTGTCCACCTCCTCCACTTTCTGTATACATTGGATGGAGCAGAAAGCAACCTCATACATCTGGAATTAAACCAGATAAGCACACCTGGTTAAACTGAAAACACCCTCTCATGGTTTATTCATGTGCACGCAATCCGAATGTCAAGCGGCTGAGCATTGTGCTGAGTGTATCCCTTGCATGTCCATTCCAGAGCATCAGCAGTTCTACCTTGCAGTTGGGCAGCACTCAAGTTGGTCCAATGGAGAAATGTATTCACTGCTACTGGCTGGCTCGGGTAGGAGGAAGCGGAAGCACTCTGATTTCACATGTCAGTCATATCCCGAGCGATTGACTCGTTGAAGGCACTGCGATAACCATAACTGTCTGCTGGTCATGATTTGTAATGTTGTATTGACAGCAGCTATCTCACCAATACCTACGGAGTAGACCGTGGACAATGATTAGATCATCTGTGGTACAGAGCAATATGGCCACCATGACCCTATATCCAACCCCACGGATAACAGGCATACCTGCCATAGAAGGAATTGCTCCCAACCCCGCACATTGCGAATACGTCAGGAATTGAAGCCGAGACTTCAACAAGACCGAGGATCTCCAAGACAGTGAAACCCCTTGGCCCCTTGCATATATTAACGTGGCGGTATCATCCGCGTGAGGCCGACCATATACAGTCAGCCCAAAGTATGTAGGAGGGGTCTTAAGCCTTCGACTCCCACAGATGAAACCCGTCCGCCTCGATAGCCTTGACTTACTCAAAGTGGTTCTGTCTGCGGAGTTGCCCTTCACTGAAGTATTCATGCACTTTTCCGGCACCATATCTGGGCCTTCAAAATGACGGGCTCGTCTCTGGCTACCCCGAGTGATATCTCGCAGAAACTATCACTAGGCAAGATTGGACGGATTACTCAATCGCAGTACGCGGTAAGGCTATGAAGCCCGAGAACCATAGCAAACTCTTAACGAGAACCTTGACATTAGATTGCAATTGGCGTCTTTTTCGGAATCGCCGTGCTTTCGTTCCTCGGCCGCATCTTCATCCGACTGTTCACCCGTCGACGGCTATTTCTGGATGATGCATTCCTTAGCTTTGCTTTTGCCACGCTGCTTGTAGGAACTGTCCTCGGGTACCTCCGTGCATATACCATCTATACCGAGCTTGCGGCCATGGAAGGAGATATCACTGCCATCCTCGTCATCGGTTCCAACCTATCGGCACATGAACAGGATTTTGGCTACAACATTGCCTTCATCGGTCTTTTATGGACAACAGTATTTGCCGTGAAATGGTGCTACCTGGCATTTTTCCATCCGTTGCTGGTGGGAATGTCGCGGTGGTTTATCTACTACTACCGCTTTACCATTGGATTGTCCCTTGTTTCGTGGGTTTTGAGCTCATTCGTTGCACCAATCGTACCTTGTCCATACACCGGGATGAAGGCAGTCCGTGAGTACTCCTATAACAATAACAACCAGCACTAATTCCACTAGTAAAATGCTTTCCCACTTTACCAGTATCCAACAGCACAATGCTAGCAATGATCTGGCTCCCACCAATCCTCGACGCACTCACAGACTTGATGAGTATGTCCCTCCCATTCCAGTCAAAACAACAACTAACCAATCCCAGTCATCAGCATCCCAATCCGCCTCCTCTACAAAGTCCAAGTACGCACCTTAACAAAGATCGGACTGGGTTGCTTCCTCTGCCTTTCCATCTTCATGTGCGCATGCTCCATCATCCGCACAGCAGGCACATGGTACCACGGGTTCCTCGACTACCCATGGCAGGTATTCTGGCTGCACCTGGAGGGATGTATTGGTGTGACCATGGGATCCATCACCGTCTACCGATCTACTCTCATCGGCTCGAATGAGGTATCCACTGCATTTAGGAAATATCTCACCAGGATTAGAGATGCGGTTCTGGGATCGTCAAGTGATGCATCGGCGCCGCCTGGAGAGGAAATCAGAACCAAGACGCGTCGATTCGGGTTGCCGTCTATCCCACAAGCGACTATAACGGGAGTTCGTACTTGGTTTGGGATGTCCAAGAAGGAACCCAATGCTAGCGAGGGCTCAGGGATGACTAGTTTTGGGAGTGATGATATTGATTATCATGCTTTGTTGAAATCTCCTAAGGCGGCAGCAGACCCTCGAAGAAGATGAATTTATGCGAGCTTAGAATAGCCGGATTTCAACTATTAGTTGCTGCAGCATTGTATAGCTTATGGTGTAAACATGACCCGACGTCTAATTTCCGGAATACTCTGCTCATGATGTCTACAGCCACCCAGATATACCTCTTCCTGCAAGGAATCTCAAAGCACCACAATCCCCTTCATACTCCCCTCAGCCCTCCAATCCTCAATAACCCCCAACCAATGCTCAATCCCCCAGCCCCAAATCCCCGACCGTGCCAAAACCATTTGCTTCTCAGGCGACAGACGATCCAGATCCCCCTCCAGATTGAGATATCCCGGAGTGCATCCCAACACCACCCCCATTGGCGCTGAACGCATCATCACCTGCAATGCCCAGTCCTCGGCCGCCTCCATAGACGGCGCCACAACAAAGCGCTCCCCGTCAGCCCTCCGCATCGATTCCGTCAGAATATACGCAATATGCTTGGCGTACTCGTCCAGACTAAACCGATAATTCCCACTGGTAGCGGCCTGCTCCGGACTGGAGAGGAACAGATTGGGGAATTTGGCATCGATGACCCCGTGGAGGGTCGTTGGTCCCACACGAGACCATTCCTCGCTCATCGACACCCCATTCAACCCTATAATCGACATGTTGGCTTTCTCGGCGGGAGTCCCAGCCGGCGGGGCCAGATACCCCGTTGCGAAGATGACCACATCAGCCTGGTATGACTTGCCCCCGATCACCACCGAATCGGTCGTCATGCGCTCGATGCCCTTACCGTCCGTATCAACCAGCGTCACGTTCTCCCGGTTAAAGGTCTTCAGATACTCATCATGAAACAGCGGCCGTTTGCACCAAACCGGATACCAGGGCTTCAGTCTCTCGGCGGTATCAGGATCCTCCACCTCTCGATCCACCCGCGCATGAATCCCCGCCTGCCGCGGCGCATCCATCTCAATCAACCTCTCCTGGTATGCCGGAATCTCCTCCGGCAACATCGGCCCCCCGACATCCCCCGTCAGCCCTACCAACCCACGACTATGCGTCCACCCATCATCCACCAGATCCACGGCCGGCTTCTCCCCCAGCGTAAACTGCTGATGAAAATTCCGTATCCGTTCCCTCTGCCACCCTTTCGACCCGGCCACCTCCCTCCAAAACCACTCTTCATCCGTCACCCTCTGATCCCTCACCGCCACCGACGCAGCCGTCCTCTGCACCACCACCAACCGTTCACACCACCTCGCCAACACCGGAACAATCTGTACCGCCGTCGCCCCCGTCCCAACCACCACGACCCTCTTCCCCTTCAACCCCTCCAACCCCTTCTCCTCCCCTTCCTCCCCCGGCTCCCCCCCCAGTAACCTCATACCTCCACCTCGCCGCATGAAACACCTCCCCCATATACTCCCCTAACCCATCAACATCCGGCAATTTCGGCCAATTCAACACCCCCGCAGCCACAACCACAAACCTAGCCCTCACCTCCCCCTCCACCTTTTCCTCCCCCCTAACCATCCCCACAACCCACTCCCTCCCCGCCTCATCCCACCGCGCCCTCTCCACCTTCGTCCCAAAAACCCCACACCGTCCCAACCCCCACCTCCTCACCACAACATCCACATATCCACGTATTTCCTCCCCTGTCGCATACCGTTTGCTAGGCACATACCCCGTCTCTTCCAGATACGGCAGGTAGGAATAACTCTCAATATCGCAAGTCAGACCCGGGTAACGATTCCAGTACCAAGTTCCGCCGAAGTCGCTGGCTGAGTCGACAATACGGATATCCGTGGCTGGGATGTCGCGTTCGAGGAGGCGGATGGCGCATTGGATTCCGGCCCAGCCGGCGCCGATGATGAGGATTGGGGTTGTTGTGGGGAGGGGGGTGGTTGGATCTCGGGAGGGGGCCCATGGATCGGTGGTGATGTGGGCGTAGTGCGGGGAGGTGGGGTCGAGGTGGGGGTGGATGTATTGGGCGTTGCCGAGGGGATGGGGACGTTTGGTGAGGGAGGTGGTGTATTGGGATTTGAGATGAGCGAGGTTAATCCCTTATGGAGTTGGGGGGGAAGGGTTGGACATGATGGGAGAATGTATGATGGGTAATAGTTATTAGATGTAGGTAAAAGCAAAAAGAAAAAGATCACAACCATCAGATGATTGCATCGCATCGCATATTTAACGCCGACATCACCTGACGTGGCTGATATGTCGTGTACCCCGCTGTCAGAGGGGGCGGAGGCCGGCTCACTTTTTCGGCGCCATGATCATCGATTCTTGCATTATTCTCGGATGGAACCCCTCCGGGAGGGTCTTTCCGAGGCACTGATAGCTGTGTATATCTACGGTTCGCATCGGTATGTGGCATTAGGCGGTGCGGGAGTGAACCCGAATCTGGCTAATGCAGGGAGGGTTTCTCGGAAGGATCCTGAACTAGGGATGTGAGGTGTACTCGCCTGCGTCGTAGAGATTAATGATGTTTGAAGTCGAGAATCCGACTTTGAAGATGTTATCAAGCACCGCAACATGGTTGGATAGGATCGACCTTAAACCGTATCCGGTAACCAGATCGGCCCAAATTAAATGGATTGATTAAATGATAGAGATACTACTGGGTTCCAGATGGAGAATTCGATTAAGAGTATCGGGTCGCTTTCCGACAGCCTGATGTATCTATGAGGTCCAGAATCCACTCTCCAATCTACTTTCTGAAAAAGTTAGGACTGAGCTGCAATCGTGTAAAGCAGTGTCTGTAGGTATTTTAATACCTAAACAAGTGACAAGTCATTCTGGCTAGCTGAACTTTCATCATGCCTGTATTGCCTGAGCGTGAATTGTTTTTTTCAGGAACACAGCAGTGATGCCTTAGGCCTAGCCTAATCTAACTACCGAATATAGCTTAGTGTGTTATGTTATTGAGCGTCTTGATTGGCTGGAAATAGACCGCTGCTTTCCCGACAACGCTAATCCTCTTTGGGTCGAGTACTCACCGCTACTAAGATACTGTAAGCTCATCTGAATATGAGTCTGAAATATCTGGGTCCTCCAATGCTCGAGTTGATGGTGTAAGTAAGTACCTAGGTATCCAAGGTAGCTAGATCTGCTTCGCTGCGGGGGTAGGACTGGATGAATATATTCGAGACTACTGTTTTTAGAAACAGTTATGTATCACTGCGACTCGGCCGAGGAGGTGTGGCGGGAAACGATCAAGGAGCTGGGATTTGCGAGGGTGGAGGATATACTGAAGGGGTTGTAGGGGGTGGTTGAAGTGGGAATTGGATACTATGTTGCAAGATTTACTGTAGGGTATTCTAGGTAACTATCTGTACAACCCCACAGTTATGTTGTAAATTCTCCATCAGTTCAATATTGAATGAAATACCTCTATATTCATGTCCATTAGATTCAAGTTCAAGGCTACACACCATCGAACAGGTCATCTAAATTCGATAATGGAAGGTATGCTACCGGCTGTCTTGTAGATATCAATAATCTTCTCCCATCTGTCCTGAGCACTGCCCTTAATCCGCCTCGTTGCTATACCCAAAACTCCTATATCGATCATCCCCCGACTCTATCCCAAATTAGTATAATGCATAAACCATTGAAAAAGAAAGCGAAACTCGCATACTCACATCAAACACCGCAACGACCCGTTTAACCTCATCCATCGCCAGAAACCCCCGAGCTTGTCGAACAGTCAAACGAACATCACATCCCACCGAATAGGGCTGTCGACTGTCCTGGTCAGGTCCATCATCCTCTTCAAACCCGTGAATAACACTCACCACCCGAACACAATTCAATCCACGATGAGCAGCGATTCCTCGCAAGACCCTAACATCCAATATAAGCCGGATCCCGGGATACGGCCAATCATCCCGCGCAGCATACCCCTTTCTATACATATCACTTGTAGCTAGCTTCGCTCCAGGAGTAGTATATCCCAGCATGACACTCGGTCGATCGGCAAAGATAAACTCCATCCCGGTAATACACACATTCCCGGTGTCTTGGAGCACGGAGATGGCGATTTGGCGTAACGACGGCACAATGTCCACTGATTCGAGATGCATCCCGCGGTAGGTGGTATGATGGTAATGGTGAAGGGCATTGCCGCGGAAGGCCAGTGGACGAGGTTGTCCCGAGTGAATGGCCACTGCGGTGTCTCGGAGCCATCGCAAGGCCTCCCAGGCGTGGATCTCGAACTGAAACCACCCACTGCAGTTCAGGTGACAGGTACAATGGTATAGAAGTATCCAGCCGATGTCTCGTCTGCGGTCTGGGTTGGTGAAATCTTTGATAACAGGGAGAAGGAATCCATGTTCGCCATTGATGTCGAACCGTGTTCTCCAAAAGGTGGAACTGGAGAAGAGCGGCGTCGCAGCACGGGATGCTTGTCGGAGATGTAAAACGTCTCGAGTAGACAAGAGCACCCCGATAGTTTCAATGATCTCCATCGGGAGACGCTGGAAAGGGTCCGTTGGATGTTGAACGGCAGGCCGTTCTGCGGTGGTTTCTAAAGGCTTGGGCGGGTCTTTTGCAAACCGCATGAGTTCTTCAAGTGTCGGGAGACCAAAGTGACCATTGGGAATGATACGCTTTTGGTCTTCGGAAAAGAGCCAAGGAGAAGACCCGGATCTGCTGGGTAATTCTCTAGCAGCCCACGGACGACCCCCCACCGGTAGGGGCATACACTCCAATGCCTCGTAGAGACAGACTAGGGGGACTTCCTCAGGGTTGAGGTGCTCGTGGAGACGATGCCAGCATAAATCATGGAAAAGATACAGGTCTGTTTTTTTATGGGAGGGAAGAGCATTGGTTTTCCATGCCGTGGCCTCGTCATCTTCGGGAATCTGGAAATAGGGTCTTGTGGGCAGTGCTGAAAGGGCTCTGGTCACTTTAACCCCTGCTGGAGTGCAGTACACTACAGGCAGTCAGTCGGTCGGTTCATTCGGCTCAAAAAGGATTATGAAAGACTTACTTGCTCTGAATTGCGCTGTCCATGGCTGGCCACCTGCCGTATCGACGCCACATACCATGCAAAACGGAGGGAAAGTGACCCAGTGATTGATTTGTATTGCTGAAAACATATTGCGTTAATCGGCTGGAAGTGTGTGTTCTTATAGAATTCACATTAGGATCGGAGATGGCCTATGCTAGCTATTACACAACGGGCTGGCCTGCATGGAACGGATTTCCGAAACTCGAGACAAGTCCGGACCATGACATAACACTGAGCCAATGTGTATTTACAGAGTAGTGCAAGGTATTGACGCTCTATTTGACGGTTAGAGCTGCTGGATGGTCTGTTTAACGCTTGGTAGACTGTATGATAAAAAATGAAGTAGAGTAGTGTGGTGTAAGTAGGAAAGAGAACAGGAAATCAGCCGGACCAACAATATCGCCGCAGCCGCGGCCCTTAACGGCAAGCGCCCAGGAACCGACAGCTTGATCAAGCGCACGAATTAACCGAGATAAATCAAAATGATAGATGACACCGGAAACTACGTTGGACCAAACAGGTGTAGACCTATTGGTTCACTATATACAGGCTGTGTTGCCTACTAGAGTGCCTATAGTACGGAGATGGAGTAGGGCAAGGATATGTTCCCTTATTACCATTTGAAAGGAAGAAGGGAATTCCTAGTAACATCAGGAAAAACCCAGTTTCTGCATCTCCAAGGAACTTTTGTTTAAAAGCAGTATTCTAGCTCTTATGATCCCGTGGGCTTCTGAGCCACCCTCGCATCAAGCCCATGCAAACTCTTACATCGACAAGCCCCCAACTCAAAACAATCATTGCAGATTGCAAGGCGCTCTTGACAGCAGTCTCCAACGCAGGTATAGAACCCGTTGTCGGAGAATATGGGCAAGGTACAGATATCGCACCATGCTCCTGATTTAATCCCAGTGTTGTTCTTATTATCGGTTTTCTGGAGTACTGGGCCGGAGTCCTGGAGTCTGATGCCTAGGGTATAGGCATGATTTAAGAGAAGATGTTCGATGGCAGGATAGTTGCATCTGCGGGCCCACCAAAGAGGCGTTTTGCCGATGTAGTCTGTTGAATCTAGTTCGGTGGTATGAGGGTGGGAGTTGAGGAGGGTGCGGACTAGATTTTCTTGGCCTTGTTTTACGGCCACGTGAAGGAGTGTTGAGAGGTAGATGTCGTGCGAGGTTATATCGCAACCATGTGAGATTATTAGGGTGGCGAGGTGTTCGTGTCCGTGAACTGAAGCTAAAAAGGCAGGGCTTCTTCCGAAGATGTCGGTTGAATTTAGGTCTACCTTTTTGGTTTGGAGGAGGAGGTTCACGATGGCTTCGTGGTTGGATGCGATTGCGAGGGTGAGGGGTGTGCCTCCGTTCGTGTCCTGGAGTTCGAGGGTTGCGTTTCGGTTGATCAAGTGTTGGACGACAGTTGTGTGGCCTCCAACACATGCCCAGTGGAGGGCTGTTCGGTTATGTTTGTCGGGGCGGTTGATGTCGATGGAGGTGTTGAGGAGGACTTTTACGACTGCATCGTGTCCTAGTTCGGCGGCGATGGCGAGGGCAGTTTCGCCGTTTGGGTGGCTTTGGGAGAGTACATTGGGGCGGTGCTTGATTAGTGAGGCTACGACACCGTAGTGGTTGACTCTCACTGCTAGGAGAAGTGCTGTCCAGCCGTGGATGGTTTTATGGTCAGCGCTGGCACCGTGGTTCAGGAGTAATTCCACTGCCCCTTGGTGACCGTTTCTGGCCGCCCTCATCAGTGCAGTCCAGCCCTCTTTGTTTGGAGACTCGGTATCGGCGCCATAGTCTAAAAGTATGGCTACCACTTTTTCATATCCTGCTGCGGCTGCGATGGATAGTGGGGTGTTTCCGGAGGTCGTTTGGTGGTCGATATTGACATCACGTTGGAGCAGTCGTCGCACCACACTGAGGTAATTGCCTTGCGCTGCAAACGAGAGTGGTGTGAAGCCCATGCTATTGGCGTGTTCTCGATTCGCACCATATTCCAGAAGTACCTGGACCACTTCTTCGTGACCGTTGGAAGCGGCTGCTAGGAGAGGCCGCCAGTTTGAACTGTCCTCACACTCGATGTTGGCGTGATGCTCTAGTAGTAGCCTGACCACATTAGCATGACCGGCTATTGAGGCCAATGAAAGTGGTGAAGAACCACCGTCGCTACGAGCTTCTATATCAGCGCCTTGCTTGATCAAAAGCTCTACTACCGACGGAAAGCCTTCTAAGGCTGCTTCGCAGAGTGCGGTTCTGCCATATTCGCTGTCTTTTGCGTCAATATCCGCGCCATACTCAAGGAGTAGCCTTACTACTCTCTCATGTCCATTCACAGCGGCTTTGTTCAGCGGGCTCCGGTTGTTTTTTGAATCGGTAGCATTGACATTTGCATGTTTGTCAAGTAACCGCCGGACTACCTGTTCATGGCCATGTTCGGCAGCGAACAATAGCGGGGTGAAATGTGACTGTGTATCTCTGGCCTCGATATCGGCACCTTTGTCGAGAAGCAGGCTCACAATGGTCTCGAATCCGTTAAAGGCAGCTAGAATGAGCGGCGTGGAGTTGTATACAGAATCCCTAGTGTGAATATCGGCGCCGTGGTCTAGAAGTTGCTGGACTACGGCAGAGTGACCTCCGCCTACTGCTCGGGAAAGAGGAGTCTGGCCGTACTGGGAATCCTCGAGCTCAAGGTCGGCTCCATTCTCAATGAGAAATCTTACTGCCGACTCGTGTCCCTTTCCTGCTGCCAAGAAGAGAGGTGTATAACCATATTCAGCATCGGTGATGAGGTTGATATCGATAGCCTCTTTAATCAGAATGGTCAGGGCCTTTTCCAAGTCCCAATAAGCAGCCATGTGAAGAGGACTGAAATGTTTGGGATACTTGGTGTACCAGTCTTCACAGTGTTGTTCGAGAGTGTAGTCCAACTGGACGGCAGATATCATTTTGTTTGGGCTGTTCAGATACCGTAGGATTAGGTCTACCAGCTCGGGTGGTTGGCCGCATTTCTTGACATGTATCCCCCAGAACATAGAAGTGTATTCGATGAATGGGTACTTCTCCAGCCTCTCAAAGATTGAATCTTCTGTATTACAAGGCCCAGCTTCGAAGACGTCGAATGAGAGATAGGTAAGGCAGATTGTTGAAAAGTCAACCTCCCCATGAGGAAAAAGCTCAAGCTGGACACTTTCGAGGTATTCCTGGAGGGTGTAGTGAATTAGACGAGCACAGTTACTCTCTTCGTCGATCATGATGAGACCAGCACAGAGATTGATGATAATCTCTGCTTCTGAAATAGCCGTCCTATCGATGTCGGTATCACCAGGTTCTACGGCCAAGGCATGAAGTAGCTCATTCACCCGCAGCGGCTTTGTTGCAAAGAACACATATGAGAGCGCTTTCATTCCAAATTCCGCGTCAATCGGGTTTTGCTCTTGGATCCTTGCAATTGCTTCTTGGTAAGTAGCACAGATCCCAGTAGGAAAGGTCTCTAGACTTTTTCGAACCGATCGCGGGCTTTGCTTGGCAAGACCGGCCATCTGAAGACATGCAAGAAGAAACCTGCACAACAAGATCAGAATATGAAGTGAAATAAAAACATGTTTTTATCATCTTCACGCAGAACTTACATTCCTTTTGCCTTGGCACTAATACTGTGTATAATCTCCTCCCTGAGCTGTGGATCTCGCGCGATCAATTTGGTCAGGCTGGTGTCTCTGTCAATCTCAGACAATAAGTACTCTTTTATATCAGATTCTCGTGCCACTATTTCGAGCCTTGATATATGAACAAGGTATGAGTCAAGATCGACATGTGGTCGAGAGGTGATAAAGATGTGCATAAATCCCTGCATTCTCTTCAGGTACCAGAGAAATTTGTCTCGATTGTCTTTGGAGCATTCATCCTAGTAACCACATTGGTAATCAGATTGCATTACTTTCAGATAATGACCGGACACAAAGCTTGACATGTTGATGTTGAAGATATAACTTACAAGGGCATCAATGAAGATGTGGACCCGAGAAAAATGAGTGACGAGAGACTTCATGACCGACAGACGATCCTCATTGGTGACAGCTCTTGTTTTCTGCTGCTTCTTCTCGTGAAAGCGTTTCAACTCTGTGGGCACTGTATCTATCTGCTCGGCGAGCTGTTGGGATAAGCTTGCGATTAGTTCACCGCCGCTTTTTGTCATTGGATCTTTGTAGTCGCAATACACATATGCCACTGCAATATTTCCAGAAAAAGCCTTCTGCTGGACATAATCAACCGCGACGGACCTGTTCAGCCTCAGAGAGGATTGATTTGATGTTCGACTGGCGGGTCAGCTACTTACGTCAACACAGTTTTGCCGGTACCAGCTGAAGCCATCTATCAATTGATGAAGTCGTTAAGTTGTTGTTGCGACTTACCAGTTCCGGTACACCATAGAGTAGTACACTTATCTCCGTGAAACCACTGTTGGAACTCATCACTATCCAGTAGCCATTGTCCAGTATTTGGATGATGCTTTGCGAGAACGTCATGGTGCTTATCATGGAATTTCACTGATGACAGTGACCTCAAAATATCCTCGCGTTCGGAAGCAATAGCATCGTGTGCCTCTTTATCCTCTCGATCTATTCACATTTAGTCTGGAACTCGTGACTGATGAATCACTGGCCAATCATCGAAGCGTACCTTCGACATACTGATTAATCCTCTCAGTATGAGTAACAATCGTCTCAGTCTTTTGCTCCGTACGTGTAGAGATAACCAAGCTTCGTTGTAACTCAACTAGAGTCGCATTTCTGACAGCAATGTTCTCATTTTCGACTGATCTGTGAAACTCCGCGTATGCAGCCCGTAGTTCGCTATCTTCCCCTTTGACCAGGTTCTTGAATCCCTTGACTGAGCAAGCGGTAGCTGTTAGCGATAAAATACGGAGGACAACGCTGAGACATCAAGATAGCCAGTATCACCACCGTTGATGAACTCACGAAATCTATTCTGGCGAGTATATTTCACCGACACCCCACAAAGAACCAACACCGAGGTAAGGACCCTAGCAAGCGCAGCGTGCAATTCCGGCATAGGAGGGATAGATCCTTCCAAGATCTTCAGTTGGCTGAGATATTGATCCAAGTCCTTGAAGAAATCATTGAGGGTGTCGTAGTCGGATGAAACGGATTTGGCTGTCTACAGGTTGTTAGATATCCACCGGATGAGGCTTGAGCGAAATGAATCGTATACCTTGAGTAAGTAATTCACTGCAGACAGTATAACCGTGCTGGGCGCAAATGCCTGCCAACATCAACAATCAATAGAATGCCAATCCAATCCAAGACAAACACCCACGAGAGAAGCCGCCGAGCCAACGATATTCCCAACGGCCTCCACCATCCCCAAGCTCTTTCCGATTAAGGTGCGGAGCTTATCCAGTTTACCATTATCATGACGATGAAGGCGAAACCGTGACGCCGTCTTTCGAGTCTGGCGCAACAGTCCATCAACACTGGTGACTGGTTCCAAAGCGCCAATCTTCTGGTCGGTGATCTGCTCGTATCGATGAATGGCTTCTTGCCAGATGAGGGCAATGTCTGTAGGGGAATCAAGCGGTGGCGGACGGATGGCTAAGGCGAGGGTGGCCATTTCGTCATGAGGGGTAGATCTTGGGTGGATTGGACACCTTTGGGGTTGTCCTCCTGGCCTGGACCCTTATATGAGCGCCTCCGACGAGGCTGGGGAAGCTCAGCCCCGCGCTTATCATCTCACATGATGCTATCGTTGACAGGCGACGCCGAATATGCCGGGCTTCGGAAAGCAGTAATGCTTAGCGAGCACAGTGATTGGTCACCTTTTCTGTTCAGGACCACCAATCAGGGACCGAGATCGACCGGTTTTGTCAGTATCGTACATTTGCTGGTTTAGAAATCATATTTGGCAAAATGTTGGTCGCCCATAATATTTATAACTACTATTATACTACAAATACCATATAAACCATTCTCGAAGCCACAATGGCCAATCCAGTACCCTACTATGCCATCCACATCTCCTTTGAATATTATCACCTTCATCATATGCTCAAAGTCGGATGCCAACAATGCCTGAATTCCACGGGCACTCTAAACGAAGGCGAAGAGCTCCAACGCGAGTGCTGTGGCGACGAGAAGAAAAACATAAGAAACAGGAAAAGGTCCGGGGTGGTGAAAGTGACGGATTTTGTGATCCTCAAGATGATCCTAAGTGAGGTATCTTTGAGGACAAGGTATTGATGAGATCATAATCAGGAGGTACTTGGTAGGATAGGTCGAGGATGTAAAGTAACATGCATCTAATGAATAGAACAGTAATAGAAAGTTGATGTCAATACTTTGCACTGCTAGCTGTATGCTGCGCTTTAGGAATACTATAGATTTATTGCTTGAATAAATTAACAGTCACTCAACGAGGACATTGTTTCGTCAGTATACAGCTACAACAAAAGTGCAACCGAATGTTTAAGCCTTCTGAGATATTTCCCATAGTTGGCACTATTTGAGAAAATGCTGGGTAAAACAAGACCGCACTGAGACCATCCTAATGTCTGATAAGTACGGCTCTGATCTAACTGACAATATCTTTTTACCATGACGAGGATTTAGCGATCATTCCATCTTATAAGCTAAACAACCATACCTTACGAGCGAATCGGAATTCTGCTCAGAAATCATTCACACACTTTCCCTGTGCAGAATCAATGCTCATGTCACATTTCTGCCAAACATAGCAGCAGGACGCACAACCGTCCCATGTGCAGCAGTAATTGCCAGTGTTAGGGCAATTCTCTTCTGCTGTGGAGTCAAACGATGTCTAAGTACTTCTTGGGAAAGGGGCCCACTTACGCTCGGGCGGAGGTATGAACAAGGATTGACGGTAGCTCAGAGGAACACTGGCGGCGCTGGTCAGGCCAAAGGTAGCAGTGAGTGCGAGGAGAGTGAGGAGCTTCATTTTCGGTAACTTTTAATGATACTGCGGAGCAGTGGAGAGAGAGATGCTGTTTGGGGGACGATTTCATCGGAGAGGTACAGGTATTTATAAATTCATCTTGACCCTTCGGGCTTTAGATGGCTATGTCTTCGGGGATGACTTTAGAGATCTGCGCGTGGATCGCATGTAGAGTTGCTATTTGTGCTGAGCAAATTCAACAGTAGATCATCTGGAAAGGGAAAGCCGTACCATTCGCTTTGGGGGGGGGGTTACGATAAAGGGAAAGGTGTGCGGGGATTGTGACGAGAAATAAGCATTTCTTGGACGCCGAGTGGAGGTTGTCATCATGGGACTGTCAGTCGTCGCACTTGGTATTTGTCAATGAAGGATGATCGGCAATCTCTAGCAATGAATACTGATTGTAACAATAACTGCGTATCATGGGCTCATCTGGACAGACTTAGCGTTTTCTAACAACATTGAGGTATACACGATAGTCTTTTACATGTCCTGGCGAGGCATCACAAGACAGTTCATACTTGAACTTACTGTTAATGGCCTGTGGTCGATTGACCAGGTTAGCACAATTGTCCGTCAGGCAATGGAACCAGGCAGAAGCGTCACATCTCCGCAGTTCATTAAACATATCTAATGATCCCTGAAAGGCCCACCGAAGAACGTGCATAACCGTCAGCCGCACGAGGTCCACTTGGATCAGACAAGAATGTAGATCTGGTGCTCTATAAGGAAGGCTCCCCGCTGAGTGCGGAGTAGCGGAGAAACCTCTCGGTCTCCGGTTTCAATCCATCAGCAAACACCAGAGTGGCGAATATATCAATGGACCATATCCGGGGGCCTGAATCAGGCTTTCAAATGGAACAAAACTCGGTCGACACACGGTCTCCGGTCTCCCAATCCGAGATTAAAACCAAGATCGTGAAAATTGGCCTTGGCCTACCACCTGAGTAATATGCCTGGCAAAACATCTACTGACGCCATAACAAGGTTCTTGGACATGTCTGCGCAGTGACTGAGAGATGTGACAAGGGCGCGGATATCTGCGTAGCTGCGATGCAATAACCCCATACAGGTTTTTCTTCCAGACTTTGGAGAGCATGTTTGTTGTAGGTCATGTTCAACAAAACCCCAGGATAAATTCTGGAACCGCCAGGGACTGTTGGGAATTAGTTGCGCATGTAAAAATATCTGGATTGACAGCGGGACATATTGTCTGGATAGCAGCCATACATTATCCGTGCAGTGATTGAGGGCGGCAGGCTGAAACAATGTATCCATCATAACAGATGGAGTAATAAACTAAGATGAATATAATATGTAATTCAACAGATTTTGCGCATAGGCTCAGAAAACAGCCATGTGGAAACATGACAATTCAGAGGAAGCGTCGTGACAAATTCCCCGACTTCACGTGGTCTGCAACCGGCCCATCCCTGCCACCCACTTCAAACAACGCCTTATCTGCTAGACAACCAACCAGCCTCCAAAACGTACCCTCTCAACCACACCATGACCACCCTAAAACTAGGCCAATCCCTCAAAGGCAAAATAAACACCTATACCATCACCAAAAAGCTCCACGACAGTATATGGCTCGCAAAGTCCTCCCCCCTTCTCCCCAACCATTTCCCCATACCCAACCAACAGCTCACACCCCAACAGCAACCTAACCAACCAACCCTTTATAATAAAAAATCCCCACCAAGCACGCATCAACAACGAGAGAGCCGTATTAAAGCAATTCCAAACCCGAACTCCTTACCTCCGCCCCTTGATCGACGAAATCATCGACCCACCTGCTCTTGTACTCCGACATCTAGACGATGACCTTATGTCTGCTTCGGCATCTCAGAGACTCACAACCTCAGAGATAAAATACGTCTCGAAGAAAGTACTCCAAGCTTTGGCTGTACTGCATGATGATGGTTATGTGCATACGGGTATGATTCCTATCTAGTCTCATCGAGGTTTCGTCTTAACACAGTAAGTAGATGTGAAACTAGACAATATTCTAGTGAACTATGGGTCGGACGGACAGCGATTCACCGATATCCAACTCTGCGATCTAGAAAACACAGTGCACGTCGAGCATAAATTCTGCAAAGACCGCGAATGTATTGGTGCTCCTGTCTGGCGCAGCCCAGAAGCCCAGTTGGGTCTTCAGTGGGGTCCACCTACTGATATTTGGTCGTTTGGGACGATGGTACCCTTCCCTGCCCTTTCCTCTTCTAGTTACTCCGTTTACTTTACTAATTCCGTATACAGGTAATATCCCTCATCTGGGGCGACAACTTCTTCATCTTCAAGCCCGACGTGCCACGGGGACATGAGGAATATGAGCTGAAGATTCTCACCAAATACTATGTCTTTTTTGGCCCGTATCCGCCTTCGTATGTGGATCTGGCGGATGATGAGACGTTGGCCATTCTGTCTTATGTTATGGATAATGTTCCGGCTGAGAAGAGGAAGCCGTTTTCGAGGGCTGGTCGGCAAGAAATCTCGGTGGAGGATAGGGAGTTTGTGTGTAAGATTATGAGGATGGATCCGAGGGATAGACCGACTGCGAGGGAGCTTCTGGGGGATAAATGGTTCCAGATGTTACCAAATCTTCGTGCGTACGCTTAAACCTCAAATGACACCCGATCATTGCTGATTCCACCCCGACCAGTTTATTGCCCTAAGTGCAATCATTGGAAGTGGAATCTTCCTCGAGAATTGAACCGCCCTTGGTAGCTCCGGCTCGATGGGCTTGCTTCTCGCGACCCTCATCATGAGCGTGGTCGTGGTCGCCGTTAATGAATGCTTCGCCGAGCTAAGCCAACGATTCCCAATCTACAACGCCATTGCCGAGTATGTGCGCACTTTCCTAGATGAGGAGCTGGGCTGGGTAGTTGGCTTGGCTTATTGGTAAGGATAATCGTGTTCTCCCAGAAAGGCGTCTACACAGCTGACAGGGGCCGATCAGGTACGCATACGCCGCGGCTTTCGCCACGCAGAATATGACGGCAGGGATGTTGCTCGAATACTGGGGTCTGTCAAAGGCATGGCGAGCGTTGATCTGCTATGGTCTTGTTCCTATAGCGCTGTTCCTGCTGAATGCGATGGGTGTATTTGTGCGGGCGACCCACCCAGTTCAATCTTTTCGATCCCTGTCTGACCGATTGCGCAGTATTACGGTCTTGTGGGGACGTTTGGGGGCTGTTTGAAGCTCATCATGATCATCGCCATCTCAATATATCTTTATGTGATTGCAGGTGAGAGAAGTATGCTTCTTTCTGCGAGATAAGACTCCACTCACACTGGGATTCAAACAGGGGATTCGGCCGTCAAGAGTGGGTGGTGGATACTTGGATTGTCCCTTTCGACCCTGATTCCCAGGCTCACAACGGAATAGTTCCTTCGCTCAGCTTCTCTCACTCTGACGAATATGCAAGCAAGGCTCAGGCTGGTTGGTACGAACCCATGTCTACGCAAAATCGTCGGAATCACGCTAACCCAGGAGCCCAGTTATGCGCTTACAATTATCACATATGCATTCCAAGGGATCGAGATCTATGCTATGGCAGCATATGAGGCCTGGGACGATAATTCCCTGGGATGGGCTTCCCAGTATACTGTATACGTCGTGGTTGTGGTGTATATCATGTGCACTGTCGGGGAGGTTCTCACCGTGGACCGGAATAGCATATTCCCCGACCTCGATGCTGACAGGAAAAGGGGCCAATCCAGCAGCATGGTAATCATCGCTGCGCTCAATGCCAAAGACAAGCGTCTTGCAGGATTTCTCAACGGATGCCTATTCTTCAGCGTTCTGTCCGCCGCCAATACTTCCCTCTATGTGGCTTCGCGTACCTTGTATGGAATGGCCGACAAGATGCCCAGAAATTGGATCACACGAAGCCTTTCCACGGTGTCAAAGAAGAATCAGGTACCGGTGGCCGCCTTGCTCGTCAGTATGTTGTCGTTCTACTGGGTGCCGTTTCTTCGGCTCAAGGATTGCTACGTCGCGGAGCAGGTCGGTGGATTGACTACTCTGCCCTGTCTCAGCAACTTCACTGACTGGATATATAGATAACTGAAGTCATTTCCTTCACCTGCAGCAATGCTATTATGATTGTATGGGCTGCTGTCTGCGGAGCCTTTATTCGCTATCACCGTTGGTCTGTATCCGTTCTCAAGATCATATACTCCGGACTCCAATAAACCACAGTTCCTAACACTCAAGAAATAGGATGAAGCATTACAGCGAGGGTCTCCCCACCCGACAGCGCCGAACCCCCCGAGGACCTCTTGCCTCCCTCCAACCCCTCCAAGCCTGGCTCGGCCTGATCACCTGTATCGTAGTTTTTGCATTCTCCAGTGCCCCGTGGTGGAATGACAATGCGACTGTGGGCAAGGTCGCCGAGGCCTACGGAACTGTAAGTGTTGAGAATCCTCATGGTCAGTCAAACGGGGTGGGAGAAAGAACTAACCACAACACCCAGCATATCGTATCTGTTACGCTTTTCCTGCTTCTCAAGGTGAAGAAAGCCTTCAACAGTGAGGAAAAGTTATTCATACCAGCCGCGAACCTCGCGAGATTAACCGAGGAGTTGGATGATCTGGAAATCCGGAGAATCAACCACGCGGGAACCACTCGGTTGGAGCAGTGGATGACGGGTTTAGTAGGTCGGGTTCGTCGACGGAGTACAGTTAACCCTGATGATGATCGGGGCTTGGAGAATACGGATTTCCATGCGGATTTGTTGATGGTGCAGACACAGCCAGCTCTGACATCTGGGACGTTGGCTACGGGTGTGGCGGTGGAGATGAGGTCTTGATCGATTGGAAGTGTAGGATAGATGGAGTGAGTGTATTTTTATAATGCTGTATAGTAGGAATTCGGGGAGGGGGTTGAGGAATATTGTTGGAATTAATGTTGGTGCTGGTTTGCGGTTTGATTTGGGAAATGTTGATGTCAGTCAATCCTCTGTCTCCCTCTCTCTCTGACGACTTAGCATGAATACTTGATATTTCATCTAATTGCAAGACCCTAGTACACTATACTATACATTTCCACTTCCTCCCCTCCCCCCTTCCTCCAACCCATCATTCTCCATACAAAAGCACAACCACCCTATCCCATTCCCCCAGTATCAATACCAATATCCACAACACACCTTATCCCCACAACTGAACCACCAACACAATCACGCCCAAAAGCGAACCATCGAACAAGTACCAAGAAAAGAAAAGAAAAATTACCCCGTCTTCACTAATACTCATTTATATTTTCTTTGCCTTCTGCCGGGCACGCAGCCCTGATTGACACAGTGGGAGGGGAGGAAAAAGGAAAAAAAAAAAAAGAAATCTCCCCGACTGGGAGTCGAACCCAGGTCTCCCGCGCTTGTTCCTGGGAAGGATTGACAAGCGGAAATCATGACCGTTAGACCATCGAGGAATTGATGAGGATTATATTCTACTATTTGGGGCTAGATTCCGGTGGTAGGTGAGATATACCAATATATCTGTTGATTGGGCTGTGTCGGCCATCGGGCAGTATACTTACCAAACGAGTCTCTTGCTTGGATCGCTAGCTAGCGTTTGGTTCGTATATTTGTTATAAGTAGGTCTATAATAGAATAAGATAGTTGATTATTCGCTCCTATAAGAACTACAATCGAGAGGAGAAGTGATAATTGTCCTTCTCCGGCAGATCTAGACTCGACTATCCAGTAGGAAACACAACATCGAAGATAATTACTTTTTATTGGCTACGGTCTTTGAATAATCCAAGCATTACATTACAGAATACCGCCATCAAATCTATATCGTGGCCGAATGTTAGTGCCAGTTTATACTCCAATTCTGTGAGAAAGTCCCAGAGGCGTGGTGGGCTATAGACTCCGTCCATAAGTCGAGAAAATACCTTACAGTAAACTGATCTGAGCTACTACTGGGATGAGATTCTAGAGCAGTATACTTTTTTTTTCTGGACAGTAATTAGTCAAATCATGCGTGTGTTGAAGACCATTGATCTACTCCCCAGGTAACCGGTTAGGTGTCTAGAGACTGGTAGATCTAACCAATCACTCATCCACCATCATCGCTACAGAGGATTAGGCGATGTTGCATTAATAGAGAAAGCACCTCCCATCAATCCCTATGAGCATCTATACCGTATCGTCTGACAATGTCCTAGCCCTAACACATCACAACACAATTCCCATTACAAGATAGAAAAACTAAAGCCATACCTCTCACCAACCGCTCTAATCGTTAACCCAACCAGCCACCAAACAACCCCGCCCGCTTCCACATCTTAATATAGAAAAAACAAAAAGCGAAAAAAGATGGGATGAGCCCAGCCCGGCTCGATCGGACAACCTTACGATCTGGAGTCGTACGCGCTACCAATTGCGCCATAGGCCCATTCTGGTGATTAATGGGAGGGTTTTTGACAAGATCTGTTAGGGCTGCTAAGCGATGGGGAGTGATGTCGTGCAAGGTGGAGGGGCAACTGGGCAATGCTTTGCAGGGGGGTTACTCTTGGGGTGGTGATTTGATTCGAGTTCTTGAGGGGATTGAGGATTGTATACGGAGTCGGTAAGTTTAAGATGTAGATTAACACGTGATATATGATCGGCAAGGAATATAGTTTGTGGGTAAGGTAGTAGGGATGGTATGTGGTGGACGAGATGTCGTGGTTGGTGGGGTGGCACTCTATACTGCTGCGCTGTCATCCATCCATCAGCCAACTACATACACAATTCACGTTCCACATTCCTCAGATCGGACTTAACACAACCGTTCCCTAGTAATTATCCTAAAACAAGCTCATCTCCAACAATCCCACCTGGTAAACACGGGGGAATCAAAACACCCAAACCAACAATAACTCCTCATCAAACCCGACATCCTATCCTACCCGACCATTGTCAAGGCCAGCCCCTAGGTGGGCTTCTAGGGCGGTGGCCCCCTGCCAACTGCACCATTCAGCAAAAGACTGGGATTCTGAGCCACTACGCTCAGCTGCGCATCCCTTATAAGCTTGCTACTAGGTAGTAGTAGCTGCCGTCACAGCCATCACACCACATCCTCCCACCCAACAACTCACCAACACACACATCCCTAAAAAACAAAAAAGAAATCAACCTTCTGATTCCCCATTTCTGTTCAAGTACCAAACAACGACCCCTATCCCAAGGGGTAAATAAAAGTAAAAGCAAAAAAAGAGGGTATGAGCCCAGCCCGGCTCGATCGGACAACCTTACGATCTGGAGTCGTACGCGCTACCAATTGCGCCATAGGCCCATAGGTGATATTTCTTGGCTTTTTGTTGATTTATGAAGCGGGGGTGAAATGATGGATGGGTATCAGTGAATCTGCACAATGCACGTCTACTTTGAGCATAGACTTAAGATGGGTCAGCATTACTTGAGTTGTAAGGAGTAAGTAGTCCTGTAGTTTTCATTCTCTGAAATACATAGTAGGTAACTATCTCAATTTGGAGGATGGTCATTACAAAACTAGTAGGTAGATAGGTGAGTGAGTTCAATCACTAGTCGCGAAGCTTCCATCTCTTCTATATACCCCCAGTGGTCGGTCTGGAACAAGAAATCAAAGACTGCTGATATATAAGTACACCAGCACAGTCACATTATATGCCCCACACGATCACTACCGATTCTATCATCCTAAAGTAGCACATAGCATATATCCCAGATCTACCATAGCCTAGAAGATACCCAAACTGCTAAATTAAGCTTGCATTACAGCAAACCCAATCAATGAACTGCCAAACGGATCAATAATTACATATCCGCCTGCATGTCCTTCATACCTACGTAGTACATATTTTTAGCAGCTATCTATCTAGTCTACTACACACCCTGCAAGGGATGTCTAATATCCGACCCGTCAAATCAACTCCACACTCCACACGCAAACCAAATACAAAAATAGCACCCCGACATTCCAACCTGGTACAACTATCTGCCCATGGACAACAGTCAAGCCAGTAGGAACAACCATCGGGACGGAAATCAAAGAAACAAGAAAAAAAAAAAGCAAAAAATGAGATGAGCCCAGCCCGGCTCGATCGGACAACCTTACGATCTGGAGTCGTACGCGCTACCAATTGCGCCATAGGCCCATTGTTGAATTTTGAGGGTGGTTTTGGGGATCATGAGGGAGATATATTTCTTCACCGTTCATGATGATAACCTAAAGTGTTCTATTTCCTTTAACGGGTATACTATACTGTATTCGGTGGATGTTCCTGGATTTATTAATCTGTTTATGATGGCTTATAGGTTTGGGTATGGGGTTGGGGAAATGGCAAGTTTCTTGCAAGAATTTCGTGGTTATGTGTTGGTATACTACTGATATATATTTCGGCTGGCACAAGGAACAACATGTACTCTATATACACCATTACCCGGGCTCTATCCCGTCATGATACATGTCTATCGTGATTCATTAGTCATACACATCCCGGTCTACTTTCCAACTCAATATACGAATCTAATCATTTCCCATTTCCCAGGATCAATCCTCGCGCCTGTTGAGGGTCCGTCCCGAGCACCGTGATGAGATACTCGATACTACAGTTCAGTTAGCAGTGAACCACGACTCAAATAGGGAATGCAACCTACCTTGCCTCCGATGCTAGTCGCCGCTTCTCTTGCTGGAACTCCTGCTGACATGACTCCCATGTCCCTGCCCGCTCAGTCGGCAATACCGTCTTGATGCGCAGCTTGAACGTAGCGCTCACCGGCCGATGGTCCGAGGCCCGCACCTCGTGTCGCCGGTACTCCAGCTGTCGGACGCGACCCAGCCCGCGATACAGCACCCGGTCACACCATGCCGGCGCGCGCTTCTTGTCGCTGGAGTCGTACTCGTCCGTCCCGACGTCGTACTTGTACGTCGGCGCGAACGTGATAGGCGCCTCGTTAAAGGATCGCAGGCGGAAGCCAGGGTTCTTGCGTCGCGACGCCAGTAGCTGGTCTCGCTCTAGCAGCTTGGTGAGGTTGTTACTGCGAATGTCATCGATGATCACGTGGCGTGGAATCGAGTCGATGCGATAATTGAGATCTCCATTCAGAATGCAGATCTCATGATCCATGATCATTGAGCCATCCCCGCCACTCACGTAGTGATTCGCGCGAGTCGCAAGGCTGCTCTCGGCAGGAAGAGACTCTGCTTCGAGGATCGCCGCGATGTCGTTGTTGCGGTGCGCCGTCTGCGACTGGCCAGCCGCCAAGTGGCAGTTGACAAAGCAGAGGGAGCTGTCGTCCAGGACAAAACGTAGAAGCAGTGCACCCTAATTCGTCAGAAACCGCCCGACCATTGGTATGAGAAACCTACCTTATTCCCGTGCAACCCTCCCATACCCCGCTTAATCTCCGTAGCGCTGATGTTCTTGATCCGCTGTCGCTCCTTGTGCTTCACGAAAACACAGGTAAACAGACCGATCATGTTCCCGCTGTGTAGCAGCACATACGACTCCTCCAAGGGCATGCAGTCGTTGATAGCGCGAGTCAAATGCTCCATCCAAACCCGGTACTGCCGGCTCATATGCTCCTTATCACCATGCTCCTTCTTCTTGCTCCCGAGAAGCAGACTCTCTGAACGGGGTTAGCTATATCTCCACACGGATTCGGGTACATACTGGCTGTGATCTTCTTATTCTCAAGGTCCACCAGCTCCTGGAAACCAAACACCAAAATCTCCGGTGGATTCTCCGGATGGATTGCATCCTGGATAAAGGTGGACGTGCGCACACTCCCCGGGGTAGACGCCCCCGCATTCCAGGTCACAATCACTGCATGGATCTCACGGAACGTGCAAAACTCCACATCCCGAGTTTGCATTCGAGATTCTACCAAGGTCAGCTTCAACCCCAGCCAAGAACAAAGATCACTTACCCAGCCAATCATCCTCCAGCATGCCATCCCACATACGGATGCAGTTATCGTCTCCCAGTGAAGTCACCTGCAGTCGGTTCATCGTCCAAACGCTGCTGGAATCAAGGAGAAACCCGCTCACAGGGCTGTCGTGAGCGCGCCAATCCTTCTTGACCGTCCACGGGTTCGTAGCCGTATCGTAGACGTAGATCATGCCGGTCTTGTATGCCGCCCACAGATAATCCCCCACAATGCCCAGGCAATTGATCTTGTAGACGCTGACATTGACAACCGACAGACACGCAAAGTCGTGGGCAGAGTAAACCGTGACCTTTCCATCGGCATGACCTAGATACACGCGGCCGCCATCCTGGGTGGTATACGCACCCGACGTGACATCCCCTGTATGCTGCAGGCCCAATGGCCGGCTAAGAACCTTAAACGACACATCGTCACGCGCATTGGGCCGATAAATGTGTACCTCGCGCCCGGAAGCCAGCCACAGAAGGTCACCCACCACCATGGAGAACGTATGTCCGCGAGAAACGCGATCATAGGGATTGTGGTAGCTGTACTGCAAGTTCGGCGTTCCTGTCTCATCCGGCGGCCACACCAACAACCGACCCTCGTCGTCAAGGGTCCACATCTCCTTCTTATGCCGCAAGATCTTGACAATCTCCCGACGAGAGGGGTAGGACCGCGATGCAACAATGGACCGGGTTGCGATATCGATCTCGTGGAGATCCCCCGCATTTGTGCCCAGCCACAGTCGCTGGCCCTCATCCTCCAGACCCGCACCGGGCTTAAAGGCCAGCGACAAACACTTGACTGTCTCGCCATGACTCAGGCTCATGATCTGCTCCCCAGTCGTCAGATCCCACACCCGCGTGATGTATCCGGTCGTGCACACATGCTTCCCGCACACATCCATCAGTCGCGTGTCGTACCGTGTATGAATCTCCTGAGGCCCCGACTTCAGCAGTGGCGGGCGTCGATTTGCAATGGACGCATCGGGATAATCCGTGCGCGCAACAGGCGCGTCATCTGGAGCTTGCTCATCCTCGCTCGGGACAGGGCGGACCGCTTGGCGTTCTACCACAGGTCTCTCTGGGACAGCCGGGGGCGGCACAGGCCTAGACTCCCGGGAGAAAGACGGCTGCCGGTGGACATTCGTCGAGGTTGGAAGCTCGTCCCGGTAGAGGGGGCGCGATTCACGGAATGGTGTAGGCGGAGGCAATGAAAACGCCGGACTCTCCGGCGGCGGCTGGTACGAATACCGAGACGGGGACGGACCGCCCCTTCGTGCCACTGACGGCTGTCGTGGCGGCAACCCAGGGCGCTCGTGAGGATCGTGCATAGAGGCTCGGTGGAGCGGTGCGCTGGCCAGTGGCTCCGGCGGAAGGGAGTGTCTGGGAGGGATCTGGACCATGAGCGGCTTGGTCTCCCGCGGAGGTTCTGGGATTGGCCGCCTCTGTGAAAAGGATGGTTCTCGGAATACACCCGCCGGAGGAGCGGGCGACCTCTCCTCCAACGACCGGTGCGTCGGGAGACCAGGCACAGGGCGGGAAGGCGAGCGGTGGGAGGGCGAGCGCGAAACCGGCGCCGCTCTCGTAGCCGGCTGCTGTTTGGGCGACGCTTTCTCGGGACTGCTCGGAGGAGTACTAAATGGCGATATGCGATCTTCCGAGGACGCCCGTTCCTGCCGCGGAGCAAGAGACCCAGTATCGTGGTGTGACAGGGCCGCTGGTTTGGCGGGAATCTTGGGCTTCTCCGCCCGGTTAGCGGGCGGAGGGAGCGAAACACTCTTGCCCTTTCGTTCCGATGGACTTTCGCGGCCATTTGCCACGGCATCTGTACTGCCCGGCGACAGACGACCCGGTTTATTATCAGTGGCGAAAGACGCAGTAACGGGGGTGGTCGGTCGATGAGAGGGGACTCCTTGGGGGATGGTAGGCAGCGACTCCCGGGATGCATTTGGGGGGCTGCGAGACACGCGAATATCCTCCTCATGGTCCGCTCCGAATCCGCGCGGCGGAGACCGGGGAGAGTCGACCGTCAGAGTCGGCGCTAACTGTGGCGACGAGTGCAAGTTCATCGACATGGGCCTGTTCTGTCGTCTGCCCGGGGAAATCCCCGGAGATCCGCTAGGCCGCGCGGGTATGCCATTGTGAACGATGCTGTGACTCCGCTCAATCTCGGGGACTGATCCCCAGGGAGACCGTGGACGGGGTAGGTCCAGAGAGGCCCGAGAGGAGCGGACATCGTCGCTATACTCGGGGGTTCGGAGAAAGGATGGGGGGTCGCGTGAACCGTTGGTCACGGCGGATGGAGCTCGGCGATGCGAAAGATTCTCGAAATGCGACAACAGGGTAGACACCGGTCTCTATAAGATGCAGCAGGTTAGTATGAGGTTCATCACAGCGGGGACAGCTTGCGCCGACGTACAATCGGAGCACTATCCGTGGCGTCCTTTTCCTTGCGGGTTCCCTCCATGGCCACAACAGCGAATCCAACAGGAAGACGGATCGAAGGTATTAATCATAGGCCACCAATTGCGATAAATCAGGCAGCCACCGGGAACTGGCCAAGAAATGGCACAGTAGGAAATTTAAGGGCGACAATGGATAAGATAACGGGTGGCAGGGAGTGAGCCGGAGTGACGAGTGTGGCGGAGCTCCAGTTTAGGCGGAAGGGATTCAGGAGCAGGGGACAGGGCCAGGCGCAGTGGAGCAGATGCAGCTATTTAAAGGATGACGTGAAGGATGGCCCGGGTCGAGATGGGCCTGGAATCAAAGCGATGGAAGGAATTGAGCAGTGAGTGTGTGGAGAGGAG